CCCCCCTACCCCCCCCTCCCAAAAAGGCCCGAAATAGCCATGTCCAAAGCTACTGAACTAACCTTGGTCTATAACACTATAGTGGCGTGGAACTCCAAGTCGGTGTCGTCTGCAACTGTATGCCCGTGAGCTTCATCATCTTTAAGCGCGCCGGCGCAGCATCCTGGACAAGCATCAGGCGCTACTTGAGCAGCAGGCGCCGCGGCGGCGGGTCGTCGTATGATATCGACAACGGTGGTGCCGGCAGCAACGAACTCAAGGCCGGCCCGGAGAGCTCGACCATCGACAATGGCAACCCGGGGCGGCTCCCCAAGCTGCCGAGGATTCATCTCGGGAATTGGACTGGGTTCAGGACCCTCCTGAGCCGTCGCGAGAATAATGCGGGCGCGACGACCGAGTTGAGGACGTATGGAGAGCTCAACTCGGTCGATGAGGATTACCACGCCCAGCTCAAGAGGGCTTGGGGCTCCCCGCCCCCGCCATCGCATCCCCGCACCAGTGACTCTGTCAGTGTACCCGGAGCCGCAGTGTAGCTTGTGCGCAGTAGGCGATGCCATAAATGCCCTTCCAACCATGTCACCAATTATTAATCCTTATCCTTGGATTGTCCCACAGAACCCCTGTCAAGACGCTTTTATGGGCAGTGGGTTTCAATGTGGCTCATAGGTATAGAATTGTGGTCATGGGTAGGGCTTCATGCGTCTCTTGCTCCGCCTATTGTTCCCAACTGTCTTGTTTCTCCATATTCCCCCACGGTAGAGCTCAATTAGATTTCATCAGTTAATCTAAAAGGGCTATTCAATACGACACTAAGATATCATTTCCTTGCGGACTAAATAAAAAAATAATTAAAGACAATCATAATCATACGACTTGCTTTAAAATCGTCTTGTTATTCTCTTCCATCTAATACTAGTCCTACTTTATGCCGATATAACTTTATTTCAAGTCTGCCAGTACAAAGGCTAGTTAGTGGTGGTGGTGGTGGTGTACCATGGTTAGTGGTAGAAAACGAAACGGTAGCGTGTATTTTAGCGTGGCCTTTTGGCACGATCGGCAGAGTATCAGGCACTAGCCACTGCTGAGTGGAAAGCAAAGACACCAACTGGTTCCACGAATAACCTCACTTTCAAATAAGATTCAAGTACCTTACATGGCAACCGTATCAAAAAGCGTCATATACTCATGAATAACAAAACTTTTCGATAATAGCAACCTTTTATGCGGTTCATTAATGTCTAATTTACTACGAAGTATTACAAGACTAACTAATGTATATTACAGCGCCAAACTCGTTTCAAACTCCCACGCAAGCGTTTAAAGAACCTTGACATAACAATGGGTATCACTAATGACTCTTTGATGCCATCTTCACCTTCATCTTCATTCCGTCTACAGGCTTTGAATTCACTTGTCGTGTCTGTATGAGAAATCATGTTAGCCATTGCATCACAGAAGCCTGAATTTAATAAAGAAAAAAATAGACAAATTGCAGAGATACTCACACTGTACACTTCTGACTTGGCAACCAGGATGCCATTCTCATTAAGTATTGGCTGACCCTTGCCATCAAAGGAGAGCTCCCCAAGCCCAACCTTTACAAAGTCATATCGGCGTGCGACAATGGCAATGATGATGCGCAGTTCAATCATGGCAAAGTCTTGCCCAATGCAATTGCGCGGTCCCCGTTCAAATGGTCTCCATGCGCCAGCGGGGATAGTGGAGTTGGCCGCGTCAACCAACCATCGTTCAGGCTTAAAGTAGTAGTACGACTCCCCGTAGACAGTTGGATCGCGTTGGATAAGACCCTCGCAGTTGTAGATGATCATATCGTCAAGACAATAGTCATTGCCATCTGGCGCGCGTACCGTGAATCCAGTCCCCTGCTTTACGTAGCGCGCCGTGGCGGCGGGTGGGTGCAAGCGCAAAGTCTCCTTGAGGACGGCTGAAATATACGACATTCGGCGTATCAGGTCTGGTCCATCAGGGGAAAGAAGCTTGGCGTATATCGTTTCCGGATCGCTATCAGGCCCCAATAGGTTGTCAAGCTCTTCGCGCACAGCGTTGAGGGCATGTGGATTGCGTGAGAGCCAATAAAATACCCATGAGAGTGTAATGCTTGAAGTATCGTGACCTGCTAGTAGAAATGTCTTGATTTGGTCACGCGTCTCATTCAGAAGCTCTGGTGTCAGATCCGTGGCGTCTTGCAAACTCAGTGACAAGATACTCCGCGATTGGTCGCTTCCTTGAGTCTTGTGTTCTGCGAATTTGCGGCGTAACATATCATCAAGGAGCACATTGACGCGTTTTTCAAGGCGATTGCGCTTCATCGTAGTCTTGGGAATCATCCACCAGGGGAAATTGGCCTTGTCATCCCAAAAGGTGCTGTAGAGCTCAACATAGAGGCGCACCAGCTCGCCTTGCTGAGATGGGTCCTCTGGTTGAGCTTCGAGGTCGACGTCCATAACCACTGCACCAATGATATCGAAAGTAAGATTTGTGACAAGACTGACCATGGCAAATTCATTGCCGGTCTTCACCAAAGTATCGAGGTGCTGAATGAATTTCGGGATCCTGTCAACGATGCATGGCAAGAGCGTCATGAGATGCTGCGGGGCAAAAGCCGGGTTGTATCTCTTGCGAAGAGCTTTCCACTCATCTCCATGTGCATGTAGGATGGAGGTGGGCCCGGTTAAACTTGACATGTAGCTGAGGTCTGTCTTGGGAATGCTGGTTGGGAAATCTTGAGAGGCTTTGGAGATCTGTTCGGCAACTTCGTAGGAGCTGACGAGCACCATGGGGCGGTTGACTGGTCGGAGGTCAACGAACATCAGAGGCGGACTGCCAAGGGATTCGTGCATCTCGGAGAACATGACATCTAATTGCAGGTTAGGCGACGGCGGATGAGAATGAGGGATTGTGGGACCCGGCCCAGGGCAAAATAGGTACCTGGATGACGGTCTGCTGGGCCACGCTTGATCAGCTTATCGAGAGTCTTCAGGTGGCCGAGTAACAAGCTTGGAGGCAGCTGCGGTAACTTTGCGTGCTGCGTCAAACGCTTGTAGCGCAGCTTGTTGTACAGGTAGGTGGCGAGCAGCGCAATTGCTGCGAGTAGAATGGGCCTCAGCATGTTTCTAGTAATCTTGGGCGAGTGATCGTGGATTGGCCGTATCGAAGTAATGGGTGAAGAGGGAGAGGGGAAGAACTCAGGTAGGTCCGGTTGTTTCTCAGCCCTCGTGGAATTGGTGATGTTGTAGGTTGCAAATGAGAGAGAGGTGAGAGACAAAAACCACTTGGCGCAATATGAAGCCTAGAAACCAACCCCAGGGTCTAGTCTATGGTCTCTAACAATTTGTCACACAAGAGCCAAAAGGGCCTTGCTCATGTTCATTGTTGATTGCATAAGGTTATCGAAAAGGCCTTTTTTGCTGTTTGTTGTCTTGCGACAGGTTAAATTGATGTATGCAGATGACAGCCAATCAGGCGGGAACCCCTCGTCGTTTGCCTAGCCAACATGTCTTTCGCATGTCTGTCTCCAAGGTAGGTACATTATATATGCTTTGGCCCCACCCGTTGGGTAGACTGAAAGTCCCCAGGGGGGCTAAAAGTCCCTGTCCCGCGCTCAAGCGCTGATCTTGGTGGCCTGATCCGAACTTGGTAATGTATTCAGGCCTAGGTTAGGTAGGCAGTCTCCATGCAGCCCCAGAACTTAGAAGTCCCCAGATCAAAACCCCCTAAACCCCCGCGTGCTCTCGCCCACCCCCCACCAGGCCTTCAAAGCCGCCTTACCGGTCCGAGCCGCTGCTACCTAATGTAGTATGAAGGAGCTAAAGTGCACACTCAGAGCCTTACTCTGAACTACATTTGCAGCTTGCCATACTATCTGTGAGGCTACGTACATTATCATGCGATCCATCACTCGAAGCCGGGGTGTGGCACGAGTGCCAAGGTGAATTAGCATATGTGAGTTGCTCATCCTGAATGCAACCTCGTATCGTTGGTGTTGTTCCTTTGCCAACCAACCAACCAACCAACTTTGAATGGGCTTAAACCTGTACGACATGAGTGCTGATTGCTGCCATGTCAAGAAACGCCCCACGTAAGCAGAGGCAGGCTGGCAGGCCGTCTAAAGACAGGGGCGAGAGGGAAGGGGTGGGTGGGTGGTGTTGGGGGCGGTGTTACGCCCAGAGACAAGCAAAGGGCTGCAGGCCTGTTGTCTCCAAGACATGAATTGATAGGTACATTAGTCGGTGCCCCAATCCTCCGATACGCACTGTGCGTGTGCCGACAGCCAGAATCGCTCGATTGTTGGATCTGATCATATTCGGTCCGACAAACGACCAGTGCATTTGCAGTTGTTGGAAAGGCTGAAAGAAGGGCCCCCACTGACTCTTGACGTCTCTTCCCAGCCAGGTAGGCTATAACGTACACACGGCCAGGGGTACATTACGGGTAGATACCTGACTAATCTCGTAAGTAAGCGCGGCTTGGCCAGACTTGCTGTTTGTAACCACCATGAACCTACAGCACATCTTCCAAGTACCATTTAGTATATCTGCAAACGAAACCGGATTGACTGGGGGGTCGTCACCCAGAATAGATCAATGCCTCCATGTCGGGAAACCTGCTAGCCCTTGATCAGCCCTATGGGCCAATATGGATGCAACAGTGCTGCTTGGTGCCTGTCACAATACTCGTACACTGATTGGCAGAATGACAAAGACCTGAATAGCATATCGCCTTGGGTTTCAAAGGACTGAACAGCTCAGTATAAGGCGCACCAATAGCCACGATAAGAACAATCCCGTAGTGGGAAGGACCGCGTATATGTAGGGGCGGAAAATTTGAGGTGGAAAATCCCGTGGTACATCAACATCGCATCTAGATTCCAATTCGTTCCAGGGCGAAGATGGCAGACGGCATTGGTGTATTCCTCAAAGGCCAATAATGTAATGGGCAAGGTCAACGGACCAGTCTTACTTGGGCGTGAAAATAGGAGCAACACTTTCAAGTTCAAGTGGCGCAGCTCTTGTTACAATTCATAGCATTTACCGAATAGGACTCGAAGTACGTGTATGGAACATGTCATGTGTAAGCATGGTGGTAATGTTATTTGGCAGTACCTGACTACCCACTTTATATAAGTATTACCACTATGTTGCTCCTCCTGCGAGGAAAGACTTTCATAGTGTTCATCAAGCCTCAACGTCTAGAAGTTCAATCTTGAAGATTCTGTTTTTTGTTCGACATCATGCTTTCGTCTCTTTTTGAAGTTTTAACCCCTAAAATCACACTCTTTGCATTATGTATTCTATTTGCCATCGCTGTCGCAGTCAACTATGCACACGACGTTCGTGAATCCCACAGAGCCAGAGCGGAGCAGACGAAGGAACAGCTTCCACCCAGACACCCTACATATGTCCCGTATCTGGGGATACTATTGCAATTGCTATGGGACACCACCGGATTTCTCCACCGTGCCACGTGAGTTTAGCCCTTCTTTTGACTTCAATCTGAGTACTGATTATCATAGATCCCATAATGGGCGGCTGACCTCGTCGAGAATTGGTGTTGCTCCGCACTGCGATGTATATCTTTTCCAAGATCGTGATACAGTCAAAGAAGTCTGGAAGAAATCAGCGTCAATGTGTGCTGGCAAGGTTCACGTGTTTGCATGCAAATACATGTTCGGAATGAAACAAAAGACCCTGTCTCTATACGCTGCGGATAACTCGGGGCCTTTTCCTAAGCCTTATCCCGGAAGTCACGTTTTACCCGAGAACCGCATGCACCGTATACTCAGCAATGGGATAGACAAGGCTTTGACAGGATCTGGATTTGATCCCAAGCTTCAAAGATTCAAGAAGATTCTCGTGTCCCAGGTACAGCAGCAGCTCTCTTCGACAGACGAGGGCAGTATCAAGATCGACGACTTTCACAAGTTTATGCACCACACTGTAGGATTGGCCATCATTACGACCATCTTTGGACCGAACCTAACCCGCCTTAACCCAACCTTCATGGACGATCTTTTCGAGTTCGAGCACTGGTTCCCATGGCTTGCCAAGGGCGTCCCAAAGTTCATCATTCCAAAAGCTTATGCAGTCCGGCGGCGCCTTCATTCGCACTTTAAGCGGTGGTATGCATACGCAAGAGAGCACTACACTGAGTCTAGCATTGGCCCTGATGGTGATGAGGATCCCTTTTGGGGCTCGGAGTGGATGAGACAGCGTCAAGAGGCGCTTCACAAGATTGGGGACGAAGACAGCTTGGCAGCTGGTGACCTTGGGGTCGCCTGGGCGTAGGTACCACGCAATACAATTCATGAATGAATACTCGCTGACTGCTAGCTAGGTCATTATCCAATATCGTCGCGGCATCGGCGCTGATGGTGGTTCACGTCAGCCAAGATGCGACACTTACGGATCGCGTCAGAGCAGATGTTACATCAAGGGTCACACAGGGACCTCTTATCGATGCCAATCTGAAAGATCTATCCAAAAGCCCACTTCTTTCTTCAATTTATGCAGAAACCCTCCGGCTCTATGTCCAGACATTGACAATTGTCAGCTCACCATTGGAGAATGTTTCCCTTGGGAAATATTGGCTTCCTAAGGGAGCCCTTGGCCTCGTCAACTCCGACATGGCACATAGGGACAATGAGTTTTGGAACACCAAAGATGGCTTGCATCCACTCGACTCGTTCTGGGCTGAGAGGTTCATCGTTGATCCAGCTGATCCGTCCAGCGGGCCAAGCAGACTGGTGCCCCGAGAGTCTCAATATGAGCAGCAGGAAGACGGAAAGCCATACTTTTCGTTGAAAGGTTTGGAGGGCTCATGGATTCCATACGGAGGTAAGTCGATCCAATAAAAGTGAAGCCGACCGTCAAGACGTTTACTAACTTGCGCAGGCGGTCACCTAGTCTGCCCAGGGCGGTTCCTAGCCAAGAATGTCATGGCCTTCTCTACTGCTCTTTTCAGTAGAGAGTTCGACATTGAAGTTCTCACCACGGAACTTGACTCTGGTACGCGCAACTATGGTTTTGGTATCTCTATGCCAAAACAGCCAATTGTAGTTCAAATGAAAAGAAGATCATAATTTACCGTGAAAGGACATCAAGTTTGATATGTTGGGATTCTCTGGGTCGTTGGATATCTACAGAAGTTTTCCTTACTAGACAAGACTCCAAGTTTCTATTACATTTAGATTATAGTAGATGTTGTTTCGTTTTGGAACACAAATTGATTCAAGGCAAATGCCTATTTCAATTATACTATAGAAGAGTTTCCTTTCCAATACAACCATCCACTTCCGTAGCGTAAGCATGTATTCAAATGATTCGTTCCTGGAACACTGAATCCTTTTCGTCATTCATTCATTCATATTTTGCCCCCTCCCTCTTCGCAACTTGGCATTGATCAATGAAAAAAAAACTTGGTTTTCAATACCCGAGAGAGCTATGGCAATATGCGCAGAGACTTCTTCCAACAGGCATCTCTGAAATGTCGCCACGGCGGGCGCACAAGAGAATGAAACAATCTTACTCATTAAGCCAGCTGAATGGGAAATGCGTCATCCTGTGCGATATGCCTGAACTGGATTAATGGTCAATCAGTGCTACCTAATGAAGACGTCAGCTTGCGCTGAAACAATTGATAGGATCCGACCCGACGAACCGCGGCATTTGGAGACCCCAAAAAGCCCCCAAAAGCCCCCAAAAAGCCACACACCGAAAATACAACGCGGCAGATCAGGGCCCAGGCACTCCACTCACTGATCGGCAAATGATGCACCAGGCACACTTTGGCAGTTTTGCTTATCAAATTGAACCCAAGTCGTGAATGGATACCGGCATATTTATTTTTAGTCGTGGATTACATGCTGCCTCTCTATAGGTTGTGACTGGCCATAAGGCTGGACGGATATCGCTAAAGATCGATCAGCTATGGTTGCCTAGTACACAATCGGTTGGCTTGCCACCAGCAAGGGTACATACATTAAAGGTTGGTAGCAACAACGCCCTGAATTTCATGACTTACAGTGGGTGTAGGCCTATCCCGCACACCCGACACATGCAAGTACCGTCCAATTGCGACGCTGTAGTACCAACTGCCAAAAGTCCTAGACAGTGCGCAGTGATCAATAAGGCAAGTACCCCAAGTACAGCATCTCAAAGTCAATTCATGCGGCTAGAGAAAAAAGGTTTGAAATTGCCTATCCATTCTCCAACGACGCGTGAGGGGGCTGTCCATTGTTGGTGAAATGACCGGGTGCGGATGCACAGCGATATTTTAAATAAAACTCATCTCATCTGCCAACAGCTAGAGACCACCATAGTAGAATATTTGCCTCTCCCCCTTGTTTATACCGGTCGCTACGACGCGTTTAGCGCCGCAGGATCTATTGACTTCTCACCCTCCACTTACAATCATAATACTCAATTAGTCCTCTAGACACAACACCCGCTTCAAGTTCCAAGAGGTCTGTAGTCCAAGCCAGCCATCAGGATATGGATTCGAAGACTGTGACTGAGGCGATGTCCTCAACACAATCAGAGAGTCACCATGAGCCTGAAAGTCATGACCCCCAGAATTCTCATGCTTCTGATACGGGGGGCACAATGAAGACCAAGGGCAAAGAGGACAATAATCGCTTGCAATTCATCTTGTTGATATCGAGTCTCTTTTGTGGTGTTTTTGTCATGGCGCTCGATGCAACCATTATTGGAACCGCGGTGCCGAGCATCACAACTGAGTTCCAGTCTCTTGACGATATCGCCTGGTACGGTAGCGGCTATCTTCTGACCATCACCGCCTTTCAACCCACCTTTGGAAAAGTGTATCAGTTCGTGAACGTCAAGGCGGTTTTCATGACCTGTGTCATGATATTTGAAGGTATTCAAAAGTCCACCAACGAGGATAGAAGTGTGCCTTGGGCTAACCAAAGAACCAGTTGGTTCCATACTATGTGCAGCAGCGCCCACATCGGCCGTCTTCATTGTGGGACGTGCCATTGCTGGAGCTGGCGCCGCAGGACTGTTTCAGGGAGCGCTTGCCATCATCACCAAGTCTGTACGGCTAGAACAGCGCCCGCTGTGTATTAGTATTGTCACCAGTACTTTTGCAGTCTCTGTATGTATCGGGCCCGTCATTGGTGGTGCGTTTACAGACCATGTCACTTGGCGTTGGTGCTTCTGGATGTGAGCAAAAGTTTCTATCAACAAGCTTCTTCTTTACTGATCTGTGCTAGCAATGTACCAATCGGAGCAGTCGTTCTTGTTCTGATATTCTTCCTCTTCCATGTGCCAGAAGGCTCGCGAGACAAGACCTTTGATTCAATGACGTTCACCCAAAAGCTGATGAAGATGGATCCGCTGGGCTCTCTATTCATCATTTCAGCCGTTGTATGTATTCTTTTGGCGCTTCAGTGGGGTGGTCAAACCATGCCATGGAACTCGGCTACAGTTATCGGCCTACTCGTTGCCTTTCCACTTTTCCTAGGCCTCTTCGCCTTCATGCAATGGAAGCAAGGAGTAGACGCAACCTTGCCCTTGTGGCTTCTGAAGCAGCGATCAATGGTCGCAACAGCAATATTCAGTTTCTTCTCGGCCATGCCTTCTTATCTCGTACGTATTGCCCTCAACTTTGGTGGAAGAGAGTCATCAGAGTATCTCACATCTCGACAGTATGGATACTATATTCCGATATACTTTCAGGCGGTAAAAGAATCGACAGCGACGCAAAGTGGTGTTCAATTCCTGGCTCTCGCGATACCTCAGATCTTTGCTGTCGTCCTGTCGGGTGCGTTGGTCACAATGTTGGGATATTATGTATGTTTCTCCTTATATGTCAGAGAGCATGCGCAAGTATACTAATGAAGCTCGCAAAGCTCCCATTCATAATTGTTGGAACCTGTATTGGAATTGTTGGATCTGGTCTGTTTCTTTACCTAGACCTTGGTACATCCACAGCCTTGTGGGCCGTATTTCTTGTGGTTTGCGGTGTCGGAGTCGGCCTTGCAATAAACCTGCCATACACAATTGTTCAGGCAATTCTAACGTGAGTGAACTTGCCCCACCAGCTTACAGAACAGAAGATAACATTTACTACTAGTGAAGATAACGTGCCAACTGGAAACGGTAGGCTACTGATGGTATCTATCCCCAATTAATGTGCTGACCGGATTATAGCTGCATTTCAGTTCATGTTCCAGCTTGGGGCGTAAGTACAATCATTACACAGACCAAGTAACGGTAGCTAACCATCAATACAGTGCCCTCAGTCTGTCCATTGGTCAAACTGTATTTATTAATCAACTCAAAACATATGGGCAGGCCCTTACGCCAACCATTCCCGGGGAAGTCCTCGTCCGCGCTGGCGCATACAATCTTCGCGCTTTGGCAGGATCCGAGCAGATCTATAATCAACTTCGCCAAGTCTACATGAATGCCCTTCATGACACATATATTCTCCCAATTACAGCTTCTGGGCTGGCTTTGCTCGTTTCGTTTGCCATAGAACACAAGAATATCAAGAAAATCAGCAAAGAAAGGGAGCAATCGCGAGCTGATCCGGAAACGATCAAACTATCGGCAGTGTGAGATGGTATCCAGAGAAAAATAGGAGCAGGGTTGTTCATTTATCAAGCATAGTCGCTAGTCGTGCTTAGTATAGCTTAGCTTTAGCCATTTGCATTTCTACCAGGCCACGAAAAGCTCCCTGATCCAACCTACTTGCCTGGTTGGATCTACTGGTTGGAACACCAGAAATTGTGACGCAAGGTCCCGCGTAATCCAACTGTATGGCATGTGCCGCGAACTTGATCTCGGAGACTTCTTGTACCAATTGAACTGCGATGAGTGGTAATATAGATGGATCCACCAATGCTGGCCTTGGTGGCCCTCGGCCGGAGATCTTGGCTTGAGCTCTTAGCCAGTCATGGATACTAGGTTCTCTGATGGCCTTGAAATTTTTGTTCTCGGCGATCGAGCTAGGTCTAGGTTCTGGAAAGTAGCCAGCCACCTCGAACTGAATGGTGAACGCAACCCCGCGGAATGACCATACGGCAGCTTTGAGGATCTGAGCGCATAAAACTGCCCTCGGCGGCTCACCACTTCACAGGCACCTGCTCCATGATGCCTCGGGAGGTTTGCAGCGTGGTGAGTGCGCCACTGCGCATCTATGGATGCCAGAACCCTCGTGCGTGCAATGCGAGCACGATCCCCGATTAGCTTGGCACCAAATCCTCAGGCAATGGTGTATGGTGTGGCAGACCATACAGCAGGGATTGCCGAGCCTGGTATATGGCCGCAAACCAAATGTTGTTGACGTATCTGCTTGTCATGAGATTATGGCATCTAGCACTTTCTTTTAAGTATTGACTGAAAGAATATAAAACTTTTAGTCGAGTGCATTTAACACCATGAGACTGAAAGCTCAAGATGCAAATGGCTGTTCTTGCAATCTTGTTCGAGCTTTTGCCCTGCAGAAGTCTCCTTGCATTGCAAAGTAGAGCCCGGGAGGACTCAGGCTAAGCTGATGTATAGACTATTTGGCCCAACAAAAGTAGCCCAGTCATTGCCTTGGCCAGGACTGGGAGGTTCAGTTCTTGAGGCGCCAGACTTGTCCCCCATATTCATGTCGCGAAGCTTCCAGACTTTTTTAACGACTGCCCGGATCCTTGTGACATTTGAAAGTGAATCAGTCGACATGGCCTCTAGAGTTTCGAGAATCAGACGCCTGCCATGTATAGATTCGCCAGACTCTGCATGCCGAAGCACAATTTCGTCTGTCGGGTCCAGCTCGACCGCGGTGACGAATACTGGAAATGCCAAAGCCCGCGCGCGTCCAGCGCGAAGCATGCGAAGAACCTGCTCCAGAATCTGCCGAACCAGTTGAGACACAACAGGCGTAGAGGGCGTTGCATCATAAAGAACGCAATGCAGGTAGATGAGCGCTGATAGTCTTTTCAGCTCGGCCGACCAGATGAGTTCATCGTCGTTGGGGACTTGGGTGATGGATTCCAACGAGTGGATCCGCGCTTCCATGGCATCTGCATGCTCGAATAGTTCTATGGCATGCATTTTGCCCGCCGTTTTGGCCCTACCCATCTCAGTAATGTCGCAGAGGATCCCTGCAAGCTCTGGACTGCAGCCCATCCACGAGTCAACGTGCCGTTTATTCGCCATGTTGTCCCAATAATCTGCGCCAAAGAGGGGAGCCTTTCCGCAAGCAATCACACTAATTGAGTCTTGAAAAGCAAAGAATCTTTCTGCAAAGGCGGCTAGACCGTAAGTGTTATCATGTGGTTGCGTGAGTCCTCGCGCTCTCCCTATGCGAATGATGTCCTGGCTTGCTTCCAGATGTATCACCCATCGATGGTCACACTTGCCGATGATTTCGTATAGACAGAGGAACATCATGGTGATGAGTACTTGTGGAAACATGTGCCGGAGGCTAGCTGTGTCAGAAACAGATAATCGTTTCTGCAACGAGGCCAGGACACCTCCTTTCAGAGACATGGCCTTCTGATTCCATCGAGGATCCGCCAAGCTCCGATGACGTGCCGAGAAGGCGAGTAGGGACTGAAGGACATCGTCTTGTCCCGCATGGGCGAGTAACGCCGGAATCAGCTGGGCAAATGGTGAAGAGGCTGTTCGTGACGTGGTCGTCAAGGGACATAGTTTCCGAAGATAGTACTCAAAAAGACCCGAGTCAAAGTCTATCGATGTTGACAAGGGGGCTAGTTGACGCGGAATAGGAGGCACGATGATACATGAGCTGAGCGCTGACAATGTTGTGGCGTTTTGATCAGGCTCGACGAGCATATGTGGACTCACTATTTCTGAGGACCCGGGCTCAAAATCCGTCAAATCTGCGTGCACAAAGTGATGTGACTTAATCTCTGGAACCGATAGCCACTTGCCTTCATTCGATGTGGTCCGCAGAGGGTTTGACGCAGACCCACGAGACCCCGAGTCCTTGGTCCACACCCCTTGTCGCCCAAAGGCTACACCGCGAGTCGCAAACTCCTCATGCCACTTCAGCTGCAGGCCGCTGTGGCAAGTGAGACCCCGAGACGAACAATTCCGGCAGACGGGCTTGGTCTCGTCACACTTTATTTTCCGCTCACGGCATGATTTACATCCAGTCCTGGCTCGCCGGCGGATCGGGCCGGTCCCGTCGGCACGCTTCCGGCCTGGCATATGGTTGGCGGAGGTTTCTGGGTATGATACCGACCGCTGTCAGGAAGTCCAATGAATATATGGAGTCCGAAGAGTCGGAGAGTCGAGATCATCGCGAGAGGAGCATTATCCCGCCGCCAGCCCGCGTGAACCGGATGGTAATGATGGGGCCGGTCCACTGGAGATTAGGTGGGGCAAAGCTCTAAGCTAACCTAGTACTAGGTATACACATGTGCAGGTAGTGTAGATACACTTTGACTGCGACATTGTAGTGCTCCGTAGGGTATCAAGCGCCTGCAACAGCTGGAGTTCGTAAAAGTTGTTCATTTCCCGTTTGATAGCATCATAAACGTGTGGAATTGCAGATCATCCCTAGAATTCAAGTAACGATTGTGATATTGACATTATTGAAAGGGTATCATAGCGATCTAGAATCTCGATAGACCAGCCTAGCCTATGTACCTACAAATGAGACGGCTCGTTAGGCGTCCACAATGTGTTCTTGAAATGCAAACCGTAACAGAGCATGGATTGGACAATGAGCACATAATCGGAAATAGAAATGACAGATGCACTCTTTGTAGGGCACATAATCTCCCTGCATTGATCTCTCAAAGCGCGCAGTACATTGTGAATTTTCGCTCCTGTCCTGTCATCCAGCTGCTGTCAGCTGCAGGCTCCAGCATTCATCAGGCATTAGCTTATCTCGTGTCTTCCCCTCTTTTCCCTCCAAACCACTTGAGTCGCAACACACATCCGAGCCTCGGACTGGAAACTTCGCAGAGAACTTCTCCTCACCAGGGCACAATCCAACACACACGCACATTTCAGAACAGTTCAGCAAAGAACACACCCAAGCATCGTACCTAATAGCTGCGTTCTACCATAGTCAGGGGTTCGGTTCGTCCCATCCCCCCAACGCATCGCGGTCGGTCCAATCCACGGTACCTGCATGGCACATTGCTCGTGACGCAGTCGGCTGTTGTCAGATTGGCTGGAGAACAGCAGTCAATTGGTGGCAGCAGTTGACTGCTGGCGCTCTCACGCTACCTGCCGCTTTTCCGTCACTGCCAATACTATCGGGTAGGTCAGACATATTTATTATATTACTAGTATAGCAAATCGTTCCGTTCTCGGCGATAGCAAAACCCGCCCTTTGACGCCCTATTGTCATGTCAATGCACCTTATTAGCCAGCCAATATTTGGCATCATGTAGAAGATCTATTCTTATGTATAACATATATACTAATTGGTGATCAAGTCCTTCCGTCAGCCTGTTGTTTCCGTCCGGTATCTACAATTCTTTTCATCTTCAAAATGCCGGCTATCATGGATGATCCCTCGAGCCCGACCATCTACCGTGTGTCGGGTCCGGCGCCGTATCCCGAGCCTGGCAAACCGGGCTTTCCTGCGAGCATCAAACCTCGTCAGGTCACTCTAAGGGATCGCCAGACGATTGCCACTGTGCTACCGTTCGCTTCGAGCTCCCAAGTACCACCTTCTCTACTCAAGTACCTGTCGGACCAGTTTGCCAAGGAAATTGAAGGCGGCGATACCTACCCAATGGTAGAGCCCATGTCCTTGGAGCAGTATTCCAAATACTGGTTCCAGAACTTTGCAGCCATCATGCTCCTCGGCACGATTGATAGTCCCGACCAGGTAGTCGAGGGTAAAGACTGGTCAAAAGAGTGCCTCGGCAGCTTTTACATCAAGCCCAACTACCCGGGTCGCAGCAGCCACATCTGCAATGCTGGATTCATTGTCACCGAAGCTGCGCGAAACCGTGGTGTAGGTCGGCAAATGGGAGAAAGCTATCTCGACTGGGCGCCCAAGCTCGGATACAGCTATTCCGTCTTCAACCTGGTGTACGAAACCAACGTGGCATCGTGCAAGATCTGGGATGGCCTCGGCTTCAAGCGTATTGGCCGCGTCAAGGGCTGCGGTAATCTCAAATCCTACCCTGACCGCCTTGTCGATGCTATCATCTACGGACGGGACCTTGGAGAAGCCGCCGGAGACGGCGCTGACGGGCCGGTGAGTGAAGAACGATTCGACAAGATCAAATTTTACCTCAAATACGGAAAGTACCCAAACGGATCTGACCGAGCCGAGAAAAGTAGGCTACGTAGCGCAGCGACCCACTATAAGTTGCTCGAAAACGACGTCCTCATGCTCAAGGACAAGGAAGTCATCAGCGATCCTGCCCGCCAGATGGACATTGCCAAGCAGGTCCATGAGGACGGGAGCCACGCCGGCATTAACAAGACCACAGCCACCATTGCCGAGCGTTACCATTGGAGCCGCATCAAGGAGACAGTCTCGGATGTAATTAGGTTATGCTCTGAATGCAAGGAATTAGGCAAGATGCCTTTGCCAAACGCTACCGCCGCTCGAAAGATTACCACACCAAATCCCGTGTCTTTTCAGCCTGCTGAGGTCTTCAAGCCCCCATCAGACGCCGAACCTCGGCCTCCAGACCTGGAGAGTACCGAGAGAATCTTGGATCTGAGAAATCCAACGCGGCCGCCACCCACCATGAACGATCTGAATGTCAGGCCATATGATCATCAAAGTGACCTTGCCTCTTTGCTAAACCCCGAGCCAATCTCACCTGACCACCTTTTGTTGTCTGAACCATTGCCTCAGATATCGCATGAGCATCGCGAGCTTCTCGATGCCACATCGAATCTGTCTGTGATACCGTACGATCCAGTCAACATTTTTGCTCAAATAGATCCCCAAATCATTGCGCAGTCAGGACATCACGATGCAAATGACCATTTTGACGCCTTTTCCGAGCTGGGTACCCAACAACCTCCCGATCAATACCTACACTCACCATACGATGTTCACATGCCGACGTCACATCCGCCACCCGACGATCATGACACGTATCTCAAACTACAAGCATTGCTCAACGATGAGCCAGACACCATGTCACACGACTTTGAACCGAGAAGCGCTGTTGATGGCGACAATGTACTCTCATCCGGAATGCCACACCATGAGCAGGACAACGACGTAGTTGATCAGGGTCTAGACATGCTCATAGACCATCCCGATGATCATGACCAGGGGGACTTGGATACAACACTGGGCACTGAGGGTTCCGACGAGGCAAGAAGGCAGGGAGGCGGGCAAAATTTTGGAGCAGAGAAGAGGGATAGGCGAAGTACAATGCTGGAGGATGCTCGATCACCAAAGCGACGAAACTGGGATCACGTCGTCTTTGATGCATCGTAACCTGCACTCTCTTCGAACATTGTCAATGCAGCAGGTAAGATTTGTGTATGATCAGAGTGCAAATGTTCAAGAATCATCAACTAATGGTGATCTCAATTGACAAGCCCGCCAAGTATTTTGAACTTGATTGGTCTGCGGAGCATATACACACTACAGTAGCACTTCAACTATTCATTGCGACTCCCACTGAAGCCTCAGGTCTAGGTAGAGATGGTGTACTTGGAGCTTCCACCGGCACTTCCCCAACCCTCAGTCGCCAAAACCTGGTAATCGTGTGTACCCAAGTTCAACCCGGCCTTGGCCCAGGCGTCAAAGTGGTTCTTGGTAGTAATCGTACCACTGCCGGGGCGTGCCGTCCGACGGTTCGAGATGTACTGCGTGAAGGTGGTGGTACCGACAATGGACGGCTGGTTGACTTGCGTGTGCTTCCAGATATCGTACACGGATCCGTCGCTCTCAACCGTACCGACTTGGGTCCCTTGAGCCGACCCCTTGCCGTCAGACGTGTACTCTTGAATGTAGTACTCGACCAGCGGATTCTTGGTCCATCCGTAGACGGAAACCAAGACAGTGCCGCTCGAGTGAGAGGTTGATCCGTCAAAGGTGATGTTCCTATAAACATTTTGCGTATGAGTATCTTGCCTGGAGACGACCAAGTCGCGAAAGCCGTTTCCTCGTTGTCACCTACCTTGTGGTTCCTTTGCTCCAGCCTTTGCCGACGACAAAGTCCCCAGCACCGGAAAAGCTGACAGAGTAGCCGTTGCTCGTGGGCGAAAAGTTGACATTGCCACCCGTCTTGTAGTTCTGGTTGTAGTCCTGGCGAGGCGCGAGGGCATCGGCGCCAAACTCGAAATCGGGCAGATCTAGCTCGGCCGTGGGTGCTGCAAGGGCCCCAGCGACGGCCGAGATGGCGAGAGCGAGGCGAACAAGAGAGATCATTTTGAGTGACTGCACTTGGTAATGGACACTGGGAGTCAAGCAAAGAGAGCGACACAATTGTACTAACTCAGGGAAATTTCATCCATGCCCGAGTGTGAAATGTATCTTTATACGCTGCGATATCCCATATGTCCGGCTGAATTCAACCATGACCTTGCCGAATCTGAATAATTGAAACATATTCATTTGGAAGATGTCGTCCACTAAAGTAGTGGCGCGGTGCTCGTATTACCGTCTATATTGTATAGCGAATCAAGTGCCAAGGCTTGGCTTTTGCCGTGCCGATGGCTCGGCGGGGTAGGCTATAGGGCCCTGGTTGTATTCACCTAGCTGTGCTCACTCGGGATGTGGCCAACCCACCTCATTGAATAACCGGAGACCAATCGCATCTCTACTACGGTTCGAGAAAAGGCTGCAAGGAGAGGTATGCAAAAGGACTGTGGGACATGGTCATGACATCCTCGGTCGCACACGTACCTGTTGAACTGTACCAGGCTTGAGTGTCTTCTCCTTCAGGCACATTTCGCCTAAATCAGGTCGGGTATCAGGATCAACGACGAGCATGTATCAGATTGATTGGGACATGTAAAGACAACGCGAAACATCATAAGCTTAATTTTACTCCTTGGTTGTACACGGTAACTGGCATGAGAAGAGATGACAGACAACCTATCTAGTAAGTAGCCACTTGATAGCATGGATCCAACAAATACGGGTTCATACAAGAGGGACACCTTGAATTTTGACCATTTGTCAATTGCGCAATTTGCCTATTCTTGCTCCTTTTGCGCCTTTCTTTCCTCCGCCTCGTCGAGCATATCTTTGGCTGGCCCCTCAAGCTCTACCTTGGCCCAGAGCGTTCCATCATCATTCTTCTTCAATTTTCCTTCCTGGAGATTCCTCTCGCGGGTAGCGAGCATTTGGTCCCCAGTACGCTCCCGGATGTCGGGCGGAATATCCTCAATGGCCTTTTTGGTGTCGTGAAGCCTCCGAATTTCCAAGCTGCATCCCTCAAAGGACAGCGGGCACGATTGCGCCCAGGCAATGACGTCGTCAACGGTGGGAAACTCGATCGTGAAATAGCCCAAAATATCTCTGGATAGTGCGTGCTGGCTACCCCGCCTGACGGAAGACTTGGACGCGACCAGGGGCGGCGCTCCGTCGTCGGCGGCATCGTCGATACTACTCTCTTTGAGCTTGTCGTCGAGCTTTCCTTCCTTTACCTCGTCGGGCGTCTGAAAGTCGACCTTGATGCTGGTTTCCTCCGACGACTCGTCGAGAAAATCGGCGCCCTGCAGCCTCTCCGCTTTGATCTCTCCTTGCATCCAGTTGAAAAAGTCGCGGAGGATCCGCTCGTACAAGGGGTCGCCATGGGGTTTCTCGCCGTCATCAGACTCATCGAGTGCGGGCCGGTTGGCAAAGATGACAAAGACGGAGTATTTCGGCATCTTGAAGATAAAAAGTCTGAATGAAGTATTTATTTTATACAAGGTAGATAAATTCGAGGACGATTTTATCAGGCAGAAAAGACCAAGAGGAAGGTCAGGCCTTGGAAATATATACCATATTCATGCGACCGCTTACCGACAACATCGCTACGTCATGAGGGAAATGAAGGCATAATTCGCGAAAAACGCCATGTAGCGTAACGAATTAAAGATGCCGCTCATCTGCAGTGTATCAAGAAATCAGGATTTGTGTCTACAAGTGCATGAGTGTTTACACATTCCAAAGTGCCATGAATGTGCATGCGACAGCCTTGGGATTGGAGACGTCAGTGGTTCACGAATGGGAAGAATCTGGCCTAGAATTTGGCCCCCAACGGAAGTGACTAGAGTATCTACGTGTCTCGCGTATTATTCAATAGCGCATTTTATAGTGAACACGACCCAATTGCATGAAAATGTTTGGTGCACCTAGTCTAAAGCCCATGGGTTGAAAAGACTGCAGAATGACGTGATTTGTGAAAGGATGACCTGCACAGACAAGAGTCGCATAGTATCGGTCGTGGTTTTGCTTACAATTTCCTCAACGAAGGGGCAGATACAGGGTACTAGCTATTTCAATAATCATCGTGGAAAAAAACGTGTTCATCTGTTTATTTTGGTGTCTCCACACGGAATCAGCCATGTGAAGCTATAAATTTGAGCATCTCACCTTGCAACCAAGATGCTTGAGACAGGCTGATTTCAAACAGATTAATGTCCTTATTTTCTTTCTCAATGAACCATCTAGACACATCCTTACTCATTCATTGTTTCCGTCATAGTCCATGTTTTTGCATACCCTGACTTTCTTTCCTAATCCTGACCTGACGCGCCAACTTGACGTTTCGCTTCTTGACAACTACGAAGATGCCTATTCTTATTGCCTGCCTTGCTTATTTTCCTACGACAGAACTTGCATATCCAACTGTTATCGGGGATACCACAAAGTCCAGCCCAGTCTCTGTGGCTCGAGTGATAGTGCCCTCGGAGCTCTCGGTCGTACGCGGTCTTGAAGTTACACCCCGCTTGCGCCTCACATATCAACGGCTTGTCGTGCATCTTTCGATGCTTGCTGGAAATATGTGAGTCTACCTTCCCAGAAAAGAGGCATAGTAATGCACGCGGCAATAATCGACACCAGGAGTGAGGAAGCGTACGCCGCACAGCGGCGGGCAGATACAAGGAAAAACATGGTTCTGCACGGATAGATGGTTCCGAACTCACTTTTGATCTCGGCCAATCTTGTGCCATCTACGGCAGCACCACAAATGACCTGGGTTTGTTTCACCTGTCAATATGTTAGGATGGCGTTGATGAATGAGGCCAAGAATGTGCCTACCTTTGTCATTCACGGCCGACATCCTTGGCGGCTCGAGTTTATCGTTAGTTGACTCCTCGTTCTGTGTCACATTTTCATTCGCAACCATTTCATAACTACCCAATTCCGGACTCGCACGGAGTATAGCCGATGCACTCTGGTGCAAATCAGTGCTGTACACACGTGGCTCTGACCTGGCCTAAACACCTTGACCGAGCCGGGAAGAGGTGTTCTCGTGTGTGATGGTTGTAGACTGTGACTCATTGTAATAAATCATTCCAGGTGCTGTCCCTGGCATGTAATATTCCTGTTGCATCATCGGATCGAATGTTTGTGGAATTGAAGCCGCCGTGCTGAATGTGCTGTATGTGGTATGGAGGGGTGAATAGCATGCCACAGGCCCAGTATTTGTCGGGGAGGCATTTGAGCCAGGAGTGGACAGGAAAAGTTCATTGAGAGGTAGTGGGGGGTAGTCTTGGAAATCCAGAGGAGGAGGCTGATTTGGAAAGAAAGCATTCTGAGCTTGCAATCCATTATCCCCTATAGGTAGATTAAACGGCGAGAACTCCCCAGGATACCCTGTGGGAGTCTCGAGTGTCTCTAGAAGGTATGCATGTCGAGTTTAGCGAGTACATGGGAAAAGAATCAAAAGTTTGACCTACCGAGTTCTGAGAAGCTGCTGGGATCATCATCTAAATGGTAAAATTGGTCGTCGGCAAAGGTTTCTCCCATGATGGATGTGGTGTTGATAATCAAATCCAAACGATCATACTAAAACAAAAACGAATCATTTGACAGATGATGGGGATATCTAGGATATGCGAGATGAGCTTGGGCAGTACGAGTGCAGCTCAGATGACCATTTTGGAATTCAGGATTTCGGTCTATTATTATACTATGCCGACATCAACGGATGGCGATACCTTCACCAACCTCGTTGGCCAATCTTTGGTTGATTGGGTACTCTTCAGGTCTCTACGAATTGGGCCGAGGAACGCAGCTTAGTCACCTGATGGTCTCAATACCGATGACCGTCGTACAGCATGAAAATCCGGCACAGGCTGTGAGTGGCCCAAGAGTCGTGCAGTGCAGCTTATCAAACTTTAAAATAACACATTGAGATGCGGTGAGAAATCTAACGCAATTCAAACCCTTATCGCTCTACCAATCAATGGCTCGCCGGCCCGTTTCCAGCCTTCATTGGCACCACGCGTCGCCCCGGCGGTAGACCTCTTATGCGGGTAATGGTAGACCTCTCAAGCATGCACGGAAGTGCAATGCATTCGGAATGATCATGTTGCCGATGCAGAGACTCATGGTATCCCACGTTCTTGGGAGGCAATCCACAGCATTTTCCTGCTCGCTAAGAATATCTGAACAAATCTTGTCCCGTTGTAACAGCACATTGAGGTAAAACACCCACCATCAATCATTATCCCAGCACAATACACCAGATCCGATACAGCATCGCATCAACATGGATACATCCTATGAAAATTGCAAGTGTGGTTGTAACGAACAAACACATATCCAGACTCTGTCTGACCTTGTGCAATAGCTCCTATTGTCCCGTGGACGGTCAAAGCGCTTCTCAAATTTTACGAACCCGTCGTCCTGCTCAAAGCACTGACCATGGCGGCGCAGGAAACTGCCGTACCAGCAACACCTAACGACCTTCCCAGCACTCAGGACACAGCAGGCCTCTTCCGTAGTTTCGTCTACAAGCTCGCTCATGTCTGTGATAACACTAGTGGAGGAACGACGATGACGGCATTCACGATTCTCCGCACCGTCTCAGGTGGTGTTCGATACTTTTTCGCGTCTAATCAAAGGCTGCCGGGAGAGCTGGACGCAACACAGGAATATGTCGTCAGACTATTACGTCTCGTGAATGATTCTCCACCACGGTCAAAGATCACGGGTTTGGCAGAGGACGAAGTGCTCAAGGCCGTACTCTTATTCAACCAGAAGAGATTGACAGGTTATTTTAGAAGACTCGGGTTCCAAGCAAGAGATTGCTCAGACAACGCTTCCGCATTGGAGTCAAACAATGGTGCGTGGGGTTGATTTTCTTGCATCGATGATTGGGATCACTGATAATGAATCGGAGTAGAAGAGCTAGTCACCAGCAGTATTCGGAACTTCATAGAGTCATCCCAACTGGAAACAGCATTGCCGGCTGAAGGGTCTGAATGTAAGTAGATGTTGACGACCAGTTTCTTGGTATTTTCACGTTGATCAGAATCTGTAGTCGTTAACAGAATCGTGGAGTTGCTAAGATGCGTTTCCATCTTGTCGAAATCACCAGCCGGTGCGTTGATCCAAGAGCAAGCACGGCAAGGCCGCATGCTTGGTCACAAGAGCCAGGAATGTTGGTCAGAGTTTCAACATACTCTAAGCCGTATCATGGCATACATTGAATCCGTCAATTTCCTACGACAGGCCCAAAAGATCTGGCCGGTTCTGTTTAATCGTTACGAAGTCGTTGCTCTCCCCTCAAGTAAGCCGATCCCGAGACCATCGCGCCGAAAGAGCGAGACTGCCAGCGCAATCGTTGGGCGGATGACGAGAAAGCAGGAAAAAATGGATCTATTTCGAGACTATGTGGCATCACTGCAAAATTTCGACCTGGATGAAAGGCTGCGGAAGGAGTGGCGAAAGGATAGTTTCCGGCCGATTGTGCATGCCGAAATAGTGCTCTTGGACTGGTTAGAGCGAAACGGCGGTGTCATGAGCCAGAGGTTCTTCAACGACTGGAAATACATTGGTGGCAGTAAACCGACGTGCAAGCTCTGTCACTATTACTTCGAACTGCATGATGCGCGAGTGGGCCACAGATCAAGCCACGGCAATCTCTACCCTAGCTGGCGCTTCCCAGACGTTTTCGAAGTGCAAGGTGAGGAGGGCGCAAAGGCAAGGCAGGTCATGATGAGGCGAGTACTGGACAGGATTCGAGAGGATGCTTTTGCGCTGGTGGAGCAAAAGGTGCCAGCGAGTTACAAGCACCACGACTCCAACACATTCTCCACCATGTTCACGTTTCAAGACAGACTCACGGCCGAGGGAAAGAGCATAGATGGTACTCGTATGGATGAGATTGAGCGACTCATGAAGCAAACCATTATAGGAAATAAGTGATTGGGAACATTGCTTGGCGTTACCCAAAAAGACATGAAGCGCTTTGACTGGTGTATTTGTTCCTGACTAGAATCGGCCAGTGATGGTATGAGATGCCCTGAACTGGTACGACTGTTGACGAAGATGTAGTGACTGCGCACAATTGTACGTTGTTCTCCCCCGCTTTCTTGGCGTACGAGGCGCACGTGCTCTCTCTCTTCAATGTGAAGTCACCTTGTCGTTAGCGAGGGACAAGTTCCAAAAATAAAAATAAGAATCGTGATCTGGGATGCCAAAGTGTGTGGGAGAGCCCTACGGATGTCACCTTGTATATTCAATTCAGTCAAAAAATCTATAGGTCAAGGCCCTATATGCCAAATTGGGCGAGCTATATAGATGTTCCTGGTGTGTGTGATAACGAGGCAGTTGCCATTTTGCGACACTTGAATATAGATGACAACATCGCCCGGCCGAGCTCGGAAATTAAGGTTCAAGCTGCAATATACAGAAGCGCACAAGAGTCGCAGTGTGGACGATCCAGAGCGATGCTGGCGACTTTTGTTATTCCCGTTACCTGACTCCACTTGAGAAGAAATAGAAACGGTGGGACAAGGCCATTATTATAACATCACATGAGGCTCCAGGTCTGGTCTTAGGAGAAGGATCATGGCTTGATAAGGGGATGCTGAGTCTCGTCCTTCAAACGTCGCCGCAGATGTTGTACTGCTAGATACCACATTTCATTTTGGGATGCTTGGTCATGCCACGTGAAGGCGAGTTTATTACTTACCATCTCGATAACACGAGCAAGCTTGGGTTTTAATTAACACAATTGACAAGTTGGCCGGGCCATGTAGCGAATCAAAGGGCCACGATACCCCCGGAGATAGCCCAGGGCCTGGCTCGGACGAAACGTCTATCAAGCATTCATGTCTGAACGGGAAGGACGCTTCGGCCACCTACCCGAAGATGGACCAGATTCGGTTGGTGCCGATCCACAGCGTTGCAATCGCTATTTACATAGCACGGCGAGGATTCCACACAGACATCACATGTATCCCCCGCCAAAAGAAGAAGAATTAATCACCAGGAACAGACAGAGTTATATACCTGCTTTTGTCTTGGCAAAGAAAATGTTGTGCTAAAATCTTTAGTTTCGACTGATTCACTCGTTTTTCCCATGCGACCTTGATCCCTACCACTCATTGTGCAACCAAGTCATTCTTTTTTTCTGTTCTTTTCTTTCTTATTTGGGGCCAGGACAATTGTCTAAAAACCCGCCCGCGGCGATGGCTTGCATCTCCCGATACCTTGGACTGCTAGTGGCGGCCATAGTTGGGCTCGCCGCCCTTCAGTGCACAGAGGCCCGGCCATGGGCGGGGCATCATCCACTAATCAGTCGCGCGGACCCGCACCCTTGCGCCCAAGCTGCCCCGGCACAGACACAACTGGACCTGAACTCGACGGTGCTCAGCGTGCAGAGCCGGCCCTGGGGTATGGTGTACTTGGATGAGACGATTGCCTTTGCCGCCATCAACTTTTCCGTCGGGGTGCTCGACACCTCTGAATTCACGCCAAAGTTGAAGTATATGCTGCCGCTGCCGCCTGCCTTCCTGATTGGCAACGATGACGTCGACGAGGATGGCTACGGGCTTCGGGAGATGGCCTTGACCCACGACAAGGAGAACCTCTACGTCGCTACAGGATACGGCGCTGTTATCCTCGACGTTCCCCGTGCACTCTTGGGAAGGAATGATTCATATGTGGGAGTCCTCAGCAGCAACGGCGTCGCAGGGAGAAGCGCGATAGAGGTGTCCATCACCGCCGACGACAAATTTGCCTTTGTGAGCCAGGAGTTTGGAAGCAATACGACGCATGATCTCGGAGGCATCGAGGTCTGGGGTATTACTCGCCAGGCCAACCGAACCGTGACGAGCGTGCACAAGGGCTTCATTGGCCTGGGATTCCGCACCATTGGCCAACAGTTCTCAGCCGACCACAACAGATTGTTTGTCACCAGCGAGATCAACGGCACCGCGAGATCGCTCAACGAGACCGGCGGCATCATCAGCGTCCTCGACGTGGCAACGCTGCGTAATGTCCCCAACCAGTCCCTGGTCAAGAACGTTGCCGGAGGGTGTCATCCAGTCCGGTCCGTCATGTCGGTTGACGGGAAACAGCTCTGGGTCACGACGCGAGAGTCGAATCAAGTATTGGCCTTTGACGCAGTCAAGTTGGCAGATAACACGACCATGGATCCGCTGCTGGCTACACTCGGGACAGGCACATCACCCTTGGGGATCACGGCCATCAAGGACTACATTTTTGTTGCCGACTCGAACCGGTTCCTTTACAGCGGTACAACCACTGGTGTCTCAGTCTTCAACATTCGCGATGCATTGCAAAAGGGAACCATCAATTTCCCGCAAATACCTACTGGAGCCTTCCCGCGCTCGCTGGCGGCCAGTCCCAGCGGGAACACGCTGCTGGTTTCAGAGTTCAATGCTTCGAGCATTCGGGCAGTGGATATCCGCGCATTGAGCGCAGTGTAGTAAAGTGTATCTCTTGTAAGACGGGGAAAAGATGGTTGACTGTACATATATAAAGCTTGAGATATGCCCGTGCGGTTGCTTTGTCGCATTCAGTAAATAGTAGAAATTACAAGCACACTGTCATTAAGGTCCGAGCTATTGGCGCTGGTGCATCGCTGATCGAACCCCAAGTTGGCCTGCTAGAGAACACCGGGTTGATCCTTTAGCGCCTCTAGGCTCGCACTAATGATACTGTGCTCCAAAAACTGATCGACTGGTTCAGGGAAGCCAGATTCAGGAGAAGCTCAAGAGGAGGGGAAAAGTAATGCTCAAGGTAGATGAGAAGGAATCAACTTGGAATCTCTTCTTGATCGAGGTTTTTGAAAGTGCACGATGGTACGGCTCCTGGACCGCCACCAATGGTATACATGCCTGGTATACTCGTAGTGCGTCCCGGTAGGTGCTTCTTATATTCCTCGGAGCACCGCTGCCAAGCACATTTGCGTTGTGCGTCCCCAGTACCTAGGTACACTGCTACTCTGCAAATGCCCCCCAGTCATGGCAGTGACAGTTACAACACCACTGCCGAGCATCGTCTTGAAGAGAGGACTCAAAGTTGTCCATCGCCGAGGTCTGGCCTGGCATCAACATGTGCAATATAAGCCGAGACTCCAACGATATGATCGCCGGAAGTCATCAACCATTCGTCTCATGTGGCCCCTTCCACTGCAAAGGCTCGCAACTACCCCGGTGATTTGATACTCTTCGGGTGGCACTGTCTTCATTAGGCCAATGGTACAACAAAAAAGTGAACAATCCTTTCCTATTTCGCGGTTGTGGCTGATTTCCCACGTGTGCCTTGCTGAACAAACCTGGTCACACCCCCGCATTGATCTGTGCTGCGTGTGATTAAGAAAAAATCCTCTTTGCTTGGCATCATCATTGAACATAAAATATATGCTTCAACCGTCGCTCGCCATCTGACCTCCCCAGTTTATTACGCCCAAGGAGTTGAATAGGGCAGACGGCGACTGCAGAGAAAAGCCGTGACACGATCTCGTAAGTCTAGTAGTCCATTAACACGCAAAAGTGGGAAAGGCGCATCTGGATATCGCAGATCATCTTTCGCTAGTACTAACTGTCCGATTTTGGTTCAGGGATCGGGTTGCATTGAGCCCTATGAACAGCGCTGCAACGCACCGGCAGCATGGATTCAAATCAGGACCACAAGCTACAACTCATGTGGCGTTACCTGATACAACTCTGCGGTGTTCCGGGTTCGGAGGATGGGGGTGCTGCCTCCTGGCCACGCCTCACTGATATGACAACTGATGAGTTCCGGCACGAGCTCTGGAACTTTATTCTCGCCGAGCATCCTGATGCACTGGTTCTACGATTCCTTCGGGCTCGGAAGTATAACGTTGAAGCAGCTATGGCCATGCTTCTCTCTGCAGTCCGATGGCGCCGTGAAAGGCAATTGGACAAGACCGTGATACTGATAGGTGAGAGTGTTGGGCTCAAGGACGGACCCTCGGAGGATGACAAGGGATTTATCGCCCAGTATCGCTCAGGAAAGAGCTATGTCCGTGGCACCGACAAGGAGAATCGGCCAATTTATGTCATCAAAGTCGGTCTTCACGATCCCAATATGCAGTCAGCAGAAGCCATGGAGACGTATATTCTACACAATGTCGAGAGTATCCGATTCTTGGCCAAGCCACCACAAGACAAATTCTGTCTCCTCTTTGATATGACTGGGCTTGGCTTGAGAAACATGGATTTTCATGTTGTCAAGTTTCTTCTGCTCATCTTTGAAGCAAAGTATCCAGAAACTCTAGGCCTGGTTCTTATTCATAATGCGCCATTTGTATTTTGGGGTAAGTGATGGAGGGGGCATCGTCCGCTTTATTGGAATATCCCGGCTAAAATTTATGCCCAGGACTATGGAATATCATCAAGGGTTGGCTCGACCCCGTGATCGCATCCAAGATCAATTTTACGCGCAAGACAGGGGACTTGCTGAAATTCATCTCCGAAGAGAATCTCCAGTCAAATTATGGTGGGCGAGATGAATGGCAGTACAAGTACATTGAGCCTGAAGAAGGGGAGAATGCTAAATTGTCGGACGGGGAACAGCGAGGGGAGATTGAAAAGGAACGCGACGAGCTTATCAACAGATTTGAGCAAGAGACAATACAGTGGGCGGCCTTGCCCATTGACCAACCCAGCATGAAAAGAAATGAGACAGCAGTGCTGCTAAGAGAAAATTACTGGAAACTTGATCCGTATATCAGATCAACAACATATTACAAGAGAGCAGGAGTGGTGGATACCCAAGGCAATGTTGACTTTCACGCAGCTAAGTAGATGATCCGAGAAATGGATGGACTGCCAGGAACAATACGACGATAGCGCATATGCGGGCGGCTACGTGTATACGATAGGCCGACGAATCAATAGTGAGCCATCGGCCGTGCATTAGGCACATTTTGGTCGTGTCACCATTCGTACCGAGCCATGCGAACACTGGCGGGTATGTATTCGTGTAGGTCTGCAAATTGATTTGTTTGCGTGTTGGAGAGTTCCCTGCCAGTCTTGACAATTTTTCATGTGAAGCGATAGATGCGTGGTTTTCTTCACCTGGTGTGCCCAGATGACAAGCTTCCCTTAGCTTCCATGATGCGCATATACGATGAAGAGGCCCATGTCAATCTCGGCAGTAAATTGGACGGGCGGCAATGGAGCCGCAACGTGTTGGGCATGGCGTGGCGTCGTGTCGCATATGCCAACTAATCAGGTCAAGCTTCTTCCCGCATATCTACCCGTTCCCCATGGGGTTGCGCCTAGTCCCGCCGAAATTGGTGCAGAACTTTGGAGAATGGGTTCATTGCGCGGTTCCGGCTCCCCCGCTCAGGTGGACCGAATGGCATGAAAATTTGGGGAAAGGAGGAGGAGAGAACACGCGGTTAACCTCTGGGATCTCGGGACTTTGGGAGCTATCATGTGATTAAACTCTGTTTGCAATCATGACAAACGCTCGGATGATTGGCCCAACCGGTGTCAATGGACCACGAATCCGGCATAGAAGACGGTTCTGCCTTTGAAGCGCACAAATCGGCGTGGTTGTTTCTCGGATCGCGGCCTATTGTCCTGGTTGGATGGCTAGAGGGCCGTATAGTCCAAGGTCTTTTCTTTTTGCCCCCCATGCCATGGTTACATTTTGCTGGCAAATAGCTCCAAATGTACCTGCTTTTTCGAATGGTCCCCAGGCCCACGAATGAGACGGAATCTTTTATTCCACCTCTGATGCCTGCCCCGACCAGTGTCACGAGGCCTTCTTTCATGCGACGCTACAGACTGCCAGTGCTGTTCCCAAAGTTGATGTCTTGGGCCGCTCCAGATGCGCTGGCCTTGATGGCAACAACTATTAACGAAAGGGAATAAGACTCGTCTGGGTTATTATTGGAGCGGAAATGCTAGTCACTCCGCAGTATGCGTTGATTAATTTGGATGATCCAGATCCCGAGTATAGAGACGCCTGTTATAAATAGACGGGGCCAATACGGCTTTTCGGTAACGATTTTCATGGAGTAGTACAGCACACTCGTATCCATTGCTCTTCCAGTGTTCGCGGAACCTCATCTGGGTAAACATGTTCCCTCGATCAAGCCTCAGGCGAACCGGTGCCTACGCACTCGGCCTCGCTGCCACGACTTCTCTCGTGGCTGCTGGACCATGCGACATCTACTCATCAGGAGGTACGCCTTGTGTTGCTGCTCACAGCACAACAAGAGCCTTGTACAGCGCATTCAGCGGCGCCCTCTACCAGGTGAAGCGCGGCTCTGATGGTGCCACCACGACCATTTCGCCAGTCTCTGCCGGTGGCGTCGCAAACGCCGCGGCCCAGGACACCTTTTGCGCCAGCACGACTTGTCTCATCACCATCATCTATGACCAGTCCGGCCGTGGCAACCATCTGACTCAGGCCCCGCCTGGTGGCTTCAGCGGCCCCGAGGCCAATGGATACGACAACCTGGCCAGTGCCATCGGCGCGCCTGTTACCCTGAATGGCGCCAAGGCATACGGTGTCTTCATCTCGCCCGGCACCGGCTACCGCAACAATGCTGTCAGCGGTACGGCCACTGGCGATGCTTCGGAAGGCATGTACGCCGTCCTGGACGGTACCCACTACAACGGTGGCTGCTGCTTCGATTACGGCAATGCCGAGACCAGCAGCACCGACACGGGCAATGGACACATGGAGGCCATCTACTACGGTGACAACACCGTCTGGGGAACCGGCTCGGGCAGCGGCCCGTGGTTCATGGCCGACCTCGAAAACGGTCTGTTCTCGGGTGCCAGCTCTGGTCAGAACACTGCTGACCCTTCGCTCTCTTACCGGTTCCTCACGGCAGCCCTCAAGGGTGGACAGAACGTGTGGGCGCTCCGCGGTGGCAACTCTGCCTCTGGCTCATTGTCAACCTACTACAATGGCGCACGCCCCAGTGCGTCGGGATACAACCCAATGAGCAAGGAGGGTGCCATTATCCTTGGTATCGGCGGCGACAACAGTGTCGGTGCCCAGGGCACATTCTACGAGGGCGTCATGACGACTGGGTACCCGTCCGATGCCACCGAGAACTCGGTGCAGGCCAACATTGTGGCGGCGAAATACGCCACCACGTCGCTGACCAGCGGCCCCGCCCTGACCGTCGGCTCCTCCATCTCGCTCCGGGCCACGACATCCGGCTACACGGACCGCTACCTCGCACACACGGGCGCCACCGTCAACACCCAGGTCGTGACCTCGGCCAGCTCCACTACCCTGAAGCAGCAAGCCAGCTGGAAAGTCCGCACCGGTCTCGGCAACAGTGGATGCTTCTCTTTTGAATCCACCGACACCTCGGGCAGCTACCTCCGCCACTACAACTTTGAGCTCCAGGTCGCCGCCAGCGACGGCACCAAGCAGTTCAACGAGGACGCCACCTTTTGTCCGCACACGGGCCTCAACGGCCAGGGCAACTCGATTCTGGCCTGGGGCTACCCTACTCGCTTCATCCGCCACTACAACAACGTGGGCTACGCGGCGAGCAACGGCGGCGTCCACACGTTTGACTCGGCCACGTCGTTCAACGACGATGTGAGCTGGGTGGTTGGCACCAGCTTTGCCTAGATCAATGTTGTTGGACGAGGACCTACCAAACTGTCAATGGCCCCCAAGCGGCCGCTATCAGCAGCAATATTTATGCATGGTTCATGATTTCTTGACTTATCTTCCCCTTTTGAGTAACAGGTCGACAGTTCAGAGGAGCGGTACGCGCGGTGCCTAATCCGACTGGTATCTTGCTCTCTAATTGGATATAGTTTGCCAAGCTGAAGCCTCAAAAATAGCGCAGTTTCCGGGACCTAGGGGCCACTTGGAGAAGTAGGCGCTATCCAAAAAGAGAACTACGTACACCCAGCATTTGGCGATTGATCAGCGGCAGTGGGGGTGTATTTTGGCCACGATGTATTATTGGAGGCACGGCCAAGGATCGGCAGGTCTCAGTAGTCCTAGATACCAAATAAAGTGACTGCTTGCCGTCATCAGCTCTTGTCTTGCTTTCGCGGTTTACTTGCAATTGTCCAGGTTTCAACAGACGCTTGGGTTGAATCACCATAAACATATTTCAAGATGGACGCTTTGCAAAAAAAGTCAATCATTACTGCCCGTGGGTTCACGTATACTTACTATGTATCCGACCCCGCCCAAGCTTCAAAGGACGCCCCTACTTTGTTCCTGATTCACGGCTTCCCGGATGATGCCCAACTCTGGGATGGAATCGTTTCGAGGCTGCCCCAATACCGCGTCATCGCGCCCGATACGCTCGGGTACGCTGGCACCTCGAAGCCCACGGACCCTGCCGCGTACGAGTTCGGCGCCATGGCCAAGGACCTGGCCGAGATCCTGGACGCTGAGGGCGTCGACAAGGCCGTCACCGCCGGTCACGACTGGGGTTCCGCCGTCGCGCAGCGCTTCTACGTTCACCAGCCCGAGCGGGTGTCGGCCCTGGTGCTGTTGAACGTGGCCTACTCAGGACCGGCTACTGAGCCCTTCGACCTCGAAGCTACCAATGCCTTTTTGGAAAAGACGTTTGGTCGCCCCCTCCTGGCGTACCAGGAGCTGTTGTTAAGCAAGGAGGGGCCAGAGATTATGAGAAAGCACGTCGGCCGCCTGTACGACGGCATGCACGGCGCGCCCCGCGACTTTTTCGGCGAGCTCCTAGGCGTCCGGGGCAACTTTAAGAAATGGCTGCTCAACGAGAACAATGACTGGGACGTCGAGGTTCGCGACTACGCCAAGGACCCCGAGCTCAAGCGCCTCTACGTCGAGAGGCTGCAGCGCGACGGTTTTGAGGCGCCCATTTGTTATTACCGCGGCAACAAGGAGCACATCCAGCATGCCGTGGAAAAGGATATGCCGCGCGAGAGATTCGTGGTCAAGGTGCCGATGCTCTACTTTATCTGCTCCCAGGATGCAGTGTGTCGGCCAGAGGCCATGATCCCCGCCAAGCTTGGCGGGCTCGTGCCGGATCTCGAAGAGGTCACCATTGATTGTTCGCACTGGAGTCCGCTGGAAGCGCCGGGGCCAATTTCTAGTGCTCTTGATGATTTCGTCAAGAGAAAGGTGATTTCCTAAGTGCTCCCAGTAGTGGTGGCTCGGTACATTACATTTCTCGAGATGGTAGAGAACCGTGTACAATTTCGGGTAGCACGGGATACCTAGTTTTAATACCGGCTTGTTTGCACCCTGGTATGGCTAGTCTTCATAAATGAGTCTGACGATGACACATCATTGATAACAAGAGGGAGAAAAAAAAAAATAGTGTCCCTGACACTTGACCAGCCCGACAATGATGCAGCCATGTTTCTAGAAATGATAAAGAAATTTTTATTGACTGTATTCGATGCCATCAATACCAGTCAATAATTGAAATCAAGAGGATGGACATGCAATGAGTTGATCTAGACTTTGGTGGCCTGCAAAATAGCTGTACTCGAGTTTGTGCATTCAAAGCGGGTTGGCTGACTGTACCCCAACTTGACGGACGCGGGCGGTTTTAGTGAGATTGTGTCATGTAAGGCTGCTAGCAGCTTCTGAAGGTTGGTGCCGTGTCAGCTTGCGCTTGAGTGCATTCCAGCAGCACTACGGACTTCTAGTACTTACCCCAGCGTGCTGCGGCCCCCGTCGTTTTGCATGCCCCAAACCCAACAAATTGAACATTATTCATTCAACAACATATCCTCATCTGTCATCCTTCTCATCATATATTTCGCATTATTCTCTTCGTACTATCCTCGATATCAACTTCAAAATCAATTGAAGTGCAACGAACATGCATCCGAAAGTAAGAACAGCCTGCGACAGATGTTACGTGCTGAAAGAGTAAGAGCTTGACTTGTCCTCATTTTCTCCTGATGGAAGGAAGACTGGAGCCCGCTGGCGTGGGGGTCTGGATATCCGTACTGTCTAACTCGACTATGGAAAGGCCAAACCTGTAACCGGCGACCAGCTCAATATTTCTTGATTCCGTCATCATGATCTGCTCATGCTATAAGTTTGATTGCTAATATTCTTTGAATTACAAGACGATGCCAACGTGCAACACCCTCTGCCGAATGTGGGCGATGTGAGCGGCTGGGCTTGGCGTGTTCGACAGTCCGACCTGTCCGGCCGGTCGGCCGCAGAGCACATAAAAAGTACGGGACGGACAAGAGACCACAGCGAACCCAGCCAAAGACGGACCAGATTTTAACCGGCCTCTCTGACCATGATCCGGAAGAAAAGGCGCTACTTTCCTTTCTTCTCGTCCAGCCTGGTTCTCTGGATCATTTCGTCGTCTGTCCAAGCTTCCAGGCTGAGCAACAACACTCACTAGCTGTACAGCTACCAACCCTGCCATTGCTCAAAGATGCATTTCTTGCCTGTGCAGCCACGTTGAAGCACCTACAGTCGGGCAACGCTGATGATCTTGATGCTGAAGCTAGCATTCGCTACATATCGAAGGCTGTAAACGCTCTGCGATCGCTGCCTGCGTCCTGCCTACAGGATGCAGCCGTGTACCATCAAGTGGGCAGTCTTCTTGCTTTCTCCATACACTCATCCATCGGTGCAGGTGTTGCAGAAATCTCCCGTTACTGTCTAAGTGCAGCAAGCTCAATCTACAATGAAGTTGAGTCTGGTGCACATACCGATCCGTGGCAAAGCTTCCTCATTTTACAAGAAACCATGGACTGCATCCTTTACAGACAGAAACCAACAATCAGAATCAACACGTCGGCCTCTTCAGTGGTCGACCGTCGTCTTGGACTCTGTCTTCCATTGTTGCCTCATTACCAGGACCTCTGTGTAATCAGTAATTCAATCCTTTATGCAGCAGACGTCAATGAATTGGCTCGCCTACAAAAGCAGTTGGATGATATCCGCCGTGTTGTGGAACCATGGCAGCCCCCGAATATGGATCAACTTCTGGAACGATTCGAATCTGCGGAAATCGTCCACCTTCTTGCGCAAGCCAAGCTGTATCGACTGGGGGCGCTTCTTCTGGGACACCGCCTGCGATATCCCTTTGGGCAACAAGATGCGCAAGGCCAGATATGGTCCAGGGAAATTTTCATGGAGCTAGAAATGGCAAAACGTGTCACGAAGCGAACCATGCGGTTCGTGACGCTACCATTCGTCATCGCAGCCGTCGAAGCTCAAGGGGAGTTATTGCGCCTTCAAGCGCTCCAGCTTGTCCATGACTGCGTAGACCAGTACGCCCCATCCCTGCAAAAGGTGACTAAAGCATTTTTGTCACGAATCTGGCATGAGAGGGACATGAATCTAACAACTTGTTGGTTCGACTCTACATATAAACCATGTCCAATCTTGAATTCTATCAATGGATCATAGACCTTACAACCAGGCTATGTCGCATACGCTCCCTGAGATGACTCGAGACAATCTACCCTTTCACTAAGCTTTGCTTATGATTGATTAAATCCAGTACCTCCACCACCCTCATAAGGGCCTCGTCTCTGTGCCTGTATCCCACGACCTGAACAGCAACCGGCGCGCGCTTGTACTGATCGGGTCCGGTATCTAAGCAAGGCAAGATCAGTCAAAGTGCCAATACGTGGGATATGAAACATTCACTCACACAGACTGTACATCTCCTTGTCCTCAGCGCCAAATTCGGCGCGGGTCAAGTCATCAGCATGGTCTATATCTGCCACCTCATCTACTGGGATCACCACAGCTGGAAAGTCGAGGTAATTCCATAAACTGGTATATGTCGCCGTTTTCCAGCAATCGAGAGGGAGTGCTGTGTGCTGCGAGGGGGGCATAATGATTGCATCTATCTGGTTATCACAAAATAACTTCAGATATGCTTTGGCAGCCTTGGATCGACGGTCGTTGAGATTGAAGAACCCCTCTAGCGTAGTGCCTGGTACCGACAAAAGGCCAGTCGCCTTAAGGGACGGGATGACTGGTTCGCCTGTTCGCGCGAACTGTTCTTGGTAGTACTGGTCCTGTTAGTTGCCGCCTTGTTTCTACACAACGATGTATGCCCTTCTTACATTATTTCCCAGTAGCATCATATAAGCGACAAGATCCCGGTAGATTTCCAGAACGCTAGGTAGGTCGATTGAAATGGTCTCAACTCCATCAGTGCTGTTGAGAAGATTGACCGCCTTTTGCAACCCCCGTCGTACTGGCGGCGTCGGAGTGTAGATGCCGTCATTCTGTACGACGCCAATTCGAAGCTTGCGCATACTTGGGAGACCTTGCCACGGAAGCGATATTGCGGTGCTGTCATATTTCCAGGTGTCTGCCTGGAGTATCGCTTTGAGGAACAGAGAGCAATCTCGAGCTGAGGTCGCCATGGGTCCGGCTGTGGAACGGACTCCGTCAGTCCCTGGCGGAGTGAGATCCCTGACTCCGCCGTGAGGAATCAACCCTACACTCGGTCTGAACCCATAGATACCGTTGCATAGCGAAGGAATGCGAATACTGCCAGCAATATCCGTCCCAACGCCAAGAATGCTCCCGCGGAGGGCAATGAGAGCGCCCTCACCTCCCGTGCTTCCACCAGCCGTGAGAAGAGTATTGCGAGGATTGAGTGTCCTTCCAAAGACATTGTTGTGACTATCTCCAGTCATTATCGCCTGGGGTAGGTTTGTCTTGCAGTACAAGACAGCTCCTAAATCAATCAGCAGTGCAGCAAGTGCGCTATTGCTCTCTGCCGGCTGATCAACGTAGCAACCGAGGCCAGTGGAGGTGTCATATCCAGCAACGTCAAAACTGTCCTTGAGAGAGATTGGCAATCCAAATAGTGGAGGCAGGGCCTTGGAATCGAGGTTCGAAATGAACTGCCGGTCAAGATCTTTCGCCCGCTCGATGGCTTCGTCAAAGAAGATCTCCGTCAAGCAATTCGTCTGTGATGCGTTCATAATTAGCGATATGCACTGATTTATAAGTTCTTGGCGGACATACCAATTGCTGAGCAAGAGCGGCTCTTTTGCAAAAAGCTACAGTCACTTGCTCGACTGACCAGACTCTAGCCTTGAGCTTTTCGAGAAGAGCAGTCGCGTCGTAGTCGGAAGTGATTTCGATTTCTGTATCGCTCAGCACGCCACAGTGCAGTGGCACGTCCATGAGGTAAGTCATGCCCTCGAAGTTTTCCATTGGGATTCGCCATTGATCCGGGATCTTTTCCCATTGCTGTGCTTTTTTCTCAGCGGCGATCAGCTGGTAGTTTCTATTCGCCGATGGCATTTTCGAGTCTGCGCTATGTCGATGGACACAAAAGACTTGGTTCAGTCACCAGTGATTGCAGTTGGTGGTGTTAGATTATTATTATTTCCCATCCTCACTCTCACTTCTTCTGGTTTCTATTTATCATTGCGCTCTTTTCGGTGTTGGGTCACATTTTGGAAGAATTTGTACACGTCAAAAGCTCCGGCGAGGTCCTGGTTCCGGCTCCGGTTCAGTTCCATTCGGGCTTCGGCTTCAGTAGGAATTGGCGGCGACGCATTGGATAAATAACCTTCTAATTCCTCAGTTCCCACTCAACATTAGCGGCGGCGATTTCAGACAGGCATTAGGTTCGATACTCCATAAAGAACCAAAACTCAACAATCCCATGTGTATGTACTATTGTCATTAAATTCAACAATTCCAGCAGCTCTGAATCCTCCGGTCAATCTTCCGGTTCAACAGGGGCGGGCCAGTAAGCGCGGAACCTTTACATTATTGGTTGTGCTGAGCCGGTTGGGTGGATCCCCTAGATTGTCTATGAGAAATCGGACTGCAGCACCTCAGCCAATGAAGGTGACACAACAGAGGATATACTGTGTAAGTGTGATATTTCTCTCATTTTTCTTACAATCGCCACGTTTTGTCTGAAATCGTCAATTACTTTGATGCATTCAAATGGACTTGAATAGCTGATTGGGATAAACTATTTATAGGTCGGCGTTATGGATATTCTAGATCGCACCATAACGCATTGCATCCGCAGGTAAGCACCAACTGCATTAGCGCTGCAAGATGGACAACCAACGCCTTCGACAGCATGCGGGCGCGTGGCTTTTCTCACGTCTTGACGTATTTCACTTTACTTTGATAGGTAGCAAGTTTGTGCTTCCATACGTGTGTTTATGCTACATATGCTGACTTTGTTTCTTTCGAGTGGCATTAAACCAACTAAAGCTTGAAAGTCAGTGGCTCAAGCCCAGTTTCACCAGTCGTTCAATATGACCTCTCCAACTCGCACATGGCTGATTACAGGCTGTTCCAGTGGCTTTGGTGAGCTTTTCGTCCGACAGCTTCGCGCATCGGGCGACAATGTCATTGCTACAGGACGGAACGCAGCTGCACGACTGGCTCATTTGAGAGACACTGGTGCTAGCATTCTGGACCTCGATGTCTCGGCTCCGCAAGATGTCATTGATGCCAAAATGGCCGAGGCTTGGGACATGTACCCAGGCGGAATCGATGTCGTCATCAACAATGCGGGCTACATTCTAAGCGGTGCTATTGAGGAACTGACGTAGGTCATGGTCCATTGTCATGTCGCCAGGTACTGCTCAAGAATAATAATCGAACTCGTGCTTAGTCAAAAGGACATGGAAGACGCCTTCAAAACCAATTTTCATGGCCCTCTTAATATCACGCGGGCTCTGTTGCCCAAGATCCGCGCCAAGGGCCAGGGAACACTGCTCTATATGAGTTCTCAAGCTGGGTGGCATGCGGACCCTGGAGCAGCGGGTTACTGTGCAACTAAATTTGCACTCGAAGGTAGGACCACCAATAGAACTTGCACACCAAAAGCCAAGCTCACGTATACGGTCAGGTGCTGTCGAGTGCCTGGCCCAGGAACTCGCAATCTTTGCTCCCGGCGTCAAGGTTCTCATCGTCGAGCCCGGATACTTTCGCACCCGCGCCTTTGCCAACATTGACCACGTGCCTCCCCGAAATGGTGACTATGCCGACTTCAACGCTGCGGTACGCGGTGTCGAGGCTGGTATAGTGGGAAAGGAGCCCGGCGATGCAGAGAAAGCCGTATCGATTATTATTGATCTGGTTCGAGGCACTGGCGTTGCGGCGGGAAAGGAGATCCCGCTGCGCATCCCACTGGGGAGTGATGGGTGGTCCAGAATCAAAGCCAAATGTGAGAATACGATCAAGATATGCGATGAGTGGGAGGCAGTTGCGAAGAGCACAGATTTTGGCGCATAGCAAGTATGAAATACAGATTAAGCGAATGCTTTAGAGGGGTATTGAAGGTAAATGTAAACTAGGTAGTGTCGACCCATATCTTATGATATGCATGCGTGGTTAGACAGGAAGTTCATGGTCAATGTGCTCGCTCCAATATTTTCCCCTGAGCTTCATTTTTCACGTCGGTCCCCACAAGCTCACCACTGTGCAGACTCTTTCCACGGTCTTTTACGCTCTTCCATTCGAATAGCAGCGCCGGCACGATACTGAAGGCTGCAATGGCTGTCCCGACGTAGAATGTAGTCGTGATAGCTTTATTGTACTGCAAGAGCACCGCATGCAACAAATCCGCCGGCACATGGGAGCGTAGATCTGTAGCACCAACATGCGCCAACGCTTGAGCCCTCTCCAGCGCCATCAAGGTAGTCAAATTCTTGACGAGCTGCTGAATGAAGACGTTTTCTGCGGCGCACACAAAGACTGCGCCGCCAAGCTGCTGTCCAAAGAACATGAGGGATGCGCCGACTGGTACATCAGTCTCATCGAGCACCACTTGCGCCGCCAATCCCGATTGCTGCATGCCCATGCCCATACCAAAACCTGCCAACGTCTGGTAGCCAATCCACTCGGCATTGGGACTGTCAACGCGCAGCCGCGTCATGAGCCCCGCGCCAATGGACATGAAAATAGAGCATGAGATGATGCACGGTGTGTAATGACCTACTCTGGCCACAAATCCACCAGCCAGAATGCTACTCACGACCAGGCCCAGGATAAATGGCAGATTCCGAATGCCGCTCTGCAATGCGTCGACCCCGTCTATTGCTTGGAACCAGATTGGCAGATAATACCCCATGGACAGCATGACACCGCCGATGCACGCAGAGTACAGGACACCGGCAATGATGGAACGCTGGTGAAGGACATTTATTGGCACCGTTGCTCTTTGTTTCTGCCAATATTGCGACCAGAGCCACGTGATGAAGAGTACACCGAAGAGTACGAGCAGTGCAATAACGCGCTGGTCATTCCACGGATAATCGGTCCCGCCCCACTGCAGCGCCAACAGCAGACAAATGATGGACGGGGCAAAGAGGAAGTTTCCAATGGGATCCAAACGAAGCAGCTTCTGTTTGAGTGACAAACTAGCCTGCTGTGGAGGCGGGAGGTGAAGGAAGAGGGCAATGATCAAGATGGATAGAGCGCCAATCGGGAGATTGACGTAGAAGCACCATCGCCAGGTGAGATGCGGATTCTTGGTAAAGGCGCCGCCAATCAAAGGACCAACCACGGACGATACACCAAATATCGCGCCCAGGAAGCCTTGATACATGGGCCGTTTCTCGAGGGGCGCCATGGGAATCATAATGACAATGGTCCCGGAAAAGACACCGGCAGATCCGCACCCAGCAATCACGCGCCCGAGGATAAAGGCGACGGAGTTTGGCGCTGCTCCACAGACTGCCGACCCGATCTCAAAGAGCATCACGGCCGAGAGAAAGACCACCTTGTTGTCGTAGAACATGTAGAGACGCCCAAAGAGAAGCTGCGTTACACAGCCACTGAGGACATAAGCGCCTCCATACCAACCAATGTCCTGGATTGAATTGAATTCGTCCGTGATGGTGGGGATGGCAGTTGATATGATGATGCGGTCCTACAATGTAGTCAGGCAATCACGAGCACCGAAAAGAAAAGGGCTCATTGGTACATGGGCTCATACTAGTGCTACCAAGAACATGGCCAAATATAGAGCGACCATGATCAGGCCGACAGTTCGCAGAGGGGGATACTGGTCAGACTGTTTGATCTCGTTTTCGCAGTCAGTCTCAATATCTATTTTCTCGAAGCGGTTGAGTTCAGACCTGCCATAGGCGGTCTCAGCTGATCCTGGCTGCCCGTCCATTGATGATGTTTCAATCACTTTTATCGCTGGCGATACCATTTCTCGTTGTTTGAAGCAAAAAGATCTCTGTTGATGATTCCACAGAAATATCTTTTTTTCCTGTCTTGAAGAAAGCGTTACATTTAATAGGTACTTTCATCCTTGTTCAATCTATTTGAAAGGCTCTATAATTGCGGCAAAGTTGCGTTGAATGTCCCGAAAGTTGCGAAAAGCCCGGAAAGCTCCGTGGAAATCCCCGCGCTGCCCATGTACAATTTACCAACATGCTCCAGGTGTCCCGTGAACGTTAGTCTCACTGATTGAATAATCAAGATTAATCCTAACGACGAACGACTAGCAGTGCAGGGTGCCCGGCAAATGATTCTTCCCTATTGTTTCGTCTCACGTAGAATTCATGAAGTCCTGACTCTGCAATACCCCGTCTCCTTGGAGAAAATTGTCCCAAAAGTCCCAGTCTACCATCATCGATGCATCCATGTCAACGTTTGTAAACTGCTGTTTAGCTGCCTCGCTAGTCTTGTCGAGAATGAAGTCGTACTCAGAATCTGCTCTTAGTCGAGAGCGCAATTGTGTAATGATGGGAGGTTTCTGCACCGGCACAATTCCAGTCTCTACTAGACTAGCTTCCCTCGTTTTCCAGGCCTTCAAGACCAGTTTGGAGACTTCCAGGCTCAGTTCACTTGAACCTTCCCCGGAAAGCGTCGGATGATGGCGAAACACGTCGTCAATCAGTCTCCAGGCCTTTTCCACGTCCGGCCCCAGCTTTTGTCGGCGGAGCTCAATCAACATGAAGACAAATGCATCAAGTTGAAAGAAAACATCCGTGTGCCATCCGAAGCTGTCTAGAGATCTGATTGACTTTCCAAGAACGTCGTACTCGACCATTTTAAGACTGTTGAAGAAAAGCATGTCATGTTCCGACTCGGGTATGGACGTGCCGCAGGCGTACTGTGATGGGTGGTGTGCCATGAGCCGCATCTTGCAGAGGGCCGACCGAGCTCCGCCAGACGCCACCAAGTGAAGCGGCGATGCCATGTCACAGTACCGAAGGTATTTAGACTCAATTCGGTCCTCGTACTCGTTGATCAGACGATCCTTCTCCTCAAGCGACATCTCGCGGCTGTAGAGTATCGGTGCGGCCGTGCTCAGGAACCGCCCCAGCTCGTATCGCAAAAGACAGAATATCACCTCGGTAGGGCCATTGTGCACGGCAGGCTCCTCGAGCATGTCCGGGCCGAGGTCTGCGTCGTTGAAGTTTCCCGGCAGCCAGAAGTCGGCGGCGTTGGAGAACTGCTGGGTGCTCTGCGATCCCGCCAGCTGCGCGCCGCGGCCGTCAATCAGCAGGATCTGCCACCATAATCTTCTATGCATCTGTATTTCAAAGATTGACAGGTCGCCCCGCGGAGGGTTTTGATGTAGACCGAGTAACTGGCCCATTCTGACTGCCGTTCCTGAGAGGAGCCATGTGTTCTGGGGATTGCACAAATGACGTGCGGCAATCTGTATAATCTTAAGGGCAAGTTGGGTAAAAGGCTTCTTGAAAGATGTGTCTTACAATGTAGAGCGTGAAAGCTTGCAGCAACATGAAGCTTGGTGTTCTCATAAGTTCAGCCACTTGTAGAGCCTGCTGAGTGGCAAATAGATAACTAGAAAGTAATGTCTTCTGGGGTTTTCCAAAGTTATTCTGACACTCAACATCGCTCATGGACATGACAGCTGCAGTATAGATTGCAAACAGTAGGGCCACTGTTGGACGATCTAGGGTAGCGGGGCCTCTGCCTGCTTCGATGATATACGACTGCATCGTAGGAGCATGTATCACTTTGGAGAGCGGGTTGACATTCTGGAGAAACGATTGCCACAGAATCGAGGCATGTGCTGCCGAAGGATAAAGGTCCTGATAACCACTGTCCCTTGGAGCCGAGCTTAGAAGCAGAGCACTCGCGTCTGAACTAGGGCCCTCCAAAGCCGTCAGTGTCGCGCTGTCTGGGCTCTGCGCCTTTGATGTCATTGGCTCTGTGAACTGTGTCATTTGGATTCGTCAGCATCAACACAAGACATCCGACAGACGCCAAGACGAGAGTCGCGTACCTCATCAGAGAGCCCCTGCCACAAATTTCTATGGGCAGTCATCACCATTAGATAGATGATCACAATCTCTAGGGCGACTCTTACATACTGCCCGAAGCTGGGGACTGGTCCAGATGCACCAGTGACATTGCGATGAACAGCAGCCGGTGATGATATGGACTGTGTGGTGGCACTGTCTGGCACAGCCGGATAACGTCGCCGAGTATACTGTGCCCGCGTACTCGCAACGCATTCCAGGCCCGTCTCAATGCAACTAAACGAGAGATGAGAACAGCATATTAGTATGGTGTAACCTTGCGACGGCTCACATGGGAGAAAAGTTACCTTGAACATGGCAATTCCCGGTTACAGCGGACCTTGCGCTTCTTGCAAGCTATGCATGAATAACGATGCTTTGACAGCGACGGCGGGCCAGCATTCCCCTTGGCATGAGTCGCATCGTGGCCGATTGCGCCAGAGTTTGGAGAGGGGTGGTATTTGCGGCTAAGGGGTTGTGGGACATCGCCAACAGCCAGATAACCGGAATGTGCCAACTTAGAAAATCAGATTTGATGAGGCGATATTCCGTGGTAGTGTGACATCTCCCATCAGCATGCAGACCGCCTGGTCGTCGTGGCTCTGAGAACGCGGCTGGTCAGCTGAGGAAACCCTCTGACAAACCGGGACTTGACAGCCACCATTGTGCTGTGCCGCTTCCTCAAGGGTTCTCGTGCATATGCGGGTTCGATCCCTCAATTCTGGTTGCTTCATTGCCGGCACTAGGCAGCACATAATTCTCGTAATAATTGTCTTGCGACCTTGATTATCGTCTATTCTTGCACTTCTATGATGGAGCTGGGAGAACTCTCTCTATCGTATGTCATTCCTCAGGTCTAGTCCCATCGCAGCCCTCATCACGTTCAAGGGATTACCCAGACTGTATATTAGTGTGAGTGTTGGGCTTGGAAAATACAGACTCTGGCCGAACTCCTGAGCTTTTAAAGAAGCGAAATTCTTGATACGATACCACGGCTGTCCAAAGTGCGAGCATCCTAGTGCACGATTCAGTCTCAGTAAAGACAGCAAGCTGGCAGGTTGGCCGCATTGTCAACACTTACATGAGAGCTACAGCCAGCAATACTATAATCCAGCTCAATCCACAGCTGGCCCCTTGGCAGAAAGTGGATATGCCCATAAATGTGACGATGATCACCACAAACCAAAAGAGGATTTCCATGAAATTCAAGACAGAGTACGCCTTGAGGCTCGCCCATTTCTTGTATCGTTGTACATGGGTGGTCACGAGTTGGTACGTGATAACAACAAAGGTTTTGATGCCCTAACAGCGTTTAGTACACAAATCTAGGACCTGCGTTTGGAACTTGTTACCATAACGATCCCAATGGTGTCTGCCCTCGTCGTGGGAATGCCTTTTGGCTTGACGGCTACGCGTGTGCCCGAGAGGATAATCATGAGCACAACTAGTAAAAGCTGGACAATATGGACTTTCTTCTTGTGGTGACCATCAAAATAGGAGCTGCCAAGGAAACTGCGCACATTGTCCATCCAGAGGCGAAGTCGGTCCATGTTGTCACAGGCGTGATTAAACTGGCTGATATTATGAGAAGTTGTGTGGTCAAGAGATCAAGAGTAAAGTTGAATGTTTGCTATGAACAAAATGATTTATCTGTGCTCAAAAATCAATTGGTATAAATAACGACCGGCATTCTAAAGAATCTGAGGAAAAACAAACCAGTCTAGGCTGCAGTATTTCCAAAAAGCTTGAGATCACCATTTTACTACATGTGGAACAAGTGAAACTGACGAAATGCGACAAACGCGATGGATGCGAAGAACGCGACAAACCCGAAAATCCCGAGAATGGGCAATGCTATCCGCTATCGTCCATATTAACCTTAACAGTTAGGCTAGCTGAAACTTGGATAATGGCAGCGCTAAAAACATGAATACTCTCTTCCGCATACCCATCAAGGATGTCATTTGTTCGGGAAGGCAAAAGCTTTCTTGACTGTTCAAAACGCCACGGATTTGGGTATGCCTATCGGGAAGTAAATTCAACCAAAAGAACAGTTTAAGAATCAATATGCAGACCGCTGCTCATATGATTGACCCTCGACCAGAAAAGGCTTGGTATAACCACTTTGTACTGCTTGATCTACCACCAAGGAAAACCCAGCGAGCTTTGCACCAATCGACTCCAGGGACCACAGGGTCAGCGCAACATAATTCTCGCCATTATAGTCGAGAATACCTTCGGGGACTGGGAACGAGACCTGAGGACCGATATTGTTCACTGTCACGAATTAGATGCCGTCACGAGGGCACACGGAGCGGGAGCTAAGAAGTCTTACCATATTCACCAAACTGCCAACCGTTGACGAAAAGCTGGACTCGATATGCCTCGGGCTGAGTGCCATTCAATTCTTGTGATGCGTTTGTGAAGACAAACGACATGGGGGCGTCATAACCAGCAGGGACATTCATTTCAAATGTAGTGGCATAGAACCCAACACCTGCATTTACCTCACCATCGGCAATGGGCGATCTTGTTTGCATATCAAGAATAGGCGCACCGGGTAGATGATATCCTTGGCGTTCTGCAAACAGAGCCCCTTCATTGCGTGGGCCACGACTGAGATCGAGATAGTCTTCTCCACCAATATTTCCCGTCATCTTCCAGGTAATGTCAGATTGTGATGCGTGACCTGAGAGCGAATAGTCAAGAATTCCACGTGGCTCCTTGATGCCCTCGGCGCCAATAAATGTGACTTCGGTGAGACCCATATGGTCGATCAAAACCGTAATGACGTAATTGCCTATGGGTTGGAGAGCAGAGTTGAGGACAAATGTCTGGTTATGGATGGCTTCATTCGGATCACCTGCCCAGGATCCCAAATATGTCGAGTTCAACCATGCAGAGTGCCCAAACGCGTTGCCGCCTGAAATGGAAAGGAATAAGCTAGACTCATTGCCCGTCGCCTCAAAGTGGCCACGGTAAATCAGCGAGCCACTGTGGAACCCGTAATCGCTTGCATACAAGGAAGTTGGTGTGGTGAGAGACCGAGTGTTGTTGGTAGTGGTCTTATTGAGAAGGGGCCAGGAACAGTCGTCATAGCTGTCCGTGGTTTCGGGCAGGGAGTCAATATGCTTCCATTCCAGTGCTCCAAAGTCAGGCAGAATGATCTCTGGCTCATAGTACTTGACGGTGCCAGTCAAGCGGCCTTGCACGTATCGCGTGTCATTTACTTGATGACCATTGAAAAATAACGTTGCACCGCAGCTCAGAGGCGCTGCAATGACTTCAATCGTAGTCGTTTGATTGACATCTCCACACAAATGCAACGAGTTCTCCGAGACTGTGGCGTTTCGCAAGAGGTATCCGGCCTTGACGATAACTGACGCATCTGTATCATTGACTCGAGATGCCGAGACAAACTTGCCTACTGGGTCTGGCTTGGGCAAATCAAGAATCCAGTATCGGTAGGCACTGTTCCTCCAGAGCAGGTGCACTTCCAGACCTCGGCCGAAATGCACAACGCGGCGTGACGATTGGACGTCCCATTGCACAACTGTAGACCCGGAAAGATGCGCAGACCGAATACCGTCGCCTTCCACACTGGTTGGAACGCCTGACGAGGAGGATAGAGCAAACTCGTGCGTTTCGCCCATTCCACCATACATGATGAGCACTGTCTTTGAAGTCGACTTTTTCCATGTGAGAATTTCTGCAGATGAATAGTCCAGTTTTATGCCACCAACATCGTAGTCGACTACGTGGATCTTGGAATCGCGCCCTGGTAGCGACAGAGAGCCTCCCATCTGGGGAATCGTCAAGTTTCGACCACTAGAAGTTATGCGAAGGGTGTAGTTGACAGTAGAATGGGTAGTCCAGTCACTATGCCGGACAATGTAAAAGGCCCCGTCCTCTTCTGTCGCAGCCAGCTCGGTAGTAACGAGATCACTGGTATCGGTAAAGATGCCAAAGGTTCCCTCCGAAGGAGCTGACGTTAAGTAGGCAGGAGAGACCTGGAGAAAGTTTGCTTGCAGTTTCAACTCGCTGTATTTCTCTCGGGTCACTTGACGCTTCTCGTTGATGGCAGCGCCAACGTCGTAAGAGGTGTATCCCAAAGGATGGCCAAGATTCCCCCAATTCGTGCCTCCAAACATCTATTTAGTCGTTAGTGGCATGTCAACCACACGATCCTGATCTCGATCAAACTGACCATGTACAAGTTGAGTATAGTCGTGCGAAAAGCGTATACAACTTTATAAAATACTCTTTCAAATTCGTTATTGAGCAAGGCAGCACATGAGTCAATGCCAGCTCCACCCCTACCAAAGTGTCAGCCAAAACATAAAAAAGACATTATGAATACCTGCCATGGCTCAGCCGTCCCTCCTTGAAATTCCACAATTGAGAATGGCGTGCTAGGACTCATTTGCTCGTGGATCGTAAAGTTGGTCGCCAGCGTAGGAAAAATGGCGTTTTCTCTGTCCCAATTCGAAGGGTCGAAACCTAAAGTAGAAAACATCATGTCAGTCCCCGAACAGTCTCTTGATATCTTTGTCGTCTCACATGCTCCACCCCATCCCAGTGGATATCCGTCAAACCCATAAATATCCCCGGCGCCAACACCAGAACCAGGCGCAAAATTGCCAATCGGGAAAGCATCATTAATCAAAAAGGGGAGCACTATGCCGGCCTCTCGCCACATGGCCTCCACGTCGGCCATGTAGTAGTGATTGAGGCAGGTGCTCAGCTCTCCGAGGTCGCCGATTGAGCCAAGGTCGGCACCGGCAAGGGCCGCAGCACAGATGGTGTACTCGTTCTCAGGTTGAAACAGTATGATTGGCCCGCCATTGGTGATTTGGGCTTTACTGATGATGGCGCCGATATTGGTGATGTAATTCTGAGTCGCGTCCAGCCAGTCAGTAGCATTTGTCCTGATGGGACCCTTGAGGCGAGAAGTCCATCCCGGGTAGCCTCCTCCCGAGACCTCTGAGTTGATATAAGGCCCGGGCCGGGCTAGCAGATAGATACCCGCCTGGGTCGCAGCATCAAAGAAGCCCTCGAGCGCAAACACTCCGTCTGCACGAAATTCTCCGGGTGTTCCTTCGAGCAGCGCCCAGTTGACGTAGAAGGACACGCCAGAAAATCCAATGGCTTTGATCTTTTGAAAAACATCTAGCCAGAGGCCTGGAGAGGGTAATCTAAAGGGGTGAAACTCTGCCGACAAGAACAAAACTCGTTCACCACGAACCATGATGGAGTACTGGTCCCAGGTCACGATATCCTGGAGGAGCTCATTTGTACTTTGCTCAACCCTTGGCAGGTTGCTAAAGGCCAAGGTCGCATTGAAATATAGCAGCGCAAACAGGGCTACCTGCTGGAACTGGCGCAGGAGTACCATCTTGACTGCTCAGTAATGATCAGCATGAAGAGCCCGAGCTCATTTGCGTGTTCGGCATGTTTCTCTATTTTATAGATCCTGTTTATACTACTATTGGATAATGCTCTTTACCTTGGACATTGATTGCTCGGGGATATCTAGCACGAGACCTAAATTACGCTTTGCAGCATTGCTCGTTCCGACTCGCCTTGTACATGGAGACAGGATCCACTCTTTCGCAATACTTCTCGGATTTCTCGCATTCCAACCGATATTGTGAAGGCTCCCGGAACTTCCGGTGCCGATCTTTGCGGGGTATGCAGAATAATTGCCGGTATCCTGGCATGCTCTAGGTCACTCCAATATCATAGTGGCATTGTTTATTCTCGGGTGGGACTCTAATTGGTGCGGCTTGGACTTCAAGCCTATTAGTAATTGTTGCTGTTTATGGCCAATGTCACTAGTGTCTATGATATCTCACTCGGACAGAGAACACATCCAGCCTTGGCCGTGGTGGTGCAGTCGGCGCTCCTGTGTGTCTACTAATCCATGCATTTCGACAATAATCCCAGTATATTCAAGACAGTGCACCACGACGGGGTGGATTAATTGTATGCTTCTCTGCTTTAGAACGAAGTCAACTACTCAGCTAGGAAATGTACTTTATAGAGTACGTGAGCTACTTTTAACACGCTTATATAGCTTCCAAGTATGCTGAAGAGGACTCAAAGAATGCGCAACGGTTGTTGTCATCCGGATCGTCAATCCTTGTGGTGCTTGCGGGGTCAGTACTATTTCGGAGAACCAATATCTTCTTGTTGTCAGTTTTTGTTTCAAGATATCTTCGCCATATTGGTCTAACTCTCCGCTCATCATCTGCAGGACCCTCGTTTGGATCTGCATATATAGTGAATGTGATGAAGTAAGTTCTCAATAGGGCAGCCAACTTCTCGTTTCCGGGCAAGGTGATGGGGCCGTGCGTAATCTCGCCAGAAGCTGTTTCGAGGAAATGATTAGCCGTGAATTGTTACCTAGTAGATATATAAGTTTCGGAGAGGCTCACCATTAACAGTATCCGAGAACAAAAATGGATGCGTTGCGCCATGAATTTGACTGCCTGCATCGAAGATCATTTTGAATGTATCCAAGCCCCTTCGAGAGACCGCCGACGCGATGAACCTGGTAGGACAGTTTACAAACGCTTCGCCGAGGAGCGATTCTAGACGAGCGAACTCGTCGCTGAAACTAATGTTGCTACCAGTAGCCTTTCGAAGAGCTGAAACAAAGTCCAAAGCTTCGACAACACTCTTGTTAAACATGGTAGTTGGATAGTTTTTCAAGGCGTCAGTAACAAAGGACTTGTTACGCCACAATATCTCGAGGTCCGTTGCCACCTCGGCCTCTGTGGTCATGGAGACATTTGAGGCCTCAAACCCCTCATCGCGAGCATGATTAATCATGATAGGTATGTTTAGCACATGGTTTTCTTTGAACGCCTGCATCGGATGTTCTGGGATAACCTTTCCGTCCATAGCCGGACCCCAGTAATAAGTCCCATAGGCGAAGTCCCCGTCGTTATAGCTGATATTGTACGAACTTTCTGTAGCAAGCTTGATGGCTGATATGGGTGCTTTTCGCAAGCAGTCCAATGTTGAGCAGTCGGCTTCTCTAAGGAACAGCTGATATTGCTTGTTCAATTGATCCTTGTTCATCATGGGGGACCACCATGGGGATTCTGTTCGCTAAAGGTTAGCGCATCTGACTGTTCTCACGAGTGTTTGGAAGGCAGAATTACCCATTATTGCAGCACGAAATGGGAAGCCTGTCGGATCTCTAAAGTCAAACCCGTTAAACCCTCCAGTTTCCATCCAAGTCAAGCTCGACCCAGCAATAGTATTCTTCATGTCGGGCCAAGGCAAGTCTGATCTCTTTTTCAGCATCATCTGAAATCCGGCTGAAGCTCCACCGGCACTTTCCCCGATGACGGTGATCTTCTCAGGATCGCCACCAAAGAACTCAATATTTTTACGAACCCAGTCCAAGGCAGCTCTCTGGTCGAGAAGCCCGACATTCCAAGACCCGCTCGCGGCAACCTCATCGCCAGCAAGAAAGCCAAGGGGCCCAAGGCGGTACTGGATGGCGACATAGATGAGTTTTCCGTTTGCTTGGTAAACAAGGCTCGCACCAGGAGACGAGGACGTGTTGCCGCTAACGTATCCTATCAGATTACTTAGCAAAATGATGATGATTATTTTCGAGGTTTGGGGGTTACCGACCTCCTCCGTGAATCTGAACCATGACGGGGAGCTTTTCAGACGCTGGGTTTTTGGGTGCCAAGATGTCGAGCCGCAGACAGTCCTCTGCCTCGGTTGTGAGCGAATCGAAGGCAGATTCTGTTGACCAGGGCGGAAAACTCTGAATACATTGTGGACCTCGATTGCTGGCATCATAAAATAAAAACTCTTCCGTCAGCTCCGAACCTGTGTCCTTGACCACTGGTGGTCTCCATCTCAAGTCTCCAATGGGTGGGTGCGCGTAAGGAATTCCGTAGAATGAGATGATTCTGTGCCGCAGTCGTAGGTCAGGATTTCTATGATCACGAAATATCTGAATGGTGGATTACTCACTTTGCAGTTTCATTGACCACGCCTCGATACACGTAGTTGCCAGCGAATACAGTCTTTTGTTGACCGTTTACGCAAGGCAGAAAGGTGGCGATCGTAAAGATCAGCGACAAAAGCATTGAGATGTGCATGGTAGCTATTTAGCCGACTGGCCAAGATACTATGATAAGACGTTGAATGTGATTGTATTGGCAACCTTGCGAAGACAACGAGAAACCATACAAAGCCCACGGACGGTAGAATGCATGGGAGTAGAGAAAAGAGGATGCAGGGGGGAGACTTGGCTGCTTTTATCATCCTACACAAGCATAGGTCATCACGGAGACCTGGCTGGTCTTTCCCAGGTACACCCCAACAAATGTCGCCGATGGGCAGGAGAAAGGCTGCCTTAGGTTTGATCTGGACGTGACTGCAAGGTACCAGGTCGGTGTCACAAGGCAGTCATTTCATGGTAGGCGCCGACTTACTTTTTCGGCACCAACATGTAGGGTACCATATCAACAAGGTAAAACATTGTTTTCTACCTAGTAGGTATTTGATATGGAGCGAAGGTTTTGGCTAAAGAATTAAGAAAGAACCCTTGCGGCATCTGAGCTTACCTAATATTTCGACTGCCTCTTTTTTTCATATCGAAACAAGGACCAAGTTGCCTCTGTCATGTGACAGTTGATGAGTCAATCTGCATATCATCAGTCATACCCCTGGCATTAACCTAAGATTTATTCTTGAGTATTTCTTCTGTATTTCCTGCGGCCAAGAAAACACGGCTGAAGTATGGGCCTCAATCTCTGCCCATACCGCCACCATGGGGCAAACCTCGGCGCGGACTACGACTAGGTTCATTGCCGCTTGGCCGGGTCGCCGCGCCTGAGCATCGCGTCAATACGGCGCGAGTGTTCAATAGAAACACACGGCACACACTCAAGTACGGAGCTACCTTGCTGTCACCTCGGTGGTCAATCCACGTAACAATCTCCGAAAACCTTCCGCCAATTTGGGTGCCAAACTTCCAAGTGTGCGAATAGTCATCCGTCCCCGTCCCAATGAAGCGGCCCCACACTTGTGCCTGGATTGGACTGGGGCGGATGTTGTTGCCGTCTGGGGTAATGGGATTGGGGGATTCGGCAACCCGAGAATCTCGCGTTATTCGGCTTCAGACCGATGATCGCCCTTCCGGTGCAACCATTCGTTTGTTGATATTTATTAAGCGGCCAGGTGCATGCAAGGATAGAGAGGGGACATGTCCCTGTTCAGCCACTCTCGTCGCCAGCTAACCCGTGCGATGGCCTCTCTTAGCCCGAGCCCGCTTCCTTAGTACTACTATGGTATACTTCATTGGACACTCTGATCATCGCGCAGTTGGCATCAAGCTCTTGGTAGCACTATAAATACAATCGCTTGTAGATACAGCCCAGACATGCATTTGCACAATGTCACGACTTTGGTACGTTACCTAGTGGAACATCTCTATTTTCTAATAATGAAGAGGCTTGCTTCTGGAGCCTCCTGGCTCTGCATCATTGTTCCTTTTTGCCAATGTCTCGTCGACTACCAGCTCAGTGCCGCCGTCAATCCTGGAACCTTTGCCACCCCTACCGCCAATGTTCGGCCGAGGTTTCGGTATTGGCTGCCGGATGCCAGTGTCGATGTCGACACTGTGGTAGCTGACATTGCGGCTAGCGGTTCGCTTGGTGCGGGAGGCATCGAACTGCTTCCGTTCTTCGAATATGGAGGACAAATTGGATCTCAACCTGCCGGTGCGGATTGGTCTACGTACAATTTTGGTACGGTCCCCTATCGAAATCTCTTTGCCGCAGCTCTCAGCGCCCACGAAAAACATGGTCTCGTGATGGATTTTGCACTGGGTCCGAATCAAGGACAAGGCGTTCCTGCAAATCAAAACAATACTGGTTTGCAATGGGATCTGGTAAGAATAATCCCTCTGCATGCTGAATTCTGTACTCAACAGTTCAGGTGCCCTTCACAGCCGAAGTACCAGACAATGGGTCCTTCGTAGGTCTTATCCCAGGTTGGGGAACTGGCGAGCTGGTGTCTTTTGCTACAGCTCGTGTTACTTCAAACAAAACAATCACGTTCGAGGCGACTGGCTTGCTTGGAATCGAAAACGTGACGTATGACCAATATGTTCTATCGTCGGGCAGTTTATTGGACCAAACGGCTCAGGTATCTGCCAACGGTACCGTCCAGATCTCCTTGCAAGGAAAAGAGGACGGACAACATTATCGGATTTTCAGCTTCTATCAGAAACTATCTGGAAACAAGAATCTACAATTTAACAATACGTCTAACGGATCCATCTTTGACGAAGGTTCCTATGTCGTGGATCATTTTGATGCAAAGGGTGCAGATACAATCATTCAATTTTGGGAAGAGCACATACTGGTTGATGGCATTCGGGAGCAGCTACAGAATAGTGGGCACTATGGTAAGCTTGTTTCTACTCATTATGATAATGCCAGTCGCACCCTCATTGCGCTGCGCTTCTTTTTGAACATAGGATTTACATTGGTACAGCATGGGAAGATAGTCTCGAAATTCTGTCAAATGTTTCGTGGTCGCGCTCCTTGCCATCGAGGTTTCAAGAATTGTTTGGTTATGACATCAAACCTTTCCTGCCCCTTCTAGCATTTCGAGACAACAATATTGGACTCCAGCCCACGGAGCCAGGATCTTTTGAATGCATCTTGGATACCGATGACCAAGGCGTGGGATACATCAATGACTTTCGCGCAACGCTGGCGGCGGGTTACCAGGAGTACATCTCTACACTGACGGACTGGACTCATAGACTTGGTGTCTCGCTATCCCTCCAGCCGGCGTATGGCCTCCCAATGGATATGCAGACAGTCATCCCAGACGTCGATGCGCCAGAGTGTGAAAGTTTGTCGTTCCTCGATTCGATTGATCTATACCGCAAGTTTGCCGGCCCTGCCAACCTTGCCGGGAGACAAGTCATTTCCAACGAACTAGGCGCCGTGAAAAGTTCCGCATTCCGATACCATCTCCCTGAACTTTTGTTTTCGGCCAACCGTGGTTTTGCAGCTGGGGTGAATCAATATGTAATCCATGGACAGGCATTTTCCGGCAATTACTACCAAACGACCTGGCCGGGACATGTAGCTTTCGATTATCACTTTTCCGAGCCGTGGTCACCGCGCGAGCCTGTCTGGGAGCACGGCTTTGAGGAGACTCTGAACTACATGGCAAGAGTGCAGCACGTGCAACAGTCGGGTGTTCCTAAGATTGATGTGGCAATATACAACAAGGAGTCGGCAACAAGCTTGCAGACCGTATATGAGTTGCCTGAACTGATTGAAAGAGGTATGTCACGCCCGTCGCAATAAGATTCGCGAGCGCTTGCTAACTATGAGCAGGGTGGAATTACAATTACTTATCACCGGAGAACTTGGAACTGCCTCAAGCCGTAGTAGAAAATGGTGTCCTGGCTCCAGAGGGCCCTGCGTGGAAGGCTCTTGTTGTTCAGAGCGGGTCTAATCTCACTCTAAGTGCCATCGCGACACTACAAAGCTTCGCTGAATCTGGTCTGCCCATATTATTTGTTGGAGCACCACCGAAGCTCTATCCAACAGCGAGTAAAGCATCGAATGTTACTGTTTTCGAAGAACATCTTGCTGTCCTCGAGGCCACCGAAGGGGTCTATACAATCAATGAGGACCAGCTCGCCGACCAACTATCCACACTCGGCTTGTGTCCTAAGGTTTCCACCAACACCAATGGTACCTGGTACACGACATGGCGAGAAACAACAGAGGGTGGATATGCGCTTATATATGCCGACTTGATCGCGAGCTCCGGCAACGTTACCGTCGCGGACACTCGGACACCCTACTACCTCAATCCTTGGACAGGGACCCAGTCCCCGGTTCTTGTGTATGAACAGGACTTGACTTCTACCACGATTCCCCTTGAGCTGGCTGGGAATCAGACGGCAATAATCCTTTTTACTGACTCGAACAATACCTGTAGTGTACCCGCCTACCACGTTACCTCTGCACCAGCCGGCGTCATTGGCGCTGACTTCACTCTGAGTGGCGGCCTCGGCGTGCATGTGACAACCACCGTCAATGATGGAGAAGCAGTCCTATCAAACAATGCTGTTTGTTCTATAGATGGCTCGGGCGTTCCAGCAGCGTTTGAGTTGACGGAGTGGGAGCTTATCGCGGAACATTGGGAGGCCCCTTCAAACATTTCCAACGTGGAGCAACCCATGACAAAATTCAATACGACACACTCCTTGTCAGTGCTCACTTCGTGGCTAGACATTCCAGCACTAGTAAATACTTCTGGGATTGGATATTATACCTCGACTTTCATGTGGCCAACCGACACGACCAACACCACTGCCAGTACACTGGGAGCCTACATCTCATTTGACAACGTGCTGCACTCATTGCGCGTGCAAGTCAATGGCAACCAGATACCTCCCCTGGACATCACTCATGCAAGAGCAGACATTTCCGCATACCTTCAGCCTGGGAATAATACCGTGACAGCAGTGGTACCGACGACTTGGTGGAACTATCTGAAAACGATCCTTGACACACTGGAGAGCTCGGGACTGCTTCCCTTGCCACTTGTCCTCGAGGCAGTAGCTGGACAGCCTCTTCCAGGCGCGAGCGACGAGGGCCTGATGCCGGGGGTTCATATCACCCCGTTCAAACGAGTGGTTTGCTGAACTAAGCGTGGGGAAATGCGTTGGTGAAATATAGCAGTTGTAGTTAGTGAGAATATAATTATGCATTAGTAGAAGTTATTACTTGTTCGGTGATCCTGATAATTATGTGCGCTTCAAGCCTCCACGTCCTTGACGACAATGACATCGGGCCCCTCAATCTTCTTGACTTTCCGACCTTCCCACCACGATACAAATCCTGCCACAGCCGAAACGCCACATCCGAGGCCAATAAAGGTACCAGTGGCCCAGGTCTGCGACAAATGTTAGCGACTGATATTTGCTGCGAAAGAATTTAGGAGAAGAAGGATGACCATGACGTACAGGTCTGTCGAACCGATTGTACGCCCACATAAAGTATGAGAGCACAACTTGAAAGAGCGTATTCCAGACCATCATGGAAATCACCAGTCCCAACTTCCACATGGCTGTCGGTGGTGCTTTGGAACCCGTGAACGTCGGCGTTCTGGCTAGGTGATCACTACCCGATGCGCCGTCCTCGGCGTCCTCGTGGTGGTTGTACCAGTCGGGGGTTCGGAACCAACCGCTATTTTGGGCCGCGAGTTTGCTCATAGCAGTGCGATCCCGCACAAAGACGACGCGCATGTAGCGGTAGAAATCACGAAAGCGCCACGGCGCTAGACCGAAGCCGGTGACGCAAAAGAGGGCATTCAGTATTTGACTGTCAATTTCGAGCCATTTCTTGCGTGGAGAGTTGTCATCGTCGGCGGTCGGGTAATTCATGGCGGGAGCTGCCTTGAGAAGCAGGAAAAATAGCATGGCCTGGATGAGAGTCAACAGAGATGGACTTGCTAGGATCCTTACCCAAGAGCGTTACTGCAATTGCAGGAAGGAAGAAAAACAAAACAAAAAAAAGAAATAAAAAAACATACTCCCCAAGCCTATGTGTTTGTTAGCACTGCACACAAATATCTTTCCAGTATCCGAGTGTTCTACTTACAACAATGTTGAGAAAATAGATGGTAATCATGACGCCAATGGGCGTCTTGAGGAAACTCCAGTAAGCCTTGAGACCATTGCGGATCGTCACGCCCCAGCCAGCCTTTGGTTCGCTGCTCTGCATTTCAAGCAGAGTCTGGCGACGCGGCAGGGTGAAGGCCGGCTCATCGCCGCCGGCGCCGGCATTTGCATCTCTAGGAAACGTCTCGGAGCGAGGCTTTGATACGCTTCCCAATGGCACTAGCTCGCCGTCGCTTCGACGGACCGCTGTGCGCGCAGACCGGCCCTGCGAATTGAAAAGAATGTTTCCGCCCGTCTCGGCACCGCGCAGCTCTGTGATATCGGGGACGTGGGCGAGCGCCGTGCCTGTCGCCTGCCACATGCCCAGCTGCGGGTTGGCATTGATCAGCGTGGTTGAGGCCCGTCGCAGCGGCCCAAGAGGACCACTGCCGATGGACGACGATGGCTGCTCCTCCATGATGGCGAGTGAAAGGGTTCAAGGATGCCCACAATGAGTGGGATGAGATGGGCGATTACCCGTGTTCTAGGTACGTTTTAGATGCAATTCATTCTAACGAGAAAAATCAAACTTTGCGATCATCAATGATTTTGTTCTCCGAGTCAAGACTGTTTACATGTCCACGGCCTAATTTACGGAGGCTGGCAGCATCCATCAAGGCTAGGGGATTAACGGTTAGCGGGTTGGGGACTCGGATTCCTCGCTCGGGTCCTTCGGGTTAAATACGGTTCAGAATCCACTGCCGAACTTCTATTGCACGGACCGAATATCAACAGAGATCCCGATATCTGATTTCGCGAGTATTGACCATGGTTGATTTTGACTTGATGAGTTTTGCGGGAATCCATACTACATGCATGTCCGTAATCCGTTGCAAGCAAGAATGGCTCAAAATGCGACGTCGATGCACACGCGCTGCTACGCTGTCCGTCCTATCTTGGTCCCTTGCATAAACGCTAGCCTAAAACTGTGGAAAGTTGACTTTGACTAAAGTAATGGGTACAACTCTCGTTTTGACGGATAAAAGCATCAGACCCCGGGACCTCCGGCTTAACGGCTATTTCCGGTGGGCTGTGGGAGGCAATTAGGTTTTGTGCACTTTATTTAACTAAACCTATATAGCTAGATTTGTTTATTTGTACTAAATACACTAAGTCCCTATTAATTTCCTATATAGTAGCATTATAGTTAATATAAAAGATATTACGAATAGCTTTTTTTGTTATAATATGGCACCTGGTATTAGAGGTTACCCAGAACCCTATATTGCTAGCTAGGGCATTTTAACTAAAGGTGATTAGAGCGCTATAATAGCTGCTTAGGCGATCGCTAGTGAAGCTGGCCAAAGCGTTATAAAGTATGCAATTATAGCGGGTGCTACGGAAGCTATAGCTGAAGATATAGGGTAAATAGCCGCTAATGCAGCTGGCTATAATATACTAAAGCAAGCTTTAATTATATTAATTCTTCGCTTAAAAGACTTTAAGTTTAAAATCGATAAATCAAAATTTTTAGCAGGAACCTTTAATTATCGCGCCTATATAGCACTGCTTAAGCTTAATAAGCAGGCCGCTGGATAAATCGCAGAAACCCTTATTTACCCTTTGGATAAAAAGCTTATTGCTGCTGCAATTTTGGCTATAATTAATAATGGGACGCTATTGATAATTATAAAACACTGTTTAACAGGCATAAAGATAAAGAATGCTCTCCGCCGTTAATTTAATTTTGTTATTATCGAAAGGAGGTAAGAATTATTAAGGAAATTACATAAATTCGACTATAATAGCAAAGACCCAGCCAAATTTAATACTAAATGGAATTATTATATGCAAAAAAGCCATAACGCTAGTAATTAACGCCTTATTTTAAATAGTTAAATCCAGTTATATTTAGGAGCCACTAAAAATAAGGCTTTAAAATGGATAAAACGAAAAAGAGATTAATTAGCTATCCTCCTAAAAGGCGTTATATTAGGATTTATATAACTTTAGCAATCCCTTATAACTGAGTTTATAAGCAAAGTAGCAATTGGTAATAAAAATAACGCTAATTTACTATTTACCAATGGCAACGGTTAAATTAACGGCGAATATTAGTATTGCGGCAAAAAGGGTTATCGGCGAGTTAATTGCAAATCTAAAAAACGCGACGAGAAAACTGCAAACGAATAGAATTCTAGTTTTACGCAGTTAACGCAATTACCTACGCAGTTAAACGCAATTGTGCGATTAAGCGCAAATAGGGGCAATTACCGTGGGCGTGGTACGGGTCGTGGCCGGGGCCGGAAAGGCGCGTTTATAGGCGCACTCCGGGGCTCTTAGCAGTTACTATTAATTATAACAAATAATAATTCCCTTTACCAATTTAAAGGCGCTAGAATTATAGAATTCTCTAATTAGGATAAAGATTAGGAAAAATAAAGGACAGCTTATAATTGCTATACGCGGGTCGCTCCCGGCGTAATTAAATAATTATAAGCTACGCTTAATAGCAGGCGCTATGAACCTGCTAAGCAATGCGATCCGTATATATAAAATAGGATAAACCACTATAGTTTCCCTATTTTAATGGCCATTTAAGCGCTGGATTTACGCAAACGATAGCTATTGGATATAGGCGCTAATATTTATATTACGAACGATAAAGCTGATTTTATCGTTAAATTAATTATTGAATTAAATAAACATAATCGGTTACCTATTATAATTAGGAACGGTATAGTATATTTAATAAAATACGGCCAAATATTAACCGTATAGCGCGGTTTTAAAGGCGAGCGCCGGGAATTAACGCTTAAAAAATATTATTACGTTAAAGACTTCCTATTAAAAGTGATTTTTGGTAATAAGCTATATAAAGCTAGATTCAAAATTTATAATAATTTTATCAAAACGCCTAATAATAAAGTATTAACTATTATTAATATAACCAAAAAAAGGTGGTTTTTGTGGCTATATAGGCAAAAGGAACTACTCTATATATAAACTTTAATAGCACTAAACGGATTAACGAAGCCGTTAATTAAATAAACGATTTTATAACATCGTCGACTAGGCTATCTAAATAAGGAACGGCTAATTAGAACGATTAAGGCCACTAAGGGTATTAATCTGGATTTAAATAGCATTTTTATATTAGTATGCGATGCGTGCGATAAAGCCAAGAGCGTTCGGATCGATTTAGCAGATTTAGTGCGTATTTGCGCAAACTTTGCAGCGACCTTATTATAAACTGATATTAAGGAGATTAAACCCGTTAATTTAAGTAATAGTTGTTATTTTATATTAATTAAATACCGTAAAACCATAAAGTTATATTTTATCGATATTTTATCTAAAAAGATTTTATAAAGCGATTTCCTTAAATATATCGTTTAGCTATAATATAAGCTCGGGAAAAAAAGGCGCCGAATTAAAGCAGTTCGTATTAATGGAACTAGTGACTTTGGCGGCGGCTTTTTTGATAATTACGCATAGCAAAAGGGTATCGAATTGACTACGTTAACACTAAATAACTAGTACCAAAACGGTGCCGCTAAGCGCGCGATCGGGGTATTATAAAATAGTGCGCGCGCTATTTGTATTTAAATAAATATTCCTACGGTATTTTAGGATAAAATCTATAAGGCATAGGTTATCGTTCTGAACCGTATAATACCTATTAAAGGGGAACTAATTACTTTTTAATAGCGCTAGGAAAATAACTTCTGGCTACAAAATACACCTAATCGCCTATTAGTTAGGCACTTTAGGATCTTTGGATCGCGTATTTTTATGTATATTTTAAAGGAAAATAGGGTATAAGCTAAGAAATTGCAGGCAAGGGCGTTAAAAGGTATGCTTATAGGTTACGCTAGGGAATACCTATATAAAGTATATATATTAGATATAGTACGCTTTATTATAACTTCCTACGTTATATTTTATAAGGACTTTAATAAAGGCGCTAATTAGCCTAATCCGTTAAAAGTAATTAAATCACTCCCGTAACACGTCTAAAATAGGTTGCGATACAGGATTTTAAAGCCAACTCATTATATAAAGCCTTATAATCCGAATATAGCTAAGGAATAGGGATAAAGGGCGCGGCGATTTAAAGCCGGCTTTCCTTAAATGCAAATAGCTATATAGCAAAGCATAGTTAAATATGCTATAGCATATATAAATAGTAGTTATAATTATACTATAGCACGTTAAAGCTTAAATAGGTATACCTACGCACATATAAATATAACCATAAAAGATAATTACTACGCTTTAATTAATTTACGGGACTATAATTAGGACGATAAAAAAGATCCGAGCTTTAAGGGCGCGCTATTAATTGCGCTAAATAAAGGCTTGCATAATTATTTACTATTAATTAATAATAATTTGTTCGAATAAATATAGGATAAATACCTAATATTGGTTATTAAATATAACCCTAATTTATTATTAATTAATTAGGCAAGGAATATATAAAAGTAGCCTAATTAATAATAAGCTATAGCAAAAAAAATTATTAAATTATTTAAAAAAAAACGTTCGAATTCTTCGATTATAATAACTTTAAGTTAAAGCAAAAGCTATTAGTTGGATCTAAATAAATATATAAAACCAAATATAGTTTTATTAATAATATAAATAAATAGAAAGCACGCCTTATAGCTTAGGGCTTTATTTAAACCCTCGGAATTAACTATAAGGAAACCTTCGCTAATATAGCCAAATAAATAAGCATCTGCGTTTTAATCGCGATAGCTATAATTAAAGGCTGGAAGATCTTTTAAATCAATTTTGTTGCAGCCTATTTATTAGGCCGGCTTAATAAAAAGATCTATATACGCTAATTCCTATATTTAAGTGAATTTATATTTTAATACCCTAATATTGCATAATAATATAATTATATTTTTAGCAGTATAATTAGGCTATTGCGCCCTTTATACGGCTTAAAGCAAAGTGGCTTCGAATAGCAATAAAGAATTAGGGAGGAACTAAAGAAGCTGGGCTTTATGGGATTAAAGACCGATAATGCCATTTACTAGAACAAGGCTAATAAAACGGTACTAACCTTTTATATAAACGATTTTATAATTATATATGCAAACACTAAAGCTATCGAAAAATTAGTTTAATAGCTAAACAAATAGCTGGAATTATAATACCTAGGTACCGCTAAATAGTATCTGGGAATACGTATTATCTAAAAGGAAAATAATAGCATTATATTGCTATAAGACAGGTATCTGGATTAGATACTTGAAAAACTTGGATGCCAGAATATTAAAAATACTGCTACTCCTATTAATCCGGGATTAATAGCAGTAACCTATAAGTTTAAAAGCTACGTTAATTAGGAATCCAAAAATTAATACTCTAAAAAACTTGGGAAAACGAATTATGCTATAATTAAGCTGTGCGTAAATATAGCATACGCTAATAAGGTATAAACGCGCTTTATAAATAACCTATCCCCTAATTATATTAAGCATTTAAATAAGGTGCTATAATACTTTTAAGGCACCCGCATAAAGGGGATAAAATATATTCGATTTTATCGCTATACTAAATATAGGGAACTGGGATTATATATTTACGTTAACGCTGATTTTGCAGGCGATAAATTAACCTTTAGATTTACGTTTAAATAGGTAACGTTTATAGCGGGCTCTTTAATAAGCTGGAGTTTAAAGCTGCAAAGCGTAATTGCTTAATTCACTACAAAAGCTGAATATTACGCTATTAATAAAGGCGTTCGTAAAGCCGCATTTATTAGGAACCTACTAAAGGAACTAAAGATAATGCCTTAAAAGGCAATTCCTTTATTAGTTAATAACATAGGCGCAAAAGCGTAGGCAAAGGCCCAGACTAGCATACCTACGAAAAAATATATTAGGAGGTATTTTTATTATATTTAATAAAAAGTTTCTGCTAGGAATATTCTAATTAAAAGAGTTATATCCACGGAAAACGCCGCTAATAGGCTTATAAAAGCGATGCGACCCAAGGACTTTGAGCATTTCGTATATTTGCTGGGTATAGTGGATTATAACCTAACCACAGGTATAATTACCACTATTTAACTGCAAACTATATTACAAATTATCGCAATAGGGCTTATCCTTTTATTTCGATTAAATCGCTCGTTATAAAGGGCGTATAGAAAGTTGACTTTGACTAAAGTAATAGGTACAACTCTCGTTTTAACGGATAAAAGCATCAGACCCCGGGACCTCCGGCTTGACGGCTATTTCCGGTGGGCTGTGGGAGGCAATTAGGTCTTGTGCATTTTATTTAACTAAACCCATATAGCCAGATCCGTTCATTTGTACTAAATACACTAAGTCCCCATTAATTTCCCACAAAAACAGATGCCGGTTGGCACCTTGTATATTGTATGTATGCGGTTGGTCGTAGGTGCCGATGTTGATTGAGACTGATGCTGCTTGTGAGGTTTTCCAAACAAAATATATTTGTTCCCTATCCTCTCGAGCTTTTTGAAAATCTATATTCACTTCTGTCAACTACTTGCTACCTCACTATGCTTTTTTACGACGATTCATTCTGGTGGCTGATGAGCTGCACGCTGGCATCCATTTGGACGCTCAAGCTCTTGTATCAAAAGCTCAGTGCATGGATCCACGAGAGATCTATGATGCAGCGCCACGGCTGCCAGGATCCTCCAACGTATCCCCACAAAGACCCATTCTTAGGTCTCGATTTGTTCCTATTATACAAAAAGGCATTTCAAGAGCGAAGATTCGGCCAGCTAAATTGGGATCTGTTCCAAAAGTACGGCAAGACCTATGTATGCAATGGTATGGGTATTCGCTACGTCAAGACAATGGACCCTGAGATTACCAAGTTTGTTCATGCAACTCACTTTGACCACTTTGGTGTGGAACGTATTCGTTCTGGTGCAGAATACCTCTGGGGTGACGGCATCACTGTCGTTGAAGGTGATAAATGGGCTTCCCGCCGCAAGCTGATCAAGCCTGCATTCGATGTTGTTCACATTGCGAACCTTGAGAATCGCAATCTTGGAAAACATGTCGAGAGACTCATAGAATTGATTCCTCGAGATGGTTCGACTGTGGACCTTATGCCTCTGTTTAGGCGACTGGTAAGAGAAAAGCCCAACACCTAATATCTTGATTTCTGATATGCTGAATACTGATGCACTTTATGGCAGAGCCTGGACACTGCAAGCGAGTTCATCTTCGGTGAATCTATGGATGCTCTGCGCTCCCCCGACTCGCACAAGGAATTTCTTGATGCGTATTTCTATGCCCAGCGAGGAACTGCGATACGTCTCATGCTAGGCTCAAAGTTGCGCTTTCTGCACAGGGACCCAAAATGGTGGAACGATTGCGACACGGTCAATAAGTTTTTGGACGAACATGTTGATAATGCATTAGCACGACAGGCAAGAGGGGACAAGGAAGAAGCAGAGAAATCGCACATTCGACTTGTTGATGAGATGGCAAAGGTGACCCAAGACCGCCTCACGCTGCGTTTTCAGATGCAGAATGTCTTTACACCAGCCCATGATGGAGCTGCAATCACACTCAGCAATGCCTTCTTCCACTTGTCTCGGAACCCAGAGGCTTGGGCCGAACTGCGGGGCGAAATCCTTCCCACGAAAGATCTTGACATTACCTATGACCTCTTGAAGACCTATCGGTACCTCAAGAACGTAATCCGTGAGACACACCGGGTCACGCCCATCTCCACGCTCATATCTCGTGAGTGCTTGCGTGAAGTTGTTCTACGCAAGGGAGGCGGCAAGGATGGACTGAGTCCTCTGTATGTCCGCAAAGGCGATGTGGTAGAGATGAACTTTAGGTCTATTCTCCGCGACAGAGAGTTTTGGGGCGAGGATGCTGACGAGTTTCGCCCTGAAAGGTGGGACAATTTGAAGCCGACGTGGGAGTATACCCCCTTTGGAGGTGGGCCGCGGGTCTGTCCTGGCTTTCGCCTGGCTTTTGCCGAAGTCGCTTACACAATGGTAACCATTCTGAGAGAGTTTGTTTGTTTGGAAAGTCGTGATGACAGGCCGTGGACAGAGGAGAGCAGAGCGACCTTTCAGAATCTGCATGGCGCCAAGGTAGCTTTAATTCCAGCGTAGCTCCCTAGATGGCCACGCAATTTCATCCTGGCCTGAGCAATAGGACACTATCCCTTTAGTAGGTCATAATTTGACCACTGAGTGTCGAGTAGAGCCTAAGTGAAGAATTATCAACATCAAGGGATCGATAGAGTGACAGATGCCGTCCAGTCATATTGAAGAAACAACTGAACCCTATCAATCGCCAGCAGTTCGCTGCGCGCTGAATGGATGTGGAGAGAATGATGCTGAAATCGGATGCACCATAAGATAGGGGACACATGCACTGGAGGAATGCAGCACTTGGCGTAAACGCCGCCCGTTGTCTCTGCCGTCAATCTCCTAGCCGGTACAATGTTTTTGACACATTGCAACGAGTCAAGTGAACAGATGAAGGATATTATTTAAGTATTGTATCGAGAAAGAGAATAGGCACAAGTCCAGCGGTAAAACAGAAGAAGAAAAACACAAGTCAAACGTCATGCCCTAGGGTTTGTGGAATCTCCCGTCGCCCACTCTCTCGGTTTTGCATTCTTACTTCTTTTCATTGTTTTGAGAAACTGTTTACAAATTCCCTGCATCTAGCTCATGTCTATAATTGGGCTGCTCGCCCAAAAGCTCTCCTATAATGCTCACTTCGAATTTGGTCGGATCGGGGGTAGGTACCACGGTGTGTGAGGGTTCCTGCTCATACTGAGGCGGCGGAGGCTCGAGTTGTGATTGTTGAATAAAGATAGTATCCTGTCGACGTCGAAGGCAAAAGTACACTAGCACCGCTGCGCTGGTAATGACTGCGACGATGCCTACGACTATGCCAGCGATGGCCCCGCCGGGTAGTGATGGTGGGAGTGACGACGCGTTTGTGTCGCTGTTGGCTTCTGTGGTTGGGAATGTGGCAATAGATGATGCAGATGCAGGTGCGGATGCAGGTGTCGAAACTATTGACAGCGATGATGTTGTTGTTAACGTCGTGCCGGATGAGGTGGAACTTTTCGTAGAGGCAGAGGCAGTACTTGTCGTAGAGGTAGAGGCAGTACTTGATGCAGCAAGGGCTACAAGATCCTATTTCAAACTATTATCAGCATTTCTATTCCAATTATGTACCTTTTTAGACAACGAGTAAAGATTACTGCCGTATTCATGGTGAAAAAACTTACGTACGGTGTAGAAGATCTGGCATCGAACACCCCCATTGCTTGCGTAGCCAGCTACGCAGCTGGTTAGTCGTGGACAACATACTTTGTCTGTCACGTTTGTGCAGGACACAGAATTCTCTTCCTCGCAGACTGAGGGAGTGTCTACGTAGCAGCTGTCCGTGACGTTGCTGATTATCATTAGAAAATTAGAAAACGTAGATGCTAGAATCTATTATGAATAGAGAAACTTACTTGCCCACGCAACACCAACCCTTCCCAAGGAACTGTTGACACGATGGGTAGAATGAGTTCTTCTCGATACCTTGAAATGTTAATCTTCTCGGGCGCCAAGGGAGGGGTGGGAAATATACAGCAAAGTGTTGCACTCGGAGCGCAGACAGAATTAATACGCGAGTCTCCAAAGGCGTCTGAACAAGAGTCTCTCTTTGCAAATAGCGAGGCCTGATCAGCCAAGTTTGACATTGTGGAGACTGCACCTAGTGCCAGACAGCTCGACATGCAAAGATGTGAAAGAAGTAGAATAAGAATAGTGGACACCGATACTTCAAAGATCCAGGTATCTGGGAAGTTGGCCCTTTTCTAGCCTCCCGGCTCTCCCAACAGAAGAGTTTCAGTATTACAGCAACATGATTTCAGCATTACAACAACAATCATCCAACAACAATAAAACAGAGGCCATGGTCCCAAAAACAGTATTCTGCGATGACTGACCATCCTTCGGTTAGCCGTAATAGCCAACCGAGCTTCGGGCCGGGAACAGTTTATGGCGTTGCGGCTCCAAAATGTCGGGATTTAGTGAAGTATTTGATTCGTGCAACGTCTATTCATCTGCTATAACAAACAATGTGCATGGGCGCCAAATCATCTGATTGGATCGAGCGATAGCGCCCATGTAAGCGCCGGCCGGGATCACGGGCAACTTCCAGTCGTATTCTTGGGCTCCCTCAGCTGAGACCGGGGTACCAATAGCGCCCAGCATCAAGCTGTAATGAAATGTGGGCTGAGCATTCGCAACCCAATGTTTTAGTGCCAAAGATAAGGACTTTTGCAGAATTCAGTTTTCTGCATTTCAACTTTTCAATTTCACGAATTCATTTTTTTGTTTTTGTTCTTTTTGATCAGACAATGACAGAGCAGTAAACAAGGGGCGCTTTCCCTCAAAGTTGGAGCTAAGATGATCGCATTGCAGAGGCACATCCTCGGAACGTGCCTCGCAATCGGTTTGCTCCTCACAGTTCTGTTCCCCTGGTATTATGGGGACTTCGTCACATGGTCTGGACACGATGAATCGCTCACCCTGGCACCGGTGTTGCACGACAATCACATATCGAATGTGGAAATAGTCGTCGCCAGCACTAAGAAGGAAAACACCAAGTGGCTTTCGACCTATCTGCCAGAATGGAAGACAAACATATATGTCGTCGACGATTCAAAAGCATCCTTGACGGTACCGGTCAATAAGGGGCACGAGGCCATGGTGTACCTGACTTATATCATTGATCACTACGACCATCTTCCGAGTACCGTGCTCTTCATCCACGCATCGCGCTTTGCCTGGCATAATGATGATCCAGACTATGACGCCATACCAACACTACGCAATCTTCAGCTTCCATATCTCCAAGAAAGTGGATACGTCAATCTCAGGTGCGTCTGGGTCATTGGCTGCCCAGCTGAAATCCGTCCTTTTGAGGATGAGGCAAACGGGGACGATGCACAATTATCAACAAAAAGTATTTATAAACAAGCATTTGAGGAGCTGTTCCCAGACTTGCCAGTACCTGAAGTTGTCGCCGTGGGTTGTTGTTCGCAGTTTGGTGTCACACGCCAGACCATTCAGCATCGTCCTCGGAGCGATTATTTGAGGTACAGGCAGTGGTTATTGGAGACCCCTTTGGATGACAGTCTCAGCGGGAGAGTATTCGAGTTTGCTTGGCATAGTAAGTCTAACTGCAGCTCCTTGCGAGGTACTTGACCTGATGTTGTTCGTCGCAGTAATATTTGGCAAGGAGTCAGTGTACTGCCCGTCGGCCAGCGAATGTTACTGCAAAGTATTTGGCTTGTGCAATCTGGATTGCTCAGATGGCGCCTGCGATGGTCGATGGAACTTCCCGGCTTTTTCCACTCTGCCCGAGGGATGGCCACGCATCGGCTGGGAAGGAGAAGAGAGAAACTTTAACGGGCCGTTGGAATAACTTCGTCGGTTTTGATAATGGTCAATTTGCCCAACAAGCAACGAAGCAACAAGATGGCTGAAATGAGGCAGACTTCTCGCAATTGGAGATGTCTGGTCGTTAGCAGACGCTTTCGTTCAGGTGCTCGGGTGTGTAGCCGCATGTTATCCCAAAGGAAACAAAACTTGTGCTGACCAGATACTAGATAATAGGCCATGGCTGATTGGAATGGCTGCAGAAGCCCGGCCAGCATGGTAGACGACGAAACAATCAATCGTTTATCGACGAGGTGGCAAGTGGTTGGAGCTAGGCCCCGGCTATAAGAGGCCGTTGAGGCTTTGGGCTTGTGTAGCGGCTCTGCCTGCCGGATCTAAGCATGCGAGACGGTATATCCGGTGAACAATCCAAGGGAATATTGCTCAATGGATTTGTGTTCTCCAGGTCAATATACTGACTTGTCCGTTTCTTGACGTCTCGCGGCTCTCTCGCGGCTTTCGCGCAACTTATATTCATCGCAATCCAGCCTGTGATTCGCACAGAAATCCTTGCGGCACTGGGGCTACTGCTGCTAGCCGACACAATCCTCCGAACTCGCTTAGGCATTTCAAGCCAGTGGTCTTGCTGGCAGTCCTCGTTGTTTGTGTCAACTTAAGATGCTGAAAGAAATAACAACACCAGCTTTTAATGCTACAAGTAATGTTCAGTATATGCGCATCGTTCAATATCGATATGCCAGCCTATTTTGAAAACATGATTTATTTTTAATAATGCCAAAGAAAAAGCCACCCGAGGACGCCTGAATTGGCGCCCCACTACCCCTCTGGATTTACTGACCTAGACCCCTAAAGCTTATGCTAACTAGAACGCCGTCAGGCGCCTGTGGGCACGGATCAGAAAACGAAGGGACCGCCAATTCATGACGGGGGAAAAACTCAATTACTTCAAGACATTCCTGTCTAGCATATTGGGCGAGCTTGAGCTTCCTTTGAGCTCATCGGTCCCTCATTTCTCGCTTTGTTTCTGTCGCTGTCGCAGCAGACATCAAGGAAGACATGGCTCCGTCATTGCAAACAATCCCTCCCGAACTATTTCAGGGCATTGCGACCTTGCTGCTGACCCCAGACCAAGCAAGTCTCTGTCGCACATGCAAGACCATCAACCACAGCTTGACTCCAATTCTTTGGCGTGAAATCGAGTTGCACCATCGTGGCACTCATGAGGGTGTAGATATTGAAGACGACGTTGATATTTTCACATTATCCAAAAGGCACCCGGGCCGCAATTTCCAGCCAGAGCCTGATGCCGCGTACTATGCCGAGTATCCATACGACAAACTTGTGCGGGAGCCCTCGGAGCGCAAATATGCTCAGGCCGAGTTCAATTCAGATCCTGACAAATGGGAAAAGCGCCTTGAGAAGAGATGGAGTTTCTTGCAAGTCATTAAAAGTCCTGCAAGTAGACTATCTCAAATGCGCGGTCGCAGAAACTTTCAGTTCGGAAGGGAAGAACTGTTTGTCTGCGTCCGCGGCTTTAGCTCCCGGGACCGTTGGGATGATCTGGCACAGCACGTACGCTCTCTGTGCATGTCCATCGGTGTGGACGGCGAAGTGGCAGAAGTCATTGGCAGCTTTCCGAATCTGACGTCCCTGGAGCTCATTGGGCTGCCTTTAAATAATGGCCATTCCCCATTAGCTCCAGATATCTACCTACCAAAGCTGCAGAACCTCAAGCTTCGCGGTTATCTTTCGGGTGCTTTTGTAAGAAACGTTTGCAATAATGCGAAACACATCAAGCATCTGGATATTGGTATACTTGCCACGCCGACAGACGATAAAGCTTATCGACAGATACTCTTGAACGAGGTCTACGACCTAATGCCAGTTACTGAAGAGCAGGCCGACAATATCCAACGGAATGGGGCAGAGGCTGTCGCACTTGCGAACGATAGTGACAACAATAAAGGAACTGATACCGAGTACTCTGATGACGAGAATGACCATGAGAGTCGACCTTGGGCTCTACATGCACCAATATGGCTGCCGAGAACGCTACCTGCAAGACTTACATCGCTCACCCATCTTCATCTAGTCAAGCCGTATACTGGCCAGGCAAGTGTTGGCGACGTCGGAACCATAGGGTTCAGAGGTATTTCTGGTCAGTATGAGCAGCTCCTCTGCCTTGAGTGGGCTGCATTACTCAAAGGCGTCGCGGCTACACTGAAAGAGGTTATTCTCGAGCACAGAATCCCGCAAAAGGTGGGCGATACCGTTCGCGATGGTGATTCAGTTCCGAATCACAAAGGATCTTACCGAAGCGACGAAATGGCCCCTCACCTGTTGAATCCGGATTGGGGGGACGTCATCTTTTGCCGAAAAGTATTGCCACTGTTTCTTGAGCAGAGTGGCTCTTTCGCAAGTCTCCGTCGCCTTGTATTCCGAGGCATCCAAGTTAAAGGCATTAGAAGACGTCTGGACAGCATTGAGATACCTGGAGAGAACGGAGTGCCCGACAATGATGAGCTCTTACAAAAAGCTTATCGCGGCTGCGACATTGAGATTTTTGAAGAGTCGTACCCCATCCACGTGTACGCCGGCGATGTACACGACGACTGGAGCCCGCACAGACATGAATCCACGCAGGACCAGGGTGATGGCCTGCTGTATGATGGATCTTTTTACAATGACTATAAGAAGAGATTCGGGCCTCAGTGGAAGATTGTGGACTAATAGTCTAATAGGTATATACAGGGGGGGAAAGTACCAATCAATGGAGCACGAACATTGTTGAAACCCGCACATGAGCTAATGCGAAGGGGAAAATCAACGATAAGCTGGTCGAGGTATAAAAGCAAAATGGATAAAAATAATCCAACATGCCCAGAGCGGAAGATCTGCGGTGGGTACTATAAACGAAGGACGTCAGTGTGACATCAAAGGTGTACTCTTTCGCGAGTGCGTATATGATAGTCCCAAATAGTCAAAAATGGTTTCGAAACTAAGACACGGGCTCATTTATAAGGCATACTCGGGGCACGAAAGATGCTGGAGACTTTGGAGCTCGCTCCGTGGTCGTAGGCAGGAAGCAAGAAAACATTGCTCCAGCTGACAGTGAGCTTACTTGGATGGATTCACCACCTTTCTTTGCTCTTGCCCGCAGGAATGCTCATGCTAGTTGGGTAGGTACGCTGTAATCTTGGCATTAGCCAACTAAAAAGCTAAATTTGGTACCTACATTAGCACCCGCGACCTTGTGGCGCTCCTTTCGGACGAGTTATGACCACTATTACTCGTGATATACTCGTGAAACAAGTGATAGGATATATACGCAGTACTATAGTACAGTATCCTGGCTCAATATCATGTGACATCTCGACTTTTGCATGATGGAAATCGTGGATGCCTAATGGAACATAGACCCCCTTAATGCTCAATTAGGTAGGTACTGTAAGCGGACAGATACGCGAATCCTTATCTCCGATCAGGCATTAACCAAGATAAGAATTTCCTGCTGTAGATGAAGATCTCCCGTGGGCTAGGTCCACGTACCGCCGCCTTGGCGTGTGATTGGCGGCAATAGTTTTGAAACACGAAGTGCCTTACGCAAGCCACATCCGCTGTTGTTGGCCCGGCCCCCTAGCGATTTTTTTTCTTCCTGCTCTTCCTCGTGTTCCCTGCCAAGCCAGGGCCATTCACCTCGTCAACCTCTGGAATTCATTCTCTTTGCACCACAACATCACACAAGACTATAGATTGTCCCATATCCGTCATCTCGGTGCAGCAATGATATTTTGTTTGTAAATTTTTGTTTTGCTAGCGATATTGAAGCCATGTCTCAAAATATATCCTCTTCAGGTTGTTTTAATACAGACTCGTCATTCTCAGTGGGCAAAACCAGCAATGAGACACTCTCTGGTCGATCATATCTGCTTTCGATACCAGACAACTACTCAACAGACACGCCAGCGCCGCTAATCCTGTCATTCCACGGAGGCGGCCAGTCTCCCGAGACGCAGCTCGACCTTGATCAATTGACCAACTCTGATGTCAACGACCAGTACATTGTCATCTATCCAGAGGCCATCGATGTAGGTTACCGTGTCAGCAAAGGAAAGTCAGCATCCATCCACTAACCCGGCCCCGCTTTCCAGGCGCAATGGCAAGTCAGCCCCAACAGCACATCTGACGATATCGGATTCGTGACAGATATCCTAGACGATATCGAGTCCACGCTATGCATCGATATTTCGCAGATTTATGCCACGGGCAAGTCCCAGGGCGGCGGCATGGCTGGGCTTTTAGCATGCGACGAAACTCTGTCAAATAGATTCGCTGCCTTTGCACCCGTCTCGGGTGCCTTCTACATAACAGATGCCAACGACAACTGCAAGCCCGCCTCGGTCAAGATCCCATGTTCGGCGGGCCGGACTGGTATTCCCATGCTGGAGTTTCACGGAGGCGATGATCCAGTCATTCCCTACGATGGCGATGACAGTAGGCGTGATTCTTGCCTGCCCGCGATACCGCACTGGGTTCAAGAATGGGCAGAGCGGAATGATCTTGACTCTACCAACACATCGACGGACCTCACAAAGTCGGCGACTTTGTACCAGTTTGGCAACGACTCAAACTTGGGTCTTGTTTCGCATGTCTACGATGGAAAGAGCATTGGACATGTTTGGCCGACGAAGAAACTTTTCGCAAACGACGACGACTCGGCCACGGCATCATTCGATGCGACCCCGATGATTCTGGAATTCTTTGGCAACTACACGCTCGATATTCAAACCAAGTCAACGAATACGACGGGTGGAAATGGAACGGACGGGACGGACGGGTCAGACGACGACTCTGACTCCTCGGCTGTGGGCCGCAAGGCAACGGCAATATGGTGTCTCGTTGGGTTTACCTTACTCCAATCGCTCATCATATGAAGTGACACGGGCAACCACCTCGGAATATAAGCTTGAAACGACACGGCCGAACTGGACGCTCGGCACCGATCACGATTCTGCTGCATTGGCACCATGGCGAGGGGGAGATTGTTTCCCCATGCTAGCCGGAGAACGAGGGAAACTTGTGCCAATCAAGTCTGTTGACTGATAATCACATACTCGTTGCTCTCTTGAAGCAATCTGCGGTTGTCCCAAGTTATTCAATCAGCCCCCCACAGCGACAGGCCGAAGATGCAAAACGGCATACTCAGATCAACAAGGGCACCGCCATGAGTTTGGGACGGCTGGGAAACCTCACATTACGATAATGGACAGCAAATTCTGGGATTGGCATCACAAAGCCTTCAAGAGATGGCAAAATAGACAGGTGGCGGCACTGGTGCTTATTGGGCCCAACCTGTTGTGCACAGGATGCAGGCATCTTTTGTGTCTTTGGAGGAAGGATGTACTTCGTTGCTACTTTCTTGGGTTTCTCAAAATTCAATGAGCACAAAGAAATATTGAGCAACAGACAAAGACACGCCATTATTCACTCGCCCCAGTCTCTCATGGTGGCAATAAACACATGTCTTGTCCTCCATTGCTTTAATCACATTAAACCGCTAGTTGAGCGACTACAAGTGAATCATTATAAAGCTATGGATAGTGCTGAGTATGTATCAAAGAAGGGTGGGCCATTTAATCACCACGCCACTCTATAAAAGAAACAACTGCTCTCACATTGATTGCAGCATCCTCAGTACACAATTACATTTTCATCACTACCACGAAAATGCATCTCATGACAGCTTCACTTGTTGCCCTTGCCGCAAAGCTTGCAGCTGGGGCCGTAGCTGACGTCCTTCCCCGCGACTCCATCCTGAACCAGATTGCCTGGGTGGACCAACTGTACACGTTCAACAACCACGCCAAGGGCAACCTGTGCGGCGACACGCACGACTTGGAGAACCACTCGGGCGACAAGGACGCGGCCCTGTCGGTCGACTGCCTGGCCATGCTCAACAAGATCAACGACGTCAAGGACAAGGCCTATTACTCGCTGGACTCCAACTGGCCGCAGCGCGCCGACATCAAGACGGGCTTCGCCCCCCTGATCACCGTGGAGACCTGCACCTTTAGTATCCGGCCCACGTCGTTCAACGCCGTGTCGTATGCCTACTTTGTCGGAGCCCAGGACATGTCGGATATTCTGCACACCTTGATCAATCAATATCAGCAGGCGGACCACTTCAAGGCAAACGGATATATGCCGTGCACGGATAAATACATCAAGATGCAAGGCGATTACGAACTTGAGTTCAAGATTTGGAACCCAAAGGCTCAATGAATTGGGCAGATTTTCTGAGACCGTATGGGAAATGCTCCGGATGGGGCAGCTCTGGCGAGAGCCAATCACGGTGAAACATAGATGCCTATTATAGTAATCTGAAATAAAGCCTTGAAATTCGATTTCCTTGTTTTCTTTTTCGTTATCTTTTAGAATTATGATAAGCCGTAGTATCTTTGACAGGGCTTTAATGAGTCTGGTAGACCCGCCACTGTCTCTGTAGGACGCGACTGTATCCGTACACAATGAAGACTGGACTCGATGCCAGTGCATTAATCCATCCATACAAGCCAGGTCGGGACACCGCCTGCTACACCGGCCGCTGGGGGCAATCTCCTAGCCAACTGGGGAGACTTTTTGTTTAACCTGCAACTGGCTCAGATGCAAGGACTAATCGGGAGTCATCCTCGAATTGAGTGATACGTCTTTAACTTGGTCGAGTTAAAGCTCATCTATCGCCTTTGGCATAATGGCCGTGCCCTTAATGTCGATCAATATGGACATTTCATGCCTTTCCATTCACTGTTCTATGGAGACATTGTTTTCAGGCCATAGAAAGGAACTCCGTTGGAGTTATTAGGTTCTCAAGCACCCAACCTTAGTGTTATACCCCCAACTGTCAACGGCAGGGAATCATCAATGTCGTCCTCGCATTGAGTACGAACAGCTGCATGCGCGTATTATGACTTTGTGCATCAAGGTTTAATCGGTCACTTGTATACAGGTAAAGAGTTCCCGGGTAGTTCCTGAGCTGTTGGGTTCGCGTGAAGTTCGGTTGGAACAGTATATGCCTGTCCAGCCAGTTCCGGTTTAGGTGTTTCCGTAGGTAACGGCCCGGCCAATTCAGCGGGTCTTTTTCTCCGACGGGAAAAGTAAAAAAGAAGAGCACCAAAGAGTGCAATAACAGCAAGACCAGCACCGACTCCAATTCCTGCTTTTGCGCCTGTCGAAAGCCCTCCACTCGCGGATGATGCGGTCTGTGGAAACGTCGAGGCCGAGGACGTGGTGGCGTCAGTTGTGATGGTTATGGGTCCCGTGACTGTCGAGGGCAGATCGGACGACTGAAAGTTGAGTTGGAAGAGCGGCGCCGAGAGAGTAAAAGTTTCGAGGATAAGGGCGCTTTCCGAACTCGAGACTGTTTCTGTGACGGTCGCGGGCAAATCGAGGTAGGTGAACCCCTCGCTCTGGCCAGACGAGCATTGGACGGCGGCAAAGGATCCAGTGCTTCCGACGCTGATACACGTTTGTCCCGTGTCGCGGTTGAAGTTCTGACTGCACTGGAATCCTCTACAGACGAGGGTCAGTACTCTACCACCCATTCAAGACCCAGGAGTATGTACTCACGTTGGGCAGCATCCTATCGCCGTTTCACTCGGTAACAGCTCGAATTGAAAATTGAAACCACCAGCAACGCCTTCGGTCGCGACACACGAGGTCGCATACCCCACGGGACATTGGATGCCAGGCGAGTAAAAGCCCCAGCCATTCAAGGCCACACCTGTCGACACCGAGGTCGCGCGTGCAGGCCAGCAATCAGGATTATCTTGGACACCCTGTGCATTAAAAGCATTGTCGCTGCAAGTTTGAGCTTGCCAACCATAATCGCAGGTTGCGCAGCCCTGGATCGCCACGTTGCAGCTCGACGGGTACGTGAAAGTCGTGGTGAGGGGTCCGAGATTGGTGCGCGAAGCAGCGGCAGCTGTCGTGGGCGTGGTATTAGACATGGCTGTTTGATCAAAGGGCAGCAGCTCGGAGCTGCTTCTTCACCTGCCAGCACGGTATTGGGTTCAAAAATGACATGTAAAACCACCGTCAAGGGATTCAGGATGGGAGAGTCGGAACAACAGAGATGATGCCGTCGTACAAGGCGCGAGGATCAAGGCGACACAAGAGTGCCATATTTTCTTTTTCGCGTCGGGCTGGCGGTAACAATATCATCAAATTGAATCCTGCTGCTGACATCAGGGGATTTGGTGATACCGAAAAGGGTAAATCATTAGATGTATTCGCTAGCGACTGTCCAAGCTGTTTCCTGGGCGCAGTAAACAGCTCTTGATTGGACTGGATTCTCAGCTTTGGCAGGGGTCCCAAAGTTCTTTCCATCCATTAGAGCCGAAAGTCAGCATGACAGCGCGCTAGTTGAATCCTCTGAGGTCCCGAACCTGTCTATTTTGGAGTGATCGGAAAGTTTATCTAAACGCCATTTTCTTCAAGTAAGCATTTTATCTGGTATCGGGGCTAATCGTTTTGGCCGTGGATGCTATCATGGTTCTTTGTCGTGATTACATCTTTCAGGTCTTTTCAACGAGGTATATATGCAAGGACTATGGAAGGAAAAAACACGATGGAGTAGACTTCTTGTCCATTTTCCGCATCGCTTTATATGTAAAGATCTTTCTTCGCGTAGGTAGGTATGTACCTATTTTGAACCAAATATGTATCATGTATGAATCCACAGAAAATGGGGGCCGAGGGCGGCGGTAAGACACACCAAGCATGCACACTTGTACAATTTTAGGTATTACGTGGTGAAGGTCAAGGCTTCCCAGCGCCAGTCATAATCTTTCATTTATTTCTCCAAGTCGAGCAATACGGAATTAGCCATATATTTAGCAGTTCTTGAAAATGCTCTGAGCACAAGGCATGTGGGTCAATGCCATATGAAGCATGCGCCATCCGAGTCATTATTTTATCTGACCCTAGCCTTCAGACAAGGAAATAAGAACTATTCTATCACTTTAACATCTAAGTCAACCTAATAAGGAATCTAGAGTCTTCGTTGACAGTGATCTTTTGACCAGCACACAACCTTGGGTCGAGAGATATAAGACTAGAAAGGCCGCAGGCGCAGTATTCTATAAAGCACGACTCCAAACAAATCATATTTACAAGTTCATTGTCTTCATCTTGATGACAAATCTTGGGCGAAAACTAAATCCGTTAGACCCACAGCCATGTCTCAAGCTATATACACTGTCCGTGTAGACAACATTCATCAGCTTCGAACGCTTATAATCTCTTGCCGAGTTTTATGGCTCAGCTTGCTAAGTCCTTTGTGAAGGTAAGACCACAAAAGGCCAACACACATGTCTCGGAGGAACTACTCAAACGCGAAAGCCTTGACTCATGGCAGTCCGACACCAATCGGCCGCATCACTACATCATCAACTAAGTGGCCGAGCCGATTTTGGAATATAATGACCACTTGAGAACCTTATGGCAGACCATGGAAGAGCACTCAGAGATCCCTCCTAGTCCTGGTGAACGGGTTTACTAATCACACAGGTAGCTGCCAGCGCTGCACGGTAAACCTTGTTCTCTGGATCGCCGGCACACTTACAAAACGCACAGGACGCGGATAGGCTGTTCATGGTGAGATGGAACATTCAGGTACAGATTGAATCTGAGCGCAGGATCTGCATTCAGGAACAGGATAGCCTCTGTATCTAGTTGTTGGCAGTATCAGAGGACGAACTGTGCCAACCATGAGCCGACCCAGCATCCCAATTGAGAAAAAGGCTTGGGCCGCCCGCCCCCTGTAGATAGACTAGTGTAGTGAGTGGTAAGAACCCCTGATCCGAAGTTCAAGAGAGGCTGGAACCACAGCACCCAGACCCAGCCAGGGTTTCTCTTGGTAGAAGAAGGACAGGCGCACCAACACCAGGCAATTGGTAGAATGCGACGACAATCGGCTCGAACGGATATGGATAGTTCGAGATCTAGGAACTGTCTGCTTTTACAACATAGTATGAGCGGAAACTCGGTGTTTGCGGCCGCCCGTGAGAAGAGGACCTCGTTCTCAAGACTGTGCATGTAGTAATGGTATGGATCGTCGCTGCACCGCGGGAGTGCCTGGTGTTGGTTCCAGGGGCGAAGCGTGGCCAATGGGGACGACCCGGGGACTGTTTGCGGGCCTAAGCGGCCCTTCGCGGGGCCAAGCCCCTGGTTTCCGTGATTATACACGTGTAGTAAACTGCTAGTACCAGTCCGTCTCCATACCCGCCCAACCTACATGCTCTAGGGCCTTCTGCACCATGTTCTATCGGCATTCATCATCTTGGTATCGTCATGTTTAGCATATCAAATTCAGGAAAATTATTCAACTTTTCATAATATAACTATACAACACCATATATCCCTTTCCAACTTGTTCAAGTATCTTCGATTCGAGATTTCCAGCTTGTGCTCTCAGGCATAGCCAAAAGCAATACTCCCAGGGAATGCGTGCAATCAAGGGGCTTTATGCTAGCGCAGTGAGTTTAGTGGAGACTGCAGGTGTCCTTGCCATTCTCCTCCACCGCAACACCAGTCAGTTTTTCGCTCTCTGGGCACTTGTCTAGTTCCTCTTTGCATGTCCGGACAACTTCTAGACGTGTTCCATTCATGTGCAACAGGTGACAAACGACATCTAAACTTTTCAAGGGCGATTTAAAGTCTGTGCTATTACGCACGTTACTTACCGCGGTTAGGCCAGCCGAGACAATAGTGGTCAGCAAGGAGGATTACTTGAGCTCCTTCCTACTACCTAAAACCTAGCTGCAGAACGCTCCATCAGACTCCAGAAGTTCCTTTTGGGCACCTTGCTTAGTGCAATGCCAGGGATGCTAGAACGACTTTTCCCCCTCACAACCTGGGGTCACGAAGGTCCCGATTGTATTTTAGGACCCCGTTCTCGGGCTTGATATGGCCTGACCTGTACGGGTCTATCCAGGACCGCCAGCAATCAGCGTCATGCCCTTTGGCTGACTCTCGCCTAAGGAAGGATGCAATGTGTCGTGGACCCCCTCAAGGCTTCTTTTCCACTTGGGCAACGGCCGTTGGGGCGGAATTGCCGGCACACCCCCAGATTTTACTGAAGAATACCTCGTCTCTCATGACTTTTTTTCCGGTTTCTCTACAATCTCTTACAATATTCCAGCTGGTAGTTGCCCGCTCGTCCTTACAAGTCTGACGCAATGGCGTCCCAGACATCGACTTATTCGTCGTCTTCAATCAGGTCGATTTCTTACAAACGTCTCAGCTCAAGGATACCCGAGATTCGCCTACTTGAGATTGCCCCGACCGGCCACCTCGAGAGGCCAATTTCATGTCGCCTAGTGAACGTGCCACTGAGCGAGAAACCAGTATTTGTTGGTTTGTCCGTTTTGCTGGGCGATTCCACCATTGCAGAGATCATTCTCATGAACCATTCCAGAGTTCATATTCCCGCCACTCTGGCAGAGGCAATTCGCCACGTGAGAACTGTCTTCAATGATGGTTCTGGGCCATCATCACGCCACTCGATATCGTCCAGCATCAGCTCGACCCCAAAGCTGAGCCGCAACCTTGACGTCGCTTCTGTCAGCAGCAAGGAATCGTACAGCTCCCGCCAGCCACTACGCCGCCTCTGTGATCTTGTCAACTCTGGAAAGACCAACCCGCCCAAGCCTCAACCCTTGCGGATCTGGACAGATAGTTTATGCATCAATGAGGATGATTCTCGAGAAGCAGGTGACAGGGCGAAATTAATGCAGGTTGCCTACCGTCGCGCTCGTACTGTTGTCGGCTGGCTCGGTCTCAAGCACGACAGCTCAGAAATTCTTGTCGACACCCTGAAAACCATAGATCGTGCCATGCCAGACGGGTTTGGTAGTCCAAAAGATAAGGCAGATCACCCAGAGAACTATTCGCCGCACTCTTCCTGGATGGCAGGGATGATGCAGCCTTGGCTGGTGGCGGATGAGGTCAATCAATTGGACGACTGTCCAATTCATGAAGCCATGAGAAACTTTATGCTTCGACCTTATTTCCAGAATAGTTGGATCGTGAGGGAATTGGCAGGTGCCACCTTTCCTACCTTTTTGCTGGAAGACCGTATCGTCAGCTGGGCTCAGGTTCTGCGCATGAATCGTGCAACGGAAGAGCTGGTAAACCACGGGACGGACTTGATTCCCGACAAATACAGAGAGCAGCTCAACCTCTTCTCACTAGACACCATCTTTATCTTTCTAGATGCGTTTGATGTTTATTGTCGAGGCTCTTAGATGAGACAGTTGTGCGCCATGGAACCTGTCATTGATAAGGCCTTGCTGAGATCATCCCGCCGCCTCGCAAGGCCCATCTATCAAGCGGATCACATGGGCGACGTGCAATATTAACCGAGCTATCCGAGCCATCTTTTTCCAAACACGGCGCCTCGTCTTCTAATGGCGCGATGAGAATCTACCAGGGCGTACAGCAGGGATCCTTTGGCTCTGCAAGTCCATGCCTAGAAAGACTGTCCTGGTAGCAGCTTCAGATCAAGCATACAGCTGTCGGCTCTATGGTGAAGGAGGTGGTATCATGGGACAATTCCCACAATACCTGTTGATCGATGCAGTAATAGCTCTGGCTAGTTCGATGCATCAACAACTTCGGTTGTGATCTGCAACAACGGGCAAGAATCCACGTTTCTGGAGGAAGGGAAGGCAGGCAAAGTTTGATGCCCGCCATTTTCGCTGCAGGAGACTGAACTAAAGTGTACTTGTCAAATGTGCAACCGATCATATCGAGCCATTGCGTAAACCACGTCGTGAGCTGGATCGGTTGAGGATAGCACCCTGAACATTTCTGTGAGTTGGACTTTATTGATCTCTAGAGCCATTCTTTTTCTGGACTGTTAGACGACACTTAGTTTCAATAGCGTTGCTGCATTCTTCCATCGTATCCCTTCCAGCTCTTCCTCGCTGACCATTCCACTCTGCTCTAGCTCTTCTAGCCACTTGAGCCCGTCACCGCTCTTGGCAAAGGGGTAGTCAACACTGTACATGATTCTATCATGTTTAGTGTTTCGTAGAATACAGGCCAGTGGGTCGAGTGCCCAATTTCCGCTCGTCGTCAACCACAAGTTGTTGTCCCATACTTCACGAAAGGACCTCTTGTTACCCCACCGTGATGATACCCTTTCGATCCTCTGGAGCATGTATGGAATCATCTCCCCCATATGCCCAATGATGATTTTGAGTTTGGGAAACCGGTCAAACACACCCGTGGCATACAATCGCAGAACATGGACGGCAACATCGCTGTGCCACCCAAACCCGAATGCGAGAATGGATTTTGACACGTGCTCAGGGAGATTGGGCGACTTGTACGCATCAAAGAGCTGGTCTGATGGCCACGTCGGATGAATGTAGATTGGCACGTCCAACCTTACCGCCTCGTCCCAGAGCACATCAAATTCGGGCCCGTCATAGTACAAGCCCTTTTCAGTGTGACTGTCAATCAAAGCGCCGACAAATTTGGCCACATCATTCTCCCCCGAACACGTACGTCGGAGCTCCTTGGCGGCCTCATCGGGCTCGTCCATGGGCAGCTCGGCAAAGCCGGCGAACCGGTCCGGGTGGGCGCGCACGGCCTCGGCCAGCTGGTCATTGCACTCTCGACACTGGGCGGGCGAAAGATCGCCGGGGCCGTGGGAAATAACTTGCATCGTGACCTGGCCCGACTCCATGTCCTCGAGTCGCTTGGGGCCGAGCTCGGTGAATTGCTCAAATAGGCCCGGGATGGCCTTGAAGGCTGCATTGTTCTCGTTGGGTTGGGCACTAGCTGCTCGCGAGAGGAAATGTTCCTCGAGGGTGATAATTGGCCTAGATGATGCCGCTTTGGGGTTGGTTGATGTCGTGTGGGCCATTCTGATGACGGTGTGAGAAGTTGGTGTCTTGAGGAGCTTGTGAGGTGATTAGTGGGAAGTTTAGGAGATGGGTGCACCAGATGATACGTCTCAACTTGAGGGAGGACAAGAGAAGAACAAATATTAGGAATCAAGGGGCAGATCCATGGGCTAATACTATGATTTATATATGTATGTCCATTCCTTCAATGGAGAATATGACGTCCGGCCGGTTCTCCCCACCAAAACGGGGATTTGTTCACTGAAACACCGATTAGCTCCGGCCCGGACAAGATGGCCGTTTAACTCCGCCAAGACCTGGAGCCGTTCTTATCGCTGCACTGACGTAAGATAGTATCCACTTCATCCTTCTTACTTAGTACATGGTAGTCTTGTCAACAAGTTGTTCAACACCTCTTAATAATTGACTCAAGCGAAGTGGTAATCTTCAGTCTGCGGTATATAGTACTCTGGCTATAGCACCTCAATGTATATCTCTACATCTCTGCTTCAGAAAATCACCGCGACTCATGAGCAACATATTACTATTCTCAACGGAGGTCAGCTAATCTACTCATAATTATATTTGCATTCGACTAAAATCCGAACAAGAAACTCCGCAAATTAAGCAGTGGTAGACTGTGAATCACTAATATCCGTGGCCGCGAACAAGTTCAACCTCCGGAAAGCTCGAGTCCGTTCCTGAAAGGACAGTCGAGTTTCGATGATCAAACACGAATTCAGCAGAATCTGTTACAACCCTCGTGATGATATCGCCGGCCCTCTCCCATGGTATAGTTCCCACGAATGCTTGCACAGTTTCAATAACGTCGACGTTAGTGAGGTTCATGGTACCAATGACGGCGGGAAAGTCTGTAAAGGCAGCATGCAGAGAACCTGACACCTCGAGCTCAATAATCGGTCCGGTCGAGATGTTGTAGAAACTGTCCCAGGTGGTGTCTTCCAGTCGGTGGTTTGGTCTGCCCACATTGATGAATGGTGCGCTCACTCCCGTTGCCAAAACCTTGTCGAAAAATCGCCCGTCGAGATTAATACCACCGCGGATGCGGGAGTCCGTCAGCATGAGGGTGGCTGCGGTGGCGCCGCCGAGTGAATGGCCGTACATGACGAGCTTTTCGAAATTAATGACATTTCCACTATGCCCAATGACCCGTCTCAATGGGGCCTAGTTTTGAAGCTCGTCAATCACAAAAGAAACGTCTTTTGCTCGAACCTAGAATTTGCCGTCAGCTATACACTTGGTCTTTGAGATTTGAGCTATATTTTGCTTACATCTAGGAGTGCGTTAAGTGCCGCTATATCGTCGCTCGAAATGTTCGCAGCTGTGACGTAGCTGCCATCTGGGTACTCTACCACATTGGCATCGTACGGGTGGTCGATAGATGCAACAATGTACCCCTCGCTCGCCAGAGACTGGGCCATGGCATTGTATACCAGGCGCGATTGTCCAAAGCCAGGTGAAAAGAGTAAGAGCGGACGCGAGATTTGAGCAGCCCTGCGGATGTCTCTGCGGCCTCTGGCGCAACCTGCCAGAGGCAAGCTTTTGCAAAGCTTCATATTGAGCTCGGAAAAGGTGCCATTGGGCAAGCCAGCGGACATGGCGAGGATGTCATAATCCGCCGCAACGAGGGGAGTCATGTACGGTACTAGCTCTGGGACGCATTGAGATGTGGCATTATCCATGGGCATGAAGACTGAGACCATTAGTTTTCGTAGGCGGGGTGCATCGGCTGGGGCGTAAGGGTCCATGCGCGATGTGTCGCTCAGCGCAGTGGTGAAAAGACCGACAGAGAACGGGCCATTGGGCGTAGGCAAGGTTACGGCATTTGCAACCGCCGATTGCAGGAGGAAAAAGAAGTGAAGGTATTTCATGTTGTTGGGATTCGAATCACAGTGCGGTGCTAGTTATTAAATTGTAATCAATGACTTTGTGCTGCATGGTGTACCGCAAACAAACTTTGGGTCGTTGAGAGTTTATATAGATGTTGTTTCGTTTCGTTTCGTCATGAGTGTACCAAGAGCAACCATGTCAAACATCATGGACGTTGACGAACAAAACGGGTGAAGATCAGAGGGAGGGCGCCATTCCCAAAGCGGTAATAATCGAGCGAATACGACAATGGTGATGTGTTAGGACATGGTATTGCGCTACCTATAGGATGAGCAGGGAGTTCATGTACCCCTGGGACCAAGGCGGAGACAATTATACCTTAAATGCATTAAACACGCGCTTCGCGAGATTGATACCGTTTCGGGGATAGTGAGTGGCAGTGACAGCGAGAATCAATTCAGCCGCACGACTTTCTCCAGCACATGACAGGCAACCAGTTCCAAGGACGCCGAAATTCAATCAGACAAGACAATCAACAAAACACCTCATTGTGTTCCGTTTTGCCTGGGCAATTGGCGATGCCGTTGGGTCCGTTTGATCTTAGGGCCAAGAGCTCGCGTTGTCTGCCTTGTGCACAACGTCATGTCAAGGTGATATTCCACACAGTGGAGCAGATGTATTACAGTCAACAGCTGACTTTGGCAGTGTTCTGGGGGTCTGCCTTGCGCAGCATGCGATCGCCGAGGTGTGGCTTGCGAGTATCCACAGACGGACACAAGCAAGCCCATATTGTTAGAATATGGAAAACACAAAACGTCTCAAAAGTCTACCAAAAGCACACCGAATAACATCGTCATCGCTCATCAGTATCGGCCCCAATTCAAACGAGCATTACTTCCCGATTCAACCGAGCGTTATCTCCATTTCTTTGGGGTGTTTATGCAGAAAAACAATTTTAATCCCAGTGATCCACTATATGATGCTGATATCAAGACTATTCTGGGTTACCAGAGTTCCGGGTTCCTGCTCCGTGCCATGCTCGCAGTTGGCGCACTCGAAGCCTCAAAATGGGACAACAGAAGCTCAGCTTTAGAGAAGCACTATCTCCAGGACAGTCAGTCTGGCATTCAATCTTACTCTGCTGCCATTGTTGAACTTCGTAATCATATGGAGTTTCACGAATCTCCATCACAGATTCAAGTCTTGTGGACGACTTTATTCGTGGGGCTGTTTGAGGTGAGTGCCTTTTCATGCCCACCTAGATATATATCAATTATCTCCTCCAACTTCATGCTAGCTTTCTGATTCTATCATTCTGACGGGTCCCAGTTGATGCACGATTCAACAGGTGCAGGATGGATCAAACATATGGTTCACGGCACATCAAAAGCAGTAGCAGCAACTGGGCCCGAATTCTTCCAGTCCAAGCCCGGACGCAGTTTCTTTGCACAGGCTCGTGTGTTCGAAGCATGTAGGGCCATCATCTTCAATGACGCTACTTTTCTTACAGGGCCTCAGTGGCTCGACTTCTCAACTCAAACAAGGGACGAATCGGTGCCCGCATCAGTCTCACCACCAGACTCGTTGAATGATCTTCTTATCATTGTTGTATTGTGTTCCAAGTTGAGCGTTCGGTATGCAATCAACCAAAGGCTCTTAAGAAATTGATCTGAACTGACAATCTCACAGTGTTGGTCATTTCGTGAGGGAATATAACCAATTAAACCCCGTTGATGCCACCAGTATCGCCGCCGATTTTGCTATAGAAGGTGGTCGTCTAAGGGAAAGGCTTCGTTCTTGGCGCGAGGCAAACTCAATCGTCTCCAGTATCAGCCTTCCCTTGGACACACACGGTTTTCACAATGAGCAAATTTCCGTGCCCAGCGGAGAAGCACTCTTGGCCAATGCCTTCTTTTCAGCGACAGCCATATATCTTTCCGGGATTTTCGATTACAATGTTACCTTGTGGAAAGGTTCAATGGTTTCACCACCAACACTCAATGAACAGGATATTCAAGCGCATGTTTGTGACATTTTATGTTCGACGAGAAGAGGGTTGGAGAGAACCAATTTGTCGCATCTACTTTACCTGTTTCCTCTTAGAGTTGCAGGGGCAAGATCTATTGACATTTCACAGCGCAAGGAAATACTGGAGCTGTACAGAAAAATCAAATCTAATTTTTCGGTGGCCGAAACTTTCCAGCGCGAATTAGGAAATCTTTGGGGGAGAAATCCATGTGTCTGAACAAACAAACCTTCGGAGCAACTGATCAATAAGAATCTAGTCTTATTTCTGATATATTTTTACATTGTGCAACAATTCGGACACAACCAAAGCTGTCAGTGTCATTTGAAGTACTCAGTCAAGGAATAATGTTGATAGCCAGTATGCTTGGCATAATGGGATTGACCGATACCAACCAAATGTTAGGAACTATTTTCTACCGTAAAGTCATCTTCTCAAATAGGGCCATGTTTCGGTTTGGACCGCCATTTTCTATTGCTCGCCAACTCATTTACTCGTGGTCATGACGACTGTGTTCCGCCGGTCTAAAAACACAGCATCTGGCCAATGGCTGCAATGTTCTTCAGTTGTTTGACCGTGATCGGCCGCCGCAATCGTACGTGTCAACGGAGAATCATTGGCACAGAGTTGCCAACTTCAGGTGGTCAAGGACTGTCCACTTGTCTCAACATCGGTTTCAAATGTAACGGTTCGGGGGACCGAAGCATCCATCCACTTGTCTCAACATCGGTTTCAAATGTAACGGTTCGGGGGACCGAAGCATCCATCCTGCTGCATGAAAAGGTGGTCTTGGCTTCGGGAGTAAAAGTCTAGGGTTCCATCTGCTACATGCCGCCTTACCTCTTGGTTTCCATCCACGAGAGCCGCAAAGATGTACCTGTTCATGTAAATGAATCCTGATTCTTTCTCCATGTGGGCAGTAAAACCTGGTCCAAATCGGTCACGTAGATCCACATGGCACCTTTCGTGCACCCATTTTAAAAAGTCCCAGGAGGAACAGTAGAGTCTCATCCAGGGGTAAGCGATCTCATCCCACTCGTTGGTCAGCGAGACTGCGATCTGATAGATCAATGGTTCCCGGAGTTTCTTTCCTCTGGCGAAGACTTGACCCCGAGTGCGAGCGCCGGTACCGCGCTCCGTGGGTGTGTATTGGGCAATGCCGTGATTACCAAACCCAAGAATAATCTCGGCGGAATCGATTGTCAAGAGTGACTGCTCCGTCAAATTTACATAACGATCGACAAACTTTGACGAGACTGGGAGTTGATTTTCCAGCTTTATCTCTTCATGATTGTTAGTCGCATACTTGTCAACCATGAAAGTTATTCTACTTTACCTCGCATGCACTTTCTGGATTCAACAGAGTTGCTCCCAGCGAGGTTCTGGGCCTTGCGTCCGAATTGTGCTTCAAACTTCCTCAAGTAGTGGCTCGGATCTATGGGTGCGTCGCCATCAAATACAACAGAGTCTCCAAGAATTTTGCGAGCGACATCCATATCTTGCCATTCAGCCGTGAATAGCTTTTCACTCTGAAGTGCATTATGCAAATGAATTGCAGATGCAATAGCTCCGAATGAGTGCCCTACAAGACTTGCTCTTCGGTACTCGAGTCGAATCCGAAATAAAATCAATCCGCTAAGCACGGGCGACATTTCTAGGATGCGATTGCGTTCAATGGTTTGGGGTATTTCCATACCACGGTCTCTTAGCGTCTGTGTCTTGAATTCGTACACAGGGTCGGTGAGAACCATGTCAATCATATCCATCTGTGCCCGAACTTCCTTGGATGGTATCTCATGATTCATTCCTCCTTCCTGGTGAAGTTGAAGCTGTGCTTTCAGGTCGCCCTGGATATTAGTTGCGTGGACTTGGAGTGTCTGAAATGCCCAGATTACGCCTTCGCCCAAGAAATCATGGATGTCGAGATGAATCTGCGTGTAGAAAGATATGTTAACTACCTAGCCAAGCATAAATGAAGAAAGGTTATCGAGGCTGAACCGATAGATCAGATCAGTAACAGACTCGTCTTTTGGCGCTCACCTGGATAGCAAAAATCAGATAGAATGGGATCTGCCCCGTTTCAGAGAGCGCAATCATACCACGTATCATCTCGTCTTTGACCGGATAATTTTGTAATCGAGTCACGTGAAAAAGGTCATCGAGAACAACGGCCATGATTGCTCTGTCTTTTTTGTGCTTTTCGTATGCCGTCTTGGTAGGTCTGTCGCTACGAGCAAAGTATTGGTGATATTCATCTTCTGTTCCCATAAAGGATGCCTTTTCCTTGAACCTTTCCACCATGGAAAACAGCTCTCGAGTGACAAAGTAGAATGATTCCCGGCCGAGCTCATATAGACCATCGCCGCAATAAGGGCAGTGGAGAAAATCAACTCCAGAGGGACCGAGATGTTTCTCCCCGCAGGCAATGGCACTTGCCTGTTTGTCGAAAATTTGGGACATGATTCGGAATATCCCGCCATTTGTTTCCATTTCAGGAACGAATTTATCCATCTCTTGACGGGCAGCTTCAATCGCCGTGTTGGTGCTGATCGCAGCCGCGGCGAGGCCTATTTTGTCCTTCTGATAATCCAACCAAATTCGGATAATGGTGTCGCGGAACGTACTGAGAACCGCGATGCCAGCCATGGCCGTGCGAACAACATCATCTTGTGTTCCTGAGGACTCAGTCTTGTGAATAGTAGCATTGTTGGTTACCTGCTCGGGTCGTTCGCAAGGAGTATTCCCCGTCGCTGCCGATTCTACCGCCGATTCCGATGGAGTCTGTACCAACGGCCGAAGAATCTGGCGGATGATTTCCAAAACTTGAACAAAGTGTGCATGTTTCTGGTCTGCCAGAACATCCTTTTCGGCTTGGTGACGGGCGTATTCTCGGCTAAACTCTTTGCGTGACTCTATCAAATCACCGAGGGCCAAGTCAATCCAGGAGGGTACAGGTATTTGCGCTTCAGCGATCCATTCGGCCAGTCTAATGTAATCCTGGGTCGAAATTGAATAGGTCCATCCTCGGATCCGATTAGTTGGTATTGACCCTTTCTTGTCTTCCTTGGCGTAGCCCAGGTCACCGGGATAGCCTGATGTGGATCTTTGGGTCAGTACTGACGCGTCGGAGTGACGACCCTCCAAACATACCATGGGCCTTGGCTGTAGGTACCAACCAGTCTGTAATACGTTTCGTCAGATGTTTGTATAGTCGGTAGGCATTGAGCTGATGACGAGGCAACATGTTCACTGTTGCACATCTATTGATGTGAACTATGAAAAGTGAGGTGTCGGGAGAAGCCCTCGAAGCCGCTCCCGATACTATTGTGCATCCAGACTGTTGGACCGTTGGAAAGGATGTGTAGAATTGAGCGAGGGGCGGGTGAAAGTAAGAGGACGGGCGGCATGGCCATGGCTTAGTGAGGTCAATGAGCATTCCCAGAGGGTAAAACAGGCAGATGATTGAATTGGTCTCAAAAAAAATTCAGCAGAACATAAAAGGCTGGCACTAAACCGAACTGCATAATCCCGAAAGTCTATAATCCTTTCTCCAACATGCTTCACTAGTGGCCCAAGTAACGGCCACTCTTGTTGCAAAAGTATAAAAATCGAACCGGATGCTAGGCAAGTCATGGTTCATTTATAAAGTGGAACGTCAACATGAACTGGGCCATGTATACCGACTTACTCTCCTTCAACCGATCGCTAGCCTCCCTGGCGTTGTCTGAAAGACCATGTGCAACTTGTGGCTATTTGGAACTACCCACATGTCTGCCTGGAGAGACACGATTGTACCGCTCTCGTCAGCATCTTCAAGTTTTTCATAGCACAAAGCTTATCCTCTGCCCAGAAGGAGAAACCCGAACACATTCTTGACATTCTGAGAATTACTGAAGAACATGAAAATTTCGAATTGCTCACGAAACTGGAGGAATGGATTGCGCTTCATATGGGCGAACTAGATTGTTTTTGGACCAAAGGATCTTCTGTATCCAAAAGCTTCGGTCATAGAATTGCGATGACTTGACACCTACAAACACCATGTCTTTGGAGAATAATGGCACTAGTCGTCCAGCATCTCAGGCCGAGCTTTCTCTTGCCCCAACCACGATGCATTTCAAACTAATGAGTCTGTATTACTAATACTACAAGTATCCCCAACATATGCACGAGCATTGATAGCCAGTCAGTGGGATATCAGTACGACATGTTTAAGAATCTAGATCGGCTGAGGTTTACAAATCTCCGTCTGTATACCCTGTGAGGATCGACCTTGAGACCAGACAACCCATTCATACATGATTGCTGAGTGGTTCAGGTACTTTAAGTCAGAATCGAGAAACAAAATCACGAAGCTGGAAGAACGTGCTCAAGTTCAGATCATTAAGATGCCACAGCAGCAAAAACTGAATAAAGTTTGTAATCGTCAGGTAGTATATGAAAGATCACTTATGCCTACGTACGGCATATTTTCGCAGCTATGCTTCATGCCGATCATCCGGTTTTAGATATTAAGTACCTATCAGATATTAAATGATTTCCTCGACCCGTAGTGTTACTTATGATAAAGGAATAGTGAATTGACTGCGTCGGTTCTGCTGAGACCGGGGAACATTGGTGTATTGTAGCGGTACGAGGCACCTGTCGGGCCGATGTGCGAATGCTTGCGCCGAAATGGAATGAGCCCTAATTCTTTTTTATTAAAACAAAACCCAAATATACAGACTCTACCTATAATTGATTGTATTTCTTTCATTTAATTTCTTATTATTGTCTTTCAAGACCTTTTCCGCTCACGTGCAGTGGGCATATTCAACAGAGATGCCTATGTGCAAGTGAACAGCAATTTACAGTGGGTGCGGGCCCGTGGAGTGAAGCCTGGCAGTACTTGCATTGGGGCTGTAGTATTTGGTTCAACGCCTGTAAATCAGATATTGCAGGTGGTGTAGGGGTCTACCTAGTGGACTAGACACTAACCTTAGGTACAAACTTGGTATATGCATGCATGATGTATTCTTTGCTCGGAGGCTCGGCCAATTACTAAAACAAACTTGACAACATCCCGAATTATCAATTACAATTCACTTCTTTGCGCTCATAACGGAACAAGCTCTCAGTCACAACCAAAAATCGCCACAGTAGCACCATCTTCAAGCACCTTGGCGCTGAGCCGACCGCATCCACCATGCCGATGAGTCGTCTGGCTCCGCCTCAGCATCCAGGTCAATGGTGCAACCTTTGAAGTACTGAGATACACCCAAAGCTCGATCATGACACGTGAGAAGCAGTTTGAAGACAATAGACTCACTGTTTCCCACGAGCCGCGTCAATCGCCTCACCACCTTCTCAGTGTCCTGATACAAGGCACTCGTCTCGTATCGAGTGATTTCATCAATGACGCAAATCAAGACGCTTTCCTCGGGCAACTGGCTGATGAGCTGTCGCAAAAGCTTCCAAAGGGTGTCGAGCTTCATGTTCGCATGGCGATGCCAGTCGCGAGTCTCGAAAAACGAAAGATCCATCTGGACGTCTCTATGCAGCATTTGGCTCAGCAGCTGCCCCGCAAAGCTCGCCACGATCCCGAAAGACGACGCCTCGGTCGACGGCTCAAAGCTAGGCCGATGGAAGTCGCAGAAATACGCCATCAAATAAATCGAACCCGCGTCACGCGAGGCTCGCACAAGACTTCCAGCGACATAGGTCAAGGACGATATGCTTTCAGCCGCTGCCAGATCTTTTCTTCCGTTGACGAGCAGAGAAGTCGAGGCTGAGGTCTCTACCATCATTGCTTTGTATTCACTGTGCCGTATCATGGCGGCCGCTCGAGCCTTTTCGCCTTCTTCCAACCGCTCACCAATCCCAACGGACCTCTCCAGGTCTCTTTCGATGACATTTGGATCATATCTGATGGCGTCTAGAATGCTGTGAGCAAATTTGGTCATATCTTCCACGCTAGGGCGCGAGTTTGCATTCCGGGCAAATGAGGCCGCGTTAGTGGTCTGATTTATCCTGTCAGTTGGACCGCTCTCTATCATCAACGAGCTGCGCTGTTCCAAGACTCCAAGCCTCGAGTTCATGGCTTCAAGCTGCGATGCTGACCATTTGTCAATTTTCCAATATGAAAGCTCCTGCACTGTGCCCGCTTACCAGTGTATTCGTGCCGTGCAGGTATGCTTTCCTCAAGCAATCTTTGCAGTGCTTTCAACACTTCGTTGCCTGTTTGTTTTACATCTTTGATGGCCAGGTTGCTGTCACGAACTGCCCAGGCCAAACATTGATCTGCCTCCTCTTTGATCCTAGAAGCTTGTCTCCGGATCTCGTTGATGCTTTCAATCAATTCGGCCTTGTAAGCAGACTGCTTCAATGTCGATTGCATCGTTTTCTCTGTACCCATCGTCAGCGTTGCCAGCCGTTTAGAAAGCGCGGGCTCTTACTCAGGCCCCCGTCTGCAAAGAACTGCATGATGTGGGTGAGAGCTCTCAAAACGGCCAGGAAAAGATCAAATGTTTTTCTCTCGAGTAACTGGTCCTGACGACCGGCATATATTCTGACATAATTCTGTGCACCTTGAATGATCTCGGGAATATCTGCAAGTGCGCTAAATACTGCCTCCTCGATTTTGACGTACCGGCCGGCAGCCTGCACATAGACTAGTCAGCATGCGAGTGAGCGAACCTGGTGGAAAAAGACAGCAGAACTCGGTTCCCTACCCCTATCGCGAGTTTGAAAACTCCGCATAGACTGAAAGTTTGTGAGTCATGCTTCTGCTTGATCGTTGCAATGAGACCTTACCTTGCTCCATAGTCCCCGTCTGGCAGCAATCCTAGCCAGCTTTCAAAGACCGCAGAGTTCCTTCCGACCTTGCTGATACAAAGCATCGCCTGGGACGTCCGATTTGGGGTTGTTGACCACTGTGCAGCGGTATCTTGAACTTGACTCAAGACGTCTTCCCAGCGACAGCTTCGGATACTCTGAGGCGACTGCTGCATTCCCTTCTTTGACAGCTTGACTTGGACCTTTTCCAGCAGTTCAAACAATTTCTCCATTTCGGAATCGGCTTGTTTCCATAGCTCGGCACTACATGTGCTGGACTCAGCTAACGTCGGTTGAGAAAGATGACAGAGCTTACCTTATTTGATCTTGCTTCTTTGCCTCAGGAACGGAAACGTATGTGTCCAGTGATTCGCAATACACGGCATCAGGTTGCCCTGCGACGACCATTCTAGTTTCGACAAAACGGATAGCTTCGCTGGGGGGGTGTCGTGGCCGTGAGTTAAGATACTCCGATCTGTCGGAAAGTTCTGTCGTCATTTTGATGGTTTGAAATTCTCAAGCTGGCATTCGGTCTCGAAGTGAGTTTCTATCTCTATCTTGGATACCTATGTAGGCATATCAGCATTTGGGTTTCTAATGCAACGCCAGACTTTTGGAAAAGCCAGGTCGATCCGTTCCCACTCATTACGACATCTCACGAGAGCGGGGCACATTGTTTTTTTAGTGACATGTAGGAGGGGGAATTGTCTTACTGATTGGTTGTCTACATGCATTGGCCGGGAATGTTGTCGTATTACCATGCATGTGTGTCGGTGAAAGCAGGCGGCTAGCCGATCCATTTGTTGGGGGCTATATTCCTCCCCATGGTAAGGCTGAGGATTTTGGGCTTCGCATTTCCCCTCTCCAGTTGTGCCCATCTCTCTCTAGTTCTCTCCAGCTCTCTCAGCGAAAGCCGAATTTCGGCAAGAACAATACCATCCACGTCACGATGTCAGTTCCGAGTCCACCAGTGGCTCTCCAGAAATCAACAGCCATGGAGGCCGCAGCTACCACAGAAACCAAAGGGGTTTCCTCACCAGTTGTCGATCCCCAAGTCAACAACGCCGTACCCCCAGTGCATACCACGGCGAATACAGAAGCTCTTGATGGTGAACTGCTGGTAGAACCAACAGAGTACATCGAACAGACACGCTTCATTACCGCCAATATGGCGTATAGTAATAACGAGGTAGAAAAGATGCTTGAGAAGGAACGAAAAGCTGGTCGTATTGATTTGCGGTCACGGCAAGCCATGATGCACATTACCTTGACTCAAGCGAGGATTAGTGATCTTGAACAGGAGCTCGAGAAGCTGAAGAACCATGTGTTTGACACGCCTAAGGAGAAGATGAGGAAGGAGAGGATGAAGTATCCAATCCACCACCGCGAAGTTCGACGATCTACACCAACCGATTTCGAGATCACAAAAACTACTTACGACGTACCTATCGAAAGACGCCCAGCATTAGAAGTCTCAATTTCCGAATCCGCGTATCCACAGACTAGTGGAAGTCTTCCGCTTCAATCACAGGCTGATGGCAATTCTAAGAACAACCATGAGGTAGCCAGTATCAAAGGGGCTCAAACACCAGAGCGACTGAGGATTCGATCTACACCGCTACTTATCCACCTGAGAAGTGTGACGGGAGAGGCCGTGGAGCTGAACGATTCCATAGACACGTACAATGATCATCGGCAGGTGTTCCCAGGGCGAACTTTTCTGCGGCCATTCAAACTCTTCATCAAGCACGAAAAGTCGATCAGACAAAGTTTGATTGACCTACAATCACAAGTTGATGAACGCAAAGATAATCCTATGTCAGAAGGTGTGGTAAACAATTCGTCGTCCCAAAAAGAGGATAGGGATTTCGAGTTCACAGATGAAGACCTTCTGGAAGACTTGAAACTTTTGATAGAGTTTCTTGACCATGATCTACAGCCTACGTTTCAGCTGAGACGGCTCATTGACAATGGAACACTTTCGAACATTGAGTTTGGAGATCTATGGCACTTGTTCAGCTTCGGTGCTACAGTTGTATGTCAAACTGATGATACGCGGGCCTACAGAATCGTGGGGTTTACGGGCGGCCGAGACCCGTTAACCAAGATTATGAAGTCCGAATCAGATAGGGTACCGGCACTTGATGGATTTGTGCTCGATTGTTTGGGGCTGGCTTTTGATGGATCAGAATTTGTGCCAAGCTTGCACAAATTCACCATCGCCAAGTTCCTAGGGTCAAGACCTATATCATCACTACCGGTTTATCCATTGAAGTTCCACAAGGACTACCAGAATTTGGCAACTAGCCTATGCGACCGGGGGAAACGGTTCGAAAGAATCACGGCGCCGCCGTTCTCGCAGCATTTCATGACAGGTCACACACTTGATGAAGTGTCACATGAGATAGACGCACCAGTGATTGTTGACATTGCTGCCGCATTCAACAGCAATAAGGAGTGGAAGCCTCCAACAAGGATTCAGGCTACACATATGACGAAGGCAGATTTACGTGAAACGTATTTGAATCCGTATTGCGGGCATGCATACGCCCGCGAAGGTTGTTGCGGGAGTGATATCATCTTCAAAGATCACTCCATCGATGAACGAGACTCCGCAATATACTTTCAAAACAATGGCAGCCTTCTTGGGCCGCGGAAAAGGGAAGAGTTGACGGAAGAGGACTGGATGCTCCTTCCCGACCGAGTGCACGCCTTTGTACTCCGCAATCGACAGTGGGCCACCGTAAAGGTTGCTGATCTATCCGATATGAGATACCAGCATAACTTTGACAAGCTTATGCTGCCAGAAAAGCACAAGACCTCGATTCTTGCGTTGGTGAACACCCATGAAAACTCCCGCTCGGCAGGCGGAGCAAGTATTGGAGCAGGACTTGATCTCGTGAAGGGCAAAGGAACAGGGCTGATTTTGCTACTCCATGGCGAGCCGGGTATGTTTACCATTAATCTTGATTTGTTTCTCAAACTAATCAACTGAAGGCGTTGGGAAGACCTCAACGGCGGAATGTGTTGCTGACAGCACGAAACGACCACTATTTCCCATCACTTGCGGTGATATCGGAGAAACGGCCATGGAGGTGGAGAAGAACTTGTCCTATAACTTCACTCTTGCGCACAAGTGGGGCTGTGTTCTTCTGCTTGATGAGGCAGATGTGTTTCTCGTCAAAAGGAGCAAGACTGACCTAAGGCGAAATGCCGTCACGAGCGTTTTTCTTCGCAGTCTTGAGTATTATGGCGGGATTCTATTCTTGACAACTAATCGCGTAGGCGGCATTGATCCGGCCTTCAAGTCACGAATCCATCTCAGTCTGTACTATCCGCGATTGAGGAAGGATGAGACCGTCAAGCTATACAAGACCTTCATTCAAAGAGCCAAAGACGAGCAGGCGCGAGTGGGAATTTCCACGTTCAAGATTGACAAGAAGCAGATTACCGAATTTGCTAGGCAGCACTACCGTGAAATGGATGGCGAGAAACTTGGTACATGGAATGGCAGGTAAGTGATGAAAACTGTCCCAAGTGGACGACCATGCCTGATTTGAGCCATTATTTACATGTCCAATAGGCAAATTCGCAATGCTTTTCAAGCCGCCATAGCATTAGTCGAGCACGAAAGTCACCAGGCAACACCAGGTGCACAAAAGCCAATCTTGGGAGCTGCACAGTTTCGCATCGTAGCAGAATCGTCCAAAGAGTTTGACAAGTATCTCATTTCTACCCTCGGCGCTGGAGAGTCGGATATAGCCATACGTGAGGGGTGGCGAGCAGATCGCTTTCCAAATGTCGTGCTGCAATCCTACTCGGGAGACGCTCCGAAGCCTACAAGGTCGCATCGATCAAAGGGTCGGTCGTCGCGTGCGAAGATTGAATCTGATACTGAAGATACATCTTCCGAAAGTGATGCCTCGGATGACGATAGCAGCAGTGATGACGGGGATGTCTAGCTTGTCAGCGTACTTCCTTCATGCTCGTTCAAATATATCCGAATTCTTTTTTTTTTCTTTTTTGTGCCAGCTTAATCAACGCTATCCTTGATTTTAAAAAACAGAATGTTGGTTGATTTCACTTATATCATTAATCACGTCCTTGATATATGTATAACTATTTAGATAAAGGAGCTTAAAAAAGCAAAATATTTCAAAAGGCAAATTTGCTTTAAAAGGCTTGCGGCACTTTAGAAGAAAAATCAGCCTTCTCATCCCTATAGTCACTCCCACTACCGTACCTTCTAGGTGTTTTAGGCGCAGGTAGCAAAGGTACCGCTGATCCCTCAGCCTTATATGTAGGCTGACAGGCGTGGGGTTACACAGCATCGCCTGTCTCGCCAACTTGAGGAAGCTAGCATACAAATATTTGGAGGTAAGTAAGAACTAGACCGATGAGATAAACACAGCCCCCGTAACATCAGATTTTGTCGATCCTCTGTTCTTATATAGGTGGGTTAGGCTTCTCCAAGGGCTGAAATTCTCCCCAGGGGAATAAAAAGATATCTTCACAATTGGACAACACAAAAACGATCAATGAGTCGATCCCAGCGCGGAATCAGTGGTTTTCAAAGTACTCTGTACAGCGTACCACTGTGCCACCATGAAGCGTTCCCCGTCGCCAGTGGAGTCAGAATGCTACTCCGACGTGTCCAGCTTTTCAATCAAGCTTCCTGATCTCGCGGATGCTGATAGTACAGAAAATCCGCTCGTTGATCAACTTTCAGTCAAGAAGAAACTCAAGAGACCATGGCATATTTTTCATCTGGGACATCTTGTTCACGTTGGCGCTGTAGTAGCGAGTTGTGGCCTTATTTGGCTTAACTCTAGTGCGAGGTATTGGTTCGACTCGACATACAGCATCTCCATCACAGTATCAACCAAGTCTACCAAACTAGCCACGGCCGACATATTGCACATCTTCCAACTCGCAGCGAAAGTATACGAAATGGTTTCGATCATATCCATATCCGCCATAGTCTTGAGTATCTACCTGTCGAAGCTAGCTGTCAAGGGCCTACCATTGGGGCTGATCACGGGAGGCTATCGCGTTGGTAATTTGGGCTACCTCACTCATTCTGGACTGTGGTCAACATTATGGACAAAGGCTGGACTTTTGGCTGCATTCACCATTATATGCACACTATGGTCGATTGCGATCGGTCCATCGTCTGCGATACTACTCGTGCCCAGTCCCGCATGGTGGCCAGTACAGCAGCCAGCAGACGGACAACAGATGATGCTATATGGACCTCCGAGTGACTGGACGCCAAAATTGACTTACGACGCCAGTATCGATAACAACCCATTGTTGGGCTGTGAAGGTGGTAACCAATACGTGCTACCATACAATTTTTGCCCGGGCTACGGCTTGTGGCAAATCTCAAATAGCGTGGCCAATTCCAATCAAACATCCATGAGCACAAACGTGGTCGTCAGCTCGTCTACAACAGGAAATTCTCGGTGGCTGAAGACATCTCAAATAAAGAAATCGCTCAATCGAACAACGGTGGCGACGACTCTTTCAGATGTGACGATCGAGGCAATTACTCAGGCAGGGAAATACAGCCTCGGAATTGGTCTCTTTGGATCATCTGGAGCCAACCTTCGCATTAGCAACGCGGAAAGGGATGAAATCTATCAGCCTCTGGTCCAGGCAAAATGCTCGGTTTTTGATTGGAACTCATCCTCACAGACCATCAATTCCACCGATCCTAACAACATCCCACTATGGCCAACGGCCGGTCTTGCGTGTTTTGATGATGGCCTCTGTTCTAGTTGGTTGGACCTTCCTGCTAGTGCAAGGGAGCTGGATTCCTCAGACTGGGATTTTGATCCGGATGTTGGGAAGCTGGTTGACTTCAAATGGGTGGACATGCCCCAGGCACCGCTGTCCGCCATCTTCAGAGTTCCGAAAAACGTCACACGCCAGAGTCCTACTGCTAAAGAGTGGGAACGATCAAACACAACGTTGTGGAATATCGGGGCCTGTTCCCTGGTCACTAGATGGGCACACTCTAGTGCCAAGGCTGTGCTTGGCCAGTCGTACATTATTGAAAGCAATGTGACGGATGCAGGAGTACTTTCAATCAATGAGACGACTCTATTCCAAGCCGGAGCATCGGGTATGCCAATACTAGTACAACCGTCATGGGCAAATCTTCTCAGCTTTGGGTTCGGAAACGATACCAAGCAATCACGATATACCGATCGCGCCCAAACGGTAGAACTAAACGCCATGGAAACTTTTCTAGTACAGTTGCTCTCTATCACAGAATCCGACGGATGGATGCAACTTTTGGCGACAAATGGCGAATTTCTTACAAGCTCGGTAGAGTCAATGCTATCTCTGCTCCTGGCAGACGGTATTTCCAGGAGCACCATGTCGGCCACGCAAGATCGCGTGTACATTGCTGCGCACGTGGAGGAGGAAGAAAGCCTTGTTGCCGTTATTAATTTGGATGAAGCAAACAATTTGATCAGCGCGCACCGATTCAGTGACACTGTGTCGGCATCTACAATTGCGACAGGAGGCAGGCAAGACCGCCTGCGTCCCCTGTTGTCGGCATTGAGTTATAACAGTGGCGCTTCGGGCTTTACTAAAGTTTCCTTGAGCGTTGGAAATGCAACCTGTCCAACTGTGATGGCTCAAGATGGTACCAGTGACCAGCAGGCAGCGCAATGCAATGCATGGTCCTTTGGTGAGTATCTCAGGGGTCTGGAGGCTGACACAAGCACGCCATGGAGTTTCGTATCTGAGCAGTATGGGTACGGGTCGGGCCGTTCTTCTTCAACTGTCACGTTTGCCCTGGTTATGGTGTGTTTGTACTCTGCGGTGGTCTTTTTGCATGCCACGCAGGTGCTAATCTCTACCATTGTCGATGTTTATGCCAGAAAGGACATTCCGGGCCGGAATAGCCTATTGAAGGAAATGTCAAACTGGAGCGACATTCAAGATTTGGTAGCTCTTTGCCTGGCGTTAAACCCCCCAGGTATGCTGCACAATATTGGCAGAGGAATCAGTACGTTTTCGAATGTTTGGAGGCAAAGGTTAACGGTACACATAACCGAGGACAACCAAATGCACTTTACTGCTGGCGAAATGGATAACAGTGAGAAATAATAAGTTAAGCATTATATAATAAATGAATCTTAAAAGACGATTATTTCTGAATATTATTAATAAAATGAAAAATATATCGTAAATCTCCATGGTCATTCCCTTGACTTCTCTTATAAATAGGAAGGAGACTTTTTATTGGTTAATATAATCATACAAATAAGATGGCATGAAGAATGAAAGATAATTAAACATTTTTAAAGGCATCATAATGGCGTAACGCCATTAAGCTTATTGGAATGAGTTTCGACTCTTTTATAAGCTTGTTAACCCTTATGCTTTTTGCTTTATCCTGTTTTTTTCTTACGATAAATTATAGGCAAAGAATCAAGAAATCGTGTAAGGATTTATACCTGGGAAAACACGAGAAGATTACCTGTAACCTAGCGTCTACGATGAAAAGATTAGTAGCGCAATGTAAGATAACAAAATTGGTGTTCTTTTCCAAGTCAACGCAACCAATACAAAGCCTCCTAAACAAAAAGCGCATCCCTTAAACATGGAATTGTCGCGTAGCTGAGGTCTCTAAAGTTCTAAAAATAGCACGTAGATACAAGCATTTGCGCTCACTCTTTCCGCCCCCGAATTTGCCAAGCCTTTACTTCCGCTAGTAGACTGCGGAGCCGGGCGCAGCCTGATCAAATGCCCTGCTGAAGAAATACGTCGAGACACGAGCCCCTCCCTCCGCACACCTTCATTTGGAGCCTCATCACAACCTCCACTTGTGGAACCACCTCTCGCCAAAGCTTCGCTTCCACCCATGAGCACTAATGACTGCTACTGTTACACGCCGCTGCCAAGCGGCAGACATACGCGTCTGATCCTGCTTCATTCCAGCAAGACCGACAATGACCCCATCACTTGCAACTTGGTCGAGGCCGACATGGATGATCCCCCTGTTTATGAGGCTCTCTCGTACACCTGGAATAACGAAGTGCCAAGCGAACCTCTAAACATCATTTTGGATCCGAGGTCCGGTTCTGTCCAGACCCTTCTGGTGACCGCAAACTGTGCGAGAGCTCTCGAAATATTGCGGAAGCGTCTTGGTCGCAAGTCCATCGGCAAGGTTGGGCTGTGGGTCGATGCAATTTGTATTGACCAGTCCCGCAACGAGGAGAAGAGCACCCAGGTTGCCACGATGGCCGATATCTACCGCGGGGCCAAGAATGTCCTGGTTTGGCTCGGAATCAACCATGCGCCTCGGAATTCCAGCAGTATGCTTCTCCTGAACCTCTTGCGTCCCTTTAGTGACTATCACATGCGACCAAGGTTCAATACATGGAGAGATGGGTGGATTCTGATTGTGCTCAAGGTGATGGACCCTTTTGTTTCTAAAATGGTAGAACAAGGTACGTCTTGAAAATTCGTTGGCCTGGAAGTCATGAACAATTATCTCGATTCTCATCTAAGAATTGATCAGGAAGCAAACATTTATCACCAATATTCAAAGCGCCTTACTGGTCTCGGGGGTGGACTCTGCAAGAATTTGCACAGTCTTCCCCAAAACTCCTGTGTCTTAACTCCGAGTCACCTTCATTTACAGGTATACGGGTTGCGTCTGATAAGTTTGTTACGCGGGCTATGAGACTCCATTTTTTCTTATTCAAAGATCCTGGGTGGAAACTTCATGATGCATTCCAGGAAGAAGATTCGGTGATATCATTGGGATATTGCATAACAAAGGAAACTCAAGATCCACGAGACAGGGTATTCGCGTTGCGAGCTTTATTTCCCAAGTCCCTTGGTGGCATGACGGTTGATTACGACCGGTCAGTGGAAGATATCTTCACAGAGGCAACAAGCCGTTTCATCTTGACAAGCACCAACCTGGAAATAATGTACCTGGCTTGTCCGTACAAGAAGTCGTGCGACCTTCCTTCCTGGGCAGTCGACTGGGCACCTCCTACAGAGATACACCAGGAGTCTAACAACCCCATCACGTTGCTCGAGGATCCTCATTTCTGGTATTTGACATCGGCTCATTTCGGGAAACCCGGAAATTTCAATCGCCAGATAACGTCATTCAGCAACGATGGACTTGTTCTCACACTACAAGGGAAAAGCTTTGGCCGGGTGAGTACTTGCGTCAGCGACAAAATCGCGGTTGATTGGCCTTTCATTGCTGGCAGGGCCAGTCTTACGAGTACGACTCGAAGGTTCCTCACGGCAGCTGCCTCAGCCCAGCTTGCGTTCAGGAATAATTTCGGATGGGGAATGGCGAACGTACTGCGATTGATAGGGACCAAACCATCGACCATCTTTCAATATACTCTGCATAGAATGGAGAGTGAAAACGATGCGGACAGGATCTGTGATTTGATGGAAAATTACAATGTCAATTTCACAATCCATATGAGGGGAAAGAGCTTATTCTTCACAAGTGAGGGTCGCATCGCTGTTGGTAATTGCAACATTCAACCAGGAGACTTGCTGTGCTGCTTTTGTGGCCTTTCCTTGCCCTTTATAGTGCGACAAAATGGTATCCGCTATGAGTTAATATCTCCAGCTATTGTTGATAAAGTCACTCAGCGCGAGATGTGGCCTGGGAATGAGGATGAAATAGTTCCATGGGAGATAGTATGAGTCAGAGGGCGGCAGTGAAGGACAAGGGATTTCCCCCATCAGAAATAATCCATCAAACCGATCTCATGAATGGAGCATATTCGGATTTGATTTGGTTAAACAGAATCACCACTATTTAGGCTATCGCTCCAATAGTGTAATGTTTGTGGCTTCCAAATCAATCATCCGAATAACCGGACCGCGGCTGCAAAAACGCGTGTAAACTGCTGCGATCTCAGAAAGAAATTGAAAAACAATCATACTGGCTGTTAAGGCTCTGGGTATAGTGCGTACTTCAAGTCGACTCAGCCATTCTTTGTCTTGGTCCACTCTAGAATAGCTTCGTGGTGCTGTCTACACTCAGGATAACAGTGTAATCAGGGGCAGTGACGTGACCTCAATATCGAAAGCGAATGGAGAGTTGCCTTGACTACAGATGATACGGATGGGAATGCATTCTCCGGTCGTCGCGGTGTAAGTTGCGCTCAGACCAGAGGTAAGCTCCGTGTACGTCACATCCAACCATACGTTGGATCGAGTCCAATCAGAGTATGCAACATCGCTAGCCCATACAATTACAATTGCGTCAGCACTAAAGATCGTAAAGGCAAAAAGTCTCCAGAATGTCCGGCATTTAGGTAGCCACGACAGTTGAGAACAATCTAGTTGCAGTTCTCAGTGTATCCATAGAAGCTCAAGGTGGAGGAGGTGTTCGAGCAAGATCCGCTGATCTCACCGGTGGATCCGGCCACGCCTGAAATAGTCGGCGTCTTTGTCTTGAAGTAGGCAGGGTCAAATTGCGAGTACATGCCGTCAAAACTTTTGCCGGAGGGCGAGGAGTAGCTGTGGCTGAAGGCTTTTCATTTAGCTTGGCAGATATGGCCATGCCGAAAACAAGTCGCCCGAGAACAGCGTCTCCTCCATCGGCGGTTGAGTTGCGCTGAAGTCCAGCTGGTTTGGAATTGCAAAAGCGGTGGAATTATGAGAGATGCCTCCAGAGAAGGGATCCCGGGGATTCACGGGCACGGCTAAAGCATTCATGAGAAATGAAGAGTCTCGGTCTGGCGGTGGCTGTTGGGAATGCGTGGCATTCACAGTGCTTGTGCTATGGTGTGCCGATTGTGTTGCATCGCGAAAGAGAGACTGCATAGGAGTGCCAGTCCCATAGTTGGTAGCTGAGTGCGCTGGTGGAGATCTATACTGCTTCATCACGTCAGGTGTAAGCTGAGGATCAATTTTGCCATGCATGCATCATTAAGGTCGTCGCTGCGCAGGAAATGATAAGCCACACTTACCTGCGACTGCTCTGCTGCAACAAGCCCAGAAGCTGGACCCGACAAGTTCTGCCAATCTGGCAGTAAACTCTTGCCCATTGATAGCAGCCCAGTCTCGTGCTCTGATTGAGAGGCTTGCTTCATGGAGTGATCGATGCGGTCAATCTGCGCTCGGAGCTTCTCGGCAAGCCCAGTAGTAATCATTCGGTCGGACTCAATCTTCTCGAGGAAATCGGCAAGCACAATGAGAATGTTGCGGACTTGCAAATAGGTCCAGATGGGGAGTGTATCGTGTACATCGCCTCCGAGCATATGGCCGATATGTGCCAGATGATGCAACTGATGGAAATCAACTTGTCAGTCGCTTCTGCTTCGTGTCTGGGAAATTGCGCAATTAACTTACGGATACAGTACTCGATGCGTGAAAGAAGGCAATCGGGATAGTACTTAACTGATCAAGAAGCTCGCTGGCAATGGCGCAGCGTAGGTGTATGTTTGGTGTCCCAGTCCCTACCAGTAACATTCGCAATGTCTGAGTGGTAAGAAGAACGTTAGATGCTATAAATCCGTATCGATCTGCTCGGAGATCGCCGGCCAAGACCTTTGGCTGCTTGAGTTCCTGTGGCAACTCGTCATAGAGTTGTGAGACAAGGTGCAGGCTGTCGGCCGCCAGTTTCTTTGAAGGATAAATCTGGGAGAAGAAGGCCTCAATTTTGCCGCCTGGCTCGGAGGATGTAGCTTGCTGCCTTGCTCTTACAGTACCTTCCATACGTTCCAGGATGCGATAAAGATCAGTACAAAAATTGAACCCCTTGACGAAAGACACGTGCTCAGACCACAATTGCACCCCGGTCTCGGTAATATCATCGTCGTCAAACACCTCAACGGGGTACTTGACCATTGCCTTGACCTCCCGTTGTCGTGATGCAAAATTGAAATTGCTCGACAGATATTGTTCTTGTTGATATACTCCCCAAAACACTCTGCGCCTCTCTTGCTTTTGGATCTCGGTGAGGCGTGATGGCCAATTCGACTCTTGGCAAAATCCGGTCATTGCAGATAGGGAAGCATAATCGCCGAGGTGAACAGTGGCTGTCTTCCAATCTCCGCTTTGCAAGCATGCGGCAGCCAGTATGGCCTTTGCCTTCATAGCTTGGTATTGATCCGGCACAGTCGTAATGTCACTTGGGATGGCATCGATTGTGGCTCGGTAACATTTCTTGAATAGAGTAGCAGCTTGTTGGCGGAGAGGGTGTGGACCGTTTGGCATTAGCACACCGTCACAGAGACGCCCGGCAGCCATCGTACAGATTGACATGGTAAATGTATAGAGACCCCAGTCAGATCGGTATTGCCGCGACCGAATTTGTGCACGGTAGCTTGGCCAGTGAAAATAAGGCCTGACCGGGTAGGCTGTGTGGTAAAAGATCTCGACGAGTTTCTCCAGAATATCCGGTTGAATGACATCGTCAAAAATGGTAGTTCTAGGACGAGATGCATCGTTTACATTGGAAGTATGTTCGTGCTGGCCTCCATGCACTGCCGGCGATAGAAAAGACGAATCATCGATATCTCGGTTGGCTGCTGCATCGTGGGAAGGGCCAACAAGGTGAGAGGAGAGACCGGGAGTCTGCTCATTCCCTACAGTCGTTGCAGTGCTGTTCTGCCGTTGAGACCGCGGTGTGGTTTCGGGGTGTTCTCGTATGTCTCGCCCATTGTTTGCGCCGCCAGCCCTTCGAGGGGGAGGCTAGAAACCGGTATGTAAATAAGTGTCCAGAGACAAGGGTAGCAATCGCCAATGCCAGGAGAGTCTTTGAACCGCCCAACTTACGCCTCGTCGTTTTGCTGGCCGATCGTATGTGCATTCAACGCCTTGATCAGTACAGCGACTACACGGTATGCCTTCAACACCAGGAGAGCACTGAGAACAAGTTAAGCTTTCTCCCCATTAGATACAAGTCATCTTGAACTTACTCGACATGCGTTCTGATGACATCGATCACAAGCACGCTGAAGAGATGTCTTGTTATCTCGTGTTGCAGACAAGGATGTTTGGGTTTCCACTTACACTGTTCCGCTTTCGCTTCTTAGCAGACTCGCTTTCTGGTCCCGAATGTCTTCGATGGGATGTAGATGGCGTCATTGCGGTTGAACTGACGATGCGGTTGGAATCACTCTCCATCTTGAGAGAGAGGTTTAACCGAAATACAGCTGATCACAGGGAAAAGGACGGTGCCTACACTAGCAATAGCGCTACGTGTTTAGCCCCACCAACAAATAGGTTTAACCGGTGGTTTAACAAACGCGGGGCACCGAATGCTGGGGCAGCGGGGGATCTGAACCACTAATCCGCTATGGCGATCCCGGTTAGTGGGGGAGAATGCAACTGGGGGTTTAGGTTTAGCCGAAGGCATTCAACCGAAACATCAGTACAGATTCTTGTGTTGTGCAGAATTCCCCGGGCCCTTGATGATGATATCAATACTGCCGGTCTTCGGAGATGCCTGTGCTTCCAGCGATATATTACATGTAGAGATGGTGTGGATGTTATTCTCTGAAATATGTCCCTTCTTCATAGATTTGCGAATTTACTAGATTTCTACTACACTCTGCGACTAATGCGTACTTACCTATCTAGAATCTGCATTATCACTAGAATTCTTCAGCAGAAAATTCCAGATACCCCAGCATATAATTTGTTTCGCAAAGCCTAAAATTTTACGCCAATATCATGGCCGTACATCGTGCCCTATACGCTGGCTGCCCACGAGCAATCGTTCGCGCCGCACGACGTCAAAACGGCTTGTCCTCTTCAAATCTTCAACAGACTGTATCAAGGAATTTTTCGACAGCCACTCGAAGGTGTTCCCGCCAAGCATCATATTCAAAAACAGCAACAAGTCCGTCATGGAAGGTGACAGGTCGTACTGTGGCGGCTTTGGTTGCATTTGTATGTTTTCTTTATTGATGCGCATTGAAAAGGAGTCGAGAGCTGACGGTCAGTGGCTAGTCCATTACTGCAACTCAAGTTCAGTCGCTTGTCCGACCACTGCGACTTGATGACGGCGGTGCAATGCTCGATGCGTTTGAGCAGCAGTCCCATGATGAGCAGCCGCGAATGATTCCGTACTCGGAAGTCCAAAGACACACGTCGCCAGATGATTGCTGGACTATCATCAAGGTATGAGACTGGATGAGGTCATGAACTACAGTGGAACATACTCACTCGCATAAAGGGCCAAGTATATGATCTCACAAAGTTCATCGAGGCACATCCTGGTGGTGAACACGCTATCCTCGAGCACGCTGGCAAAGATGCTACGGAAACGTTCCAGACGTTACATCCGCCAGATGCAATCCTGACGCTCCCTCCCGAGATGCTCGTGGGGCCCGTCGATCCCACGACGCTTCCAGAGCCGGAAGAAAAGGGAATGACCGAAGGCGAGCGCATGCGCGAGGCCGCCAGAGCCGAGATGCCCGCGGCGCACAACCTCTTCCTCTTGCAGGACTTTGAGGTCTGGGCCGAGCGCGTCCTAACTGGCACAGCGTGGGCTTATTACCGCAGTGCATCTGATGAGGAGCAAAGTGAGTTTTGAAGTCGTGATGAAAACCACCAAGACATTTAGACTGACCTTGAGCCAGCTTTTCATGAGAACCGAAATGCTTTCCAGAGATACTTCTTTCGTCCACGGATACTGCGGGATACAAGCGTCGGATCAACCGAATCATCGTTCCTTGGGTTGTCTACCACAATGCCAGTCTTTATATCCCCTGCAGCAATGGCCAAGCTGGGACATCCCTTGGGCGAGGTCAACCTGACAAAGGCTGCAGGCGAGTCGGGGATTGTTCAGGTCGTACGTGTTTACCAACCATTGAAGTTGTTGTAAATGAAAATACTAACACCCGGTAAGATCTCTTCTAACGCCAGCTGCAGCCTAGAAGAAATATTTGATGCACGCACACAAAACCAAAACCTCATTTTCCAGGCAAGTTGTTCTCGACCGGAGGGAGTCGTACTAATACTAACACTACACAGTTATACCTCAACAAAGATCGCTCAGCTTCAGAAAAGCTAATTCAAAAAGTCGAGAAACTCGGCGCCAAGGCAATCATGTTTACAGTCGATGTCTGCTGGCAGTCAAAGCGAACAATGGACGTCCGGTCGAAGTCGACACCAGGCCCCGCGCCCAGTGCGCCGTCGGCGGGGCCCAAGGGAGTCTCACAGGCAATCAGTGGCTACCAAGACACTAATTTGACCTGGAAGGACATTCCTTTCATCCGGGTAAGTTGTCAAGGACGCCTCTGTTGAATTCTCATTGAAGCTAATCTCATTATTTGATATAGAGCAACACAAACTTGCCGATTATCGTGAAGGGTGTGCAATCGCTAGAAGATGTCGAGATGTGTGTGAGCAATGGGGTGGAGGGTGTTGTCATCGTAAGTCCAGTTGATTCACGGATTTCATACCAAAGTCTTTGAATAGCTGCATGCTGACACTTTTATTCTCTAGTCAAACCACGGAGGCCGTCAAGCAGATTATGCACCGGCCCCTATTGACATATTGTATGAGATTCGATGCCATCGACCGGACCTGTTCGCCAAGATAGACATCATGATTGACGGCGGGATTCGGTCTGGGGCCGATGTCGTCAAGGCTCTGGCCCTGGGCGCCAAAGCTGTTGGCATTGGCAGGCCAGTATTATATGCTAATGGCACTCACGGCCAAGAAGGTTGCCAGAGGGTTCTCGATAGTGAGTCGTATATTTCGCCTCGTCTCGAAGTAATTTGGCACTAACATATACGTACTAGTTCTCCAAGAAGAAATCACAAATACCATGCGCAATATTGGCGTGACAAGGATCGAGGAGCTCAAACCAGAAATGGTTGGCCCAGCAGGGCCTTGGGTTGGGTCCAACCGGCCACCATACGCATCATTACCACAGCTGAAGAATTGATACATTTCAGCCAAGAAAAAGAAAAGATCATGACATTCAACAACTTTGCTAGACATCTTCTGTCATTGCAGATATGGACATCCCTATACCGTAGAAGTTTTATTTATCCGAGATACCACCTTAGAATATTAAGTAAAGCTGCAAACACTACTCCGGCCCTAATCAATGGCTGGGCAACGAGCTCATGTGTGCCTTTTGGTTCATTGCACTGGAAATTAGGTTAACATGGAGGGTATAAAATTCTTCAATCATGGAAGTCAACCTACCTTTCGTAACCTGAAAGCCACAAAATATTTTGAAGAAAGATACGAGCCGCTTAGGCCGAATTTATGGATACTATCTGAGCCGCAGGATCAGGCAGCCTCGATGCTAACCATATAGAGAAGAAGTATAGTACTGGACTTCAAGCTTACTTGTTAGCAAACGACTCAGTGGGTCAGTGTTAGACCCTTGAGATCAAGGATATGATCCGTCGAAAGAGGCGCCTACGGAGTAGGCAACATGCCATGCCTCGGCGTAGGCAGATCAATGACTGCATCTCAACTTGCACTCCTATCTGGGTAAAAATATCTCCCTTCGCTACTTACTGTTAACCGCCCATCACCTTGACCATTAAACATCACGGGAAACGAAAGAATCTCAGGTTAAAAATCAGTAATATCCATCAGTATTCGTATCCAGTTGAAAGCTAGGCATTGCCATAATGGTGTCAACCGGAACAAGCGGCACAGCATTGAATGCTCAAGACAACCAGCACAATCAGACTGTACAGGCTTTGATGTCTGTACAGGCCAGGAAGAGCGACACGGCAATCGACAGTAGCCATCCCAGCCCGACTACTCAAAGGCACACCACGCGTGTCAGATGGTCTCCTTTTTGGTAAGGCCTGTTTAACGGCGAAAAGCCATAGGCGTACTGTGTAGACATTGTGTATAGGTGATACTAACCAGTTCTACTATCTAGTGTCATATTCATAACGTTTAGCACCATGGCTGCTCACAATTTCTTTCGAGCACTTGGTGTGTCCAACTCTGCTGAATATGCACTGTTATACAATTATCTATCAATATTTGTCTACATGGTCGCACTGTATCGGGCTGGCCTGCTATCGTCGGAGAACTTGTCAGAATCATGATCAGGAGTCTGTCAAAACAACTCTGTAAATCATTTTCGGGGCTGGGGAACTATCTTGTGGAATGTGGGGTGGCTTGCTTGTGCTGATTATGTACAATCTAAGGAATCATATGATATACTATTAAGATCCCCGGAATTGTTATAGTAGTATCGAAGCACACAAGGTTTCTTGAAGGAATCCTCCAGCAAAGCACAACATAGTGTCATATCATAGAAAGCAGCTATGCACATCATCATAACAAGGAACTACGCAAAGCTTATACTGACAGGGGTATTCCCAGGCATCTGACAAAGACACAAAGGTATAGTGTCTATTGTTCAGAAATAACCTGCTTGGTCAATGATTTTATAGACAACGTGTTTATGTTGGTCCTCTCGTGCGTGCATGAACATGTGTCAGGATCGTGCAACTACAGTAGTCATTGTTTCAATACAATATTCTCATGCATATAGCACCTCGGTGATGATGGAAATGTCTATATAAAGCCAAGTCGAGTTCGTTTTACCAGTCCTCATTTCCGAAGCATCACCATCAAGCATTCAGCTACAACACAATCAATCAAACAAACAAAAAACACAAGCTCACCAGCTTTCAGATTTCGAATTTCAGACAGAAACCATGGCCATGTACACTCAGCAGCCCCAGCTCGTCCTCGCCGCCCACGGCGCTGTCGTAAACGCCAAGGGCGAGGGATATCCCAAGACTTGTACCTGCAGCTGCGGCTGCAGCTCGGCTGCTGAGGGAGATTCTGGTAAGTGCAAGTACTGCAAGGAGGAGAAGTGCAAGAAGAAGGACAAGAAATAAGTGCTAGAAATGGTTGGGTGTTGGGGTCCCGTCAATAATAGGGACATCCAACTCCGCCACTTCAATCCGCAGTGCTATTCTTGGCAACAGGCTTCAGTCTGTATTCTTTGACCTTCAACTTGCAACAAAGGGCTGGTCCCGGTAGATAGTTATGTAGACAATAAACATTCAAACCAGCGTCCTCTACCCAAATGTCTCGAAACGTGACATCATTATCTCATTCGTGAAAAATGCGTTCAACTGCACACCAATCTATCATCATGGGAATTTCTCATTGATATTTGTATACTCTATATTCTCTAAGGATGCAGAGTCTTCAGTATCATGACCACTTGCAAGTGGCATTGCTGGATCTATCTCCTTTTGTCGTAAATGAATGAATGAATGCTTGTGATCGGGCTGCTATGTCCCGTCATCTATGGTATCCCCGTTTCATGAACCCGATCCTTTTGACCAAGACACCCAATCCCAGGTGCTTTGTGCCAAATGTATGATAAGAAATTCAACCGAACGCCTGAGTATTATCGTGGATGCAGTCATGAATGGTTCGAAACGGCAAAGGGAAATCTTGTAATGTGTTGTAAGGCAAATCTTACAGGGCGTAGGCAGCAAAGGCCGCCATGCCCAAGACACCCATGCCTGCCATTTGTGTAGCAGGGGCGGCGAGACCCTCCGAGGTGGCCGTGGCGAGGATGGATGTAGCGACGGCGGATGCAGAGGCAAGTTCGCTGTCGGATGCGCCGTTGTTCACGTCTGCGCAGATGCTGCCAGCAAGAGAAGTGACATCTATAGTGGGTAGAGGGTTAGCTGCTAGTTATTTTGACGAGTAGCGCATCGCATAGCAAGGGTGGAAATGACGTACTGCTCTTCTCTTCAGAGGAGCAAGAGCTCGTTACGACACAGAGACCAGCGCTGTTGATGAACTGGGCCTTGCCGTCGCCGCAGATGCAGCTAAAGTCGGTGATTGTGCAATTGGCAGCAGTGGCGCCACTTTCCAAGCAGTCGAGGGCGCAAGTGGGAAGCTGAGCGACGAGGCTGGCGAGGTCGGTCGAGTTGGTCGAGTTCGACTGGGCAGCTGCAACAGCTGCAAAGAGAGAGGCGGCCAGGTATGAAAACTGCATCTTGATTGCGATTTTGGTTTGGTCGATTTGCGTGAGAAGCGAGCGATGTTTCGGGCACTCTTTGGTGGTAGAAAGATAGTTGTTGAGCTTTTGTGCTGTAAAAGGGGAAGCACGGATGCCCGGGTTTATGTATAATGGGTGCTGGAAATATCTCCTGTGTCGCTTTGTGTTTTGGACAAGCCTAGAAAATACAACCGAGATGGTTGACGTGAGACGTAGATTGTAGGTAGTAAGTATCCAAGGTAGCTTAAACCAGGTAGGCAGTGCATTCACTAATTCGACTTGGCAGGCAATCTCACAAACAATAAAAGCAGCAGGGCAAGCAATTTACTGCCCAAAATTTGTAGCAAGACTTCCTTCGCTTCGTATTTCCAAAAACAAGCGACAGAAATGAAAGAAAAATTTAGTATGCCTAGAAATCTAGGGAGCAAGCAATCATAAAGCGTACGTTCTTGGTTCCCCCAGTTTTTACTTCTGGGGAGGGCTGAAGAGATTCCCACTCGAGGTTCCAATCGTCGCTTCTGGGCCCTGATGATCCTCTGAAGATTCTGGGCATGTTCCCTGATCGTTTGGGCACAATGTAACAGATCCAGGCGAAACGCGTGTTGATCAAGGCAGTCGAACGACGGATTTAAGTCAGGGCGCCTATCGTTGGTTCGGATGTGCTGGGAAAAAGAGTGGGAATCGGATTTGTGCCTCGTATTCGAAACACACACAGCCACGATCGAGAGCTGGAGGTTGGCGAGGTGCTAGTGGGGGTGATGTCATTCCGTTCAACGGCTGCATAAATCGCGACTGGCAGCTCGGAAGAACCCGTCTGCCGGACCGTTGCTGGTAGCAGCAGTGGCAGTTGGAAGTGGGAATCCATTTCGGCTAAACGTGGACCTGGAAAGACTCTTTGATTGGAAGCTGCTTCACCTGGGCCCTACCAACCTACTGTGTAGGTAGGCATTACTATTCACAACATAAGTATCAGGTGTGATCTTGGCAATGCACAATTTTCATCACGACGGTTATGATATCTTTCGTCCACCTTGGGCACATGTTTCATTGGACTGGGATTTTGATTAGTGGTAGAAGAATCCCATACCTATTTAGCGGTTTTCGATACCAATCGCCTCCAGCTGCACTTCAACTTGTGTGCATGATATCCACAAAACGGGCTGGCTGTGGTTCCCAAAACTCGTTTCCTCGTCGTTCGAGACTTGTTCGAATCCTGGGTTTTTGATTATTGCTGCATCGCTTCTGATCTTTTGTGTCAACTAGTGATTGGGGGGATGCTATCAAAGGTGGAATTCGTAGGTTTCTGCGCCCAAACGACATAACTTCGGACGATTGGAGTCAGTAATAATCCCGGCAGATAACTAGACAGCAGACTTCCCGCGTACTTACCATCCCATATACCAATGCTTGCGTATATCGTGAAGCTCCTTTGAGACGTTGCTGACAAGATCCTCAATCTCCGATGGTTCGAGTCCCGCAAAGCCGAGCATCTTGCGATATGGTGCGAGCGCACTCAGCATGGCAGTTCCATTGTAGTATCCAATCCTCTTTAACCTCTTGTCCTTGGCCCAAGGACTCGTCGGCGCAGGGATCTGAATGTCGCAAATGTTGGTGAATCCGGCCTCGAGGAGATACTCTTTCGCCCTACGAACTTTGGACATGTCGCGTCCTTGACTTAGAGCGCCGACCTTGATCAAATCCAGCCAGCGTTCCATGGCAGAGCCGCGATGCGAGCCATCGGTGGAGAATATTTCCCATATACCGTCTTGAACCTCGATCCAGCCACCTGCGCTCATATGGTTGTACGCCTTGTGGAACACTGTCCTTATATCTGTGAAGCAGGGCCCCATGCTTCGGAGATGGACATAATCTAACCGAAAGGGGAAAAGCCAATCTTGTGTCTCGGAGTTCTCCAGGAAGAATTGGCAATTGCTCGTCCTTGGTGCCGCCTGGATAAGACTCAGATCTGTACCGACAACATGGCAAGTTGGATGCTGTTCTGCAAAGTCAATGGCCCAGATGCCAGTGCCGGTACCAATTTCCAGAGCATAATGTGGCGATTCGATCGGTGCCAAGGCTAGTCTGCCGTCTAGAATGATCTCGTAGAGAGCGTGCTGGAAGTCTTGACGATCTTGCTCCTCGCCGTCGTTGGGTAGATTATACTCTGGAGCATTTAGAACACACATCGGACTTTGCCACTTGTTGTCAGTGAGAGGATCCCTTACCTCCGGGCATGTATGCTTGGTAAGTCCGACCGTCTTCATCGTAGGAAATGAACCAGTCGTAGTTCGTCCAGCCTCTTTCCCGTTCCCGGGGTCCTGGGGCTCGAGAGATAAATTGAGCGTCAGGCTCTGGATTCCAATTCGCAATGCTTGAACCCAAGGCTGACTGCCTGGCCTCGATAATTTGGGATGGCAGCAGTAATGGCGCAGCCGGGTTTTGGCTCGAAGGCCCAGCTGGGCCGCCGCCCGCATCGTGGGTTTGTTGATAGTGAGGATCTTGCGACATGACCTCCACCCAAAGAAAAAAAAATTGTTCGTGATGATTTGGAATGCTCTTAAGAATTGTAGATCGAACTTCCGGTATATAATTTTGTTCATGTTCCCGGTCTTGAAATCTTTTGTTGAAAGCAGTGACTGTGAAGTGCTAGTCTTCTATGGATTTGTTTGATTCGGACCGGATTGCCGGCTTCTCGGCTTAGCAAGTCGGCCTTGAAGGACTCGCTAATTCCTTGCGTGCTCAGCGGTCCATAATGTAATTGGCGGTTGAGACCCAACCGTACGGGACGATACAACCATGATCATGTAGAAGGCTAACAGAAAGCGCTGGTCTCGACATACTGCAATGACCCTGGCCGCAATGCATGGTATACATTACGACGTTACTGGGAACAGGATTTAATGTGATCTTATGCCCATGCTCGCAAAACACAAGAAGATGCATGCAGTATCAAAGCGATTGTTGCAAACATGATGTGCTGTTAATTAGAAGGAGTGCTCTTGGGAGTGGACTGTCTCCTCAGTACGCAAATAATAATTATCTTAAATGGGGACATACTGATTAGAAATTCCTGTGACTCGTAATGATGCTGCACGCTTTGGGTCTTGCAGCAATTCCGGATCTCATCCCCGTTGCCAAGATGCATGTGCAGGGTGCTCAGCGCTTACAACAATGTTCAAAGTCCTGCAAGATAAAGATGGGATTGGAACGTGTGGGCCATGATTGCGTTACAGTCCGAATTATTATGATCCGGAACAACCATCCATCCCAAGCTAGTTGACCGACTGCCTGATAATATTGATTGTGTCTCGCTCAAAATACTACATATTCTCTTGGAGTGCAGGAAAGCTGGCGAGTGCTGGGTCACGTTTCGTACCCACTGCCGATGCGGGATGATAAACCCTGCTGCATACTGCTTTTAATGTAATGGAGCCATAACAAACAGGACCTTCTGTTCAATTTTTGATGTAGTTGTTGAGATAGATAATGTAGCTTAAATTCATTGTCATCTGGTTTCGCTTCTTGAAGAATAATAAGCCAAATTACCAAATATGCAAGATGGGTGGCACCGCATCAAAGCCGGACTATACTAGGAATTTCGAAGTGCTGGGGGCCGGCTTTTCCAGAACCGGCACTTTGTCACTTCAAATCGCCCTCGAGAAACTTCTTCAAGGACCGGTGGTGCACGGCGCCACAGGCTTACTGACACGGCCAGAATGTATGTCTCCTCCTTACCAGTCCCATATTTGTGGGAGCAACTGTCGGCTAACAACCCTCGAGCTTTCATTAAGAATTGGGTTCTCATCACCCGGGCCAAAGCTGATGGCGACCGAGAGCTCAGCCTCAAACTCTTGAGGGAAAACATGGCGGGATTTGTCGGTGGCACCGATGTACCTATTGTGTGCGTTGTGCCAGAGCTCGTCGACCTGTACCCCGATATGAAGGTTGTCCTTGTGACTCGAGATCCCGATACTTGGTGGCGCAGTTTTGGCAATATCCTCGACATGTCTACAGCATGGTACATTCCAGTTCTGGCTTCTATATCGCCCACACTGAGATGGTGGATCCCTTTCTATGTTGAGTGGAAAAGAAATGCAAGCGATCTCATCCGCGAGGCTGGTGGACAACCAGGCGTCTTTGGTCCTCGTAGGTAAAATTCAATGTACACAAGCGATGCTACCTACTGACTATGGGGCAGAACTCTTGGTAGCCCACGAAGAGATGGTCAAGCGAACAGTTCCACCAGAACGCCTCTTGATCATGAAGTTGAGTGATGGATGGGAACCCCTTTGCAAATTTCTCGGGAAGCCAATTCCCGATGAACCTTTCCCGCGAGTCAACGATATTTCCGCTGCTGAAAAGGTAGCTTCAGGGGTGGTAGTGCGATTGTTAGGGATGTGGTTGGCAGCTTTCTCAGTCGCTGGCGGCGTCATCTATCTTACGTTGAAAGCCTATCGCTAATTGGCAAACAATGGTCCAATGAATGGTTGACTAGGGAGAAACGTCATTCGCTTATAGACAACAATCCTCATTGTATATTCGCATGGGGAAGTCGGTGATCCGTGCCGTGAGAAGTAATCCAAGGGAACACATCGTATGCTTGGCAATTATAGCAGGAACGCGTTCAACTGCATGAGTGCTTGGTAGAATAAGCTGTGGAGTCATCGCACGACGCACTTATAAGAAAGGTGATATGTTTATGAGTTCACTAAATAAATGAAACCTTTTATTCTAAAAATGATCCTATAATTGAAAACAAGGGGTATTGGTATCTCCGCAGACATAAACTGCTCAAATCGCTTTTTACATGAATATTATACACATCCCAGCCCAGAAGATCATCAAGGCTTATTAGTAAATATTGTGCTTACGGGGCTCTTCCCCGGTGCACCAAATGTTCCCGCGCTCTCCCGACTCCACCTATCTCGGCCGGCATCAGGCTTGAGATAGGAGGCAATGTGAAGTTTAGCCGATCGCGGGGTCTTGGGAACATCCGGGAGTGGTCGATCCATGGGCACGGCGGGGACAGTCAGCCCATTTGGCCATTTGCCCCTGGCAAAGCTCTCCCAATCACCCGAGTATCGACCAGATGACGCCGTCTGCATCGAGGCGGCGGATCGTGTCCATCTGGTAAAAGAAGACGGGGCAATAGATGACCTGGTTTTTTGGGATCGTGCACTGCCTCTTTTGGAAGCCCGAGACATCCAGCTCCAAGTTGTCGAAGGGGCCCTCGCATTGCCGCTCAGTTCTGCGGCTAGCTCTTCAGCACCCAATTCGGCAGGGTTCTCTTTTGCACCAAGACGAGTACTCAGTGCCAGTTCGGGGATGACTGGTGCTGTTCCGGGAAGCTCAGCTGCTGACTGTAGCGGCAGGACAATGGAGTCTAGACTTGATGTGCTGGCCCGCGGGTTGTTTGAGAGGCCACCTGCTCCAGATGACCATGGCTTGTATCGATAGGGTTGAAGCAGAGCTGCATTATCATGTCTTTTACGTCGGCTCCTACGCATAAAGATAACTGATGAGATGACAAGCACAATCACAATCAAGATACTTGACAAAGTGATCGCTGCCACGCTTCCCGGGTTCAGCGATCCACTAGATTCACTGCCCGAAGCCTGGGCGGTGGTGGTAGTAGCCTCAGTAGTCGTCACGAATGACACGGACCCTGCTCCCGAGGATCCAGCCGAACTGAAGACGGAGTTCGAACTCGTGCCATCTTCAGTCGTGTCCAAAGAAGAAGTCTCCTCACGAGACACGGCCGATGGTCGTATTGTTATCGTCGAAAAACTGGCTATCGATGTTGATGTTGATGCTGATGTTGACGTTGAAGTTGTTTGAGCTGCCGTGACAGCAGTGGAATCTGTTGTCGCCCCAGCTAGTACAAGGCCAGGAGTCAATGGATGGGTTTCTAATATGCTCAAATCTTCTTCTCGAAATCGAATTTGCAACGCTGGACCCGCCGTGACGATGACACTGCCGGAAGCTGGTGTTGCTGCTTCTCGCGTGAAGCCCCAAACGCCGCCGCGGAAATCAGTCGTGTCGGTAGTGCAGGTATGGCCGCTAATGAGACGATAATTGATCAATATTGACACAGTTCAGGTTCTGTTATTTTGTCGTACCTTGGCACGCAGTATACTGCAGTCTCTCCGTTGACCACTGGAGGAAACCCTTCGGCTGTCCTTGTCTTTGTGATTTCACAACTTGGCCCTACTTCAAACCCACTTGGACATATGGCGGGGGAATAGTATTGGAATCCTTTGTCCTTGAGATTGGCGACCCACGACGGGGGATCGCACGATGACGGCCCGTTTGTTGGGAATGGTGGGAACTGAGATGGCACTTTCGTGGTTGTGAGCAGCCACGAGATAGAACACGGAGGCGTGAAGATTGTAGTGAGTGGCGCCAGAGGCGCCGTTGGTGTAGACATGATCGATAGCAAAGGCAGCGCGCCTTGGACGCCAAGGAGATCGTCCACCCTATGACAATGGCCGTCAAGAGGAATATATTCAAATCACCAAAGCTGGAGAGAGAGGCGCCGAAGGGCTGGTCGCGGGAGTGGCGACCAACACCATTTTTTAAGGTTATGGAACATGATAGCTTGTTTTGACAGCCCTAGTGTTTTACCAGGTAGATCACGCAGATCGGGTCCCATGTCTCCGGATGGAATCGGTGTTTTGAAAGCTGAGCGACAGGGCCGCCGAGAGCCCCGCACCCCGGCGGTGATCAAACCAGAGGAAGCGCTGAGACCTCTTCTTATTCGTGTGTTTTCCAGCTTGCCGCGCGAGGCACACACAAGAGTTCGGATGATGGATAACAGAACCTTACATTAGCAGTTGCAATCGTTCTGTTGCGACCCGTTATGTACGCCCCTTGTCGGGTGTGGGTGAGGTGCGTCAATGCGGTCGGATCCTATGCGGGGGGACTCGCGGAGGTGCGCGGGCCTCAGACACAGCGGCCGGGGCAAGAGTACGGAAGCGGATGCCCCGTGGTCAAAGCTGTCGGCCTTGATGCAGGAACAAAATTTTCAAATGATAAAATGTGCCTGTGCTGTACAGATGGCTTCCAAATATCGCAACGCTTGCCCGAAAGCACGTGGGTCGAAATGGTTCGTTTGGACCCTGAGAATCATGGCTCGGATGACGTCGGGGAGCGAGCTGTCATCCATATTTGACATTTGCACGTCCGAGAGTGCTTTGATGACAGGGTCAGCGGCACTGAAGTATGCAAGTGAATGTCATCTGCATATATCGGAAGCAGGTTATCGCTATGGTTCGCTTAGGCTTCAAGGACGAGAGAAGGGGTCTCTGGGCACGAGTACCTGCATGGTAGTCTGCGGAATCTCACAGAAGATGCAGAACCACGAGTCGGCGATATTGTATCCTCCGAGTATGCAGGAATGTCTGATATATCAGTCGTGGAGACTCGCGTCGGACGAACGATGCGAGACTGCAAAAAGAAGCACCTTCCGGTATGCCCAGACCATTGTTTGGAATGGCTGCATCTGTCGATCTGGACTATGAGACGACGGAGAATTGCTTGTGCATGCGTCTGGCACGTTTGGCTTCCCGAAATACTATCCCTTGTGTCTCATGGATTGTTTTGTTTTGAACACCTCATCATGTATTCTCGCGTAAAAATGTGCGGGCCTACGCGCGACGGCTGGCAAGATGGGCCTCGTTCGATGCACATTCCCAACTGGTCGGCATTGGGGTGAAAAGAGTTTCCCTCTTTTACAAGACCTTTATCCGTAATTCGAAAGTTCGTGACCAACAAGTCATTTTCCAGCAGCTTTTCTGGATCAAGGGCGGGGAACCCCAGGTTTTTGCAGATCCTCAAGACTCTCTGCCAGTCATCCAACTTGGGATACCGATCCTTGTCTGATGAGTTTTTGAAATGACGAACACGCTCTATGATAACGTAGTTGACCATTCGTGCTGTTTGATTCCACGTGTAGTACCTTGCGAGTTCCAGCAATACAACAAGGAATCTAGGCTTATGCAGTGACAGCCGAACGAATTTTGCCACCTGCGGATTCTCGTCTTCTCTCCAGTGCATGAGTATAGTATCTCGGAGTTGCTGATCTTCAGGGATGCTACTTGGAGGCTGCGAAGTAGGGGGAGTCAATGATTGAGTGGCAGGTAAGGGAGTGATCTGCTTAGGGCTGATGGAGCATTCCTCGAACTCAACGTCCGAATATACTGATTCTTCGTCGGAGTCTACTAATGCCTCAGCATATTGCCGTGCAGCCAACTCAGCGTGTATCTTTTGCAGCTGCCGAGTAAGCTCGTTGCACCGTCCCAGCAACTCATCTGTGGAAAGCTGTGAAAGTGCGTCGTTTGGAATATAGGTCGATGACAGCGACATTTGCTCTAGTTTGCCCTGGCATATGGCATCAATATAATTCCCGAGTGACTCCTTTTGCCACTTCATCGAGTGCGAAAACCCGGTAAAGTATTTGTGCCACAAAGCCGTGCCCACTGCCTCGCGGCCATATCGCAGCACGAAGAGACGCTTGAAGACGTCCTTGTCAAAATCGTCAGACCGTTCAAAGGATACCCAGCGCCTTCTCAGCTTGGTAATGTTGCTTTCCCGGCAACTTGCGCAGTAATCACTTTCGGTGCAAGAGTGGCACCTAGTGACGGGCAACTTTAGTATGGCAGTCTGCGACATTGCGGGCCGCTTCTTCCAGGTATCGACGTGATGAAATAGCACAGAATGGGGTGTATGGCATCTTCTTGCCGGTCACCCAAACGTCAGTAAAGTTGAAGAATAAAAGAACTTCCAAGCTCTATTGGGACGTGTGTCGAATGTGCAAGGTGCGAAATCTGGGCCCGCATATCTGGCCGTTGCTTTTTGATGAGATCTCCAGTCTTGGTAGCAACAAAACCAGCGCCGCAAGACAGTAAGTAAACAAACGCTTCAAACAGTGCGGGCGGCTCGGGCAGTTTTGGCTACTGTGGCCTTCGTATTCGGCATCAATTACTTCAATATAACCGGAAAGATGGCCATCGCAAGGAGTGCCCTAAATCAGCTCGTTGTCAGTGTAAAGACAACGTGTAAATGTTCCAGTGGCTTGTGGACAAGAGTTTGAGCTGGAGAAAGTAACGCCTGTTCCCGAGACTCCGGTGCGGATTCGCATACTACGGAATACAGAGCCCTTACTGTGTACCTACCTACATTAGGTATCCACACTGTGGTTACCCGTACCCCTCGTTGCCCTGTGAATAATGCGCTGGCTCGAAAGCACGATTGTGCAATCATCTCATACATACGGCCATAAGCAGTAATGCTTTTTCTTTGTTTTCCCCTTTTTGTCAGCAAGCAGAAATGTATCTCATGGCCATCGAGGAATTGTTCGAATAATACAGAGCACAAGTGAAATTCTAGATGCAATTGTTCTTTCGCGCGTACGAAAGCCGACGTTTCACTTGCTCCAGAAAGTCAAATCGCCGAGCTTCGAGGCTTCGCTCTGGGATATACTGGACCCGAAATACAGCAGAATTTGGTATGCATGTTGTCATGGCTGCCAATCACTACACATAAATTGACCTCTCTCTTGCAAATCTTTTTAATTCCATGAGTTTTCTCACCGACCAAGGTTCCCTACTACGCTACCCACCATGACTGCCACCTCACGATCCCAACCTGATCTCTCGGCGTCTGATTTGGCAGATTTACCCTTGCTTGCAGTCACTGTACTAGGAGGCTGGCTACCTTTGATCACACATTCCCTGATGGCATCTCCTACTGCACTGCGATTGCTCTTGAGTGTGCGGGCAGATACACCTCCGCGGTTAACAATCTCAACCACTCTCGTAGACAAGCTACTTGCCATAGACCGCCAAAAGTACGATGGCAGAGATCCGGTTTCCAAGTATGCCAAAAGTGGTTGTAGAAGGTTCGTGGGCTCGACATGGCTCTTCGGCCTCGGGATGAGAGGATGTGGCGGCGCCTTTGTCGAATCAAGTATGATCTCCAAAGCAACAATGTTTTGGCATCGCGCCGACACTTCTGCTAGTGTGCGATCTAATGTAGGCAAAGTGGCCAACGAGCGGGCGACTGAAGTGATTGAGCTTTGCAGAGCATTGCGTAGGTAGGTCTCCAAAGCCTGAAGGAGGAGGAGCGGTGTCCACTTGTCGGCTTTGACACCAGATGTGGGCGAGATAAGATAGAGCGCCGTCATGGCTGACAGTGTTCGGGCCTTGGTCTCTTCACTTTGTGCAAAGGTCGCCGTGCCGCTTGCCGAGCCTATGGCGAATTCGCGAATGATTTGTTCCGACGTGGTCCTAATCGATCGCTCAATGGGCGCAATGATGCTGTCTTGCAGACTCCTGATCGCATTGATCTTGTCGAGACCGTGTCCTTCTTCACCGGGCGCTTTGTGGTCCAGGACTTCCCGCAGTGATAATATCGTATGCGCGCATCGCACCAATGCTCTGTGATCCTCTCTCTTGCCTGCAGGTGCCGAAGCAGAGCTGGAGATCTCTGCATGTTGCACCTCGAGTTGCCGGCCTAGCTGAAGACAGCGCCCGACTGCCCTTCCCAGCTTCAGGGTCTCCCAAAGGCGGGAAGCGACCTGCCTGACCTCGTCTGCCTCGGCATGTTTCTGGATAACTTCCTTCTCAAGCTGCTTATAGCTGTCGTTCAAGCTCTTGACTTGATGGTCGATCTCGGATATGATCTTTGTGCTCGATTCCGTCTGGTCCTTCGTATGCGACAGGAGCGGGATTGCAGATCTTGTCGTGAGCGAGTCTATGTGGGAGTCTATTTCTTGCGCATCGAAGAGGACCTTGGAAAGCGGCGTCGAGAGGTCTAGCGTAGCATCATTGGCATTATTCGTGGCGAGAACAAGGGTATTGGCAAATGAAGCCGGCCGAAATTGAGGATCGAGAAAGGTCTCGTAGTCAATGTAGGAAGGCTCCTCCTCAGCATTCGACGCCATCGTCCCTCTTGCTGTGCGCCAGAATTGCAAGACTGGAAAGGCGATTGGTCACTAGAGATCGTGGAAGGGGAATGGTAGCTGTATTCTGAACGTCGCATCAGGCCAATTGCGATAGCTGTCCACTGGAATGTGCTTGAGCCGCATTGGAACCTCGCCAGCGGGTGTTCCCGTGCCCCACGTTGTCAGCTACCACTACAACTGCAACCTCGTTATGACCAGCCACTGGCGGCAGTGTCAGGCACTTGACGGCATATATCTGGCGGTATCTGCGTTGGTCTGTATTCTTTACTGATGTACCATTTATTAGATTCCGGGGGATTTGTTCATAAGTGGTTAATATTGTTTCCAAGATCTATTGACCGATTCCAGATAATTCAATCAGTTGACGGTATTGGCCCTGGCTGTGCCTTTCCTGGTATTGCAGGCAGCTAAAAGCGGTGACAATGATGCAGAGGTGGTAGTGAAACAATACCACAATCATCCAGTTCTTCAAGCTGTTGTGTGATAATCAGTCAACTTGGACTTGACTATTTCGCGCCATAAGCCGCATTTACAACCTCTTTTAAAGGATACTGACTGTCCTAGGACATGCTATCTTTGAAGCATGGCGGCAGCCCTTCAACACGCCGCAAACTATATTTCAGGGGTATCGAATGCCACCATAGTTCTCGGTTCCATGTTTGCACGACAAGTAACATGTCGAGATGTGAGAATCAAGAACGGGCCTGAGAGAACACATAGCCCTCAATTACGAGCGTCAGCGCCAATAGTCTCGCGTAGTCTCGCTAGACGGCCATCAACCCAAGCCTTCTGCCATGCATCGACCTTTCCGCCAAGAATTGTGCAGCTTGCCGGCTCCAGTAGCAATGTCCCCCTTGCCACGATCGTGTCCTTCTTGAGCAGTATCTTCTCCCCAATGTTCAGTGTGCCCACGCCGATCCTGTCGATGCGCTTGAGCTCGAGCCCATAGACCTTTTGCCCTTTGCAATCCTGCAATACGAGCCGATGCGTCGAGTTCTTTGGCGTCGCGCCTCCTGCCCCAGACAGGCCACCAGCCCTCACGTTGGGTCCTGCGGGGATGACTTGTGTCGCCGCACTGCTCACGCTTCCGCCCTCATCCTCGTCTTCGCCAGCGGTTGGCAGCCGGATGATCTCCCGCCCGCGACTCTGCTCGCCGCGCGCAATAGCCTCGAGCTCCTCGACCTGCTCCCACTTGCTTTTGGTAAGGTTGTCAATGTCGAGGACCTGCACCAGAACATCCCGGGGCAGCCTGAGCTCCTTGGTCTCCTGGTTCGTGATGTTTGACGGCAGGGCCGCAGCCGAGGCGTCCAGAATACCGGCGGTAGTGATATCTGCGGCCATGAGACGGGCCTTGGCGGTAGCAGCAAGCGCTGGAAGAGGAGGCAGAGGATTGCGATTAGGTAAAACACTACGTATCCATGCCGCTGTAGGTGCTGGGAGCCCTTGGCCCTGTAATGTAGAACGGACTTGTGATGCAACATCCATCTCGTGTTTTGTGGTGGACGTTTGAAGTTCCTCGCTGCTCAGCTAGCTAGCTCATCATCCTTGCCAAAGTCCAAAAGGGCATTTTCATGACATCAATGACGTGAAAGTTGGATCAACAAAGAACGCGCATGATTTTCTATTATTGTGACAGTGGCATCATAAGAAATTGTTCATAGGTTGAGTGATCACTGATTGAAAGATGTTGCTGTGTGTTTTAAAGACTTTATGTGCAGGTCTTATAAAGGTTAGGCAATACTGCATTAACTCAGGTACAAAGCTGGAGTATTCGGTGCATGAATCCATGGGCTTGTTCTGGCAAGCAACGCGCCACAGTGGCTGTCCTCACTAGGACACCACCTAAGCGTTCAGGGAAGCAGCTGGCTTCAGCGTTAGCTCTTACCTGCACCAAGTAATGTATAGCACAGGGGTCAGTCGATACAGCTAGCTGTTCCACCCCCAAGCTGTCACCTCCGTTCGAGACATCTTGAACTTCCAAACCCCTTGCAACACTGCACAAGCTGCTGCTGGCTCAATTGACTTACGCGGCTCCTTTAAGAGTCTTTGGTAACTCACAGTGTAGTCTCTGCAATCATGTCCACAATAGCCTCCCCGCGCGAGCCACCGCGCCGCCTACCATCACAAACCCTCATTACGCCAACGTCTTCCACGCGGCCCTCCCTCGACGTACCACGCTCGGCAACCACGTCGCCCAATCCCAACAGCACGCCCACCAGCACCGCTGCAAACCCAGCCAAGCGCAACCGAGCTGCACTCCGAGAATACTATAACCTGCGAAACAAGACTGTGACGCCTAGTGTAGAAGTCACCGACGAACTGGGAGAGAATCACGAGGCTTCCGAGGTGCCGCCATCAGAGGTGGACAAGGAGGGTTTCGATGCCGAGGCTTTCGTGAGGGAGAAGCTCGAAGGGTCCGGCATGCAGGAGATTCTCAAGCTATATACAAGGACTTTGAGTGAAATCAGGGCGTTGGACGCTGAGAAGAAGGCACTGGTCTACGATAATTACAGCAAACTGATTTCGGCTACGGAGACAATCCGAAAGGTGTGCATCTATGAGAGGACTTGGTTGAATAGGTGATCAGAGTTGCTGACTTATTGCAGATGCGCGCAAACATGGATCCTCTGAATCCAATGGCATCGACACTAGATCCTGCAATTGCGCAGATCTACTCTCAAGCATCGGCTATTAGGAATACACTGCGAGATGCTGTGCCCGAATCCACCCAAGCACAAATTGAGGCTGAAGAACAGATGAAAAGAAGGCTACGAACAAAGCAACTCGCTTTGGAGGTCTTGGGTACACCAGACAAGCTTCGCAACCTTGTTAACGATGGCCGGATGGAAGACGCCAGGCAAGCGTGGAAAATGCCACGAAAGCTTTTGCAAAAGTGGATTGAGCAGGGAGTTGGAGGTAAGGATGTAGAAGCTTGCATTGAGGATGGCGATGCTGCCTTACGAGGAGAGGCAAGCCGGTTCAATTGGAGGGCGTCAAAGACTGATGGCGATTGATGGAACCAACGTCAAAAACATAATTGGGCTTGGCAATGCCTGGCATTGTTTTATTATCATCTCGCGACGATGATGCGGCTATGAGCGATGACGCTGCCAACGTCTGGCTTACAGCTGAGAGATATCAATGGTCTCGAAAGGGTCCCGATCCTTTTCGCTGACTAGCACGGTGTATTCCGCCTGCCCAGACTCCTTCAGTTGTTGCTCTAGCTTGGGCTTGAGACGCTGTGTAAGGTACTGTCGTTCCGAATTGCTGTGAAATACTGTGACCACAATCTGGCCTGATTGTGTGTGGTACAGAGCGTCATGGTGGCTCATTTCGCCGGTTACAAGAAGCTTTGCGTCGCAGCCTTTGAGGACGCTTGACCCTGATCCTGCGCACACGGCAATCTTGGGGATGATTTCATTCTCCGAAATGGTGCTGCCAGTTGGCAAGGCGATGGAGATATACCTTTGACCGCCAAGACCAGCCGACAGATTTTTCAGAAGAGCAGGCAAGGGCAATGGCTTGTCAAGAGAGACGCTTCTACCATAGCCTGCACCCTCGTGACCGTCGGGCAAAGGTCGAGAGATGGGTTGAAGGACAGTAGACTCAACCTTGGACTGACCATTTACTACAATGTCGCAGAGCCAGTCATTGAGCCCACCATGGGCAGCATCAACGGCGGTGTGGGGACAGTAGACTGCAACACCGGCTGCGATGAGGCGGAGGAGAGACGATTCCATGGGGACCGCATTGGTCAAGGACTTCAAGCCTCTGAAGATGACTGGGTCTGTAAAGATATATGAGCAGGCGTCTTGTTAGAGTCTGGCAATATGGCAACGTACGATAGCTCACTATAACACTGGCCTTGACACGTAGAGCCTCATCTACGACAGCCGCAGATAGATCGTTGGTCAGCAAGACGACATTCTCAGTCTGAGCAGTCAAGCGCGCATCTTGTGCTTGGTCAAGCAAAACTGGCAGAATATCAGAATCACTTCCATTCATAAACCTGATGGCGCTGTCAACCTACGGCCTGTATTGTCCCATGCACTATCGGCCAATGCCTTTGGGTACCTGAGATCTTGTGAGCCAAACATGTGTCTACGTCATCGAGTATACCAATGAGTCTTACAACTTGTTAATTGCTTCAATCACCGCGCTGGTAAACGATGGCTTTGGGGCGTTGGTAGCCATGGTTGTTTGTGTTCTTCTTTGCTGAAAGAGCTTCGAATCCTGGTACAGATTTAAAGCTTGATGTACACAAACCAAAGGATTTGACGAGGACTGTTTTTTCAGCGAAACAGAAATTCGAAAGCTAGCACGCTGGAGTGAACGCGCACAAAACATTCCACCAAGACAATATGAGATGACTTGTACGGCAAGTCTAGGTAGAATTTGGGTGAGTGCCTTCTGTCAACACAAACAAAGGATTGGATTGGTTGGATGGAGCTCGAACCAAAGCTTGAGATCTTGAGCTTCAGACTCCTTCTATGGGTGCAGTCATGTAAAGTGCGTATTCCTTAGCCGCTGAAGCTCCATTTTTAGCTGGCAACTCACTCCAGCCACAGCTCCAAGGGTCCCGCCGCTCCCCTCCCTTGTCACACTGTCAAGAGCCTGGGAAGCGCGGGGCATTCCGAGTCACCGTCACCCACCTTTTGGAGGGGCAGTTGGTTACATTAGCTGACTGCATTTCATCATAGGCCGCAAATCGCAGTCCCTTGAAGTCTGGAGAACTTCTGCCACCAGACCCCCAAAACACGCCCAGTATTTTATCATCATGGCAGAGTCGACGATAACTGAGGCCTCGCTGCGTGGTGCCATCACCGAGAGATTGAACGCTGTTCATGTCGAGGTCACAGACATGTCTGGTGGGTTACCCGCGTCCAGCCCTTTTTCTTCTTCTGTCGGTTGTTATCTTGCGACAAACGCACCAATGTCTCGGCGCGAACCGATTACAAATATGACCAACCGCTGCGGCGTAACAACCTACCTGCAAGCAAACACTAACTGGGGAAATTTACAGGTGGCTGCGGCCAATCCTTTACCTCGCTCATCGTATCACCCCAATTCGCCGGTCTGAACTCGCTGAAGCGGCACCGGGCCGTCAATGCCGCCCTCAAGCAGGAGATTGCCGCCATACATGCCTGGAGCGCCAAGTGCCAGACGCCCGAGGAGTGGGAAAAGGACAGGGCAAAGAACGGCACAGAGGCAAAGCCGCCCATGGACGGCACAATCGGTGGACAGGTACAGGGCACGAATGCATAATCGAACGGGGCAGCATCACAAAAGGAAACATATCAAACAAAACGTCGGAACCTTTCCGCAAATCGGCTCGGCCGAGTGAGTCCCGTATAGTCTTGACCATGCGCGTCAGAGGGAAAAGAAAAATGAACCGGCCAAATACATCGCTGGCAACTTTTTTTCGAGGGATATGGAGCGCAAGATTTGATTCACGGTCAGGGCATATATGGGCAATAAGATCAAATTATTACTTCCAGGCCATATTATTCACGAAATAAATACACCAAAGATCAATGACCCAAACTCCGTTGAGGTTTCCTGTGCAGCAAATATAACAGCGTCTTACTTGAACTCGTCCCTCGTTTTGAGCTCCTCGACCAGATCGGCAAAGTCTTCGTCCCCATTATTCGCCTTGTCTTGGAAAGCCGCCATGTTCTCCTTTGCCCACTGCGCATCCTGGCCGGCGGGCGGCACCGTGAAGCCAGCCTCCCAGGCAGCCGTGATATCGCCAAGGATGAAGACGGCGCGCAGCTCCTGATCCTGGGGTGGCTTGGTTGGATGCGCTGGGTGCACGATGCTGGACCACGCAACGTGAACGTCGTTGCAAAGCTGGTCAAAGTCTTGCTGCGTGCGTGCGGCAGAGGTGCGCACATGCGCGGTGATGCGGTTGGAAGCGCGCTGGAGAACTCATGTTAGCCATTGTTCTAGCAAGACGAGAGTAGGTAGACAGAAGGTCATGTAGGAATAAATATGGGTAAATCAGGTTTCAGTCCACATACTGGTCTACCTGCAACGTATGTCTCCTGCTTTGCTGCGTCAGTGATTTTTACGTTGACAAATAACCTGGGTGTTGTGAATTTGTTGCTGTGGATTTCTGTAATGGCCAATGCCAAGGCATCTTTCTGCTCCGATTGGAGAGGAGCAATATGTTCAATCTCATACATAGGCATATTGTGTAGCTTTTGATAATTCGATGGTCACTTGCGTAATATGCTGTTTATATGTAAATGTAAATCAAATACAATAAACTTCAAGACAACATGAACAAAGTTCCTTTTTAATAGTTATTTTCCATTCTCCAAATGCCGTTGCTCCCCGGCTCAATATTGTGCTGACATATGCTGGATGACGTCCTTGCAAATAGGCCCCGGAATGGTGGACATCGTCATACCTCCGGATTTCACGGCGATGTGGGGTAAATGGCCGGCGGACCGAGGTCGGAGATGGTCATATTAGTGATCGAGGGGAACTCGAATGAATGCCTGTTACGGAGGAAGAGGCGAGTTCTTATTGTAAGCAATGCTCGGAGTCGAGCACTGATTCGCTACCCCTTTTGGCGTTCTCACGGCATCAATTAAACAGCTTAGAAGAAAGCTACTTAGACGTTTAGACATTTATAGTTTTAGTTCTATCGCCACTTTCTATGATGTCTTCGATTCATTTCAAATCACCATATTTTCAAAGGTATTGGCAAAGACACGATATTGACTTTTTTAGATGCACCTGTTTATTGTTGTTTGTGGGTATATAGTTATTCGGCTGATTGGAAGCGTTGACTTCCGTGTGAATTCCAAATGCCCGTCATGGCTGCGCGGAAGAGCAGAGCTGCGAACTGTCGCCCTCGTTGGGTTTCCAGGCGTAGTGATAACAGGACTTGAGCTGATGTCGTATGGTTTCAATTGACTTAGAAACCGGGGCCGCCGTGAGGACCACCGTGGCCACCACCGTGAGGACCTCCGTGTCCTCCGGGGCCACCGGGACCGCCAGGGCCACCAGGACCACCTTGGCCACCTTGGCCACCGTGAGGGCCACCAGGACCTCCCTGACCACCGTGGGGACCATTACCGCTGTGAATCACCGAGTCAGCATCCGCCGTGGCATATATCAAGTCATATCAATGAATGCTTACCCGCCGTGGGGACCGCCGTGAGGGCCGGGACCACCTTGGCCGCCGTGAGGGCCAGGTCCTCCGGGACCGCCAGGTCCGCCGTGCTCGCCGTGCTGAGGTTGTTGGTGTCCGCCGTGCATCTTTTCTGAAATCTTGTGTTCGATCTTGTTGATGAGACCCATTGTGTCGAGAGAATAGAGAAAGTAATCGAGAATTGGAGGGGGTTTAAGTATTGATGTTTTGAATTGTGGATGAATTGGATATTTGCCCCTGAGAAGGTGACATTCACCGCTTTTATGTGATTAAGCTCTGTTCTCGCAGGAGGCCGCCATGCTGCTACGACTCGCTACAGCAGTATGGTTTGCTCAGCCGTCGACCGACTAAGACCCTGATGAATGAGGCTATCCAGGTGACGTCGGGACACAGTCGGACGCGTGGCTTGTGGAGTATACTAAGGCTAGCGCAGGAACCTCTACAATACTCAGCTCCAGAATAGGGACCTTCTCCAGACTTGCCTGGAACTTCGGCATCGGATCGTGCCCTCACCACTGATCGGATTGAGTTAATATTAGAATGCGGCCGTGAAGATCATGCGATGTTCCCGCTTCAGCTCAAGGAACCAGCACATTCCAATTGGCATTTCGTGACGCAGCAGGTGGACCTTGGGAGACGTATTCATATGTGCTGGCTAACCGCCACAGCGGCCTCCCGACGTCATTGAGAACAACGATAACAAACTTGATGAGAGATGTCAACATAATGATAACCATGCTATGTGCATTTGCTTTGTAAATCTCTTTGCTTTATTATTGATGAGGGGTTCGGTGAGAACGAAGCTCTCATATCGCCGTTGTACCGAGTCGTAGGCTTGGCAAACAGCTGGAACTATTCGATACTAAAAGGCTTGGCAGCAATGCCCCCATTGTGCCGTTATTCCGCGTTTACGCAGCAGTACTTGTGTCTGTCACCGCAATCACAACTGGAGTTTGTCGAGCATCTTCCAGAATAGTCAAGCTGACGAATGAGCAACTATTGGCATGTTCCAGGTGGTTCATGCGGCCATGAATACCAAACAGTCTGTCCTCTGGCTGTGTCGTCAGCAACTTGTCAACTAGGTAAATTCCTGGCCAGCTTTCAGTCGCAGTATTGGTTGTTGTACGCAGTATCTGCATCTCAAAAGCTGGTGACAAAGTATCGCAAATAAATGACTCAGCAGGAAATCCTCATCTGAGTCCGGGTCTCTTATGATCAACAAAACTTCATGATATGAGGCTTTAGCTAAGGACCTATAGCCTGTGAAAGTGACAGCATCTGCAAGACTGCAGCCATAGTCAACGGGCAATTTACGTCTCAGGTATTGGTTGATTGCCATAGTAGACCAAACTATAATTTGCTAGCCGGCCGAGATCACCAGGGTCTGACACTTTGAAAAGGACCATAGATAGGTTTCGGCTGCTGGTTTTATCTCTTGCAATCCTGTAGTTGGCCAGAACATGAATCGGGCAGGAGTCATATGAGCTTTCGAGCTTCGGAAGACTCTTTCGCCCACATACCGATACGGCTTTGCTTCCGCTATTAATAGGCTTCTGCGGGGAAAGCAAGCGTATCCCTAACTAGGTGGGAGACCTGGATTTATCCGAAAGTCATCCCAACGTTTGTGCAAATACGGTTAAGTAATGCCCTGACATTCCTTTCTAATGCAATGGCGTTCACGTTACGGCCACGTGATCGAACCATTCATTCCTGCGAAGTGTTCTTCGTATCCTCTTCCTTGGATTCTCCCTCTGTGCTCTTTTCCACTTGAGGAGGCATGACGAGCATCTCGATTCGCCGCAGCTGAACCTCCAAGATCGTTGTCCCCTCTGGCAAATTCCTTGATTTGAGCTTGTCTCTTTCGACATCAAAGTAGAGAGACCAGAAGATTCCTTCCCGGACAGCTAAGAAACCTTCCCAGCCTGCGAAAATGAGACGCCGGTCCTGTCTTGTACAGTCGAAAGGCCCGGAATAATTGACTTCTGCAAACGGCCGCGTGCCAAACTTGACTTCGTAGGTGTTGCGGTCGACGTAGATCCAGTTCATTATCGGAGGGTCATCGCAGATTGTCGAAACTAGACCCTCGTACGGAGCATCGGGGAAGGGAAGATAATAACCAGCGAATGGGTGGCCAAAGGGTAGGTTGGGGTCCGTCCCAGTGTCCACATATAGCTGTGTTCGTATATGGTTAGTATGGCTCAAGTGAAACCCTGAATGGTTCATCGGAGCAGGAGCAGAACACGTACCTTATCTCCAGAGAGCACTATGTTTCTGCCCTCCAAGGTCCGGCCATAATCGGAAGACTTTGTACAATGGATCTGTAGGTTGTTCTTTCGACCTCGATGCTCGTCCCTTCTGGCACGCGATTGTGTTTGGCGGATCGCTTCAGCTGCACCAAATGCACCAATGCCAGCGACCAAAAAGGTAGCCATCAGGTCGAAAGATGTCTCCAGTAAATATCCAGGAATGGAATGTGTAGGTAGCAACTATATTTTTGACGGAGTAGTCGTGAACCATGCAACTCCCGGGACGATCCGTTCCAGAGCTTGCAATAGTTAATAAGATACAGAAATGCTAGCGGATTAGTTCTCTCAGAATGGCATGTCTTTTTCAACGTCGTCATGTGCGAACGTCGCTTGTATTTGTGAAATGTCGCGCAGTCACGCAAAAGACTTCGTGTATTTCTCTTCGATGTTTCCGCTTTGGGAACTCGGACTTTCAAGCACTAGAAGAAGCTCCAACCAGGAAATATTGACGTCTAGGTTGGCGCTACGTAGGCTGACTGCATATGTGCAACTCAACTTTGGCATGTATACGTCAAGATGAACTCAATGTCGTAGCTGCATCTAGTGTATATTACATACGAATGGTACATGCTTGCTGCACACTCTGGAAATTTTCAAGCCTTCCAACTAATATGTGAAATAGTGACTGAAAACCCCCAAATACTTGAGTAGCTGTGTAGTATAACGGGCGTCCCGGTCCTCTGTGCTGCCTTTAATATTGAATTGTGCACTGATGTCGTCATTATTGTCCTATGAAGCTATGGTATGCTGCAATTGATCAATTAAGTATACAATTTCCCCGCAAATTAGGACGATGGAAATAGCATAAGCTTCGCGGCACCTGCGGATCTGCGCGTCCCCGCCGCGACTACACACACCTTAAGCAAACACGAGTCACATGTAACGGAGATGGTAAGATCTTTCGATGACTCGTTGAAAAAGTAGATGCTCGCTCCTGGCAGTAGAGTGGAATACGCCCAGGAGTGCACACTCGCCCATCTAGTTTGGGATACGTCGAAGATGCACCGTTTTGTCAAAACTTTGCTCGTTGGTCTCTTCAGTTCGTGACTTTATCGATAATGAGCATCATGGATCATAGAGCATCTCCGCCGTTGGTTAGCGGTGCAGCACGTTGTTTTGGAGTCTTATTTGCACGACTGAAGAGAAATCGTATCGTGATACAATGCTACCGTGACGCGGTAGTGTTGCATAGTCGTCCTCCTGTGATGGGGTGCTCTTGCGCACCGATTTTCCCAAAGAGCGCCATGACTGCAGAGCCGGTGGTATCTAAATATCTCAATACAGCCAGAATTACTGATCAAAGTTATTGGATCGAAGCAATACGAAACTATACCAACAGGCGGCTTTGAGTATGCTAGAAAGCCTTAAACGAAATAGGACGTGCAATACCATGCGGCCTGCATTAGTCCTTCATTGCTGACTGTGGCGGCACAGGAGCGGAAAGTCAATCAGACCAGAGGCGCGAGTCTTCCGATCGTCCAGAGGAGATATCAGCAGGTCTGTCTTCCCCATTTTCACCATCAGTGTTTAATCGGAATTTCAAGTCTTGTATTTTTTCTTTTTTCATAATAAAATACTATCTGCAACCTCATATGCCTAAGAAGAAAGCCAACAAAATTCTCTTGAAAAATCCTCCAGATCAGTCTTCTGAGCAACAGCCAGGCGAGTTTCCCGTCTCGCCGCCAAAATCACCTGAAGCAGCCACGATGGCTTACCAGTAGTATGTGGATCTCCCCAACCTTTGTTGACGAGTTGAGCACGGCTGACCATGATTACAGCGCCCCAGGCAACCGTGGCAGAGATTTTGGCAACCCCAGCAGCGATGAAGAGCACAATTACCCCCGTGCGGAGACCGGCAGTGGGCTTCCCGTGTCTGCCAACACGCTGCCCAAGCCTATCTCAGCTGGAACAATTCACGGTCCAGCAGGTTAGTGATGAACCGTTCACGCAAGGCCCATGTTGAAAGTTTGCTGAGTTGTACTGACGATGAATAGGGAGTCTACTGAAAGGTCCAGTCACTGCTGATGGAAAGCAGAAGGACCCCTTGATCTTGGTCGGAATCAAACTTGATCTTGAAGCAGATATCCATGTCAACGTGAGAGTCAGGGGCGATGTGATGGTGGGCCTGTACTAGAGCAACTTCAGTTGTCCCACGAGTACAGGTCTGTCGAGTCAGGCCGGAGTTGCAATAATTGCTTGTGCAGAGAGGAGGAGCACTCTTACGGCTGCTAGCTACATAATCCTATTAATCATGCAACTCAGTCCGAATCGCCATATCCACCAATGTCGGACTATATGCTATCCTATCATCTTTCTTGATGTGTATGTAGCGTGCAGAAATGTTCAATCGAACATAACTTTGCTGTTCTGAGACAGCGCGTATACTTTGTAGAGTCTGTTCCGAGAATGATAGTATGTTTATATTGAACTTCCTATCGTGTTTTCTATTGTGTGCCTGGCACGGCTACAAAACGAGCTCATGGAGCGCCATGTTAATTGAAACATGGCAGAAGGTTTGGCGATCAAAACTAGTGTCAACTCTGTTCACCCTGGATCCTCAACTGGTTACACTGGAAGATGACACAGATAGCCATTTCTTCCAAACGGCGAGACAACTAAATTGAGCCAGATGAAGAGAGTAAACGAATTCATTGAACTCATGAACTCGGAGCTTTATTAAGCATTGTTGATCCAAGAATTATGTTACGGTTATCCTCGATATTACTCATTGGTTCAAGGGGTCTCTGCGCATCGTTGAATACCACGATTCTTTATTATTATTTTTATTCTTGTTTTTGATAAGTAGTGTTTTGATTTTTTCATCATTATCATCTCATCGTATAGAAAACTGTTAGTAAACAAGTTCATCTTATCCATGTCTTCGCAAGATCGAAAACTCATCAAGAAAGTCTTCAAAACGGCGCCAAGTGCCACCGACAAGGGCATCGTAGGCCTTTGCCATATAGTCGCGCTCAATACCTCCCTCGGGGTACAAGTCATATGCCACCACACATGCTTGGGCTACGCGACCCAACATGCTGGCTGGTAGATTGACCAGGAAATAATTCATGGACCGGCAAATTTCGTGCGCCGAGGCAACTGATGCGGCATCTTCTGTGCGCCCTTCTAGCTCGCGGATAGCGTCGTTGACGATCAAGAGGGCTGCGTGATAATTCATCACGGCTGCGAGGAGCGCGCCGTTTGGGTAGACCATGTCTGGGGGTTCCAAGATCTCGTCGGGATTTTCTGGGTTCGGGTACCTGAATACTGGCAGGGTTGGGTCCATTTGTCGAAGGTTTTTCTCGTGAGGCTTGCGCCAGATGACGGGGTCCAACCACGTGCTCTTCCATCGCTCCAGACCTGCTTTTACTTTGGCGGCAATGCTGCAAGCCTTGTCATATAATTCCACCTTTGTCGATTTTTCTTTGAGTCCTCTGCACTGGTCTACGTACCAGAGCATGTTGGGGATTTCGAGCATATCATCAAAGAGATATTGCATCATGTCTTTGCTTGTAGTACCAAGGGTCCATGGTACCGTCTTCCATTCTTTCTTTGCGAGGAATGTTGGTCGCCTAGCTCGTATCGCACACCAAGTCTGTGTAAAGTTAGGTCGAGTTTCGAACCGTAGCGACAAGGAAATGATAGTACTGACGCAGTAAAGACGAGCATCGACGAAGAAGTAATGTGCTAACCCGGATCTATGGAGCTCGGGGCCACGGTACTCGAATAGCCTCAAAACTCCTGCCACATGTACCGTGTAGCCAGCCTTGGCGTCGCGTGACAGACGACCCTATAAACCAGTGAGCACGTGTGATGACAACTCGTATATGTTGACCAACCTCATAGTTCATACACAAGCCAACCGTCATCAGAACTGCATCGGATTTTCCAGCTTCTGGATAATTCAGAGCTTTCTGGAGCGATCGCAAGACATATGCATAGCTCTGCGCGCCGGCCCGTATCAAACGTTTGTCCTGGTAAATGAGTCCCGCGTAGGCTGCAGACACCGCAAGGTATGCAGACTGCAGCAGCTCAGAGGAGGCGCATTGCTCCGCACCGACACGCCAGAGTACCCATGGCCTGCCTTCGTGTATCCAGAATTTCGACTCGGAGTCAGATTCCTTGGGTGGGCCGTAGGAGTCTACAAACTTTTCTACCAGTGCTGCTTTGATTGGGACGTCGGCAGTCCTGAGGGATGAATCCGTTATTACTATAGGATCCAGTTTTGAAAAGTCTAGAGCAGAATGAGTCAGCAGTAATACTATATATCAATAAATAATAAGAGTGATCTGCTCACCTTTCTCTGGCTCGTCCTCGGTGGAATCGGATTCGGTTTCTGGTGAAGGTGCAGGTGTTATCATTGCCCGGCTAGATGAAGCCGCATCTTCAGCCTGGTTCAGCTTTCGTCGAATAGCAAGCTCGCTTAGAACTAATTGGTTGAGATCCCGAATCTTGTCGTCCAGGCTTTGAATGTTGCCCTGTAGGTAGTGTATAGCCTCGACATCATCGTCGCAGAAGGTATTGCGTGGTGGCCTTCCGCGTGGGCGGGACTGTTGTAAACATTCCGGTCTCGGTCAGCCCACATTGAGTCTCTTTGCTTGGCGAATCACTTTCTGAGGTTGTCACACGTACACTTTTCTGACTTGTCTTTGATTTGCTTGCGTGTTGCGCGCGTCGCAACTTTGACTTCTGAGCTGCATCCATGCTAAATCATGGCGGAATATTTCAGGCGGGGATTCTATGGACCCTATATTCTCAGACCGGTGACGATTTGATGATGGAAGCAGCAGGTGTTTATTATCCTATGATTCTGTTGGCTTGGGGCCGCGGAACACGGCCGACCTCGACGCGGGACAGTTCCTAACGTGCCCGTCGTTGGTTTCCTCACTTCGTCAATTCGGCAAGGTCTTGCTTAACAAAAAAAAACGACGAGCTGTCTTGCTAGATCCGGGGTCTGTGATCTTCAAACTCAAAATCATTAGTTAGCGAGCAGCGAAACAAGAGACTGCCGCGGACGGCGTCCCCGGTAGTTTAGCGTATTCGGACGCAGGCCGAGCACGCGGCCAACTACGTTGCTGCTGCAAGTGTCTTGAGAGGGAAGTTTTAGAGGGGTGGTTTAGGAGAGAATCATGCAGTAGTAGTGACCCTCTTGATCGGTTGCTGCATTTGCCAGTCAATTCTCGAATATGATCGCTGTCCATTTTCACCTCCTGGCCGGGTCAGGATTAGCGGTGACACAAAGAACCGTGTCAGCCACTATGCTGCCAAGTGAAGGTATCAAAAAATTTTTATTATTTTTTTCGTTCTATAACACTGCCGTCAAATTCAAATAATGGGAAGCCATGTGGCAGGGCTCAATGAGCGTTCCCTAAAGGATCCTTGCGGGGACTCATTGTGCCTGTGCGCTAGGAAAAAGGTAATGATCCTCCATCTATTTATTGGCATTAGCTCGGAGTTTATTCCGACACATAGCGCTGACTGGACGGCACCCACGAGTCATAACCGGGCATTAGCAGGTACCCGGCCTGACATTTCATCACCCTTTGCCTAGGAAAAGCATCCGGAAATGGTTGATTCGCAACAGTTTGCATTTTCCACGTGGTGATGCGTGACAAAGCCTTCCTAAGCAGACTAATAACGGGCTGTGGCTTTCTCGTCTGTGATTATCATAATAGAAAAATTTCTGTCTACGTGCTTGTCCCAGCATCTTGATTGGCTTGCATATAGTTCAGCTCGGGAGTAGCGACACTCCACATCTCCTTGTTGGAGGCTTGGAAAGGACCCTTAGCACATATTGGGAGACATTGTACAATTGATGCAGCTGTAACCGAGACCCGACAAGTACGGGAATAAGAAAACAACCGGCAGATCAGTGGATCAACTTGCTCCCTATTGGTTTCCATACGGATCATAGCAAACCCCCTGCTGCACTGAACCTTCTCGATGCCGTGATTTGCAGGGTCCATTCGTTGACAACTTAGCCATGTCGACATCTCTTTATTGAAGACTGCATCTTTGGAGCGGTCTGCAGATAGGTAGGCGCAAGTATAGAGTCCTTGAACCTATGCAACTAGCTCCTGCTACACACTAATAAAAACGTTGTGCTGCTCCATCGTCGCGTTGCAAAGACGTTGCCAAGTGTCGATTTCCTCTATCTAGCTTGAGAGGCCGCTAGGCCAAAAGTGCTCTGATGGTGCACAATTTTGTCATTAGCATCGTGGGATCCGGGTTAGATCTATAAACTAGTAGAACTTCAAAACAAGATTGATATCACAGTAGTCGCTGTCTCATCGTGGCCCAGGCCTCTTCGCACTCCTCATTACCCCGTGCCGAGTCGCAAGTCGCATGGGGAATAGCTGCCGCGCCATTTCGGCCTTCGCCTCGACCACGCTTGCACGGCGCTCCGCATATTCGGCTGTGCCTCTATGCTGCATGCGCCCACAAGACGCTGGCAATTGGGCTGTTGGAGTTTAGGTCATCCACACAGAGGGTCCCCATTTTTCTTTTCGTCCCATGTGTGCTCACTTTTTCATTCCTACTCAAATTATACAAGCTACCTCAGCCCTAGAGGGAATTCCGGCATGGCTACGGAAACGATTGAACTGCGGACCATCGATAGAGGCGTGCTAATCAATGTCGATCATGGATATGAACCACAAAACAAGGAACCAGAGCCTCAAGTAACCCCTGCCGAGTTCTCGCTGCCGCCAGTGGACACAGGGAGGGAGGCCTGGTTGTTTTTGACAGCATGCTGGTTTGTCGAGGCTTTTACCTTTGGTGAGTCAGCCAACTACCTCTTCTATCTGCCGACAAATGATATGCGTATTCGTAATTCACCGAGACTCAACTAAGGAAAAAAAAAATTTGGTACAGGCTTTGGGTTTTCATTTGGTGTCTTTCAAGACTATTACAGTAGTCATTCCCCATTTGCGGGGTCTGGCAATATTGCCGTGATCGGAACCACTACATCAGTAAGATTTTCACCCAGGACAAGAAGAGGCCTCAAGAAAAAAAAAATTCACCCCGGGTAAACTAATTAGCGGGACAGGGCATCTTGTACCTTGGAACGCCGTTTGTTGTTGCCATTTGCCGCCTATATCCACGATGGGCTCGATGGTCAACGTTAGCCGGCCTCTTTGCCACCTCGTTGTCCATGGCCATGAGCTCATTCTGTACCAGCGTGCCTCAGCTCATCGGGACCCAAGGTGTCATCTTTGGGATCGGCGGCTGTGTGGCCTACTGTCCGAGCACCCTGTACATTGACGAGTGGTTCGCGAGACGCAAGGGCATGGCATACGGCATCGTCTGGAGCGCCGCTGGAGTGGGCGGCGTGGTCCTGCCTCTAATCTTTGAAATCCTTTTGGACCGTTATGGTTTCCGAACAGCCATGCGAATCTGGTCCGCCGTCATGTTTGCTGGATCCGCCCCGCTGGCTTGGTTCATTAAACCCAGACTGCCATACTCGGCAACCATTAACAACAAGAGATCTTTCAACATGAGATTTGTCATATCCAGGCGGTTCATGTTTCACCAACTTGTGAACGTTATACAGGCTACCGGCTACTTCCTCCCGGGCATCTTCTTACCGATATATGCTCGTATGCATTTCGGCACCTCGAGCTTCCTTTCCACCTTGACAGTTATGCTAATGAACATTGCCGTGACCATGGGTCTGGTAATTATGGGTTTACTAAGTGATCGACTACGCCCCACTACTTGTATGCTTATCTCCGCGGTGGGTGCGGCTGTATCGGTTCTGCTGGTCTGGGGTTTCTCGGCAACACTGCCTGCCTTGTATGTGTTCTGCGTTCTGTATGGCTTATTTGCTGGAGGCTGGGCGGCTATCTGGCCAGGGATTATGAAGGAGGTCTCCCAGAGAGGCGAAGCGGATGGGTACGGCTTGACCGACCCAGTCATGGTCCACGGACACTTGTGCGTGGGTCGTGGAGTTGGTAATGTCGTTTCTGGACCTCTAAGCGACGTCCTTGTTCGAGGCATGCCGTGGAAGGGAAAGTCTATCGCCGGGTACGGAAGCGGCTTCGGCGTATTGATCCTGTACATTGGATTTACAGGCCTCGTCAGCGGCATGAATTACCTGTGGCAGGCACTAAACCTACTCTAATCACGAATACGGTACTACTGATTGGCAGGTAGGTACGCAATAGCTTGTTATCGCACTGCCGTACATGGCACTTGTAATATTTTGATTGGATATATTCGTTGGGGACAGAGTCATGTAAGCTAGGAAACAATAATGACTTGCAGTCACTTTACAGGCAGTGATCGACGTCCCTCTAGTCCCCCTACCCTCACCATGCGCATGCCTTATACTCAAGACGTAACCCTGCAGAAAATTTGCTTCTTCTTCTTCATATCTGCCAAAAGCAACGTTTCATCCTAGCCTTCGTAGATTCTGTTCATACGCAAGTCTGCCATGAACCAGTCATTGTCCTTGCGCTTCCAAACTTCATAGTAGTGTCCACCGCCAGTTCCTGTAACCCCGTAGGACTCGCCGACGCCCTTTGCGAGAGCTGAATGATAGATTACGGTAAAGGTGGCCCGGACTTCATCATCACTGATTTGCTCAAAATCTCCGGGTCCAACCATGTGGATTGTCTGCAGAGTCTGAAACGCCTTTTGGAAGAAGTCGGCAAATTCCTTTGTGCTGCCCCAGCGGTATGTAAATCCAGATTGGGTCAGCAGCTCGCCATCCGACTGGTATTCATATGTACAGTCAGGAAGTGCGACCTGATCAAACTTCTCAAACTGACAAGTGTCGGCGTAGCGACAGTACCAATTCTTTTTGCGGTTGATGATGACTGCGGTCTCCGGGGATACGTCACGCCAGGCTTTCTTTGGTTGTTCAGACATCTTGATCTGGCAGCTATCAGGCAGCTGTAGTCGAGAAAGTATGATTTTCCAATTACTTGAGCAGTAAAATCCTCGTCAGAATGTGTAGAATTATTGGGCTGGAGTTGAATGCGAAGAAATCTAAGACGGGCACAGCGGCCGCTACCCAACTTCAAAGAGAAAATTCGCGTAAGCCCTTATCGAACTTCTCCCCGCAGCCAAGACAAACTGCGTCAGAGCAGTAACCAGTACTGTATCTCCACCAATTCGTCATGCTGTGCCGCACATTGGCTGCATATGAGCGATACTGATTGGATATCCAGGTATGCATGCTGAGAATGGCTGAATGCATTCATTACTCAATATTTGTGGATCAAGAATAACAATTTGTCCACAGCGAGGCCTCTAAGCTATATACTCAATCATAATAGAATGGAATTAGTATTCTAGGACGAAATTAATGTTTATTCGATTTCCACTGAGATGCTGTGAATACTGCTAAAAGAAATTGATACCGCTAAACTTCCAGGTCTGGAATTGGTTTCCATCCCTTGTCTCCCCTTTCCCTTCCTCTATTATTTTTAGCTCTTTGATAAATGATTATAATTTGTCTGAGAAGCTGCGCAGTGTGCTCTGGGTTATTTTCGAGACTTGGGAGTGCTAAGTTAAGCGATGCAATCTTGATTTGGCGGGTGACTTGGTCGTGAAGCCTCACGAATTGGATTGTGCTGTTGTTTTTCTATTTACAGGAGGAGCGTTAAAGAAAATGGCACCCGGAGGCAACTCCGGGCGTCATTCTGGGCCCAATATCGATAAGTTCCAGCATGCGGAGCGATAATTCAATAACGCACCAAATGATACTTGACATCTAAGGGCCTATGACATGCTGCTCATAGATAAGGGATGAACAGGGAAGTAAAATGTCTTGGAGGGCATGGTAAATTGAAGAGGTTGATACATTGCCGAAGATCAAAGACAACAGATGCCTGCTGTTGCCGGATCGATTTACATGCCGATGTATACAGCGTCTAAACTGGCTTTACAAAGGGGGTATGGCCTTGGTAAATGGTGTGAGCAAATGGACTCATCCTTCTAATCCTATCGATATCCAGCTCACGTCACTTTTCAAGGGCTACGTACGATCTTGGGAAAGAGGACACACTCGTACGTGGGGGAGCTGACACTGAGGGTATGGTCTTGGCGGACAACAACCACCAGCTCTCCAGGTTGATCGCCAAAGATGGTGCTAGGGGTCCAGGAAACGCCGGGTTTCGACCACCTGCCATAGGATTCGACACGGCAGATACTGAAAAACAAAGAAGAGGGGTAAAAGCCTCTCTGACACGAAGACGACAAGTGGTTGGTCGCTTCGGCCATGCAGTTAATCGAGGTGAGGTCGGATTTCGGTTCTCAAATTGAATCTGAAAAAGAAATCAGCGACTCTGATGACCTGCCCATGATCAACTTGGAAGCCACAAATCCATAACAGGCTCGCTGGTCATGGATGCCTTCTCCAAGGTCGCCGACACTAACGTGACAGGATCAGTACGCTTCGTTAGGGCGGTGACGGGGACCATGGTCCAAGAAGAGTCCCATATTTTCCCCGGCACCCGTCGCCATGGTTCGCATAGTCTAGGAAAGGCTTCATCGTCCCCGTTGCTCCATTTTCCTTGGTAGGTGCACCGCGAATGACAGCCCACACTGCAAGTGAAGAATTCAAGTGTTGCCCATTGTAGATTTCGCGAAAGATTCATTTACTCCCCAAGTAGAGCTTCGTGTCATGCCGATGGCTGTTTACAAGACTCTACAACGGTCGATACCAGGATCACGTAAAACGCCATCCAAGTGAATACAGTCTGTGCTACCTGAATCAATGTCCCGATGATGTGGTACAGTTTTGTAAGTAATCTGATACAAGAACATGTCATCGATAACCGCACCCCTCTCAAGCGGGCGCCCATCGTCGATGATGCTACCAACTATATTCTCCTTCTCTCCAGCCCATCCGCTAGCTTCGTCAATGGCGCCGCCGAATCCATCCATGCGGGTCTCATTTTACCTGCAGCAATTTTGACCAAGGGCAAAGGTGCAGATACTGGGGATAGATTGGCTAGGTACGTGTCGCTTTTCATTTCGATGTATCTTCTGTACCTATCTAGGTAATATTTTTTATTTCCTGACTTTTTGTTGAATATCAGTGACGATAAAGAGATTTTGAATATACGATATTGATTTATGCCAGATCTATTAAACACTTTTTACTGGCAATCCGCTCATTCTCAGCTACGACTGACTTGTATCACTAATGTTGCACTGATGTAGTCAGTATCCACCGGAGATCGCCTGCTCGGGTATATTAGATAGCTCTTCGGTCATTTCTTTTTGGTACATCGTAGGATTGATTGTCTTAGGCATCTTTCATATGTTCCTTTGATCACATCTTCCCCTGAGCAAATATGCTCAGGTCAGAATTGGTCAAGATAGCCCAAACATTTTGTTCTTGATCAAAGTTACTAGTGAGCCTTTTCTCAACAACTCCTTTATCAGTATGAACTAGGAATAGCAATCCTTAAAACTTGCTGCACCCCGACTTCCATCTTCTCTTTATGTTAAAAGAAGAATAATAATCCTGGACACAAGGTGATGTTTCTCTTGTGAAGAATCTCTTGGGCCTAATGCAAGTATTGCATGCGCTACAGCATTCCTCATCAGCCCATAATACATGCACGTTATACGAGTTCATAAGTTCTGGTATCTGGAGCGCCATGTGTTTTGACACCAAAGGCAAAGGGGAAAGACCAGGACTAGGGGGATAAAGAGGAATGTTTCAACTTCCAAAGGATGGAAAGGTGAGCGCCACAAGGGTGGCTCGTGAGTGTGGCACCCTTTGGGTGACATAACGAAAGGCAACGGAGAGAGAGCGATGAAGATACTAGTTCTTGCACGTCGATTGAGAAATTCCAAATTTGAAGAGGCTGCCCTAGAGCCTCAAAACTTTAACCACTTGACCTTTCATCTGTTGTCCAAATGTGATGGAACGTCTGATCGTTTGTTCGATTTGATATGACCTTTAATATTGCCAAGCAACTGGTGAAGTACTTAACAAGACCGTTCAGTAGAAATGAGGATAAATGAAAGATGATTCTTCCAAGTACCTAGAACCTAATCGTGCGCCGCACATTGGGAAGTGAAAGCACTTCCCGTACAACCAACAGCCTCGTACATGGGTAACCACAGGCTCCAGCCACTTGTGGCGCATCAGTCCTGGCTTTTGTCTCCAGTACTCTCTGTATTACCCAGCCAGGCCAGGTAAATTACGCAGAAAATCTACGCGCACAATATTTGCCTACATAATTACTCAGTTCGTAAACCTGGCCATTAAATGTTCTGAAATAAGAGGGATAATGCCACACGGAAAGTGATGCGCCATAGTGTGGCTGAGTAGTGTATCACCTGAAGGGTGACACAACGGGAAGGGCTTATTGAGTCTATTTGCTCATACAATCTTTTCGTAGTTGTAAACCATCCTCCATTTTACTCTTTATTCTGGATACAGGTCGTATCAGAAAGACAGATTAAAGTGCCCGCCTAATCTCGTAATCAATACTATTTAATAACCGATTGCCCATACTCTCGACACTGTGTAATCGAATGAAATTTGATGTATGTTCCCATCATAAGATTGGTTTCTTCAGATCGCCTTGATTCATGCCCTTGGCCCGTCGTTCAACCCAATCGCGGCAACTAATTTCCTGGTACTTCTTCTCTTCACCTTCTGGGACGCAACTATCCAGGACGTCGCAGCTTTCATTCAAGTTGAAGCCAAAGAAGAACGGCATGCTTATGCGCTCTTTACCGCTCAAATTCCGCACGCGATGCACCGTACTAACGTATCTTGACAGATAATTTGGTTAAAAAGAAGTGTCCGAGGTTGGAAATTCATGAAACTCACAAATCATTCGTGATTCTTTGCATATAGTCAGCAATATTGACAACAAACGTCCCCTCAATGGGTTTTGCGTTGATCCATTGGCCCTGCTTATTGAGGACCTGCAATCCACCGATCTTGTCTTGCCACAGCATGGTGAAGAGCTGAAAGTCTGTATGGGAGCCTATAGAGACCTCGGCATCTTCATCGGTTGATAGTTGAACCTGCTTCAGTGGTGGATAGTAATTGACGCTATATTGAATATTAGATACAGTCATAAGCGGCTGTGGCAACAAAACACGGCGTCGAGGCGTTGTACAAGAACTGTCCCACGAATTCTCAATGGTGCAGTCATCTTTTTACTTACCAAAAGGTTGCGTCCGGATGGGAGAACTTTTCATCAAAAAAATCTTCGGGCAAATGGAGCGAGAGCGCAAACGACCGCACAAGCGCACGGGCAAGTCTCAGACACGACCGCCAGTACTCAAGGATCGCAGTCTTGAATTCTGGCAAGTTTGCCGTTGCATCCCACAAAAAGTCCTCGCTGATCAGACAGCGGGCCACCTCGGCGGGAATGGCAGCTGGATCGGTCACGGTTTCGTCGTACTTGGGATCATATTTCCACGAGAAACTCTCCCGAACGTCGACGGATTCAAACGGGTTAATTCGCTGGCTGCGCGGCCCTTGGTAGCCATTAAAAATTTGCGACTGTTCTGAACTAGCTTGATCTTTTACGGTGCGCGGCTGGCGAAAGAAGTCCAAGCTGGCGGCGTGGGCGGTGTTGAGAACTTTAGTGGGTATGCCGTGGTTGGCAATGTAGAAAAAGCCCGTATTGGTGCAGGCGCTGCGCAACTTCTCGGCGACTTGGCGGCGCTCTGGCAGCAAAGGGCTGTAAATGTCAGATATGTCAATCACCGGCAATTCTGATGGATCGGCATCGCGTGGGGGCGTCCGTAAGACGGTTCTGGTGACCGGCCCGTCTCCGGACATGATCCGGAGTTGAGTGGCGGCGCATGACTCGGGCGCGGGGTAATTCTTGATGGTTGTGGTAGCACTCATAGTTGATACCTGAGAATGGCCCCTCCGTCTCACTGTGAAATCAATCAAGTGCTCTCACGGGTCCGGGTTATCTGGATGATGGTATACTAATTGATGATTGGAACGGGTAGGTGCACTGCCTTATCTATAAGCAGCAGCTGAGAAACATGAGCAAACGGTGAGTTCAACGACACGCGACGGATTACAGGCTTGCGAAGGCTTAAGTGAAGTTGCAGGTATATCCGGGTCCAGATAATACGTCAAGCATAAGACAACAGGGTGATAGGACCGGACATGGGGCTCGCTCGTTATCATTGATAGCCGCTGCTCGGACTGATACCTGGTGGGGACGAAGCGGTCGCCGGCTTAGGCTTTCCGATCAGCCGCCAAGGCGAAGGCCGCCAAGTCGGAATCCGGGGTCCGATGAGCTTCCTTTTTTCGACAAGTAGTATAGCGTCTGAAACCAACGCCTTTTTCTTCTTTGCTGATAGCTACCTAGGTATTCATCAGACTCGGAAATTTTACTATTATGGTCGTTGAAAATTATCTCCTGCAAGTCCGATATATCCGTGCCAATGATGCCAACGCTCCTAAATATGGCCGGATATGATGACTTTGACTTCCGTTTTGTGATCTCGATGGCACCATTTTCCTCGTGATTGGACGTGTAGCTATGTCGTCACAAAGCTTGTTAGCGACAGTCGTACGCTTCCAAGTACACACATGGTAGGCGAGGAGTGCCTAGGTATTTGTGCCCTCTTTGTGTCGCGACTTGGCCCACCGAAGCCCGCATCTGTTGCAAAGATCTTTTTGACCACTGGGTCCTCGACGCCATTCTGGCGTTTCACGCGCGTGGCAGTTGGCACAGCCATCAAAGGGAACCTTGCTTGTCCTCTTGAGAAGCTTGCGCTGCTTTGACAAAGCTTGAAGGCGGCCCAATTCCAGTCGGAGATCGTCGTTTTCTTGAGCTAGACTATTCATTTCGACTTGCCATACGCCAAAATTGCTTGAACGTAGTTTCTCAAAGAGGTCCTCGTTCTTGGAAGAGCTGGCGTGGGCTGCAATAACCACCTCGGGATTCTTTCCTAACATCGGGTATGAGTCAAGGCAATGAAGTCCATCAAGTTTCACAGCGATTGAACGTACCCTTCTTCGTGGTGGACTTTGTGATCCGGCAGTGGAGAATTAGAACATGCGGCCGCCGTTCTGCTGATGTATCGCTCGCAAATATTGTTGCTTCGGCCAATAGATCCGGGCCTGTGGTCGATGCAAGCTCCAAGGTTGTTTGATGAGTCATTCTAGATGAGGTGGACTTGAGCACGAGGTAAAGAAATCGTTCACGAGACGTATCATCTGCCAGTAATTGCGAAAACGTTGTGCCAGTCAGTTCTTGTGATATTCCCAATGCAGTCATGCGGTTAGGGAAAACATTGAGAATCAGGCCCGACCTGGACATCTTTACCCACACATCCTGGTCGCCAACGCCTCGTTGTGCATCCAGTAACGCCAGATTCAAGTTGGGTACTTCTTGTTGAAGACCGGCCATCACGGCTACTCTACGTCCACCAGCCATTTGCAATATCGAGCCGACATTGTGCAACCATGCGTATTCCCCATCAGATCGTCGAAAGCGTGAAATGAGTTCAATGACTTGCCCGACGGCTGCAGCTTTCAGATGTCGGAACAGAGCTGGAATATCAGCCGAATGCCATTTGTCTTGTATGGGCAAGCCGATAAGTTCTGTAGGAGAATAGCCCAGTTGCACGCATGATGTAGATATCCAAACAATTGTGCCGGTGAGCGATAACACTTGGATGATTCCGGCAGCCATGTCTAGAACAATCTTGCACAACGCTTTGTAGCCAGGCTTGTCAAGCGCAGCGTTGCTGTTGTTGTCAAAAAGTCGTATCAGGACTTCTGTGTTCAGGTCAACATCGTCAGGGTCGATGATCCGAGACTCGGATGCTTGAGAAGGTTCCGACTGTCGAGACGAATCGCTCTGGTATTGGGAAGAAGGCGAAGGAGTGGCATCTTCAAGTTCTCGATGGTGAGAAGCACACAGCTGTTGCGTCCGACGATAAAAGAGTGAGTTGCGACCGCCAATGTTCAGCTCAAGATTCTTAGGAGCTAGGGCATTGTGGGTAGCGTCGATCTGGTAGCCAAAGAGAAACCTCGACTCAGCTCCAGGCCAGGGGATAGGGATGATGGTGATGAGGTTGATGAAGGGTTGACCGCCTTTCTTGAAGTTGACAATCGTCTGCCGAAACTCGCCGCCAGTCGCGAGGGATAGCTTGAAGTGGTACGCGTCGATGCTGTCGATATGTTGTCGAGGAGCCCTGGGTTGCACGAATCCGTCCGAAGATTGTAGAAAGCGACAGTTGCGTCCTAGGATCTCCGTGTTGTGATATCCCGTCATGGCTTCAAAGGAATTTGAGACGAAAATGATGGGCATGTCATGCTGCCAGGTATCCGCGACAACAAAAGGGTGGACGGGCTGTGTCGCTTGAAGGCTCGTGTGTGGGTGAGGTCGGGCCGCGATGAGTCGAAGGGCTTGGACAATGTCGAACGCAATTGTTTGATGTGATGTGACCGTGGCGCGTTGTTGGTTCACATCATCGACGGCTGGGTCGTCTCCCATCACGAATGTGTCGCCAGGATCGTTGTTCAGTATGGGCCTTGTCGATGCCTCGTGTTGGAGGCGGGCATGATAGTAGTTGTCATGTTCGTCGGATGTAGACCCTTGAATTGTACGATGCGGTGAACTATCGGTTTCGCCGGCGAGAGGATGCCTGGTGTTTGGATGCCATGTTTGGTCGAGGGCTGTTGTGTCTGATAAGGAAAATTTGTTTTCGTAATCCTCCAACGTGGTAGGGACGGCTCCGGGGGGCTCGGGTGGGCCTGGGCCGGAATTGAAGTTATAAGCCGGTGCCTCATTTCTCTTTGGGTCCATGTTCTATCTTGTTGACACGGGGTAAACAACTAGCAATCTGATGTCGGCTTACACGATAAATTTATTTTGTAACAATGAAAACCAAGAAGTAAACATTCCTGTCAACTGACCTGATTTAGTTTTCTTCTTGGGCCACTTTCCTTCAGTTCTTTGTCATGCTATAAGAGATAACGCCCCACAAGGACCGTTGGATTTGATCTTCTGCTAGGTCTGGAGTTACAAGACTCCCCATGAAAAAATGATACAGGTTGCCAGAATGGCCTAGCACTCCTTAAGCGTATGGAGTCTGGAACATGAGGTGGTAGTAGACAACAGCCATTGGTTGTGAATCTAGGGTATGAACATTGTATAGGGGGATACATTATCATGTACATGGTTACAAGCCACAACCTATCCTCCATGTTGGCGAGATCTTGGATAATAATGATAATCGTGGCTTCAGCAACGAGAGCAAAACCGACAATCGAGAGCGATCACGATCATGATCACGATCACGATCACGGTTGGAGAAGCTGCATAGTTTTCCGCCATGGCCAGCACGCGTGAATTTGCCATCTTCAAAAGAAAAAACGAAGAAACACAAATACCCGTTGTTTAAATGAGGCGATTGATTGGCTGGAAACTGACTTTGTGTGCTAGTGTTTGGTGTGCGAGTTATACCGTTCACGGGCCTTGCAGCCAAGCTCAGTGGCGAACATCGAATATGCAGGTCTGAGCTCAACTTTTGCGTGCAATGGAATTAAAGCCATGCCCATCTCTAGTTCCCGCAAATACGGCAAAGTAAATGAACCATGAAACGTCATGTTGCATTCTTTTATTGTCGATCTCCCCATAGAGTTATGGTTGAATTTGACAAAGCATGACGATTTCAGGGCGCGATTCAAGATTCCCATGGAAAAATGATCGGTGTTCCCACAAAACGCCTCCTCATCGCCAGATTCCCATTACCCAGATTGGCTCACATGTTTTCGCCACCTTCAGTATTGCCAATCTGTACCTGACTCTAAATCCCATCATGGCCAAGTTTTGTTGACAATTGAGTCACACCAATTCCTACATGATGGCAGAACTAATGCGACGTCAGCATCAGCCAATTGTTGAATGCAAGATTCACTAGATACAAGCGGACATGATCCGAGGCTTGCGAGGATCCGCACCCGCACACGTCTTTTCGATTATTGGGTGGCAAATATTATGAACTCTCAGGAGCTAGTCATGGGAACTTCTACACCTGTGCTGATACCCCAACTTTGACCGACCACATGTCCGTCAAATAAATTGGGAAAAATGTAATTCAAAAAATATGGTCTTGACCTGCTCTTTAGTATAATATTCGTTGGCTTTTTTTTCTATCCAAAAATCGCTTTTTTGACTTGTGTTCCGGGGAGTCGAAAAGTGAATGTTTTGGTGACGAGTGTCAAAATTCTTATGTCGAGGGGAGTGCTCTGCACCTATGGATTCCCCACAGTCCTGCGGGAAGAATACAACCGCCAAATTGAATCTAGTTAGCACTGGTAGGTAACCACTACTATCCTAGCACCCAGTTCACCAGTTCTACTAGTTTTCATCTATCCGTCCAAAGTCTAGGCTGCTCTATGAGGCTGAGCCCTTAACAGCCGTTGGTTGTGATTCTGGGTCAGACTCAGTCTCGGCATTCACCACGTAAACCGTCTGAGGGCTCTGCCGAGCTAGCTCACGCATTTCCAGCACACGCACAACCACTACCCATATGCACATGCCGCAGATAAATCCCAGGCTTGCCCTAAAACCATTACTGAATTGCGGTGCCTCCGTCGTGGGGTAGAGAAACTGCTGAATAACCGTGGACAGGGCAGTTCCCGCTGCGTTCATGACTGCTAGGGTTAGACCTCGTACCTGGCGGTCTCCAGCGGTCAGGATGTTGGCCCATGAGTAGTAAATGGGACTCAGGGGCCCGTCGGTGCCGGCAAACAGGTAAGAAACAATCTTCAAGCCCAGAGGGATTTCCCAAACAACGAGACATATTGTGCCAAAGATCAAGAGAACAAGATTGAAGGCAACAACTCCCATACGGTATCCAGTGGCATCAACATATGCGTTTAGACACAGAATCAGCACAATGTTCCAGCCGTTGATTGCCGTGGGTATGTTGTTGACTTGGTAAATGGACCAAGTGTGTTCCGTGTCCGCTTTCAGGTACAACTGCATGACGGTATTGGCCACCTTGCCAACAGTAGTGTTCCAAAACCTATCAGACGGTGTGTAAGTCAAGAGTCAAGAGTCAAGAGCCACGAGCCTATTTTGACTAAGGAACTTACATGAACAGAATGGTCAGAACATAGAGTTGCCATGATCTCGCGGCACGCACAAACATGTCCCAGCTAAAGGAGTTGACCGTTTCCTGGCGACCATCTTCTACGATGCGCTCGAGACATCGAGCCTTTTCTTCGGCGCTCAAATAAAAAGCCTTGGTGTCGTATGGAGTATCAGGAAAGAAGATAAAGCCGTAGATTGCAACCACTACGGTAATGATTCCATCAATGATGAACACCCTACAGCATGCACCATTAGCACCCGAGATACAGTGTAAGTTATACTGGTGCAAGGAGAGTCACATACCACCTCCATCCAGCAATGCCATCTCGGCCTTCGAGCGTGGCCAGAGCTGCCGACTGCAAGTATCCGGATATCATTGTGCCAACGTAGGCAGCGCATGCAAATATGGCGGTACGTTTGCCTGTTATCTCGTATCAATACTACTGACATTCTTTTCTGTTTCAGTATCAAGGAGAACGAAGATTACCTAGCTCCGTCTTTTTGTACCAACTACCAAGAACATATTGTACGCCAACGAAACATGAGCCCTCGAGAAAGCCAATGAAGAACCGGAGGGGATACAGCTTTGAAAAGGAGAGAGAAAAGTTAGCCACTTTCCGCCGTTCGGCCTCTCTATTTAATGGTGAAAGATATTCCTACCTGATTCACATCACGAACAGCATACGTGCCAATCGTCAGTACAGCCCAGATAAGTTCCATGCCAGGCAAGAGAATACGAGGGGGTATCCAGGTCAGTAAAAGGTTGGCAGGAATCGCACCAAGGATCTGGCCGATGGAGAAGCAGGTCACGGCCAAATTGTACTCGGTGCCGTACATGGCGAGGTCTTCCTTCATCCCCGACACATAGGCGTTGCTCAAGTTGGCTTGATCCAGCCACTTGGTAAAGTATGCGAGACAGCCATAGGTGAGAATGAAGAAGTCAATCTTGAAGAGCAGCTTCTTTTCAGCCGACGATGTCCCTTCAGGATACCAGATGAAGAACTTGGGGCGGTCCTTGCCATAGGATGATGCAAAGAGATTCCTCGCGTAGTAGGATACGGATAAAGACATGTTGCACTGGGGCCGACACGATACTCCTCAGAAATGGCTTGTTCGCATACCAGATCAGAGAGCTTGAATGCGATGGTGTGGTCGGTTCAAATGTGGCTGTCACTTCTACTGGAATTGCAGCCCCTGGAACTTTTACATCTTGTACGCGCACAAGGACTCTTATCTCTAGCAGTTGTATAACTGGCCAATCATCAATCAAGTTATTGGGCACAGATGATGGACTACGACAAAGGTCATGCCCAGTCGGACAGCCGACCAGCCGACGGGTGTGCTGAAGGTGGGGCACCGATAGGCAGAGGTCCGCGAACCAATCTGGATTTGGACATTGCCTGCCGCGACTCGGTGATGACCTCCTCCATATATGCACAGAATCCTTGGAGTAGACATGATTGATTTTTTCTGTGTGATCTGAGAATTTCTGCTAATTTTGTATCAATACCCGACAAGGAAGGAGAAGCATCATGGCTGAGGTGGCGAGCGCGATTCCCGGCAGCGGCAATCTGGGTATAGCCAGAGACGTGAGTCCGTCTCTGCATGCAAGGAGCTCGTGTGAGACGCGAACAACTACACCACGAATGGATTTGACAGTTGATGATTTAGGGCGCGGAGCACGTCTACTTCCACTCTGGCTCCGAAGCTACGTACCGCAAGGTGTCCGAGAAAGCATCCGGATTCACAACCATTCCAACGATTGATCTGACTGACTTGGACGGGACTGCCGCCCAACGAAAGGCTATCGCCGACGACATTTATAAAGCATGCCACGAATGTGGCTTCTTCTATGTCAAGAATCATGGGATTCCCCAAGAAATAGTTGTCGAGACGTTCCAATTGCTGAAGAACTTCTTTGCTCTCGACCTGGACAGCAAGATGGATGCCCATGTCCAAAAGAATCCTGCAATTCGTGGTTATGAACCAATGTTGGAGACGAAACTAGATCCAAGAACCCAGGGGGGTGAGTTTGAAATCTTGGAGAATGCAGCATGAGACATATCTGCTAACACTAGCAAATAGACATCAAAGAGGCTTTTACGATGGGAGATTGTGTAATTGAGCCAGAGCAGGACTATGTTGGGAGGACGGGAAAGCAACGACCGGCTCACATCACGCAGCCGCAGAACATATGGCCAGAAAAGGCACCGTGGTGGCGCGATGGCCTGTACAAGTACTACCAGTAAGTCCCAGATCCAAGAGCGCATGCTAGTTGGGCGAGAGCCGAGAGCTAACAAGGTAATCTTGCGCTGCCCGACAGCCATGTCTTTCCCCTGGCGATGAAACTCGTCCAAATATTCGCCTTGGCCTTTGGCATGGAGGAGACGGCCTTTGACAAGCACTTTCAATTCCCAATTACTGGCATGCGCCCGCTATACTACCCGCCAACCCCGGTGACAGAGGATGCTGCCAGCGTCGGGCTCGGCGCCCACGCAGACTTTAGCTGGCTCACCTTGGTGCTCCAAGGAGAGAATGTGCCGGCGCTCGAGGTGCTCAATCCCGATGGTATCTGGGTGGACGCTCCGCCGATCCCCGGCACGCTCGTCTGCAACGTGGGACAGTACCTGGAGCGCCAGACGAATGGCCTGTTTCCCGCTACCGTTCACCGTGTGCGAAACAAGACAGGCCAGGAGCGATATTCACTTCCATTCTTTCTGACAATGGACCCTGATGTCGAACTGGACGTCCTGGACTGCTGCGTGGAGCAGGGTGAGGTACCGAGCTACGAGCGCATCAATGTTGGGGACTTGTATATTCGCCGTGTCCTGCCAGCTAGAAAGAAGCATCCCACAAGCATCAAATACCGGGATGTACCTCAGGATCAATGGTCATATCGGATGCTACTGTCTTGAACAACATGGTATCTCTCAGAGGGCTCGTTCGACTATTATATATAGAAGCTTTGCGATTTGACAGGTTTCCTTCGTGGCAGTGATGGGTTCACTTTGAGGCGCCGCATTGATCCTAGATGCAAAACGACAGACAGGAAAGCCAGGGTGCAGCTTCTCAAAACAGCTAGTGTAGTGCTTGCAGTGCCTATAATCTTGGTTAATTTTCTAACGTTATCGCAGCTTATAAGAAGTATAATCTATAGTCGGATGTGTTCTAGTTATTAGTTGTACAGTAGTGAGTCGTGGCGAGATCATAAAGCAATTTGTACATATGGTTTATTTCCGAGTCGCCGAGTCCCGTCCAAAGTCTGTGCATTCATTGGTCGCATTCGTCCAATTTCCACTCTTCAGACAACAAAAGGACCCACTTTAACTCCAACAAGAGAATTGCCCACCAGCTTTTGACCCCACACGCCGCCGCCCGCCCGCCGACCCGCCTGAATGATCTGGATCTACCTTGCAGGCCGACACGCGCTTACTTACAAGCAATTGCCGGCGACGCGTCAAACGACGTTCAAATCAAAGTCACAGTCCATCTCAAACTACACGCTCGTTTTTATCAATTGACCACTTGATAGAATACGTTTCCTCGCAATTGTCGCGCCCGTTTCCATCCACCGCGACAATGCCCGCGCCGTCGGACAAGACTTTGGAGAAGGAGCTGCGAATCGAGACCAAGGCTTTGCTCGATAACGAGGAGGAGGTTACTGTGAACAAGGTCCGCACTCTGGTTGAAGAGAAGCTCGATCTTCCGGAGCAGTTTTTCAAGGAGAGCCCAGAGTGGAAAGAGCGTAGCAAGAAGATCATCCACAAAGCAATTGTAAGTCATTATGTGCTTGCCGTTTGGGCCATGGGGATAACATGGTGGGGTCTTTTTATATACTAACTCATGACTAGAATGGCGAGGAAAGCGATGACGAACCCAAGAAGGAGTCGGAATCGCCAAACGTTAAGAAGACTGCCGTGAAGCGCCAATCGAGCGAAGAGCCCGAACAAAAACCCAAGCGCGTCAAGAAGGAGGCCGCTCCCAAGAAACCCGCCAAAAAGGTCGCGCCCAAGAAGGGCAAGAAGCCCGTCTCGTCCGAGTCTGAATTAAGCGAACTTGAGGACTCCGAAGAGGAAGAGAAGCCCAAGGAGCGAGTCACGAAGCCCCAAAAGAAAGTCAAGAAGGCTGCATCCGAGTCCGAACTCAGCGATCTAGACGAATCCGAGGTGGAAGCCAAGCCAAAGAAAGCCGCAGCAAGGGGTAGACCCAAGAAGAAAGCTGCGCTTTTAGATGATGATGACGACGAGGACGACGACGTGAAGAGTGAATCAGGCGCAGCCGCTACCAAGCGCAAGCGTGCAAGCAAAGATGCCAAGATTGAGTCTGAAGACGAGGATGAAGATTCTGAAAAGAAGAAAGTCCCTAGCAACGAACCCGAAGATGAAGCTGAGAGAAAAGACGCAGCAAAAGTGAAGGGCCAGGACTTTGACAATGAGGAAAAGCCCCAGGTTGAGGCGGCCGAGGAGGAGAGAGGCAGCAAACCCACAGTCGCAGATGATGATAGCTCGGACCTCTCGTCAGTCGTCGACGACGGGCCACCGCCCAAGAAAAAGGCGAAGAAGGAAGAAAGCAAGCCGGCCGTAGACGATGATAGCTCCGACCTTTCCTCAGTCATAGACGATGATCCAGTGCCCAAGAAGCGAAAGACAAAGGAGCCCAAAGGTGGCAAGGGTCCAGCCAAGTCAAAGGCAGCAAAGTCGGGTGCCAAGGAGCCCACGGGCGATGAAGCAGAGATCAAGAAGTTGCAGGGCCAACTAGTCAAGTGTGGAATTCGCAAGATCTGGGGTATCGAGCTGAAAGAGCACGGTGACGATAGCAAGGCCAAAATCCGACATTTGCGAAAGATGCTGGCCGATGTGGGAATTACCGGTCGTTTTTCGGAAGCAAAGGCCAAGGAAATCAAGGAGAAGCGTGAATTGTTGGCTGATCTGGATGCTGTACAGGAAATGAATGATCTATGGGGCACCAATGGCCGTGCCGGTCGTGCCTCTAGAAGCAAAGCCCGGGCATCCATGAAGGAGGAATCCGCGGAGGAAAGTGAGGCAGAAGATGCTAAGCCTCGAGTCACGAAGAGAATGGCTGATCTGGCATTTTTGGGATCAGAAAGCGAGTCGGAGTAATGTTTCTCTCACAAAGCTTGCTATTTGCTTCAAATTTGTATTTGTAGTGCTTTCAACAAACCATGGCCTTTGACCGTTGGCAATAAAATTTGTAGAACACTCAGTGTAGTATGTAGTAGTACTATCTAGATGCGTTCATCCTTTGAGCGACTAGGCTGAAGACAGCGACAGAGCCCATGAACAAGACTGCATTGTAGAACTATTTTATTGCAAACTTAGCATCATGAGTCCCTATTTGACTTGAGATTATAGACCTACAGCTCTACGAGACACGGCGCGCTCTTCGTCTTCGGACCTTGCCTCAATAAAGAGCCGTCTCAGATTGGGAAAGCTTGCCTATATGGTTATGATTAGCGCTTCTCAAAAACAGCACGTAACCTCAAGTATCAAGGACAAGAATAGTGTACTCACCATAGCAGGACGGGCGAGCGTGTGCGATTAGACAAAGTTCGGAAGCTTGATTCTGCCTCAAAATGGACTCAGACGACCGGCGTCGGAAAGCAGCAGATTCATATAGACATCTCAGCGCCTGTAATAAAGGACAAAGAATGAATATGTCCCCTTCAGTGAAATTGCAGCTCGTTCCGCAATGGTAAAATGCATGGGGGCCAGTCTATCGGGGCCAGATTCTAGCGTGGGTCTCGTGACCCCACCAGCCGCAATTGCTCATTCATGTGTGGCTGATGCTGGGCCGACTTTCAGCAGTAGTAGCATTAGCGCCTGGTCCTGCGTCAGGGCCGTCCAGAATGCCACCTCAAGGCTCCCAAGGCTGGCGATCAATTGGGCGAAGGGGCGAGCTTAATTACTACTTTACACTTCGATCTTGACACCTTGGCGAGTGTACCTGAGCTGCGAGCTCTCCTCCTACGCAGAACGGCAGTCGAACTGGATTCGAAGCATTGAAAACAGCCGTGAGCAAAGCATAAACGGAAGCGAATGATCTGGCAGTTGCCCTAGCAGGGCCCCTGATCTCCCTCGATACCCTCCAAGTGGCCATATCAACTGGCGCCCTGTTGCTCTCCTTTTCCAACCACAACACAACGTCGACAAATTGCAACGGTCTCCAGCCCGTCCAACATTGAAGATGGCGGTCAATCGAATGCGCGCCGCATTTGCGGTGCCCAGAAAGGGTGAGACGTTTGAGCTGCGAGCTGGTCTAGTTTCCCAATATGCGTGGGAGCGCAAAGAGTCCATCCAGAAGACCATCATGGCAATGACATTGGGCAAGGACGTGTCGGCCCTGTTTCCAGATGTGCTGAAGAATATTGCAACTGCGGATCTGGATCAGAAGAAGCTGGTGTATTTATACCTCATGTGAGTCTTCTGCTGTCGTCTCAATTTCACCTTCTCACCGATCGAATCTCGAGCTGCCCCTCCATCATCCCCACGTCGCTTCACAGCCAACGACTAATGCGCGTTGCAGGAACTACGCAAAGTCTCACCCGGACCTATGTATCCTCGCCGTCAACACCTTTGTCCAGGACTCGGAAGACCCGAACCCCCTCATCCGCGCGCTCGCTATCCGAACAATGGGTTGCATTCGTGTCGACAAGATGGTAGATTACATGGAGGAGCCGCTGCGAAAGACACTTAGAGACGAGTCTCCATATGTGAGGAAGACGGCTGCGATTTGCGTTGCCAAGCTCTTTGACCTCAACCCGACCATGTGCATAGAGAACGGTTTCCTCGAAACGCTACAGGAAATGATTGGAGACTCGAACCCCATGGTTGTGGCGAACTCGGTCCAGGCGCTTTCCGAAATCAGCGAGACAGCTCCCGAGACTGCTGCGCTCATCATTACACCGCCGACCTTGAAAAAGCTTCTGATGGCTCTGAACGAATGTACAGAATGGGGACGGGTCACGATCCTGTCCACTTTGGCCGCATATCCACCGACGGATGTCAAGGAGTCCGAGCACATTTGCGAGAGGGTTGCGCCGCAATTTCAACATGTCAACCCCAGTGTCGTGTTGGCGGCTGTCAAGGTTGTTTTCATTCACATGAAGCTCATCAACGCAGACCTTGTGCGACAGTACCTGAAGAAGATGGCTCCACCCTTGGTCACACTCATTGCATCTGCTCCAGAAGTCCAATATGTCGCCCTTCGAAATATTGACTTGCTCCTTCAGGCCAAGCCCGATATCCTGAGCAATCAGTTACGTGTCTTTTTCTGCAAGTACAACGACCCTGCTTACCTGAAGCTTCAGAAATTGGAAATCATGGTCAGGATAGCCAACGAAAAGAACTTTGAGCAACTACTAGGCGAACTCAAGGAGTATGCCCTTGAGGTCGACATGGACTTTGTACGGAGAGCCGTCAAGGCGATTGGTCAGGTCGCGATCAAGATTGAGGGTGCAAGCGAAAAATGTGTGAACGCGCTCCTGGATCTGATAGCGACAAAGGTCAACTATGTTGTTCAAGAAGTAGTTGTGGTGATCAAGGACATTTTGCGAAAGTATCCTGGCTATGAGGGTGTCATCCCGACTCTCTGCCAGTACATTGATGAGCTTGACGAGCCAAATGCTCGAGGATCCTTGATCTGGATTGTTGGAGAGTATGCCGAAAAGATCAGCAATGCTGATGAGATCTTGGCTAGCTTTGTTGATGTTTTCTCTGAAGAGTTCACACAGACGCAACTTCAGATCTTGACTTCTGTAGTCAAGCTATTCTTGAAGAAGCCACAAAGCAGCCAAGGCCTTGTTCAAAAGGTTCTCCAGGCCGCCACAACAGACAACGACAACCCCGATATTCGCGACAGAGCTTATGTCTACTGGCGTCTCCTGTCTGGTGACCTCGATGTAGCCAAGGTGAGTAATTCTCAATTCTTGTATTCATGTCATGTCTAATTAGTTTCTGCAGAACATTATTTTGTCGCAAAAGCCCGCCATCTCTACCACCATGACTTCTCTGCCTCCAGCTCTTTTGGAGCAGCTCCTGGCTGAGCTCTCCACTCTTGCATCGGTATACCACAAGCCACCAGAGTCTTTTGTCGGAAAGGGCCGTTACGGCGCAGATGCTATCCAGCGTGCGGCCATCCTGGAGCAGCGCGAGAATCTCGCCGAAAACCCCAGTGTGGCTTCTGCTGTCGCAGCCGCCCAGTCCAACGGCTCTGCACCACAAAACAACATTGAGAACCTGCTTGATATTGACTTTGATGGTGGCGCGCCTGCGTCATTGGAGCAAAACAGCGCCACGGCCACACCTGACCGCGTGCAGAGCCCGGCCATGGGGCAACAACCATCTGGTGGTATGGCTGACATGATGGGCTTGTTCGACGCTCCAGCACCTCAAGCACCAGCCATGAACGCTGGTAGCAACGACCTGATGAATGGATTCGCTGGATTGGATATCAGTGGAAGCAGTGCTCCGCCACCCCCCGCGCAGCAATTAGGGCATGACGGAAATGCACCCAAGAAGGATAGCGACGATCTGCTGGGATTGTTCTAGGTGCCACAAAAGTCAAAAGGACAATAAAAGCGTGGTCGAGAGGGAAAAAGGCAGGACAGCAATGTAGACTTGATATAGAGGATGTGGTGCGGCTTGAATGCGGCTAGAGTGGCTCAAATAGCGTTACTCAGCTAGCAATGAGATGGAATGTGAAATGAACTTTGCAGATTCAATTATCGAGATAGACATCTTGAGAACACTGTAGGTGCACCTTTTCCTGTGCTAGTATACCTCGTGTGATTTTTGTCCGAGACAATATGCAGTATGGGAGGTTGCGTATTGATTGGGTCACCAATGTCAAGTATTGACTGTAGCTCATTGAAATAGTATTGCTCTCGCCACTGCCACTCCTCTCATCGGAACGATGCCATTCTAACCCTGGTCCTTATTTGGATCGGCCCCTTCAGACTATCCCTTCTCCGGTGCGATTCAACCACTAATATCATGATGGCTTATTGACCCGACATGACTGGCGAATGTAAATAATCAACTCTTTGACTCATGGCCCGGCGGAATCTCTTCGTCCCTTGGTTACTTTGCGCTCAAATGAGGTACTTTCGCCCCCAAACGTCCTGTAGATGAACATGCTGCATGTCAGTCGCTGTAAGTAGCGATAGCGCAGTATACTCTATTGAGTTTCCTCCTTGAGGAGATGTTTGGTTTCAAATTTCGTTGTTACCTTTGTTCTATAGGTATTCCTATCCCGGTTTCCACTGATCTGTCTACTTCTATGTCATGATATATACTATGAATGCTGCTGAGCATAATGACCAGCATGATTACGAAGACAGGCCAACTCTCGGTGTACTGAGGCGTTCAACTGTCGCAGCTTCAGTGTTTCAAAGGTTGCAGAAAATATGGATAATGTGACTTTGACCGTTTCAAAGCTTGGACGGTTCAACACAATTCTAGGGAAAGGGAGTATTGCCAAAATGTTGGTGAATGGAACTTTCTGCTTACGAGATCCAGTTGGGTGCATCGTTACTTTGGCGAGGGGATTCTGGGGTTCATTTTTCCAAAGGATCATATGTGCTGTTCCCACTGTATAAGCGCTACGAAGACTGCTGAAGGCATCCTGCTGCTGGAGAGCCTCTACTTAAGCTACGCATAGTTGAGGGTATAATCGAGCACGGTACACAAAATCCTAGTGGCACATTTGGCGAACGAGCGGAGATAAGAAATATAAAAGGGACTCTTTACATCGACCGTAGCGGTGTTGCTAGCCTCGGGCGGGTGATTGTAGACTATGAACAACGCAGATCCAAAAGAGCCAGTAGAGAGTGTCAAGCCAACCAATATTCAACTCCCGCAGATGGAGGTATAATCTTAGGATGGGACATCAGTGAAGATGAGTTTGAAAACCGGCAATTACGCCCAGACTGGTTCCATACAACCTTTGCTTTTAGAGACCACGGGTAAGCATTTTTCATGCAAGTGGAAACCAACTTTGTTTTGGAGAAACCAGATTCGCAGTCCAAATGCAAAGTCAAACAGGGTTTAAAAAAGTACTTCATGTTCTCAGGCGAGCCTTGAATGGCTATCACCATGGCCAGCCTCAGTGGAAGAAGCAACGTCCACAAGAACCCTTGAAGTGAGTCCCATGGATACGATACGTGAGGACATGATATTGGCAAAGTGGAAAGAGGCGCTTCAAGTTCCCGAGATGCAATCTGTGGGTCAGAACTTACACCAGGGGCATGAAAACTCCAAGGTCGGGGTCACAGGATCACGGGGAAGCGCGACGGTGGATCTTTCGGAGAGTTGGACTGATCAGAACGCACCCAATGCATCTGCTACCACGAGCGGCTATGGCGGAGTCACGCACCAAGGCGTTGTCTGTGATGTTCCGTGAGCGAGTCAGTACTTGCAGAACCGATACCAACCGCTCCAGACAGGATGCCGACGTAGGCGCCTGGTGGGATGGGGGAATAACAGCAGTGACTCTGCAGGAAGATGGAAGTGAGGGCGGCAGCCACTTGCCGACCTCAAATCACATCGACGTGGTCCCGCCAATGGATCATAGTCATCAAGTATCTGATCAGAGCAAATCCCCGAGAGTATCTACCGGATATGTTGCACGACTGCAAAAGCTTATTGAGGGATCCAATCTACCTCTTTTCATTCACCTATTCATTATCTGACTCTTGTCATTTGGGGGCAAACAATCATGGAAATCAGGGCAGACGGCGGTATCAACACTGTAGAGCATTGATGTCATGAAATGGATGGCCAGATATCACTCTGTGGAATGCAATCGTATTATCCACCATGTATCAAGATTTCATATGCCCTGACTTGAGCCTACGAGACATACATGGATCACACAGTCTTTGGTTGCTTTCTGCTCTCCGGGTGACAGGCCTCGATCTCCCCCGAAGAGACTGTCGCCAATTCTGTTCCTGATTACAATTTCGGAAGGAAACTACAATGTGTCATACACCCCTGTTTTTGGATGTTTGCTTGATGTCCTCAATGTGTGATGGAAATCGAGTAGTTCCCGAGACGCGGTCCAAGCTAGAGATCGGGTCGAGGAATTATACCAGATCTATCGATCCGCAGAAAGCCACTCTGTATTCTTGAATCGAGAACGGCATGGTCCGGCCAGTCCCAAGATATGCAGAGATTTGGTTACAAGAGTATCAAGTTATGACGGTTGACCTAGGGTGTGATCAAATTGCGGGCAGGTAAAAAATACCACCACCTGAGGATGCGTGATCGTGGGCCGGTATTTGGATTCACAAGGTCCCCTCCACCTTTCGCCGATTGTGGGTGGTGTATTGGCGGTTCGGCAAGTGCCGTAGATCGCCCCGAGATACGAAGCCCAACCGTCTTTGCCATTCAACCGTATTCGGACGTTGTGTTGCATTTCAGGTATTATCAGCGCGCAAGGCCCGCGGCACGGTGGAGCGCAAAGAAGATCTCGTGCCAGGTTGCCAGGCAATACTTTCCCTCTCTGCCGGGACAAGAGGCATTTGGGTAAAATGTCACTGTTACAGTAACATCACCGTTCCTGGCCTTTGGGTGTGGGGAATTCTTTTTTATTTTTCCCTTCCCTCCTTACCCCCAAGGGCCATGCTGACGCTCAATCAATCAATCCAACGTGGGAATCTGATGTGACAGCCACAGGCGAAATCTGCGTGGTTGGCGCGGTACTCATTGGATCGAGTATTACCGACCGTTAAGATGCTGGGCAGGCAGATTCCCAAACCTGATGAAGATGTGCACTCGGAGGGGACGGTGAAGGGCGGCAAAGTCATCCCAGCTTGTAACGCTGCATGCAAAGCCTTTCTGGCTCGCGCGAAACGCCAGGGACGCACAATTTGGCCTTTCTAGAGTGCATAATCCTGTTCTAGAAGGGGGACTCGTACACATAACACGTAACTATCCCGGACCCTGTTGATTGGGGGCTTGGGAATCGATCCTTGCATCGTTGAAGTCATTGGGTGTCTTGGTTGTCGGGTTCCATGCATTGATCTTCAAAGTAGGGGTTTTAGAGTTTCTCAGCCAAATTGAACCTTTTCCCCCTTACCTGGCCTTTACCTTTCAGTCGGAATAGCTTTTTCGGGGGAGAAGATGTGGATGAGGATGCGAATCATTTGCATCAGGGGTTTGTGCGGCGATCGATCGTGCATTAAAATCGGGATCTCGGGGCATCTATCTGTCCTCGGCCAAGAGGCGAGAGAAGGTTGGAGGGCTGTTGGGGATTCTACGCATGGAATGTGAAACTTGGGCAAACTCATCCGCGGCTCTACGCCACGGGCCCATGGTCTACAAATTGTTATTCGTGGGCTTTTTCGCATTCTTATTCGACGATCTTCATACGTATGAGATCCAAAAGGGTTGGCCTAGCTGCTTATTCGAATCCGGGGTTGGTATATACTAGTGAGCATATGTACACTACCTATAGGTACTAGGTATACTACCAAACTGATAAAGCGGACCCAGAGCCACGGAATGGGCGCTGCGTAGTGGCTCCACTATATTCGTCGGCATGGCATCGTGAGTAGTGGATAATGGTCAAGCCCTAGGTCATTCACAACCTCATGAGACCCAACAAGACACTTGTGATAATATCGCCAGCCCTTGATAGCTCAGTTGGCAGAGCGATGGACTGTAATTGCTACAATTCCAGATTTCAGGAATATCCACAGGTCGCCGGTTCAAATCCGGCTCGAGGGACAAACACTCACACTGTGTGGGATCATTTCATGATCTCTCACCTTGTAATTTTTGCCAATGTTTGTGCTGATGTTTAATACCGAGACCCTGATTGCATAAGTGAACTGCTTATATTTTTGACACTGCACCGTTGTTTTCTTTTCGCCATGTAAAGGACCTTGGTAAACTGGAGGAAAATACCACCTCGTCCTAATTCAGCCATCCTGAGCCGCACTAATAAGGAAACGGTTTCTGTTTCCTAGTGTCTGTCTGGCTGCAAGACCGTCGGTCGCTAAACTACTGCCGAAGCTTTGCATCCACCTCACTACCAGGTATATTAACAGAAATGTATTCCATATGCCTGTGGCCTGGAGTACATGTCATGTCACGCCTCGATTCGATAATGGTCCATGCCACAATTTCCCCCAAGACTGGCGCCCACCAAGGTCCCAACACAGAGGTTCGCCTAAAAGATTCAAGAGCCTGGAAAACCTTGAGCTCTCTATCGCTAGGATTCGCACTCGACCCATTCCACCTGCCAGAACGCAGGCGGCTCTATGGAGACACGACCTTGCTCCAGCGCGGACGAGGGGAGATTGAGTTTTCACCGGTCTTCCTGGTAAACTAATTCGAGAGGTTGTTGCTAGAACATTAGTGCATATACCTGGTCTATAGCAAGCCAGAAACAGCTAGCGGTTTGCAGATTGGATTCGTCCCCATGGCCACTAATTACATAGTAGCGATCACGGTCAATGGCTGTTGCCCATCGCATTTCTCTTCTGGATCAAACCCTGCATTCATTCTAGTCTCTGGTGTCCATTTGAGACTACACCAGCCACAGTTGTGCCGTCGCGTCGCAGACATCTTGAAACGATGTGCGCTAGGAGCAGCGTGTGTGGTATCACGGCATAAGGGAGCATGGAGGCCACTGGAGCGAATGTGAAAGAGACACGAAATCTTACAGCATCACACTACCGATGCAAAAGAACACGCAGCATTGTGGTCAACCTATATCTCATTCTGACAGATGCTGTATTGGCAATATATTGTCGCATACATCATGCAGTCATTGTCGCTGTCACTGTCAGGTCTTCGCGTCATACATGAACGATGCATGCAAGCGAATTGCCAAGTGAGAGGCACCCGTACTGTATTGGCTGCCTTTGCATACTGCCAACATTCTGATATGGCGAGAACCATCTAGACATCGCAAAGCTGAGTGACCTTGTTACCGATATAACAACCGTCAGCTCGGGAAGAAGCCCAAATCATAATGAGCTTGCGAAAACACGGCAAAATGCGACTTGCCAATGTAGGTGTAGATTCCGCTTACTGAGGCTTCGTCAGGGGGGGGGGGGGGGGTCCGGCGTATGAGGGCAGTCCAGAGTACTCGTTGGAAAACACGGAAAATGCCATTTCATAGGCCGATTGACATGTAGCAGTATGGTGGGCGAATTGGTGCGATTGAGGGGTTTCCCTCTCATGATTTGTGTGTGACTGGGTAGATATGCGTAACCAATATGCACAAGGATCAAGGTGTGAAATAAGCGAACTCTGTCCCTTGTTCGCCGTTGCAGGCTGTTGGCTGCAGCAAGACGCCGCTCATCAGGGGTCCTTGCATACCCAGATATTGTATAGAACTACCAGAGAACAAACGTGGTTTATATTACGGGAGTCAGTGGCTTGACATTTAGGATTTTCGCCAGGTACTATGCAGCGATACAAACGCGCCTACAATCCCTCTGGAACCAGGATTCCTCTCCAATTAGTACCCCATTGGTGATCCATGCAACATGAATGGCTCAGGCAGATCTTGGTCCACCTCATGGGAGTAAGTAGCAGTAGGTATCTAAGCGAATCTCTCCGATCGGGTCCACCACCCGAACAAGATCGACTGCTGAGCCACGGTAGAAGTCCACCACGTATGTACGTACATGCCAGGATACACTATTCCTCGGCTTTCTTTCCGCCGACCTGGATCTTCCGATCTGAATGGCCCCAAGCAACCAAGTGGACAATCGTCTGAAGTCGACTGCTCATGGGGAAGCGGCTCGTGCAGTTCTCTCGTCTCATCGAAAGCCGAGGAACGAATAGCATCGACTGTGGCACACCTATCGCCATGCGCCCCTGTCCTGTCCCTGCCCTATCTACCGGCGTGGGTGTGGAGGGCATTCATCGGAATAACCTGCCTCTGCTCGCTGCCTATTATTGTCCTCTACCTTGTATAGTACGCAAGCTGTGGCTCAAAAACTTGAAATGCAAAGAGCAGCTCCACAACCCGTATCCCCGAATATCCACGACTTACCGCTGTACTACAGGGGACATCTCACCTGCTACGGCTCGGTGTAGGCTCTCGCTGGGGACAGTAAGAACCCATGGAATCTGGGTAGAAACCCTATACTTGAATGTCTATTCTCCCCTTATTCGCAAACTGGACCTCTTTGGAAAGACCGCATCAAGCTCGGGACATCCGAACTTGTTCTTTTATCAAATACAATGCACTATACGCGAGTCCCACGCCTACACGCACCTTGCTAGACTATGTACAAATTTCCTTCAACAATGATCCTCACTTGCAGCAGAATTCAAGAATTTTCTCAACATTGGTTTCTTCAAAATGGCAGTTCTGAAATCATCGACGGGGTCACCTGATGGGGCGGAAGTGAAGTTTGAATGCTCGAAATGCCCACGAAGCTTCCAAAGAAGGGAGCACCTGAAGCGACATCGACGAATTCATGATGGAACAAAGCGCTTTGTTTGTCCAACCTGCTCGAAACGATTCGCGCGAAGGTATGTCGAATATGAATCTGTCAAGCATGCTTAGATAGCTCTAACCCTCGAAGCGACATATTGCACCGCCACGAGTTCATTCATACCGCCCTTCCACCAGACCCAACCGGCGTTCAGAGGAAAAGGGCCTGTTTGGAGTGTGCTAAAGCGAGAGAGAGATGTTCAAAAGGACTTCCTTGCGCCCGTTGCTCTTCGAAATCGCTGCAGTGTGCCTACCCAGATGCGAAGACTGCAGGCTTGACTGCAACAGCCGTCCGTATAAAGCATGTCACATCTACCAATGGGTCTGCCTATCATAACCTGCCGTCTAATGAGCAAGAAGAACAAGTCGTACAAGATGCTGTCACACTGGCATCCAATAATGTCACTGAACGAAGCTCGTATGGTTGTGCGGATTCTGGGCAAGTGCTCGACGAGCGTCAACGTCGCATCTCCGAACCTATGAATATCGGAAACACCAACAAAATAGGGGACCAAACTCTCCTGAGTGTCTCTCAAGCCCAGTGTAGGCAATCCATCGCGTGTCAGGTGCCCAGATCCATGGACAATTTGCATCCGACACTGGAAACTCCCACAATTCCTCTCCACCAATACGCGTATAGCCCATCGACAGATTCTCCCATTAGCTGGCCAGCCAGTATCGAAAGTTTCAACGCTGGGTACAACTCATCAGAAAGCCTGAGCACTCCCATGACTGAGCATTCTTCAACATTTGGCTCAACCGCATTCGAGGAAAGCAGCCCAGCCACAACAACGGCCATGTATACAACGATGCGATCCTCGGAACCTCCAACGTGGACGCCCGAGTATTGGATGGCCCAGAATTCGATACCAGTGCAAGGCTTACCTACCGATACCTTCCCCTATCATATACCTCTCCAAGTTACCCCCAACGAGGAAAATACCTCGACGGTGCCAATACTGTCCGGGCTTGCTACAAAGCCTACAGAGGCTTGGGCGGGCTACACAGAGGAGACTTACGCTCGCCATGGTGCGAATCTAGGACCATATCCTACAGAAAGAATGCCGACACTAGCGACGTCGGAGAAGGGGACATATTATGTTCCACAACTACAGAATTTATCGCCCGATGATATAGAAACCATGAGCAGACGCTGGGCAATGACTGGGCTGCCTTATGCCACAACTGTGTAACATGGCCAGAACATGCGCCATGTTTGCCACTTGAAGCTGAAAGGTTCAAGTTCAACAGACGTGAACTTTCGAGTGGTGGATGATTCAAGAATCGGTGCTACATGTGGGAAAGAAACTTTGGCGTGAATTTGCCACAACAGTTTCTATCATCAAATTCAACATTATTGAACGCTCGCTGTTCCACAAAGCCGACTGCGTTGTGATGGTTAATTTAGGGAATCATCAGCAAAGGCGCTCACGGATTGATATTAGCCTGAGGCAGTTTGCCCAGAGCGCAGAAGAGGATACAACATTTTGCCCATAGTGGTGTGGTGATGAAGTTATTAAAGCCACCAACCTGCTGGGACAAAGCCACGGCGAAAAGCAACACAAGCAACGGGAAAAGAGGAGCAGAGGAGCTTCTTTCCCATATATCTTATTCAGCGCCAGATAATTTTGCTCATCAGTGTCATTGTCTTACTCGAATGAAGCTCAACAGATTAGGGGCAGTTGGCTCGAATTCTGTCTCTTACCCAAAGGCTGCCAACCGCCCTTCCTGGTCTGATCGCAGAATAAATCACTGGAAGCAACTTCATTTTCTCAACACTTACGATAGTAGGCTTGCGGTTACCGGATGCCACTACTATGCGGGCACCTCTCGAGACACTCGGCAAAGGATCCAGTTGCATGGTGTGGAGACGAAATGCTCGAATGCAAAACTCACGCAAACATCATGGGCCCAAGGGCACAAGAGCACGAACTTATTGGGCTACGTCGGCAAACGGGGTTGTGATTGCAATAATCGCTGAGTGGGAACCATCTTCCAAGCCCACGTGCAGCTTAGGGGCCAGCTCGAAAATCATCATTGAGAAAACACCGAAGTTAACTGAGGGTCTTTCGTACATTATGAGCCATTTGGAAATTGGAAAGTGACATGGTCAACTTATGGACTCCAACCTAATATGGCAGTCGTCATGTGATCAGCAAGCGTTCACATTCACCCTTGGGCACTCTAGGTCTTGCTTGGGAGAAGGGGGGTTCATAGCAAGATCAATATAATACAGTAATAATGCATGAGACTCCGACTTGAAAAGACTCGGGGCAGGCACAAAGGTTGCCCTAGGGGACATGGCAGCAAATATCTGCTTGGCCAACGTATGCCGAACTGCTGTCGTGTTACACTGTTACGACACGACCCAAGTCAACTGTAGACTCGACTAGACATATCGCATGGGTCTCTGTGTATGCACAAGATATGTTTGGAACAAATATAGTACCAATTTTGTGGTAATTTTCAAATTGTGAGCACACTAGGATAGGATATGTATTTGTCAAAGATGGTCTCTGCGATGAAGGTCTGCGGTCCGCTGTCGGATTTCGAGGGCACGCCGATATTACTGGCAATGGCGTGAGTAGATTGAGAGTGAGTCGAACACCTGGGGAACGCACATGGTTAATCAATGGCAGGTAATGGGAGCTTCTTGCATTGAGGCGGCCCTCGCCACCGCTTTCCCCATCGCCTACGCAGCCATTAGTCTTTCATGTAGGTTGTGAGTTTCACCACGACCTGATTAGCTTTCTCAAACAGCTCGATCATACCAGCTGAGGACTTGACTTGAAACTATTAATAGTCTCAACCGTGGCAAAGGGAAAGTAGAGCATCGCAAAGTCTGGTGAGTGCATGTCGCACCATTCCGCCTTGCAAAGTCGCAGCAGCTGATGTGTTGATGCCAAGCTATGACAGAAGCAATACCAAACACGGGTACAGAATGCGTCATCGTCTGGCGTCTTCCACAACCAAAAGCCCAACCTGGTCAAAAATCGGTGAAGCCTTGCCAAAAAGCTTCTTCTCCTCTTCCCCCCTCAATGCCTTTTTTATTCAGAACTTGATCAGCAGCCTCTAGTTTGCACAGCACGCCTTGATGGCTGCACCCTAGGTTTTCATGGCAAAGACCGTCAACATGAGCGACGGAATGCCTCTTTATTCTGTGACTAAATGGATGAGTTATACTGGTGGAGATGTCATAACCAACTCAATGGCGCCGGGTAATCTCCCAATCGCCAAGCGGGCCAATGTAGGCCATGAAAATAAGCATTATAGTATCTCTCTTGCTAGTGGCACCGTAATGCATACCTAAACACGATATAATTGCTGCTTCTAACAGTGCTGCTGCACATGTAAGCTCAACATCCCTTGTCAGATGTGGAAAAGATGCTGATAATAAATGAGAAAAAGTCCCAAGAACCAAGCCTAGTGTTCAAAAACGCCTCAAATACTATCGAATATCATTACAGACCGTATGGTGTGTTCTCAAAAAAAAAAAAAATCGTCGACACGTAAGAGGGGAATAGTGTGCATTATCCAGAAGCGCAATAACCTCGGCCCAGGGGTCAATTCAAAATGCAGACATAGGAACTGACCTAACCTAGGTCGCTAAGACATGTTAGGGCGGCTGACAGTTGCGGTCACAATCCCCGCAGCGCATAGCATGCATAGAGGTGCTTTTGGGCCTTGCATGCGTGAATAGCAGAACCAAATACCCTGCGGCTGGGATCCAATCAAAAGCTTCCAAGGGTTTCTTGATTCCATACAATCTAGCCAAGAGAATGTATCAAGAGTGATAACTCCGAATGCCTTCTTGCTTGCTACCACCGTAAAATAAGTTTAATATCCTAACGCCGAACCTGCGCCCATGATGGGTTGAGTCTGTCTAGGTTCTTTACTATAGCATGCGGAAGCTGCCGAGGCATCAGGGGGCGTTGCACTACACAGATAGGTAGGTACAGGCTACAGCACACCAAAGAAATAAGACCCACTGAAAATGTCAATGATGTCAATATCACGCCGACTTCAACAGGAAGCAAAAGCGCGACAGACTCGACTGCGACATGATCAGTGGTGCGGCCGCAGCGACATGAGTAGCAATTTCTTCGATGAGCAGTCACACCAACGATACAGAAATGTGTTGGCACACTGAGGCTGCCGACCCTAAGGGCAGGTGCCGAACATTGTTGCCAAGTTGGTCATCATGTATGGGTCTGATTGACTAGGCCCGACGGTTGACCTGGAGAAAATGGTCCGTCTTCATGATCCCAGTGGAGTGGGTAAACCCATTTACACTGCCAGACAGCCCTAGGGATCACCAGCCGGTCGGAGTTCGGCTGCAAGAAGCTTGAGAATCAGTGCCGTCATTGGTTGCGATGGGGTGCCTACGAATGTCTAGCCTGACAGCTTAATTGGACTGATGAGAGTGAAACGCAGAACAAAGAAATCACCAAAATGATGTAGGTTACGTCACTTCTCGGCACGTAGCCCACGCTCAGGTCCACATCGAACGATGTGCTTTGTGTCGTCATGTCGATTTCATATCTATACAACCGTCTATATAAGTAATGTTGAAAAGGTTGTAATTTCACAATTATTTCGTAGCAATCATTCTTAAATTCTACCACGCACGTCGGCAACAACAGCTTAATCATCAAAGGCCCGACGTCAGATTAATATAAACATTAAGTTCCTGCATCACAGTATAACCACATAAAATACCGCAGCCATGCCTTACCCGGACGAATTCGAGGGTTTCATGATTAATGAGCTCGGCAAGTACAAGGACTTCAAGAAACAGACTGTATGTCATCATACCAGCCCCGAAATTTGAAAACCTGTCATAACTCACAACAACTATAGTTCAAGCCAAAGAAATTTGGTGACAATGATGTCGACATCAAGATTGAGTGCTGCGGTGTCTGCGGCTCCGACGTACACACCATCACGGGAGGCTGGGGAGACGCACCGACGCCCATTTGTGTTGGCCACGAAGTTGTCGGCAAGGCAATCAAGGTCGGATCCGCCGTCAAGACCGTCAAGGTCGGCGACCGCGTCGGTGTCGGGGCTCAGGTTTGGTCTTGCCTAAAGTGCCCGCAGTGTAAGAGCGACAATGAAAACTACTGCCCGCACATGGTTGGTACGTTAAACTTCCCCAGAGCATCATGGCCAATTTTGAAGCTAACATGGCTCTAGACACATATGGGGCCCCGTACCCCAAGGAGGTTGACCCGGATGAGACTATTTCGCAAGGTGGTTACGCGTCACACATTAGAGCCCACGAGTACTTTGTGTTCCCCATCCCCGACGCCATCCCCTCGCATCTGGCCGCACCCATGATGTGCGCCGGTCTCACAGTATGGTCTCCGCTGGTACGAGCCGGCGTCGGTCCGGGCAAGCAAGTCGCCATTGTCGGCCTCGGCGGCCTGGGACACTTTGCCGTCATGTGGGCGGCCGCCCTCGGCGCCGAGACGACGGTCATTTCGCACTCGCCGCACAAGAAGGACGACGCCCTCAAGCTGGGCGCCAAGCACTTTGTCAGCTCGGGCGAAAAGGACTGGGCCAAGCCGCTGGCCTTTACGTTTGACTTTGTCCTCAACACGGCCGACATGACGCACACGTTCAACATTGACGACTACCTCTCCATCCTCAAGGTCAACTGCCGCTTCCACCAGGTCGGCCTGCCCGACGAGGGCATCAAGGAGCTCAAGCCCCAGCAGTTCATGGCCAATGGTTCCAGCATTGGCGCCAGCCACATTGGCTCGCGCCCCGAGATTCTGGCCATGCTCAAGCTCGCTGCCGACAAGAAGCTGTTTCCCATGGTCGAGACTCTGCCCTTGTCGGAAAAGAACTGCGCCGAGGCTGTCGACCGTGTCAAGAACAACAAGGTGCACTACCGCTTCACCTTGACTGATTATGACAAGGTCTTTGGCGCTTAATTATTTAACGTCCAACAGATAGAATTCTACTGTAAATAAGTCATATTAGCTATATTTAATCAATTAATGTACTGTATGAACCTGCTCCGACTGCCATCGTATATCTCATGATTGAACCTGTCAGATTTCACCTCGGTCGCAGGAATGGATGCGCTTCAGTATTGAGCACATAATCATCCAAACTAATGAGGTCGGGTGGAGAAAAGGCCAGGTAAAAGTACTTCAAGGTCTCGGCCAACCAGAAGCTCTCCATGTAGTCCTCATTGTTGCTCGTGTCCACCGGTTTTGTCACGTCGGGTACAGAGCCACTCGCGTATTGAGTACGCGTAGCATTCCGCACGGCGAGGAACATGTCCCAAGCAGCATCCTGGAATTCTTGGCGCCCAGTTATGCGATACAGGACAAAGACGCTCTCAATGGCTTCGGGACGAAGAATGTAGCGCGGATCGCTGACCGACGTGAAGCCCTTGGGCAGGTGCTCATTGAGCTCGAGCCGTCTCTTCTTTTCCTGGCCCCAGCGCGCCTCGCTCCATTCGCAGCCGTCGCGGGACGCGCAGGCGACCATGTTCCAGCGCTCGGGGCCTACCCCGGACGGCATGGACTTGTAGGCGTACATGCACCCTCTTGTGAGCTTTGCGCCGAGTTCAATGTCGCCGGGTTGATTGAGCAGTCGTCCTGCCAGCGCAAAGGTGCCGCCGATGAAACATGTGAGATGCTCGGATTGAGGGTCGAGTTGCACCTCGCCGTCACCTAGGTAGTCGGCGTTTCCCGAGATGAGTAGATCCTCTTGACTTGGTACCATTGGCCGAAAGAACAAGTGCTCGTTTGCCGCATTCATAAAGCCCCGCGACATGGTGCTATAGATTGGCTCGGCTCCCTGCAGCAAACCATGCATCTTGGGCAGATACTCGTAGAGGGAGTCGGCACAGCCGCCGAGTGTGAAGACATTGCCAGATGACACGTCCTTGCCGCTCATGGAAACCATCTTGGGCCATAACCCTGGTATCTTGGTCTTGTTCTGGTTTCGAAAGAAGAGATTCATGACACCAGAGACGGCATTATAGTACTTTGGATCACCCGTGACTTGCGACAAGCGAGTCATCTCCAGTGACAGAGTGCCCGGGCCTGCCGAAACCACCGAGGGTTCTACCATGAGTCCCTCACCAGTCTTAGCTTGCTCTAGACTAATAAAATCGACGGGCATGCGATTCTCTGTATTGAACGCACCATAGAGCAAGTCTCCGAGCTCTATCGCCTTGGCAAGCAGAACCGGTCGCTTGCTCAAGTCGTACGCCGAAAGTAATCCTCCCATATATCTTATGTTGGTCTCGAATGTATTGACGTTGTCCGAGGTGGACTGGCCAAAGTCAATCTTAGCGACGGCCGCCACGGCCTCTTCGAACTCGGTCTTGAGGCCCATGATCCAGAGGGTGTCGAGGGAGTCGACCAAGGTCGCTGCCCAGCCAGAGAATTGATCACGGTAGCCGCCAGAGACGGGCAGCAAGGCGTCCTTCATCCACGCAAACTTGCGATATGCCTCCCAGTCTCGCACAAACGTATTTCTAACTTGCTGCCTCTTGTACTCCCTCTGCTGACGTTGCTCCAGAGTCTCGGCGGGAAACTTGAACTGCACTCTGGGAAGTCGGGCAAATTTGCTGAATGGGACCTGGGCTAGTGCCTCGTCGTCGACGGCATATTTGTGTTTGACATTGCTCCAGTTGAAGCTGCTCGGGGCAAAGTCGATGTGATGGGTTTCATCGACGGAATTCATGAATTTCGTCAGTCGTACTGACTCGAGATGGGCCCGCGACGTCCATGGTGAGTAGAGCAGGTAGAAGATAATTAGGGCGACACCGAATGCGGCATACTGAGTGCGACGACCTCGAGGCGATCCCTTTATCGCCATACCGTATAACTTGGTATGATCAGATGGAAGTGGACTCTGTCCATTCCACTGGTTTGTTGCAGATGGAAAAGTTGAACATTGCGGAACACGGCTCGGTCCATGATTTCGAGATGCCGTGAAATCTGTGTACGGGCAGTGTTCTATAAGATGCGTGTGGCTTTAGGCTAATCTTCAGCAATGGCAAATGGTGAGACAGCCAGATCGCGGGCTCGTGACCTTGTGGTGGTCTCGGCGCCCAGAACTCCTAACATAGAAGGTTGCAGCTGATGCGGGCTATCGCCAAAAGCAATCAAAGCGCGGGTCATTTTTTGGTCGTCTGAATGGGATGCCAAGATATTCATCACGCCTCTTGGCCTCTAGCCGCGGTCTTCAGCTGGATGAGAAACCAATTATCAAACAGTAAACACAATGCACCAAAGTTTCAGCCCGTCGCCGCCGTGTCGCCGGGGGAGAAGATGCCACATAATACAAAATATCAGCTCCAATCTCCAAGTTGAAATCCTCCTGAATTATTTGCAACTAATCCGATTTGGCTTCTCCGCCTAACGACTTTTCTACTTGCCCCTTACCTATTCTGTACTATATAGTACACATTTCCCCTGTCGACCACAAAGATTGCGTTCCAGGCGTTCCGGATGGTTGGTTTCTCACCCTGTTTCGGACAAAAGTCTTATTGGTGCCACTGACAATTAAGCTTAAAGGCCACTTTGCACTAAAGCCCACTGCGTTGTAACCCCGCGTGGCGATCTTTCCGATTATATTCCGCCCCGTCTGTTGTCTTCGGCGTACCCTGTCAGCACTGGTCTTGTTTCTATGACATTTGTGAATTTCGTAGCTACGGCCACAGTGAGATGGTCCTCGGAGTATATGGTCATGTAGGTAGTACTACTCTTCGATTCGCGGCCACCTCGGTAGACTCGATTGCCGCACTAGATTTAGGGTTGTGTTGCAGGCTTCTTCACACCAGTACAAAGTACATTAATGTGCGCGATCGGACGCAGCTCGCTTTTTCACTGCGATTTTAGCATTCTCAAAAGAGTTCGTCGAAGCCCCACTTACGAGCCCAGGTCACTACACATGATTGGTCACAAATCTATCGCCCTGCTTTTACTTTTGATCCTCCACTCCCGTCCCCCAAACGTCTTTCCCCTCGCCCGCAAATATGATCATACGGATCGGTCATAATGTTCGTCTAATGATTTCACATAGCCATTACATCAAAACGCCTACTCCTTTCTGTACCATTTGAAGGCATCGATGGGCCAGCTCCATACGGGTCAGTCTTTTGCAGATATGTGTTTCTTATTTAGTCGCGAGCCTTTCTCTTCAATACAGTTTCTTGCTTTAGTGTTTCGATTATCCGTCGAATGCTTCAAGATGATATTTTCCACGCTTTCGATGAACGTCAATTTACTGATTGTAAACCAGCCTGTCCCTCGTGGATGATGATCAGGGTACGGGAAGGTTTTGGTATATGCGATATGAGACTGGAGAGTCTGACTGCGTAGCTCTGATGCAGACTGGTCGATGCATTTTTGAGTCAATGCTGACATGACAATTTTTCGTCCCGAAAATTGCCCCTCATGGAGCCTGGGACATTGATTTTCTGGAAAATTTACGCCGTATTGTAATCATCGAACTAACTCTTGTGTGCTGGAACTCCCAAGCATCACGGGCTCAGAGAGTGAGTTTATCAGGGCTAAATTCTAATGTGATAGATTTGGGCCCTGACTTGGGCAATGCTTTAACACTACGCCCCAACCCGCCAGCGCAACAGGAATCAAAAATCGCAAGCATATTTCCTTGCGTGTCTTTGGTGATCGTCTCGGCCGAGTCCGAGTTCCATACTAGCTCATGAACACCGCTATCACTATCAGGAAGTGAGGTTGACTTTATGGTACTTGGCATTAAGATGTCAATGGTTACAGGCTAGATGACTGACCCTGTCAAAGAGCCCTCTCCGGATGTCCCGAGCTGCCATGGCCGGCATAGTAGATGATTAGAAAAATGCATTGGCGGCATCATGGCGATAGATTAAGTCAGAGAGGTGCCTGTTTAGTTGAATCCGTGCTGCTTTTACCAGAATGAAACACGCGATCTGAGATCAGTGGTTTCCCAAGAATAAAAAAACATAGAGCGACTGAAAAGACAAGCATTTTCAAATTGAGATATATGGAGCTGGTTCGGATTGAGGCCCATTTGAGCAGCTTGTCGCTGATGCTGGATGAGGCACCGCGCAAGGCTGTGCTGACAATGCCAACATGCGCTGAAGTTTTGTCGGTAAAGGATCGGGCATGGTCAGGATGCATCGAGTAAGCATTGGTCGTGGTACAATATTCAGCTGCCAGGGTCTCGATCCGGCCTCCAATGAGCCCGACACGTCTTGTCCATCTCCACCTGAGGATACACAAAATGAGGGGAACGGCGTTGACCTAGTGCAGGTTCTGCCGCCCGTGTTTGGCCATCATGTCAGCATGTATGTGCTATGTAGTATTAAAGTTCCTCTTGCCCAGGACCTTTTGCTCAAGTTTTGATTCTCTCCTTACATGCTGGAATCATTCATTGTGTCGCTCTTAGAATCCAGTGCTGTTGAACATGTCAGACACGCTCCAGCCAGATGAGGACCAGGTGGGTGTGTTTTTTTTTTCCCTTCAAAAGAGTCACCTAACTAAGTGAAGCTTACCATCTCGGTTGGAAATTGTGTAGCAGGCCACCACCCCAGAAGAAACATCTCATTCCAAACAGTCGGCCAACCCAGCATCTGTAAGATTAACGCTGTCCACTATAGCTCGTATTTGCTCATAAATATCGTTAGCACGTGCCATTGCTCAGGCGAGGCGACACGGCATGGCTCAAGGCTGAAAAAGGTGTTATTGACGTGACGATTTCCGAGCGATTGATCAATAACGGGAAATACTACTACCGGGTCGTGGATAAAAGTGGTAACTTGTGGAAAGGGGGCAAGCTGGTAACAACACAAGACCTCATACTCAATAACTCCAGCACCTCACCAGCATCTTCGTCTGTACCGACCCTCTCAGCTGATCTCGTTGATGAGTATTATGCAACTCATTTCGGGCTTGAATTGTTCCAATGCATCAATGCACTTCCAGCAGACACGGACGAGAGGATGATGGTCATCGAGAGCCTCCCACAGCTATTGGAAGCATTCGCAAGAAAACTAGAATCTGAAGACTCGAATCAGATCCATCGAGACATTGCGACTCATGTCCGAAAACACCAAAAGTGAGCTCTGCATATTGAAATTTTGTCCCTTTTTTTTTTTTTTTTTTTTTGGGTACAAGTAAGACTAATAGTTTAGCCGCATTACGACAACGTTGGGAGATTGCATCCTCGACCCAGCTGAGAGGCATAAACTTGCACAGGGTGCGTCTCATAACGCTGCTCGTACTTGGCTTGAGTCAAATCAAACGCACGACGATATGACTCTCGAGTCCGTCGGAAATGACGAGGATCAGAATGACGAACCGGACCATAGCAGAGATGAATATCTGCCCAAAGCACTGTCGGATTATTACCGAGTCGTGCAAAATTCTTCTGCCTACGAATGGCTTCGAGGGAGGCTTCGACGTGAAATCCTATACCCAATTACTGGCATTTCGCACATCGCTCGAATCCACGAAGTGGTATTAGAGAATATTGCATTTCTTAAGGTTTCTTGGCAAACGTCACTTGCTAAATGCAATGTGCAGTATGTTGTCGACTGGGACCCATTGGATTTCGTGACCTCCCAGGACTATGGTGAACCTCCAAACGAGGTGATTATCAGAGCGCTGACACTAACCGGCAGTCTTACGAATGCCGAGGCACTCACAAGCGGCGATTATATACGACGCACATGGCCTGATACTGGTGAGCATTTCTTGCACCTCTTGCAATTATTACTCAAAAGCGGAAAGGGGGTTTCTCATTCTGGTAAGTGGTCTTATCAACTTCTTCTAAACTACGGCTCATGCTGACGGGGCTCAGTGAGAATTGACGATATAACTACCATTCAAGCCTGCATACGCAAAACAGAGTGTATATTTGAAGCTAGCGGACAACCAGACACAGTCGTCGAAATTGGAGAGCAAGTCAGTTGGATCAGCTGCGCCCTTCGTTCTTCAGATGTTGAAGGTACAGTGTGCTGCTTCCCTAAGATTAGGAATGCAATAGAGACTGCGCGAACAGAGACATCCGTCTCTTTGATGGTAGGAATTTCCGCTTCAATTCAATCTACCAAAATCAGACCGTCCTATGACGGTTATTGTTGGCAAAGCCTGTTTTGTCACCCATTGCTCGTCCTAGGGTTTCCCATTGCAAGCCGACCTACTGGAATGCCCGGGTTGGAAATGCCCTTGATCACCATGATGACGCTAATGCAGACACCTCGGATCGTACCTTTCAAACAAAAGATTTTCATCAAAGGGGTTTCCACAATGCTCGTGGGCGTCCAGGAAGTCAATGGCGTGGTTATGTGGCATGCCATTGCTAATGGAAACGGAGAATACATCTACTATCATGATGAACGGGTCAGCCAATACGGGCCTACCTTGGACGATTCACTTCTGTCTTTGGATATGACGAAGAGACGACACATCGTTGGCTGGTGGTCTGAAGTCGAGAACTTGGCAGGTACGTACCTCAACAAATGCCTGACGTAATTACCACGTCCTTATCAGACAACAGGAACATCGCGTGCCAAGTTAAGTATTCGAGGCAGTGGCCTGGGCCCTCCCAAGTCTGGCATTGCTTTTGAAAGAGTTACTGTCGGTGGCGGCAAGTATATAACAGCAAGCGCCAACATCGCACTCTGCAATAGAGACAAGCCCGCCAGAAGCCGCAAAGAGGGGGCTTATAACGACCAAGTACGCCAGGCGCTTATAAACCATGTTGTGCTTTACGATACCAAAGAGCACAGAGCTTGGCTTCTAGATGGTGCAACAGCGCTTCTGCATCTCGCGAGAGCATCTCTTGTTGCGGATGAAAAAAACGGCTTTCGGTTGCTGCACAAAAATGACGATATTCAAGAGGAGAAGGGAGATGTGAAGACAAGCGCTATTGGTATATTGACGAACCCAGAAAACATGCGAATGACGCTTTACGATCAACCGGACGAGGTGGACACCAAAACCGAAGCCAAACACGTGAAAGATACCACGGATCCGGAGAAAACTGAGGTGACGCTCACGCACAAAGCCACCCACCAGCGATTCAGCGATAGGGTTAGTTTGTTATACTCTGTGCTCGAAGAGATCTTCAATCATCAGTCAGACATGAGTTCTGATGGCGTGGGACTAAAAATATCGATGTCCCCACTCGAACGATTGGAAGGCTTCGAATTCAGGGACATTGCAAACGGTGCACAAACGATCCACCCGAAGGCGGTGAATTTAGGATGGAAAGGCAAGAGCTGGGTTGATCTGCTGCGAAATCTTCATGCTGTGACGCTTTTTGGTCGGGATTTTGGTGACATACTTGAACCTCGAACGAGCCGCTCTCGCGAGAGTGCTCAAGTGCCACTCTGTACCAGGTGGGATCGGGTTCCATCGGGCCACAACTACTTGGCTGTAAGCAACATCAGGCTTCAAGAGATCCTCGAAAACTACGGCGATCAAAGCATCAGTCCTCTGCTTGTGTCGCGCGACCTATACTGGCATTGCCCGGATAAGTACTGCGAGCAATGCACCATTGCTTCACCCGGAAACTGTCGCTGTGACCGGGTCCAGGTTATCCTGCCGAAAACATTCCTCAATGCTCGCCACTTCCAGAGCCCGAAAGAAATGTGAGTAATCAAGCGACACCTATCTTGACTAGTGTATGGCGAGGGAATCGAGAAGCTAACTTGTTCAATTCTATAGACCAAGAGGCGGGGCCACTATCTTTGGTCATAGTCAAAGATATCCTTTGTGGTGGAAAGCGTCTTACAACGCAACTGAAACCAAACCCGATGAAGAGCCTGCCTCCACCACAGCTATCCAAGGCGACAACAATTCAAACGGCTTAGCACTCACAGGCTTCGAGGAGCCTGTACCGTCAAGAACTCCATCCCCCTTGCCGAGTACTCTAAGAACATCAGCTACGCCTGATGCCTTCAAAAAAATAGGGAGTCTTTTAAAGATTGGTAGACGGAACCAAACCGCCTCGGATGCGCCACTGGGTAGCTAGCAATGATGAAATATGTGTGATAACACATGGGAAGGAGTTTATAATGTGCTTTTCTGGTCGCCTGAGCGATTGGCGTAAATTGTACAATGATCAGGTATCACTCATTTCAAGAATCAAAAACAATCGGTAAATGTATCTTCTTTGATTAATTATTCTAGTATTTTTGATGCAAATGTGTATGTCTTTTGAAACTTTTTCCCACTCTAACTCCAAGGGTATCCGCTCGCCATTTCTCAAAAAGCATGAATTCCCATAATGCCATAATTGTATGACAAACCCAAAAAACCAATAGCATATAATCCGTCAAGGACTCCTGTGCCATGCAACAATAGTAGAAGATGTGCTCTCGTGACTATTCTCTCCGTTCAACATCTCCATGGCTTGGGGTTCTAGTGCCTGTCGACCGACACGCGGGGCGAGGACTCGACAGAAGAGGTGGGAGTCTGAGCCGGCGAGGTGCCGTAGTAGGCGGCGTGGGCAGCAGTGACGCTGCGGTGGTGCTCCTTGACGTGCTTCTTGACCTTGCCCCAGGCCTTGTCCACCGACGAACGGGGCGACTCGGCTGCGGAGGTGGTGGAGGCGGCGGGAGACTTGGCGGCAGTGGGTGTGTTGGTGTTGGAGACGGGAAGAGGAGCGCCCGTGGTGCCGTAGTAAGAGGCATAGGCGGCGTTGACAGACTGGTGGTGCTCCTTTGCGTGGCGCTTGACAGCCGTCCAGGCCTTGGTGAAGGTGGTGTTTGAGGGAGACATTATGGTGTATAAGTGATAATGTGGGTCTTGATGACTGAGTTGTTTGGTTTGTGTGATTGGCTGATTGGATTGCTCGAGAGCGATTGTAGTAGTAGTATAAGGGCTTGAAGTTGCTGTGGTTTGTATGGTAGTAAACCTTTTGCTTTCAGTGAGGATTGATGATGTTTTCCGTGTTTATTTCCAATGTTCAACATGAAGACCCGCCCCTACTTATACCAATTCAACTTGCCTCCATTTTCCTGTTTTGACATACATGTCTTTGAAAATTTTACCCATCGTGCAATAAACATTGCTACTTGTTAGTCATAGTTGAACACGCCCTGCAATGTGATGCGACGCAAGCCGACGCCTTGTGGATCGCAAAGGGCGCAAAGCCGAGAGCAAATGTCATGGCTGTGGTACCTGAACGAGTATAGCGGCGCCCAACTGAACCTCTAAAGGCTAAAGGCTCTGGAGCAGTGAAGAGTCAAGCACCCGCCCAACCGCCCACCGTGTCGCAACGGCTTAGCGTCGGAAGCGCCCAGTCAGTCAGCAGTCACAGCTGGAGCTCTCGGCTTGAGCTTGTCGCGCGCCCTTTGTTGGCAAACCCGCCCTGTGGTCAATGTCAAATTTGCTTTCGGCTTCGGCTTCGGAGTCGCCTGTAACCTCTCCCTTACTCAGGGGGTCACAAGGGTCACCAGACCGTCAAAGCCTTTCAAAGCCTTTCGAGGCCTGTAGAATCATCTGGTAACAGCGAATTGGTGTCATAGCACACCATCCCCGTGCCTGCGAAAAATTCTCATGTTGCACCCGCCCATCGCCATCGTGAGTAATAATAGCGAAAGAATTGTACCATTTCCTACCACCACCACGACGGAGGATCCGACCTCGCGCATTCCAGGACAAATAATACGACATCAATGTGCAAGACCTTGTATGTGTGTGACACCATTTCCTACAATGCACGAACAACTCGGGGACCCATTGGTCAGGTGTGCAATTTGTATTTCCGTATGATCATCATGGAACATTTTTTCTTCTTCCTCCTCCTTGTTGTTGGCACAATTCATCTCATCGTCACTTTCATCATTGTGTAATAAGGCGTGTCAATTGATGGCTTTTACTGGCTAAAAAGTTCCACCGGCAGTACATTCCCAATATGGAAATACCACAGTATGATCAAGTGCTGCTTAAACCTGGAGCAGCCAGTACGGTATACATCTTTCTGTTCGTGAATCAATTAAAAGTCTTTGATTGCAATAAAATATTCCACGGGTGTTATTAATAATCAAATTCCGTAGCTTTTGAGACATTCAGACGCAAAACCCGGATGGCACAACAATGCCGCAAGCTACCGGCGAGGAAGACACCATCCGAACCCCTTCCGCTCCGAAACCTCACGATGTTGCTGGTCACATTAACGTATGACATCTTACCTCATCAATCCCACAGTTTGAAGATATTTTGACTATGGCGTGCATTTCCAAGAACCATGTCGGCCCGCTCAATTGCATGTTACATTGACCGCCGAAATCAGTTTCATTCGAACCTGTGCGCCCACGAAGTCCTGAATCGACAGTAAACCATCTCAACCCGGCGCGAATGTAAACAAGACCGCCCAAAGACAAATGACGGGCCGTCCTGACCAAACGTGCCCAAATCTTCGGGTATAATTAGTCTCACGGCACAAGGCGCCTTCCGGACACTAGATGCAACTAATGTGATCGGTCTGTGAAACGTGTTGTTCCTGCTCGATCGCACGTCACGAAAGAATTTTCTTGATTGAATCAATACGAACCAATGATTCTGGGGCACGATGGTCGTTGGTGCAAGGTTCTGGCAACGCCTCAAAGGTCATTCAGGTTGTATGCACGCACTAGTACTATAATTACATTCTCTTAGGTAATCCTGCTCGGCCTCGGGTACCTGTTTTGTTCCTGCGTCCCCCTGCGAATCAGCCCTATGACATGAGTAGTGCCACTAACACGGGTCTGGCCGCTCCTCCATCAGGTGCTTGGGTGCTGATCTGTAGTATCCATATTGGAAACAATAGCCTCTCCCCTTGAAGCGGTTTACATGAGCAAATGATTCTCGGCGGATGCGGAACTCCTTTCCGTATGGTGGATCAGGCATTCACTTTATTGCAGGTTTTCCTTGCCCACAGTCTTCCCCAGGAGTTATAATGACGGCGGCTAGAATCGGGACACACAATATAACTTGGAAGCCCCCCTTTCTGAATGCTAGAGCCGTCCACAAACATTCATTGATCCTTCCAACAGCGGCGGCCTCCTTATTGTGACCTTTGCGAATGAAATACTTCTGAGTAATTACAAAATTTGATCTCGGCTTGCGCGATTGAACAAAACATGAGCCGCTTGTGCTAGAACTGGTCCCGGGCTCTATTCTGATTGGCATACTGTCGTAGTGGCCACCCCCTAGTGACAAGAATGAGTGAAATGAAAAGGAAAAAGATAGAGGCACACCCAAAGAAAAATCATTCGTGGGAGACAATGGCCCATTACCACGGCAAACAATGTCAAGTTGACGCCTTCGATTCTCTGCCTCCATATGGTCGCCTACAAAGTTTAGGTGACGACTGGGCAGGTCTCAACATGAACGGAATACGCTAAAAATAGTACGGGCCCCATATCTTGGATAGCGCTGAATTTTCATGGCCAACAAGGTCGACCATCGAGACCACCCTCTTCAAGGCAGCACAATAAAAACAATGGGGAGATTCGATCGCCAGGCCCAATCTCAGCCGAAACATGGCCGCCCCTCGGTGAGCAGCGCATCAAAAGCCCCGGCACCTCCGCCCACCAGTCGGCCGTCATGGACAGGATCGGGCTACTCAAAGAAGGCGGCGCCTCGGAAACCTGCGTCCTCTTCTGCGATGTCAGCGCCGGCCCCGACTTTGCAGAGAAACATTCTCCCGGTCGAGCTGCAGCAGCTCATTCTTGACATTTTCCGGGTCGCGTTCCCTGCCTCACAGGACTTTGCGGCATTAAAAGCACTGTTGACCCAGATCAATGATGCGTTACTCCAAAAGTCTTTTGAGACGGCGTTTAGGACAGAGCAGTTCAGGGAAGGCTACGCAATTCGATGGAGCCCCAGCCGTGCATTGGCCTACTCGAATATACTCGCGCAGATTTGCGATGACCATGGAGACAGTCCTTGGGTGAAGAGACTACTTGGAAATGGCACTGCTGGGCCGGTTAAGGTGCTCTGCTTTGGCGGTGGTGCTGCAGAGGTGATGGCGTTGGCCGGAGTGCTTCGATGTAGGCGAGAAGATGCAGCAGGCAAGCCGGATGCCGTACCATCGGGTGATTCTGGAGCATCGCCTGAGGAGAAGCTGCTACAGGCAGCATCTTCTTCTCCCCTCAGTGCTCCTCTTGTCGACCTTCACTTGGTTGACGCTGCAGACTGGTCCGAGGTCATTTCCAAACTCTGCGCAGGCCTGACAACGGCCCCTCAGCTGTCCAAGTATGCCAGCGCTGCGGCTCGCACCATGAATGCATCTTTCCTTTCGCCACGGGCTCTTGCAACACATTTCACCCAGACTGACATTCTAGGCCTAACGGCGGAGGATCTACAGGCCATGATGGGATCAGAGGTTACGCTAATTACCCTACTTTTCACCCTCAATGACCTTTATAACACCTCGATTCGGCGTGCCACAAGTTTTCTGCGGAAATTGAGCACACTCGTGCCGAAAGGGTGTCTGCTTTTGGTAGTTGACGCTCACGAAGCTATGGCCTCGGCAAAAGGCGCCGAGGGTGAAGCGGAAAAGTTGTACGCCATGAGCTGGCTCTTAGACAAAGCCTTATTACCAGCTCAAGTCACGGTCGAGGATGAACCCATCTCGGAAAGTCCATGGGAGAAGCTCGTTGATGACACAAACAGACTGTGTAGACTCCCAGACAAGGGGCTTGGTTATCCAGCGGGCTTGGAAAATTTGAAGCTACAGGTCCATCTATTCAGGCACTTGTAGGATACCATAAACCACCCGGAGGCTGTCCACGCTTTTTTATGCATTCGGAAACATTCCAATTTCGGATCGCTACTGGCAAATGCTGAGCCGAGGACCTGACGTGGAAGCTGACTACTCAGCAAAACATGAGAGAATTCTCTGAGCGAGTGCACATCAAATGAAAGGATCTTTCATGAGCAACTTGTTTTAAAAGAGGAGGCTGTGGACCTAGCGGATGGTTGGCCTGACAATGTTGTGTACGGAGAAACTATTTCCATTCATGACAAATGACTGCAAAGTCTTCTATCCTCCTGCACTGTCCTCTGATGCCGAATCTCTTTATGTCAATTACCTATCCTCAAGTCTCGTTTTCCTTACAAGGCAGGGCAAGTTTACTGCTCGGATGTCAAGGGCACTGGCGCTTCGTCTTCCGAAGACTTCGGATGTTTACCCTAGCGTCCAATGTGGGTACACGGTGTGTTATCCGACTCTGCCATCCGCATCACAGTTTGGCAGACGAGATGCGGCTGCCAGACACTCATAAATTGCTTGAATATATCTTGGTATCATGTAGAAAATAAAAAGGGGTAGTAGATCATTCATGAAGTCACGCCATACTGATCAGATGGGAGTTCCGACACGAATGGTGAGGTGGGTGAGCATCTACCCCGATCCGCGTCATTGTCCCCTGAGATACTTGAGCGCCTTGTCTTGAGCCGAGGTCGCATCTGTAGAATATTCTTCTGGTGAAATGGAAAGGAATGACTTTGAACACGGCTTGGACGGCTCCCCAATGAATACTGCCGACTTGATCTCTCCATTGCAATTGATGGCTTCAACCAGAGATGGGTACGCCAGTGTATCGTGGACTTTGCTCCATGTCAGTTATGAGATATAGGACATGACGCGGATAGCCATACCTATGATGCCGTATCTCGACTTGTCACTACAGTTGTCGTGAAAGTCGAGGGCCTCGGTGGCCTCGCGCAGCTCGTCCCGGATCCTCAGCTCATTGTAGCCAGGCGACAGCTTGAGGTGAGCGACAATGTAGCCCTGCCGCGCATACGTCTGCTGCGCGTCGGCTTCTAGCAGCTGCTGCTGACCGGCGCTGCCGCTGCCGCTGCCGCCGGCGGGCGAGACAATGACCAGCCCAGGTCCGCGCTTCTCGGATCCAAGTGGAGACTGGACCGTCAGGCTGGGGGTGATGCGCTCCGGCCGTGTTGCGGAAACGGCCATAGTTTTGGGGGGGAGAACGTGGCGTGGTAACAAAGAATAAGCTTTTCTCAATGTGATCGAAGGTCGACTGGATAAATTTCTTTTTGCAGATGTTCTCGGACTGACGGGATGTGAGAGATGAGCGGTGGGAGGGGATCCGGTCACCGCACCAAGCACGGAAGTTCGGATGGGCGCTCGGGACTTGACGATAAGATTCGCTAGCGCGGCAGCGATGAGAAAATGGTCATGGCTAGGTACGGTGGTCAAGTATGGAATCACCAACTGCCTACGGAAAGAGCAATGTTCTCAGCATCGTGTTTTGGGAGTCATGTCTCAATGATACCATGATCCAGTCGCAGTTTATTGTAATGCTTCACGATATCTTGAGCACATATACCATACCTCGGGAGGGCTCCACCCCACCTTTTGAGCAACGCCAAGTTAATAAGGCCAAGTTTGGGTGAGATGAAAGTTCAATCTCATTAGTTGATGTGACGGGAGGCATGTGATGAAGAAAGGCATTTCTTTCAACCTCAAAGCTTGATGTTCGAGATAGCCACAACGCGAATGACAGCGAACTCAACTTTCTCCTGGATCCCCACGCATACGTACAATAGTTATGTGAGAATGAAATCCATCCACGGCATCTTGATGTCGATTTTGCATGGAACCATGATTGATAGGAGTGTTTATGATTGCCGCTTTGAAATCCCCGTCGTAAAATCCGAGGTTCGCACATCCAGGCGACCAGACGGAACGGAATGGTGACGGCTTGGTCCAAGGTCGCTCAAAACGTCAAGAAATCCAGCTGAACATGCGAGGGTCCAAGTCTTTCTGTCTGCAAGCAATCTCCGTCACTTTCCAAATATCAGTCCGAAGACTACCAGCTCAAACTTGCTCCGACGGTCTCTATCCGCCTGGCCCTTTGATGAGCCCGAAGACACCTGACGTTCGTATGGGTGTCGAGTCGACAAAGGCATGAAGTATCCTTGAAGCCATGAGTTGCGTAGGATGTATTGGAGCTACATCCCTCAAACTTATGGTGAGATGTTTAGCCTGGTATTCGGACTGCTGCCACGACTGGGTACAAGGCTGGTGTTTGCAGTGATTCAGTATGTGGTATTTGCTTGGTCATGAACATTCCATGACCTTCCTCAAGAAACTGGAGCCACCGATTTTACAATCCTTCCGCAAAGAAAATGATGAGAGCGACGAGAACTAAATGGAAACAAGAAAAAGAAAAAAAGAAAAAGAGCTACGGAAGGTATCTAGGACAGCAAAAAGGAGTTCACCCAGAGGGCTACGTCTCCGCCTACTCGCGGTTTTTTTTTTTTTTTTTTTTTTTGTAACAGTAGGTCTTTGCTGCTGTTTGACTGCTCTTTGCTGCTGTTGCACTGCTCTTCTAACCACTACACCACTTGGTGGTGATAGAATCAGTGTCAATTTAAAATCATAAGGACTCTCAACTTCTGCGAGCCGAACAATTTGCCGGTAAGGTTTTCTGAAAAATTTGTGCTTTGTTGACATTACACTAGCTGGCTACGATGTCTTGTTAACATCACAGCCTAGGCCTGAAGCACTACGCATGCAAGTTAGCTACCTTGTTGACCTTTGAGCAAACTGTAAAAGAGACTTCAGAAAAATGATACACGTCCACGATGATACCGTGTCACAACTTTCGAACATTGGTTGATAGTCTCTGAGAGAAATTAATGAACTGAGAAGGGGGGGACATCACCGTATCATAGTGCCAGAGAGGATGGCCCGAGAAAGACTGCTGAATCAAGCCCAAAGAGATCAAGCTGGGAGTCTTCGAGTTCCGAAGAATGCTGCCCCTTGGGAAGCAAGGACGTTATGGCCAAGAGGACGCTCATCAGGAGAAAAAAAAACCCACTCTACTGGCTAGAGACAGGCATGGCTTTCATCAGTAGCATCATGGGATGAATTGGGCAGCAGAGCGCAAGAACACTCCTCTAATTATTGCCTTTTGCAAATGTCCCAAACAGATGCGGGCGTCGGTCAAGTGTTTGGGTTACAGCAAGAAGATTGCCGCTACTAATCCCCAATATGCTTAACAAGCCTGTCTCTGACGATTGAAGACCATTGATCTTCACTTTGGCCTGGCTTTACGCCGAGTACAGAGGGGTTGATCTCAATCGTCTTGTCCCTTGACTTGTGGCCCGCAGTGATGCTCAAATCCGACTTTGCAACGTTGAGCGCCTACCAGAAATTCATCAGTCGTGAACAGACGTCTGCTCCAAAAGAGTAGCTCGTACCTCGCTCATGACTTTGATGACGGCCTTGTTTGCCTCGCCATCCCTCGGTGGTGCGGCCACATTGAGTTCGACTGCATCGTCGGTGACGGCGCTAACGCCTTCGCGGTTCTTGTTGACACCTGGCTTGACGCGACAGTGGATGTGAATAGCTCCTAGGGGCTTGGTTTTGGATATTTTCGTGAGCGTAATCATGGTTGTCCGCGCCGCCATGACCTCGTTCCCTTCTCTCAATGGAATTGCCCCAAAGTCGAGAGGAGTTAAAAGTAGCAGCAGCTGCACCGATTTGGCACAAAATAGTGGACCAATTGTCACAATTAAGAAATTCAAGCTGGCGCTGACAAGGTTCTCCGGTTAACGTTTAGGTTTTGGCTCACTGGCTACAAGGTAGGTAGGTACGGTAGCTGGCGGGGTGGGCCACTTGGCACATTTCAGCACTATAGGTGATTGCGGACCTGGTAGTTGTGGCAGTGGCAGCATTTTGCTTGGTGCGAATATCTGTCAAGAGGCAGAAAAACAAATAACCTTTCTCATATGATATTACACGTGTCTTAGATATCATAATAATAATACATACATACAAGTTCTTTGCTTTGAATCAATCATTGCAACTTGGTAACAACAGGCAAAAATCAGACATCATTGGAGGCAGTGTTACACCCAAATGGTAGTAACATGTCCTGAATTTCAAGGCTGCGACTTGAGTCCTGCCTTGATGAACAAGGTCATCAGGATCACAGTCCCTACAGTCCAAACATTGGTTCGCCAGGCGAAAAGCTTCGGGTTATCCAGCAGATAGATGTATACCCATGTGTAGACGACCCTGCTGGCAACATAGCCCAAGGACAGGTAATTCAGGGCCACGGGGGACACCCCCGCAGCATTGGCAGCCGTGACTGCAGCAGCGAATAGTGGCAAGGTCTCGAAAGCGTTGGCACTGCAGGATTCGGCTCTCTGCAGTCTCAATCGAAGCTATATTCGGGCTCGTCAGCTCTGCTCTGGTCACAGCCGCCGCCCGAGGCAGCGCTCATCATTATTGCGTACCTGCTTGTCCAAGCCTTCGACTTTGTCCAGTCTACCAACAAAATTTCTCGGGTTGGTCCTGTCAAAGTACTTCTTTCCAGGTCCAACGATGCCCGAGTAGAAACGCGGGTACAGGGCGACACCTAGCGCAGCGGGAATCTATACCGCGTATCAGCGTATTGGTCGTCGAACTGGACAAAGCGTCTTACCGTGTAGTATGAAACATTGTTTTCGCTAAAGAATGAAGCCATTTTGCGATTGCTATGGAATGAAGATGATGATGAGTCAAGCTGTAATTGCAATCTACATAGTTGCACGATATGCGATGGCAAATCAATCAATTTATTGACAGATGCATGCTGACGGGATCGGGGTATGATCTACAGCGGGCAGGGCCCAGGCCAAATTAGACCCTTGCGCTGGTTGGGGCGCGCCTCGGTAACCGTGGGGATGCCGCCGCGCACGAAAAGACATTACAATGTCAACAGTCTTCTTTCACATCATCATACCAACACTCCTTGCACCTCCAATTCCATCTCTAGACTCAGATTTCAAGGAACTCACCCAAGGCCAATGATGGGAAGACTTTTTACTTACGTGAGCACCTTAAGGAATGGCCCGCCCTTCGGTCCCGACACAGCGCAATCAGCTATGCTGACCAAGTCTCTCCGTCGGCGGCCTGCAATTCATCCGAAAGGCCGGGGGACGCCGGAGTTGCGATTACAGTTGATGATTAACCATTATGCCTCCACCAGCCCGAGTCCGACGTCGAGGACGTCGACACAGACAGACCCATTGAGATCTACCTTTGCTCCAGGTCTCTCGGGGCCGGGACATGAGAGCGAGGCCTCGCACTTATTTGCACTAATACTGTGCTGGGGAATGAATGCGGAATGGAGCCGAATCTCCTTCATCTTCAGGCGAATTATGCTAATGGCACAGGTTTTTCGATGATTGACTGGACGCGCAACTATAAGATTTCTTGATCTGCTGCTTGAAGGTCATTGGAAATAGATTGCCACCAGGTCAGTGTCCATCACGAGCTGTGCGACGATGGAAAAGATCCGGATAGTTGCTCTCGTAGCATATCTTTTGTTTCCACGAGTGGCACCCAAAGACACGTAAGAGAGGCCTCGACAGCGAATCGAGCATTCACCTCAAGATCATGTCTCGAGGCGGATGAACTGTTCTTGTCGTGCATGATGCATGCAGTTCGCGGCCGACCATCATCACCGTGCTGAAGAATGCGAATATGTGTTGAGCGCCTCCCGGGTTGAGAAGAACAAGGACGGACCAAAAATGCCTGCCATGATTATACTCATAATTACACGTCTGAGGACATCTGGTGGTTTGCGAGTGATAACCACTGCGTGTCAAGTAGAAAAGAGCGACTCGATCTTGATGGCGCAGACACTATGAATCTTGCGTGCTTCCCCGACAGATGGCATCATCACCGAACCCCCCAACTTGATAGGGGCCACACCCAATCCCAGAACACCGGGACACTAAAACATGGCATCCGCACCCCGCGATAGATACGATGCCGGCCGGAAGCATGAGAAAAAATCCACTTATGGTGATGTGATCAGCCCTGTAATTGACGACTATGCGCAACTCGGCCGACATTGCGGTTTACTTAATGGTCAGGCAAACCAAGATGGTCATCTTGGCTCTACGGACATATTTCCGAGTGGCTGTCTTGTCTTGGCCTCGAACTAAGCAGATCTTGCGTTGAAATCGTATTGCTCATAATGCCAGAAAATAGTCAAGTTCGCCGTTGGTATCACTGGTACTCACCATCGGATGGACCCGAGGAGAGGAAGCTGATTGCAAAACTTGATCTACTGATTATTCCCTATGCGTTCATTTTATACTGGGTCAAGTACATTGATCAGTCCAACATTAGTAAGTTTGAAGCTGTCATGATGGTCCTCCACTCGGCTGTTTGTCTAATTTTGCCCAGACAATGCCTACGTCTCTGGAATGTCGGATGAGCTGAACTTTGAGGGCAATGAGCTTGTTCAGTTCCAGACCATCTTTGTTGTTGGAAATGTCGTCGGACTACTTCCTTTTATTTATCTTTTCCCTCGAGTTCCTATGCATATTCTTGTCCCGACATTAGACCTGGGTTGGGGAATTTTCACGCTGCTCCAGTACCGTGCTCAGAGTTATGGAGAAATCATGGCCTACCGTTTCCTTGTTTCGCTATTCGAGGTAAGCACCAAATTGTTCTAGAATTTCTCGCGATTGACATTATACAGGCAAGCTATTTCCCCGGAGTTCACTTTGTTCTTGGAAGCTGGTACAGAGGTGATGAGATTGGTCGCCGTGGAGGTATATTTTATGTCGGTCTCACTCTTGGCACCTTGACCGCAGGCCTTCTCCAGTCGGCAGCCACAACTTACCTCGATGGCGTACATGGACTAGCGGGATGGAGATGGCTGTTCATCATCAATGCCATCATTACTCTACCTCTCGCCTTGATCGGCTACTTTATCTGGCCCGGCACACCTGCCAAACCGAATCGATTAGTTTTCAAAGAGCCGGAGCTGGAACTGGCGCGCTCCAGGCTGTCAAAGACTGGCACAAAGGTTCAGAGCACTCCATTTTCTCTGGCCTTGTTGAAGCGAATCTTTACCAATTGGCGCTTCTATGTCATTGTGTTATGGGACATTTTCTTCTTCAATTCGGGCGCGAACACGGCCGCATTCCTGCTCTGGATCAAGAGTCTGCACCGCTTCGACACGGCCACACTGAATCAACTGGGCACAATCAGTCCAGCGCTGGGCATCTTTTTTGTCCTCTTTATCAACTTTAGCGCCGATCTGTGGATTGGGCGAGCCGCGGCCATTACCCTTGCGTCCGCCGTTAACTTTACCGGCCTCGTGATTCTCGCCGTTTGGAACGTGCCCGAGTCGGCTAAGTGGTTTGCCTTTAGTGTTGGCTACTCCTCCGTGGCCGTGTCTTCGGTCCTCTACGGCTGGGCGAATGTGATTCTAAAGGACAATATCGAAGAACGGTCTCTCACTTTGATATTAATGACAGCCATTGCGACCTCGACGAATGCCTGGATCCCACTTTTTGTGTATCCAACGGTCGAGGCACCCAGATATCCCAAGGGTTACGTGTACTCGGCGTGCATGGTGGTCTGTCTGGTTATTATGACGCAGATCGTCCGCATACTGTTCAAGGACGGGTAAGTTACTCAGTACCATCAGATACACTCTTAAACGACTGACACATTGCAGGGACAAGAACAAGGATGAAGAATATTCCAATGTAGAACAGGTGCAAGTGGAGGTGGATGCGAGACTTGAGACTGCCAAAAGAGTTGATGAGGGAGTGGTAGCTCTTTAATTCATGAAAGATGGTCCTGCTTCTTCCAGCGTCACGTGCAGTCTTTGGCAACTTTGCACCACAATGTAATACTTCATTCAATGTTCAAATTTGAGGTTGGAAAGTCATAATGTCTCTGAAGCGTTGAGTGCAACGGGCTTATCCTGCACCACGTTCACACCATCCCACAACGGGCCACCAGGGTATACATAGTCCGCATCAAGGCTTTGAAAACGATACATGCTCAGAGTGGAAGACATTCCTATCAACAATGATTAGCCTTCTGAATGCGATATAATCATGCGCTACGGGCTGTGTTTAGAGCCATACCCGGGGATGTATGTTGTAAAGCTTCAGGGATCTTGATGCCCTGGGGCAGTGGATCGGTAAAGTCGCTCTCGACTTGAATCTGTGCACAAGACGGATACAATTGAGCGGGGCTCGTGGAGTTGAACACGGCGTTATGCTCTTCCAGCCCAGTGTTGACCTCGTCCATGCGCAGCAGGTACTGCCCGGCCGGGGTCTGAGCCGGAATCTTGAATATGAACTGGACCTTGTTAGTTCACTTGCATCAGACCCAGTGCACTTGCATCAAAACTTACGCGCTCCGGCAAGCCTCCGTTGTTGTACGCGCGCCAGCGGATCGGGTCCGTCTGATTGACCATCCACTCCAGCCCGAGGGTGTAAATCTTGAGCCAGTCGCCGTCGCCGTCGTACTCTCTTACGTCCATGCCATCGGGTACTCGCGATAGGTGTGCCATGACTGGCCCCGGGTGGTTGATGTCCATAATTTGCTAAAAGGGATTGTAAATTATGCTACTTTGGAGTTGACGTGATACAATGTGTCAAGAATGCTTGGACTTACATCGGCGCGATTCGGTGCGCAGCTTCCTCTCTCGTTTGGGCAGTCGTACCTATCGAGTCACTTTGAGCCATTGCCAATTTTTGTATGTTAAAGTCGTAACAGAGAAACCCCAGGGGTTCTGAAGTTTTTGATCACGCAGTCAAATCACATACCACATGGCATCAACCCATGCCACAGGATCAAATCGGGTATGAGCAAACTCGATCGTATCACCAGCTCGAAGACTAAGGACTTCAGTGGCGGCCGCATATGCCATGTTATCGCGACCACATCGTGTCGACTCGGCAAGGTCGGTCGCATAGGTGGGTTCATTATAGATGCGCTCATTCCGGTTGGTGTTTGGCGTCCACGGCTCCGTGAATGGAGCGGTTTTGTTGCTAAATTTGCTCTTAGCCTTGTCTGTATCGCCACATTAACTCGGGTACGGCAAGGGACGCGTACCGAATGAATCGCAGCGGTTCATGCCATTCGCCATTTACCGATATGCGGACAAACGTGACTACACACTAATGTCAATGATGGCCCAGGGATGAAGAGAGGGGCGTCTTACAGTGTGCCTCTGATACTAGGATCAGGGCCATCAGCACAGTAATGTATGGAAGTCGTAACATTGTACTGCTATAATGTTATATCAATATAGAAATCAAATGAGCTATGATTGTGTGCAAAGAATTGCTGCTTTTCTTCTCTCACTATAAGTTGAAGGAACCCAACACTTGAGTAAAGCACCAGAGGTTGAGAATGCTTTTAATGGTCAAAGAAAGGTTTACAGTTTTGAGCACATAAGTACATGTATGAACAGGACAACTTATACATTTGATGTAGTTTAGATTATCCGCGAATAGAAGTCCATTGAGAAGCATCCTTTAGCCGGGTCAGAGTGCAGCATCACGTTCAATCAGATGCTACCATCCTGTTGTGTCAAGCAGCCAAGACCTCCTGTCTCGGGCCCGATTGAAGATGTGTTACTTGAATGGCAGCACAACTGAATAGAGGCATCTATATCAACTGATAATATCTCATTATCATATATTTTCCCGGAAGTTCCTTGCAGGTACCGACACGAGGCTCTGTGGTCTCTGCAGAGCCACATACAAGACAGCCAAAAATTGAGGTTACAAATCACTGAATAAGGCATTCGGAGTGAGCCGTACCGCTCAAGGGTAGATGGGCCGGAAGGATAACCGAATCCTTCGCGGGGCACAGCTGCCAGTTGAGTGGCAGATGTGGTCGAGTCTCATTGCCTAGATCTGGCTGGGTTACTCAGGTTCCGATGGATGGCACGGGGCTTCCCCAGGTACCACATGAGCTGCAGTCAGATCATCAGTGAGCTTGGCGCGAGAAATTCGATCCATAAGCCAACTTGAGTCCGCTAAACCAATGGGTTTCCATCTCGACCAGTAGGCGTGAAGGAGATCAAGTGAGTAGCGCAATGGTTATTCATGTATATACGAACCTATTAGGTCACAAGGATTAGAGCCGAGATCAAGAGATTGAATGTTTGCCTAGCGAGTGCGACATTTTTCAAGACCACAATCTTTGGGTAATTGTTTAGCCTTACATCGGTTTCGTAGCGATCTTGTTGGTTTTCTCACATTGCTTCGTGCTTGTACTGGACCATCATTATCAATCAAGACCCCGAAGTACGAACTACGCCCAGAATTGCATATGTTTTTCATTCAATGATGGGAACTTTGGCACCAAGAAACTGTTTTCTAGAATGAATTAGTGTTCAACTTCGTTTCTGTTCCTATTGTCTTTATACGGTACAAATGGCCTAAAAATCCACGCGAGCTGACATGCAGCTATATCTAAAACTGCTTGGCTTTGCGTTACTGGGCAACCGCACAACGTGTGAAAATAATACATTCGAGATGCTTCAAGATGCACGCGAGCACAACTACAAATAAACGCAATGGACTATATAGACAGTGTCCTCGAGTATTTTAGATAGCCGTGAGTGCTGGGTTCAAAGAAATAGAATATGAAGTTGAGGTTTGCTGACGGGTACAGTGCAACTCGACTTGCTTTGACCACACCCAGAGTCTCGGGAACACCAAGCAAACCAAAGGACCCCACTTTCACAGCTGAGGCCGGGGGTCCCCTAGCAGTCACTGTTTTAGCACTGTGGGGTGCCAGCCTAGCTGTTGCTTGGTTTTCCAGCGGCCCGCATCTTGGGCGCACAGTGCCAGCCAGGCTACGTACCTCCCTTGGCTGCTTCAATTGGCTTTTCTGCCAAAGACATGGCGTCATTGGAGGGTCGTCGGGGTCCGGGGGAGCTCCAACCCAAACAACCAATTGCCAACCCTCTAGCTGCTGCCAATTGAGAGCATTGTTAGCACCATCTGCTTTCTGAGCTACCGGAAACCTTCGACCTACACAACGCCATCACCATTCATACAATATACCTGTATTAAATCATTCTCATCTGCCAATCATTGTACAACTAGCTAGAAGCAGTATCATCATGTCTTTCCGCGCCTTCTCTTCTCTTCCCCGAGCCCTCGGCCGCCGCGCCGCCCCCCTCCGTGCTGCTACCCGCGTCTCGCAATTCCACAGCTCGCGTCCGCTCTTGGTGTCGCAGGGCGACTCTCTTCCCAACCGGGACTTCTTGGTCGAGAACAGCCCGGGCAACAAGGTCAACCTCGCCGACGAGTTCGCCAACATTAAGCGTGGCCTCGTCATTGGCGTGCCTGCCGCCTTCTCCCCGGCTTGCTCCAACCAGCACATTCCCGGCTACATTAGCCACCCCAAGGTTGCCGAGATCGTTGGCGAGGGCGGCAAGGTTGTTGTCGTCAGCGTGAATGACCCTTTTGTGTGAGTTTGCTCTGAATTTGTTTCCAGCTCTACAAAGGCAACATGTCAGACATTGCACGGGCGACAAACAATCAAATAAGAGACATCCGCTAACCATTTCCAATAGCATGAAGGCATGGCAAGACCAGCTTGACCCTGCCGGTGACTCTGGTGTAGGTTATACTTGGTGACGATTCAGCTCAAGAGCATGCTCAATCGCTCATGGATCCGTCCCAGCGCATACTATCCTCGAACCTAGCTAAATCATTTCTAGATCCGCTTCCTCGCCGACCCTACTGGCGAGTTCACCAAGGCCCTTGAGCTAGACTTTGACAGCGTGGCCATCTTTGGCAACCGCCGTGCCAAGCGTTACGCTCTGGTCCTTGAGGATGGCAAGGTCAAGTCCATCCACGTTGAGCCCGACAACACGGGAACAAATGGTGAGTTTTGCCTGATGAAACCGATAAAATTAGCAGCCCATGTCTAACTAACACGTCGTAGTCTCCCTGGCGGAGAATGTTCTTGCCTAAATATGTACAATATAGTATAGACTCGGTAGTAGTATGAGATACCGATCAAAAATAAACAACAAGTACAACAACAAAATCTTATCCGGCCACGCAGAGCAAAAAGAGGTCTGCCTGGGGATCGAACCCAGAATCTCCTGATGTCAACTGATTACAACTCTTTATGGAAAGAGAGCGGTCGTAGTCAGACGCAATGCCAATTCTGCCAACAGACCAATGGGAAACGCTTGAATTGCTTCAAGGCTTGTTGGAAGAAATTCCTGTTATTGAGTAATGAGATGTGAGTAATTTGAAAAAATTTCCAGACTAGGACTTGTCCATCGTGGGCCGATTTGTCGCCTCATAGAGAAAGTGGATATAGTTGGCGTGTTATGCGTGACCGACCGCAGTTTATACTCTGACAGAAGCCAAGCCGTTACACTAGTCGATCGACTGTAACTCGGGGGTTCCATGTTTCGATGTAACAAGGTGCACGGCGACAGCAGTCCACTCACCCTTGGATGTACAGCACTCGTCTACGCCTCCATTGACATGGTTCTTTTCACCAGAGAATTGAAAGAGAGCGGAAAACGAGCGGACTAAACAACATTACCCAAACCATATTTTTGATTTCAACCGTTTCTCTTATTTCACCCGCATATGCGAGAGCTATCTTGGAGAAAGCTCCGTCGTGAGTCAAGAATAATCGGGTAAGGCTCTTTTTTAGCTTATAAGAGCGCAGATACATAGGCTGATAGTAGCAGACATATGATCAAATATTCCCATTATGGCTTGGAACACTAACCTATGAAAATCCCCTTAGATACATCATCAAACGAGTGCATGCTTAGTATGCACGTCCAGCAAATTCGTGGTGGCAGCAGAAATGTCAGATGGTTCTTTTGGACCGAGATAGCAGCAGCCGCGAGCTTGCCAACGAAATTTTCACGAGCACGTACCACGCCTGCCGTCGTAGGACCGTCGATCAGCTCGTCCCACCAATTACCATGTCGATTCATCGCACTACAATCTAGGTGCTGATGTGCTGAAACATGCACCACTAGGTCATATGAGTATCTGGAGTTCAGCACGGGAGTATCGCATGTTAATTGAAGCAGGATTTGATAGAAACATTCGTCAAGTTGAACACTTAGCTGGTATAATTATGTTAAATGTTCGACCAATTCACGATTTCAGATCAGAAAGTTGTGGTGTTGCAAATCTTTTTGACTTGGGCATTATGCTACTAAATTAGAACGGTTGAACCAAGAAACTAGAAAATTTGATAATTTCCACACCTTGTGGAACATTGACCGAGTATATTTATACCAAGGTCTGAGATGGTGTTATGCACAGGCGAGAGTCTAGAGTACCAATTGGTTATCGAGGTACTTGGACCAGTCTTGGTCTGATGTGGATATTCAGAATAGGGAGATCATTCAATGTTTGTCAACTGCTTCCAAAATCCTACATCGCTGCTAGTCATCTAATTTCCCACTGTTCTCATACACGGACCAAGCTCATGGGCAACAATACACCGAAGTCCAAGCCTCCAATGCAGAACCGACAACCGGACGTTGAAGCTTGAATCGCTGCTCTTATCGTGCCGAATACCGATTGTATCTTGCGACAGCGATGTTTTCAGTATAAAGAAAGAATCGGGCAAGGCTCTCCTCTGGCTTGTGGGAATCCAAAGTCGTGGGCGCAGCTACCGCGGCCAATTTCTTCTCTTTTGGTTCAGGCTGTCCCCTTCATTCTTCAAAGATAACGAAATATCTTGGTTTTAACTCCGACTCTAATTCCGGAATGTCCCAGGCCATAAGCACTTGGCCGGGTATAATCGTTAGCCAGGGACCTGGTTCACCAACAATACCCGACCCCACCAAATTTCGACCGCCGTCGCCGGCGGAGATCCAACTTGTAGTCAGCCTTCTTGACTCGGATCATGTTGTTTGATTAGCAATTGACGGCAATCTTGTTCCTCCGATTTATTTGTGTTGTCACTCTTGACACTTGCTCTCAAGGTCTCCTGGCCAACAATGGATTAGACTTTGCAAGTCGAAAGAAATACATCCGTCATGGAATTCGAAGCATTGCCAACACCAATGGACTCTACATCATCTTGGGACCCTCCGCCCGTGCAAGGGAACAGTTCAAGAAGACGGAAGATTCGAAAGGGAACTCATAGCTGCTGGTAAAAGTACATCATAAGCTCAACACACGAGCCCATGACTGAATAGCCATTTCTGCAGGCAATGTAAACGGCGCAAAGCCAAGTGTATTTTTTCCACGGCTGCTGATGACGTCTGTGTGGGTTGTCGTCGTCGTGGACTGTCCTGCACAAGACAAGACTTGCCAGAAGAGCTCTCCAACTCAAAGACAAACCGTCCAGACCTTGATGAGAGGCTTGACAAAGTGGAAAGCTTACTCAGCGAACTCAATAGCAAGCTGCGCAAAGATGCCCCGTTAGCCAAGGACGACGATGGAAGCGCTGGTGAAAGTATCCCTGATACTACCGTCGCACTCACATCCAACGGAAACCCTGCTGATTTCAATGTCGGTGCTGAAAGTTCAGACCCGTTTTTACGAGGCGAAAGTCACCAGGCAATCACTGCTTCCTTGCTCGCAGCTTGGCCATCACCCAAAGATACGGAGAGCCTTCTCCGAAACAGTCATGGCACAACACTGTATTGTCATCACCTAAATGCTGGCCACCATTGCCGACTTACAGAAGAAGACTGGGTCACAAAGCCCGCAAAGCTTCCATGGGTTCCCGGTCCAGAGATGCACCCCGTCGTCCTGGCCAGGCGCATGCTCTGTTGCGTTCTCTTTCTTCAGAGCCCCTGTGCCGCCGAGAAGTACATGTTCTCTGTGCCCATACGGACAATCATGCACCGAATGCTGACCGCGGTTGTGGGTTTGGTCAATGGCAATGATGAACTGCATGGAAGCTTGGAAAGTGTTGAATGCTTCATGCTAGAGTCCATGTACCACATGCACTATGGGAATCTTCGAAAGTCATGGCTTGTCAATCGCAGAGCCATGCTCTTGGCACAAATGATTGGACTACATCATCGCCCCATGCCTCCGATACAGTCTCTTGATCCTCAGCTGGCGTCGGACCCTGAGGCCATGTGGTCCCGGATCGTGTCTCAAGACCGTTACCTTTGTCTCCTCCTAGGACTTCCACCAGGGTCGAGCAACAGGTGCACAAATGGCCCAATGACGGTGCCTAGGAGCTACTGTTGTACCAGCCGCAAGATTGAGGCGTCACTTCACAATATTGGCGCCAAAATATTGGAACGCAACGAGATTCGACGCCTCGACTATAGCCAAGACTTGGCCATCGATGCAGAGCTCCTCCAGCTGGCGTACAACGCACCCGAAGGTTACTGGAGTGCACCGCAGATGGATGGGATATCAGCTGGGTCGTTTGCTGATGCTCTAGCTGTCAATACCCTCACGAGACAGGCCATGTACTATCATCTCCTCAACCAGCTGCATTGGCCTTACCTTTTAAACACGCTACACTGCGAGGGACACGGACGCTCCACCAAGCACGAGGCGTATTCCGCCACGACTTGTGTCCACGCGAGCCGCGAGATCCTCCATCGCTTTATCCTGTACCGAAACTTTAATTCTGCTTCGCAGTGTTTCCGCCCCGTCGACTTTTTGGCCATTACGGCCGTCCTCACATTGTTGCTAGCGCATTCCGACATCTACTACTCCAGCCTGTTGCCCGAGGGCCAGGGCAAGCGCACTGATTATCTCGCACACCAGCGTCTCGGCGACCGTCTCTTGTTGGATCAGGCCATGCAGCAGCTCGAGACGGTCAGCCAATACAACCGAGACGCGACCAGCATCGGACGCCTAGAGGAGCTACGGTCTCTGATCAGGCTCAAGATGGAGGCGACTCGAGAGAACAACTTTATCCGCATAGCCGCCAAGCCTCAGGAGCGTGGTTCTGAACAGCCTCAAAGCAGCAGCACGCGCACAAACGAGGGTGAATTACAGTTCCCGGCGCCCTATTTCGGTACAATTCGCATCTCGCAAGGTGGCACTATATTCAAGACCTTTTCACAGGCCACCGCCACGGTTGTTGGGTCATCCTATGACTTTGATAGTTCCCCAGAGGCAGCAGTCGTGCCAGCTTCTAGTAGCGAAGTAAATGATACAAGCTCGGGATCGGGTTGGAATTGGGATTTTGGATCAGAGTCTTTGAATATCTCTGCTGCTGCTGGCAGCGACAAATGGGCATTTCAGGGTGTCGACGCGGCCTTTTTTGATACCTTGATGATGGGTAGAATGCCTGGTGAAGAACGTGGCGCGGATGACTTTTCTACATGATGATGCGCCAAAACTTATGATTCTGTCATTTTCTTATGGAGAAAGTCCTATATTTTTTAAAAATAAATCGAAGCCAAAAGCTTTTCACTCAAGATACTGCACATGTGACGATGTAAAATAGTAGTACTTCTTAAGCATTGCCCATCATTTTCATTTGCAACTTGTTTGTTGATCATATGGGATCGAGACAAATGAAATTGCGCCGTCTGATGGTAGCCCCGAGCTCACACCGCAGCAAGATGGATTTTTCTCCCGGACCTGGATTTAACGGAGTTTTCGAGTTTAGCCAAGTGAGTCCATCTCATTTAGTAGTAAGGACTTTTTTATACTACCACCATTTTTTATTTGGAGGTGCTGGCCCCCACACTGGTTAGACTTACGATTCCAGCTTGAACCGCCGCCGACGGCGGTGCAACAGGATGAAAAGCAATAATAGCATTTCCAATTGCCCCTTTAACGGCACAACATCCAACTGTGATTCGACAAGGGCTCGGCTAAGATGGGAATGAGCCTAACCCGGATAGACAAATTGTGTCTTGAATTTATAAGCTTGACATCCTTGCGCAATCAGAGCTTGGCGGAATATCAAATGTCATGAAGAACATGTGCAATCCAGTCTATATTAACTATTATTTCTCCTGCTAGACCTTTGCATGTCTGGGCTGGATCTGATCATATACTCCAATACATTCGTCGACGACAGCAATGATGGAGAAATCAGAGTCGACAAGAGCGAATTCCCCAAATGGGGAAGTCCGCGTCGTCAATGTTCGTGCAAGCAGTGGTTCCGACACGGAAGTCCATGACAACTTGGCAAAACAAGAAGAAAAGATGTCGCAAAATGGCACAACGACGCCACCAGCCGCCGAAGTCGTCTACCCCCATGGCATGCAGCTCTTTTTGATCATGGCATCAGTCATGTTGAACCTCTTTCTCGCTGCCTTGGACCAGGTTCGTTTCGGTAATCCACAAGTTCTTTCCATGCCCATGGACTAATGTGACTTTTTGCTTTTCAGACCATTGTTGCCACGGCCATACCCAGCATCACCAACGAATTCCACGGTCTGGAAAAAGTCTCCTGGTACGGTTCCGCATACTTCATGACCTTTGCCGGCACCCTCGCCTCCTGGGGCAAGGCCTACCGCTACTTTCCCGTCAAATGGGGCTACCTCCTGGCGCTCTTCATCTTTGAGCTGGGCAGCCTCATTTGCGCCGTGGCGCCCAACGCCAACGCCCTCGTGGCCGGCCGCGCCATTGCCGGCGTCGGGTGCTCGGGCCTGGGATCGGGCGCCTTTCTCGCCGTGGCCCTGGCCGCCGAGCCCCGCCGACGCGCCATGCTCATGGGCATCCTCGTGTCAAACTATGGCATCGCCGCCGTGTGCGGGCCCCTCATTGGCGGCGCCTTTACCGCAAACGTCTCGTGGCGCTGGTGCTTTTACATCAACCTGCCCATTGGGGCCGTGTCGGCGCTGACGACGCTGTTTTCGTTTCGTCTACCTATTGAGCCGGTCAAGGCCCCTTTGCGCGAGAAGCTCTCGCAGCTTGACTTTGGCGGAACTATAATTCTCATGGGTGCCGTGATTAGTTTTATCCTGGCACTCCAATATGGAGGCCAGACCATGCCGTAAGTACTCAAATCATGTCATGACTTACTCGTCTTGCATCGTTCCCTCTTCCAAAGAAGAAAATAGAAATGAGTGTCTATTTTGAAGTTTATTTTCCGGTCCTATGTTCCGGCTTGGGAAATCGCTACTTCCTTGCCGCAGATCGGCTACATAATAGATCTTCCCAGGTTCAGAGGAGGATAATGTCAAGCTAACATGATTCAATTCTCTAGGTGGCGCAGCAGCACTGTGATTGGGCTTCTAGTCGGCTTCGTCGTCATCTCTATAGCCTTCTTCGTTTGGGAGATATGGCGAGGCGAGCGTGCCATGATCGTCCTCAGGCTCTTGAGAAGACGAGTTGTCTGGGTGTCTGGGACTTTTCAGTTCTTCTTTGCGGCGACTTACTTTATTTCTCTTTATGTGAGTATTTTAAAACCATGCAATGTTCCCACACTTCACGTGTGCTCTCCCCGAAACAAATCTGTAGGTAAATGACCGCTGCGAAAGAAGGAAGCTGACGAATATTGACTCTGCAGTACCTCCCAGTCTTCTTCCAGAGTATAGAAGGCGTCAGTCCATCCGAGTCGGGTGTGCGCAATTTACCCTTGGTCTTGACGCTGGGTGTGGCCTCCATCGCGTCGGGCTTGGTCATGTCCAAGTTTGGCCACACCATGCCCGTCATGGTGGTCGGTGGCTCACTGGCAACCATTGCCTGTGGCCTGTTCTATCTGCTCGACGGCAACTCGCCCTCGGGCTACTGGATCGGTTTCCAAATTATTGGCGGTGCGGCTTGGGGCAGTACCTGGCAATGTGGTGTCGCCACGGTGCAAAGTGCGAGTGACATGGCCGACTTGCCACTTGTCACCTCTCTTGTATTATGTAAGTATTCCCATGTTTCCCGTTGTTGTTCTTACAGGGCTAACCTGCGTCTAGTATTCCAATCACTTGGTGGCACTTTGGGACTCTCTGCTGCCCAGTGTGCCTTTGACAACAAGCTCATTGAAACCCTGGCCCAGACCGTTCCAGGCATTGAAGCAAGTGTCGTGCTCGCGACAGGAGTCACAGACATCAGGGCATCCTTCGCCCCCGACGAGGTGACCGGGATCCTCTTGGCATATCTCGCCGGACTTAGAGTGGTCTGGGCAATGTGCATCAGTTTCGGCGGCTGTGCTGTCTTGCTTTGCTTCTTGGGCCCTTGGAAGAGGCTGCACCAGGGAGGCGCGCCCCAGAAGAGTGCCGAATCTGGAGATGAGAAAACTTCGGATGTTTGAGTTGATTACTATTGCATCACCATCATCGGACTGTTTGCTTCTTTTCATCTTTATCGTCCCATATGAAAGAGGGTTACATTACAAAAGCCATCTCCTAGTTTGGATACAAGCACGACTTGGAAAGATGGAAACATGACGTATCTGATAGTGAAAAAACTCACTTGAAATCAGTCTGTGCTTAGAATAGGGGGCAAAGAGTTTACCTTACTTAGTCTTTGTTGCATTTTAGAGTTATAGAGGACGTAAACTGAACACCCGTCTATTATGAGCATGCAGGCGAACAGGACGCCGACGGTAATATATTCATTTTCCTTCACAAATATTAGTCACGAAATCGTGGTTCACTTGGTTTGGCAAGCAGCTTGGTTGATGTTGATGAGACAGTGCCCATAGAAATTCTCTAAGTGAGTTGATCATGATGCGCTACCGAGCGGAAATGCTTAAAAAAAAAAGAAGTAAAACCCCCAACTCTCTTGAATGTCCAGTCCAACGCCATGTACGCCACCTCATGGCGTGCTAAAATGCACAAAGTCGTATATCGCTGTCGCGAGCAGGAGTTGATGCCAATAGTCAATGAATGGCACTTTATCCCGCCGCTATCTATCTATTTGCGAGCACCTGTGGGCTTCAAATCCAGATTGAACGTCCAGCGACCTAGATAGGCAACACAGGTTAGCAGTCTGTCAGGCAAAGGAATTGTATTTGTAATCATATAAGGCTATCGCAATCGCGATAATGAAGAGCTGGGGAGATGGGCAGAGATGATAGCTTACCATTTGCCAGATTCTCGGCAGTGTCCTCCAACAAGATAACACGGCGCTTGTTGCAATATGCCGTCTTGTCCATGATGACTACCTTTAATTTGGGGTCTGCCAGGTCGGCGACGGGTTTCTCAAACATCTCGGACAGGTTCTCAACTGCCATTTCTAAATCTTTCTGGTTGTCTTCGAAAATCTCTGTCAGGTTGTTACGAGCAAGATAGAAGGCAAATGCATATGTCCACTTGAGCGTCTGTCGGCAGGTCTGGAGTGCCTGCGAAGCAGAGTTGAGGTATTGGACTTCAATCCACGACATGCCAGATGCTGTCTGCAGCTGAACCATCTTCTTTTCCGTCTTTACGTATATATCTTTGTCAAGCCGGGCAGACTGCTCATGGTTGGCGTAGCGATTGTAGTAGTGTAAGTAGCGCTCAAGTGACTTCCTCGACTGCGCCTGGGCATCTCTGGCGTCGGTACCACTCTTCTCGTCGAACCGACTACAGTTGTACCAGCTGGTACCGTGTTCTGACCATAGGCCCATGCACATCCAGCAGAACTCATGCTTGCACTTCCTGCAGGTCATGTGGTTACAGCCGCCGTTCTTTTCAATGGTTGAATTGCAGCGAGGACATTCTTTTGTGTTTGCCGAGATCCAGTTGGCTGTTTCGCTGTCATCGGCGCACTTCTTCAACCACTGCTTGACGAGCTCACATGGTGCTGGCTGGTGGTCGTTCAATATGCAGCCAAAGCAGAACCGATGGCCACAGTCGCAAGCCACCGTCGGGACAACCTTGTCCAGGTCCTTCTTCTTGACAGCACATTCAACGGCGTTCTCACAATCAGGTGCGGGGCACCACTTCAGGATATCTTTGTCTTCCACGTAGGTACGATTGAGCAGCTCCTGATATCGACCGGCCAAATCGGGTGTTACGAGTATGTCGAGTGACCGAGCGTCGATAATTCGTGAACAGCCTTGTGAGGGACATTGGATTCTGGCAGCCTCGCCCTCTTCGCGGATCTTTTGTGTCAAATACTGACGATAGCAGTCGACGCAGAATCTGTGGCCGCATTTCAAAGCAAAAGACTGAAGGCCGTCGTCGTCATCGCAGCATATCTCGCACATGAAGTCGGGAAGGGTCTCGAGTTTCGGCAGGTTCTCGCTTGTCGACCTGAGACCAGCGGCCTCGAGGACCTTGGCGCCATTGTCCATGTAATCCTCAATCAAGCGCTCCTTGTTCCACTGAAAGTATCGAAGAAGAATTGCGGCGTCTTCGGGTTGCATCTCGAGAATCATGTTGACCTCGTCCATCATATCACGCTGTTGGGCCATGATGTCGTCCGGCGTGTGAACCTTGAAGCTGATATCGTAGGCAACTCTCTTCTTGGACTCCTTGACAGAGCCATTGTCGGGTTCGTCATCGGGGTCTTCGTCAAAGGCGTCAAAGTCTTCGGCATCATCGCTATCGTCCTGAAGATTGAAATCCTCCTCGCTGCCCAGAGTCGAGGCCAGGTCCTCGTCAGAGTCCATGGTGGCGGGAGTCGGAGGGGCTTGGTCCTGTTCGGCCCTTACGGAGGCAATCTTCTTGTTGTGAGCGCTTGCCGCAGCCTCAGCCGCCTTCCGCTTCCTAGTTGTCGGCGGAATCTTGGCTCGTGATGTTGTTGCCAAACGGGACGTCGTTTGACAACAAAGAAAAGAAAACAGGGGATGGGATGGGGGTTGGTTTGTGGGATGTAGGGGCAGAGGTTGGGCAGATGCACTGCTGCGTGACTTGGAAAGTTTGGCAAGCCAACGTGTGTCACAGCTGCTACAATGATGAGGTGAATCAATCAATCGGGGCTCCCGTTCCCTACTACCTAAGGCTTAGTTGATAGAGTGGAGGGAGGGGCAAGGGAGAGGCGGGCGCTGATTCGGGCCAGTCGGGACTTGATTGGGGCAAATGCCGGGGGGGTGATATTGCGCCGCTGATAGCGTTTGATGAAGCAGGTGCATGCAGAAGTGACTGCAAGACGAATGTATAGGTTATCCACAGTGGTGGGAGGAGTGGACGACAAGAAATAGAAACATGCAGAAGCAGTGTCAAAAGGAGTCACTAATGACGCAAAGGGGTGGTCTCGTCCCTGGATTCCTTGGTGTTGTGACGGACAAGAGGCTCGAGTGCAGACAGACGGGAGTCTGGTTACGAAGTTGTTATGTATGATGGAAAGTTGGCACACGTCTCTCCTTGCTGTGCAGTTTAAAACGTCTGTTCTCTCTATGGAAAGTGGGTTGGTCAGCCGACATTGCAGGCAGACACCACTCAGAAGCGCCCCGCGCTAAAAAAAAAAGAGATGCTACTACTAGGCAGGTATGTAATAAAATGCTTGACCAAATTCCCAGTAATTGCTACTAATTCTAGGCACCTGGCCTCCCGTTTTGCCGTTTCCAGGGTACCGGCTCTTTCCCTGGTTTGCTGGTATGCTTGCCTGTTGCTGGGGTTGGGGGGGGGGGGGGGGGGGGTTCGAATGTTGAGTGGGTGGGTGTCTCCCCTCGAGTCACGCTTTCCACCATTTTGCCCCAGTAAGGAGTCAGGCGACTGACTGACTTGCAGCACTGGGTGATTTGTGATTCCGTCAAAAAAAGTTCCCCTATGGAATGCGCGTTCAATAGTAGGTAATGTAGGTACTTATGTAGGTAATGCATTGCCACTTGGCTTCACCCGGCTTGTCCACCACGAGAAAGAATGGAAGATAAGCGATAGCGAGACTTAGGTAATCTTGCCATCATTGGCCTGTTTGTAAGTTGGGCAGAAATCAATTAAGCCCTCTTGCAGGGTGGACAGTGCCGAGGGCGTGCATTTGCATCAGTACATCTACTACAACTATAATCAACTGATCTGTTCTACTCTCATGTTGCGTTCCAATGTCGGGCCAAATGTTGCGTATTCTTGACGACTCCCAAGATCTGAGAATCTCTGTACTTGGCACTTGGGAATATGTCCTACCCTTGACGGTTCAAACACATGATGCTGCTTCATGAATGAATGTAGAACGATGGGTTTGATCATTGTATACGGGCCTTGAATCATTTCAGTGTGCTTCATTTACGTTTCCCCCGTTTTAGCAAACTCTTCCATTGCTTAAACTTTGGGAGAAATCCACTGACCACGAATCCGCCATGCATATGGGCAACGGAACCGTACCAATCATGCGAGTTGCATATGGCTAGATACGCTTAAATGGACTGCATTCAATGTTCATATAGAGTATCTAGGTGTCTGCTGGGGAAGTTTTCCATTCGGAGCCAAAATTATGCACTTAAATTATATGTGACGTGGTAATATGTACAGTGAACTGAGCGTGATCGAATGCGACCATCAAGGGTGAGAGGGTATCATGAGGTACTTTGGGTTCAACGACCTCAAAAGAAGCCAACCGCTTCCAACGCCTGTGCCCTTGGCATAGTCTCGATATTTTCTCTACATTTCCAACAATCTCTTGGTGTACATCTAGTCTTGCTGCCGATTGGTTTGCCACAGCTGCCGAAGACGTTGCCCTTGGCGAGCGTGGCTTTGCATGTCTTTTCGGATATCAAGACTGTATCTTCATGGCCGCAGAGGAAGCAGCTTCGTGTGTGAGAAACGTAGTTGCACATTCTGGTAGACAACAGCAGTCGGTGAGTTGGTAGCAAAGGTAGCCGGGCTCAACAGATCACGTACTTAGGGTTGTTTGCTTGTCCAGCATCCGAATATATTGATCTTTGGTTGCTCACGAGACAAGTCGGGAGGATAGATGACGATAATAGAGTCAAATTCTACAATGTATAGCTGGATAGACTCGAGAAGTGCATGCCTGAGAGGAAGAAGATGGAAGCTTTATAGTTGGACTGTCACTTGCACATCCAGGGTCAAGACTCTCAAGGGGAATATCATATAAGGGCTGCAGGTGCTCGCCGCCATCAGCTAATTATGGTATGACTGCAGTTCTTATTATTGTCCGTAGCTGGTTCAAGGACCAATGATAAACCCTGACAAATCAAATGCGAACAGAGTTACCAATACAAAATACCTGGCAACCATATGCCTTCAAGCATGGCGAGCAGCCACAATATTGCAATGTGATGGCCGTCTAGACGACCAAAGGGGACGACTTGTCATTACAATGTACTTGGATAGAGCCTTTGATGGCCGCATAGGTCTAGATGCAGGCGACCTGCAAGCAGTTCGGCGGATGTTGCACTGCGCGCCAATATGGAGCAAGCATACATGGAATCCATGCATACATCAGTTCATGGGGTCAAGGCACTGGTTCTGAAGGACGGGGCGTGTTTGTTTGACCGAGATAGTCTCGAGTATCTTCGATCGAGTTCGCTTAAGTATTAATACCGGATGCAAGGTCGAGTACCTATGTATGTATGCAAGCCAAAGCCACTTTCTCGGATAGATTGGGTAACGGGCATAGCCAACTTCACCGTGCATGGCAACAAACGGGCAGAAGCAACCCACGTTTACTGGGAAAACTGTCACCGCATGTATTTAAATTGGCCACTGCACCTAGTCCGGCACTCGAGATCTCTCTACCACTAGGATCACAAAGGTCTTGCAGAAGGCCCCAGGAATTGCAGATGCATATACAACATGGCCAGGCAGCTGAACCATCACAGAGTCATGACAAGCAACTTCATGCAGCAAGTGAACCTGGTCCATTGAAATTCCCCCCCTAATAAATTGTAACTAGAATTGAACCTCGTTTGTCAATCTAGGCGAAACTTTTTGCATATGCAACTAACGCTCTTGTTGGTGGGAAGCGCTGGTTCGAGCTGCTTGAATTGATGTTCCTGCGAGTAACCCACGTCCGCGAATCATTGTAAGGACCGGCCGGCATGGCACACATTGGCCGCCGTGTCTCATAAACGCCCCAACGCCGCACGCAATGCTCCCGAGGCCATGGCTTCGTGAGAGAGAGAAAGATCAACCGAAAAAATGCAGAGTCTACTGGTGAGCCGTATACCCGGATTTGGTATGAAGCAAGACGCCCAATCTCTCAGCTGCCTCTAGGGGGGAAGCTGGATGGCTGCGTGTTGCCATCGCTGGTGATTCTGACCCACTTCATCCCGGTAAGATATGCCCAAGAGCCCTCCCACCTCTCGAGACGCAGTGCGTCCTCCTCTGTGGTGGTCTCGGGCGTTACTGAACAGCCGTTAGTAACACGAGCTACAACATGGGTTTCGGGCACCGAAGCAGCTAGGATACACGCATGAGGGGCGCTACTCACAAAAACCGCTCTGGTACTCCTTCTCCAGCACGTTGATCTTGACCTTGAGCAGGTCTTCTTTTGTGCTTGCAGGACGGCCAGGTCGACGGGCCTTCTTGAGGTCGTTGAGCTCATCATCGTACTGATGCACGAAGCTAGCCACGTTGAAGGTAAGTCAGCACATTGCACAGATACGCAGCGGACCGCAATGTTGCGGATGACTGATTGCCTTACCCAGCGATGAGATCTCTGACGGTCTCTAGTTGTAGAGGCTTGCCTTGGTTCTGCTTGACAGCCTCTTGAAAGTAGGCAGCACGGTCCACTAGCACATGTCAGCGACGCCATGACGGGGAAATGGTAATGCCTGAAGACGCAGATAACTCACGCCAAGGTTGGTCGTTTCTCTTTCTTGCGGCGGCGACCTTGCCCAGCTTCTCATCTCTGTGTTGGGCTCTGCCGAGTCTCTTCGAGTCCCGCGAGTATTGGTGAATGGCCTCGATCGGGCCCTTTTTCTTGGCTATTCTCTTACGAGTTTTTTCCAACGAAGTACCCATCCTGAAAAATCGTGACAAGGAAATATGAGGTATGGGTATGATTTTTGCAATTTGCAGATGTCTGAGTATAACCACCTAATAGGTAGATTTCAAGATCATCAACGATTGATGGGCATTGATTTTCTTCACCGATAAGATCTTTTTTTAGGTGGGGCACAAACCGTCAAGTCGGGTCGAGAATTGACTGAAGTCCGGCTCTTTCAACTTGGCGACGATCAGTGAGTTCTAGCGCACATTGGCCCTTGAGCACGGAGACTCCACTGCTGAGGCCGGTTGCTCTGCCAGCGGATCTAGCGCCGAGAAGGGGAATTCGAGTGCCCCGCTTGCCTATTGTGGCCCCCCAAAGTCCTCAACGCGTCTCTCGTTTATCGATAGCTCGAGGCCCACCATTCAAAGCGCGTCACAGCGCCTGCCCGTCCATGGTGAATTCGTGAAATCGAAATCCGGGGTAATATCTGATCTGAAGCAAACTTGACCACATTATTCCGACCTCATCAACTTGTTCTGTCTCTGTCGTTTCCTCCCCGCGGATTCTCCATCGTCGTCGCTCGACGCCCGCTCAAGGTCCCTGCAGATTGGAGTTTGTTTACTGGATTGGTGTTTGTTTATTACCGGCGCGTCAGGTTTCTTCGCTTCTTCGCAACCACTGTTTCGAGGCGTAGAGGCACCAAGTTCACTGTCAATCACTTGGGGTTATATACACACTGCTCAACTTTACGGAATTCGCGCGCGCACGACCTGAAATAATCGATGGCCTGATCTTTATCTCTGATTGCTCTTTCGTGCCTCAAAACTACCAGACAACAAGGCATGTCCTGACTGCCACAATGGGTGTCTCCGGTAAGAACTTCAACTTCCGCTGCTGTTCCAAGAATGCTGCTACTGCGTTGGGCAGAGATTCAAGCTAATGTGGCCATAGGTCTGTTGCCTCTATTGAAATCCATTCAACGTCCCACAGAGCTGAAGCAACATGCTGGCGAAACATTCGCTGTCGATGCTTATGGCTGGCTTCACAGAGGTTCGATATCATGTGCTATCGAGCTTGCACAGGGTAAACCCACACAAAAGTATGTTGAAAATACACATTGAAATCATTTACTTGGCTCACCTACGACACAGATATGTCTCATTCTGCATGCGCCGAGTCAGAATGATGCAACATTTTGGCGTGACCCCCTATTTGGTCTTTGACGGTGGGTACCTCCCGAGCAAGGCTGGCGAGGAAGCGCACCGCAAACAACGCCGGGAAGATAGTCGACAAGCAGGCATGGAACTTCTCAAAGCCGGAAAACCCTCATTGGCACACAAGGAGTTGCAAAAGGCTGTCAATATCTCGCCGGAGATGGCCCGCAATCTCATCGAGGAGCTCAAGAAGCTAGGTCTTCCCTATGTTGTCGCTCCCTACGAGGCCGACGCCCAAATGGTCTACCTCGAACGCCAGGGTCTAGTCAGCGGCATTGTTTCAGAAGACTCCGATCTCTTGGTCTTTGGTGCAAAGAGACTCTTCACCAAACTTGACGATCACGGCCAGTGCGTCGAGATCAATCGCCGAGATTTTGCCGCGTGCAGAGATCTTCACTTGGTTGATTGGACAGATGCCCAGTTTCGTCATATGGCAATCTTCGGCGGTTGCGATTATTCTTCGGGAATAAAGGATTTTGGACTGAAGACTGCATATCGGATGCTACGAAAATATAAAACTCCTGAAAAGGTCATCAAGAGGATCCAGTTGGAAGGCAAACTGCGCGTCCCGTCGGATTATTTGAAGGAGTTCCAACAAGCAGAGCTCACCTTTCTCTACCAGCGAGTCTACTGCCCCAATGCCCAGGAACAGGTCTTCCTTACACCACTTCCTGAAGGGGTTAATGCCGAGGACATGCCGTTTATCGGGGCAGCTGTTGAGCCAGCAACTTCTCAAGCCATTGCGCGAGGTGATGTTGATCCCATTACGAAAGAGCCAATCATCTTGCCTCTATCCCCTGCCTCCAGAAAGCGCCGAGCCTCTTCGTCCGTTGAAGAGAGCCAGAATGCGGCGATTCCACCTAAACCTATAGACTCTTATTTCAAAAAGGACCGCCGCATCCCGCTTGGCAACATGGATCCGAACTGCTTTTCTGTCGATACGCAGCGCGTGGCAACGATGACAGAAAATGGCCAAAGACCGATAGTCTTCCCTCTACCTCGTCCCTACGTTGAGGACACAAATGGCAGGCCCAATAACGCGGCTCGACCTTACACATCTCAGAACCCATCAAGTGGACTTATACGAACTCTTCGAAGACGCACTGAGCCAATCGAGAGTCTTTTGGTCGATATGGGGGCCAACTTAAGTCCCGCTCCACGTCGTCAAACCCTTGGGCCCACGCATCGAGCCGCAACTGTTCCACCACGACCCGGCTTGTCATCTCGGCCACCAAAGAAAGCAAGACTTTGTGATGATGGCAATGTGGATGCCCAACCCAGTAAGGAGGTCAGCAAATTTTTCCCGTCTGGCCAGAACCAATCAACAGCCCCATCCAAGTCCGAAGGCTACTTGATGTCAGATGATTCGATTGAGGACGTGTTCCGAGATCTCCCAGACATGGACGAATGGGCATCTCCCAAGAAAGGAAAGCAGATTTTGGTATTCGAAGAGCGCCTCCACAACAAGGAGCACGATATTCCTAAGGATGACGAAAGTGAGATCACCAAGAAGACCTCACCAAGCGAGGCGACAGCCTCTGAGACGCCTCTGCAGCCAACTCTCCGAAAATATGCCTTCAATGGGTCTTCCAGTTCAAGTACAACAAACATGCGCCGCTCTTCACAAAGTCAGCCTACACCTAGCTACTCAGTCCAATCTTCGGCCGCTCGCTCCACTCCGGGATCGTTGACCTGGTCGGCCAGCACTGCTGCTACATCGCATGCGACGCCTTCGACCCCCGTCATGACTCCCCTACAACGACTTGGCGCTCGAGCGCTAGGTGGAAAGAAACCGCCACCAACGCCGACTTTTGCTGTGCCGAAACCAGTCAAAAGACGGAGCGGGGGGAGACGAAGCCTTGACGATCTTCCTGTGAATCCATCCTTTGTCCCACTACCTCCGGTAGACGTTGCAGAAGTAGAAGCTCTACATCAAACAGAAGGCAGCGAAGACTTTATCGTTCCAGAGAGCGAGAATGAAGATGAAGGACAAGAAAATGTGGGAAAGAGAACCACCAGGTCAACAAGACTCGACCTTTCGCGGTTCTTATTCGCTTAAAAATGTTTCAAGTATATCGGCGGTGTTGGGCATTCGACTTGTACAATTTTGATCTTTTTGGCAAAAGTCGAGGCAGGCATGGCGGCATTATTCTGCATTGATTTATCCACGCGTGCATGGCATAGGCGTTTACAGGTTCCAAGGCATCGGGGAAAAGCAATGGTTAGGAAGTGGCAATCAACGATTGCCACAACGTGTATAGATGTATTTTTTCTTACGAATTCCGAATGGAGCATCAGAATGAACCCACATGTCAAGATACCATGCTGCCAGCCACCTGTTGGCACTCAAGCATTGAGCAGACTTGGCAAGCTTGGTGTCTTGGGTGTCTTTGTCACCTGGGCAAAAAAAAAAGCTGACCGCGATGACAAGACTCCATAATAATAAAGTGGCAAGGTTCTAGAATTGAGGGAGGATCCATTCTAGGCAGGGAAGTGAATTGTCGTATGAAGTTCCACTCAATTACCAGCTAGTTTTTGATAGAATCTCATACAACTCTGCTATTGGCCAGTTGGCTCGGCTTCGTGACAAAGTGGCCCGTGCTCTGAGCTCCAGGGTGCTTCAAAAAATTTAGTACCTCCAGGCTCTGTTAGATCATAAAAGTATCATCGCAAACTTCCATCATACCCAACACGAATTCCGAGACACCCGTATCGACGTTTCCTCTTCTCCAACGGCTCGACCTCTCTTGACAAAACAAGGACTCTTCACAACTTAAACTTCAGTTCAAGATGATGTCCATGCGAGCAATTGCGCGATCTGCGCCCCGTGGCATCGCCCGCATCAGCTCCACTGCCCTCAGACAACCCACAATCGCTCGCTCGAGTCTGGTCAAGTCGACTCCGTGGGCACCTCTTCGCTCAACACAATTCACATCGGCCTTTTCGACGACTCTTTACAGGAGGGCACCCGCCGGCGAGGTCGATGAGGAGCTTTCGGCCAAGCTGGACAGCGAGCTTTCGTATGAGAACGAGCTCAAGGACAGCGAACCCACTCCCGCCAGCGTCAAGGACTTCTTGGAGAACAGCCCATTTGAGCTCATCGACACAGCCGGCAAGCAGGATGTCATCCTGAAGCGCAAGTTTGGCAATGAGACGTAAGTATCATGCGAAATCCCTTCACATGCCAACATATGCGGGGCAGTTTAAAAGTGCTAACATGCTTTCGCAGCATCACCGTCTCCTTCTCCATCTCTGACCTTACCAACTACGAGCCCGACCTGTACAACGAGGATGATGCCATGACCGATGAGCAGTTTGAGAACCCCGAGTCGCAGCGCGCCGCTGAGGAGGAGGCCGAGGACCCCACGGGTGAGGACACCGATGCTGCTCCCCCGTGCCGCCTCAACATCGTCGTTGAGAAGGACGGCAAGGGCGCTCTCAACATTGAGGCGCTCGCCCAGGACGGCCAGATCATGGTTGAGAACTTCTACTACTACGACAACGCCAAGTTCGCCCACAGCGAGAACGCCGAGGTTACCCACCAGGCCCAGGACGCCTTCCCTGGCCCTCCCTTTGGCACCCTCGATGAGGACCTCCAGATCCTGCTGGAGCGCTACCTCGAGGAGCGCGGCGTCACCCAGGCCCTCGCTGTCTTTGTGCCCGACTACATGGACCTGAAGGAGCAGAAGGAGTACCAGGCTTGGTTGAAGAACGTCAAGGCCTTTATTGATGCTTAATCGATCTTGAAGGCTTTGGGGTTTCTGTAGGATACGATAAGTGGGTTACTGGAGGACAGCGGGAAAAGCTCCAGAAAAAAAGAGTTGCAGCTCCAGCATGCGTGTTCCATGCCAAAAACAATCTTGTAAAATTTCCACTCTACGAAATGCAACTGTACAAATAATCAGGGACGAATTGGGAACTGCTTGCTGGCAGTAGGAATAAACCAAGCGGTTAAATACAAATTATAAAAAAAAAAAAAAGATAAAATCTTCTCCTCACTCATGTGTCTTGGTATCTTGTGCTCTGATATGTGGCATGTTGTAGAGTATACAAACTACACTATGCCCGCCTCCACAAATTTCAGCAGCTGTGATTGAGAAATGGCGTGCATGAAGATATTGATTCTCCAATTTTTCCAAACGTACTGCTAGCCTTTGATGCAGCTTTACTTCGTTCTTGATAAGCAAGTTGAAGAAGAACTTCATTTCTTTCATGGAAGGCTTTGTTCCTACCATAATTCGACTCGGAATCAACCTTGCTTATTTCCCCGGCAAGTGGTTCAACCTCGCGGTTGAAGTGCATTTCGGACGGCGTGACTGGAGTAAAACTTACAACTGATCGGTGGAAGCATGATATCCGTAATGTACTGAATACACTACCTACCTAGTAAGTCCTCATCGGTTTACACTTGTGGCCCCAAGATGATTGCCAATTCAACACACTCGAGCCTATATAAGTATCTCTAGACACGACAGGTCATGAATATACCCATTCTGATTAAGTCAATTATACCCCATGTAGATATTGTACCGAAGCTAATTCTGTCTCCAATGAATGCTAAACCACTAAGATAAACACCACAGGTGGTAGTATGGTCGATCAAGATTCAATGCCACCAAGTACGGATTGGTCGCGGTCATTATAGATACGAATTTCTGAGTGCGCAGAAGACAATTGTCCTAGCGACCACGTTTCGCTGTGTCCCGGCTGCCAGTCCGACCCTGACCAGATCTGCAACCTTACATCGTGATCATGCACACCAAACACATATAGAAAATCTGCAAGAAAAGTCAATATATCATTCCAAACAATTATACGTAACAACCTACTAGTGTCGCGTTTAGAAACCAACGCAGGCTCAGAATCAAATGGACCGGCCAGATCAAACCACCCAGTGACAGACGGAAGCCACTGGGAACCATCAAACGACTTCCCATGATAGATGTCACTGCTCAGACCACGGCCGACAATGTCGATACGTTCCGGTTTCCAGTGCACAACCTTGGGCGTGTCCGTGAACTCGCCGCCCAGACTCTCCCAGTCCGAGTAACTATGCCCGTCCCAGTAGGTATGGAATAGCTCACCATCCGAGTTGATGGCCCAAAAGTCGAGCCTGTCTTCGCCCCAAGATGTGGCCACGGGATTACCGACAAATGGGCCTCCACCCAGATCTTCCCATTCAGACCAGCCATTGATGTAGTACTTGTGGAAAAGAGAACCACTGTTGGCATCAAGGCCGATGATATCCAAGCGTCCAGGGCCCCACGAGACGGTGGCCGGATCACTAAAAAAGTTACCTCTCAAGTCCTCCCACGCCGTCTTTGATGGGAACCAGGACTCCCCAGTCCACGCCTTGTGGGTGTAAGAACCATTGTTAGTCTTGCCTACAACATCAAACCTGTTTGCACCCCACGATGCCGAAGACAGCGCAACAACATGACCACCAATGTCCTCGGCATCTTCCCACGATGGACCCCAGGATCCACCACCAAAGTATTTGTGCAGAACATTGTTTCCCGTCTCGTTCACATAAAATATGTCGAGACGGCCTTCACCCCAGGACAGTACCGACGGACAGCCCTGGACCTCGGCGGGGAGACGCTCGAGTCCGTTGAAAGGCTGCCAGTCGTGTCCGGTCCAGAACTTGTGCGCAATATGGGCATCTGGCGCCACGGCGAACAAGTCGACGCGCTCATTGCTCCAGGACGCGGTTGAAAGGCAAGTGTCGCGTGCCAGGACGACCTTGGCCTTTGCAGACAAGTTAGTTGATTTCGGATTTCCTTTTTCTGGTCAATAATTCTAGCAAATACGTACCGTGAACGCCAGGATGCTGAAAGTGGTGACGTATCTTGTCATGGTAATAGGTGGTCAAGACTCCTTCAACAAGCAGATTTCAAAACTAAAGTTTGAAGACTGTACAGCAGCAAAGATTCTTGTCCCATTGTCTCTACTATTTATGATGCCTATGCCTTGCCGCTGCGTGCGCCATTTCTGCTCATGTGGTGCGGTATTCACCCGTCGTTGGACCGTGGGTTGAGAAGAAAAGTCCGGGCCAATTAGGCGTGCGCAGGCTGTCATGATACTCGGGAGCTGAAAATAAACTCTTAGATCTTGCGCTACTACGATCGCCCAGAGGCCAGTCGGGCCTCCGATCCAATGGACATCCCGTATTTGCACGATTTCGATAGTCAAAGGGGCGGCTGGGGCCTCTGTAGACATGTCTCACTTTGTGGTCGTCCAAAACCCTTCCCGCACGTAAAAGCGATCCGATGTAGCACAATGGCACTTGAGATCTCTGTGTGACAATAATGACTATTCAATCGTGCAGATAGGTTCTTTGTTCGGTTTGCAAATGGACGTTGGGGATCATCGTGTATCTGGTATCGATCCAAGCAACACAAATGTAGCACGATTCGCGTCCTGGCAATGACGACATTTTAGCTGGACATTATGGACAAGCTTGACAATCAATGAAGAAAGTATAATGAGCCCTTTGAGTGATTGCGTGATGCAGCTACTGGGAGACTTATTCCGTGTATCGCGCACGTAAGGACACTCAGGCGGCCTCGGCAGTCATCTAAGGCTTCAAAACGCTGAAACTGGTCCAAGTCAACGGACGAGGAACGGGAAGCTACCAACCTGCGCACATCTCCACATTAAATGTGTTGTCATTAAGACCGAGTACATCCGTTTGTCGGTCTGTAGCTCTGAACAAAAGTCTCGGCTCGGAAGACGTACATATAGCTTTGACTGGATAGTGAGGGGCGAAGAGTTCCCTTCCGCTTCGTCGCGGGCCGAGAAAGCAATTGTGCTAAAAACGTGAAATCCACTTTCATATCCCCGTGGAATTCGCGAAGACATCAATTCATTGGAATGTCAATTTCGTATCGAATAGTGAATGATCGAATCCATTTCTTGGCCACACATTTTGATGCCAGTGTAAACTGGACCGAACGAAACTAGCGGCAATCAACGGTGTTCTTCGCGAGTCTGTCCAAGAGTTCTCCAAATTATGGAAATTCTCGGAAGACTGACCTGGTTTCTTGCATAGTAAGGTATGTTTGACGATACGAGATCCTCTTTCCTCCCAGGAACTTCCCACCTCGCCGCCGCGTCGACAGGCCATCATTTTGGTTTACAATAGTATAATGCCATGACTTGAACAAGACGTTGAGTATGCTGTAGCCACCTTTCTGCAAGAGAGGCTTGAGTTAATCATGGGCTTCTATCGCCAATCCTTTCGCATAAATACTCACGGTGAAGGAGATGTCACCCTCGAGCTGATCAGCAACGCATGAGCTAGCACAGCGAATATGATTCTGACTGAATGACACACAAGCCTGGCTGTTTGCATGCAACATCAATACCATAAAGAGCCCATGCATATTTTCTGTTTCAAATTTGTACAAAATGCCGAAATCAAGCTGAGGCAAGTAGGGATGATTTCTGCCTTGCATAGTAGCTTGCAGCCAACTAGCATGATGGAAACATTACAGGCCCTTCGCAGCTGATTTGCATACTCATGCGTCGGTAAGCCCAAGTCTTTCGGTATGCGGGACTGACTCGTATTATTGTTCCAGAAGTCATATTCACGCACTACAATATGCAACTTCATGCGTGTAAATACTAAGCTGTTGCCATTAGGGTGATAAGGACGACGGCCTGCTCTGTGGGGGTCATGATCAAATCACACTCGTCTGATGTAAGAACAGTTCTGGCGGGGAACCAACATCACTTTCATCAGGTTTCGCATTCTACCATCCATGATTTGTAAACAATTGGGGTATTTGGTTTGTTCACGTTGCTTCCGCGGGCTTCGGGTTTATGCTCACATAAGCTCCAACGGCAACTCGAAAAGAACGCTGCAGTTTTCCGACAAGATTCCCCGGATTCTGAATTACCTTGCTGACAGTATCAATCTAGAAAAAAGAAGTCTCGGCCATGGATATCTGCATTCATAATCAGCCGCTCTAGTCCTGGGTCATCTCGTGCAAACGCGTCCTGCAATATACTTATAAACATTCGGTGGAGTATTCAGCTCGCAAAGCAAGGTATTTATGTATTACTGCTTGGGTCACTTTCGTTTGTTTCAAGAACAAGACGCACGCATTTGCAAATATCACCAGCTACTAGCTGCATCACGCAGAAAAGAAGAAAAGAACCCCAACATATTCCATGCTCGGTATTTAGCCAATCCACGGGCATTGAGCTGACCTTTGCAATGGCAAGCAGTGCGCTGCGAGTCGGCGTTGTCACTCACCTTTTTTTTTTTTTTTTTTTTTACATTAAGGTCTCCTGGCGGTCCCTGATGACTCCACAAATGTCGTGGGAACACTGCATAGCTAAGGTATGTGAGCCGCATGCTTTGCGGCGGCTAGCCACCAGCCGGAAGAGCTACGCGGTTCCGGATGTGACACAGAACAGGGCCAGGGTTCAAGTCTCACCGCAAGGGGTTTTTCTTTCTTTCTTGTCCAAGAAACGCGAGCCCTGGGAACTCTGTACCTAGTACGTACTGTGTGTACTCTGTATAGCACCACCTTTTTTATTTCCCCCATTACCTAGTCTAGGCTGTCGCCCTTGGGACGGTCCGGGGTAAGCAGCTAGGAAATGCACAGAAGAAAAGCCGGCCGGAGGAGACTTGTGTCGATCCATGCCCTCGGAAGTAGCTAAACCGTGGAAACAAAAAGGTATGCCGTTTGAACTGCATGGAGTTCCTTTTTCAGATACAAGCGAGGGCATCGCTGTCCAAGGCCCATGCGCAGGAATGAATGAGTGCATGTGGTGGCCCAGGGGCTCCCTCCCTCAGGGCTGAAAGTACGAGCTACTTGCTTGCTTGCTTTGCAGCTCGTTTCTATTTTGGAGTGGCATCAACGTTTATGCGTGTATGCCATCATTCATTACTCATTCGAAACTTGCTGCCGTCCTTGGTCTGGTGCCACAGACACGCGAAGGTTTGTTTGATTGTCTATGTAGCTGATGGACTGACTGACTGACTGACTGATTGATTGATTGATTGATTACTGCGTGCCGACCCGTCGTGGGGTTACTTGCGTTTGTGATTGCAAGCTGAAAGGTAAGTGAATAGGCGGTTATGGAATTTGGGGAAACCCAACAAAAATGCCCTAAACGCACCCATCCCTCGGCGCATTATTGACTACCCGGGCGGCAGATCGGCAATTGACGGTTTCCCCAATGGCATGCGTCCGTGTTTTGCCTTGGGCTTGGGGGGCGGCCTCGGGGGGCTCCTCTTCTGTATCTGTTCCCCATTCCAACTTATCTTTTTATCAAAGACAGACCCTCCCCGGGCCCCAGCTAATTCGCGATCCCAACCAAGATCTGACCAAGATGCGGTGAGAACGCCGTCTGAACCACCCCCCCTGGGAGATTCGACACCCTGTATTCCGTACGAAAGTGAGTAAACATACAGTATGTAGGTCAGCAATCGGTACCAGACAATGTTTAACCCAGTCCGGGCGATTCTGCTGCACCTCGCCAAATGCAGCCATATTCCAAGTCGTTAAGGGATCCAAGAGGCGCTTGAGTTCACTTATTTCATGCCGCCCCCCCTAGCAGACGAACATCCCAGTCGCCGACCAATACCATTGCCGTCTTGAGGCTGGACGACAGTGGCGACCCTGTCTCCGGACGAGAGACAGAGAGAGAGAAAGAGAGAGAGAGACATGGAGAGCGCACCTCCATCGCCCATGTGCGGTGCAATATCGCATGGTATGGTAAGCACTTGTCCCATCGCTGTGTAACAGAGCTCGTCTATGATGTAGGACCTACGTGTGCATATGTAACACATGTACAAAGGTATACGGCAGTCTGTACACACTGCCCGCGCACGCCAATGGGCACGCCAATCTATTGTTCCGCCAGACAGACGGACGGACTCTCTGACTGACTAGGCGAAGCAATCAAGCAACTTGGTTGTGGCCGCCAGTCCCCAGTGAGATATGATCATGTCCAGCTCTGGGTTCAATCTACGTGTATCATCAACCACCTCGCACGGCGTTCCAGGGCATTATCTCCAGCGTACCAACCGCTTCGGTCGCTAGTCCGTCTCCGCAGTCTGGCACAGCCAAGCAGACGGGAGCCACAAATCGACGATTTTTAGAGAGATGATCCCCTATCTCGTCAAAAAGCTCGAGGAGAATTAAATACCACTGCGGCATCAAATGATACATATGTACGAAGTACAAGGGCAGCTCATGTATCACCCGGAGCCGACGGAATACTTATTAGCAATGCCGCGGGACTCCGCGACAGCATGAAGAAGGTCTCACTCGCCATGATATGATTTCCCTTGAGGGCTTTGACATTGCGCCGCCTGCTGAAAACACCCCGCAGAACCAATACTTGTGGTGCTTAGCGAGGCAGTTTCTTAGGAAGAGACCATGTCGCTCCTCGGCTCCCCTCTGTCTCCTATCCGTTGGTGACTGGAACAAGTTTACGCGGAGCGCATTCCGAACTTGCTTCTCTAGTACTCCGTGGGTCCCGGATAACAGATGATACCTGATGCCGCCACAGGTACATACATCCAATACGCTGTACACAGCTCTCGGCTCTAAAGCTATGCCACAATCGGCGACCCATCGTCGTTGACGACATGTTGCTGCAGGGCTGGGAGGGCTGGCCGCAAGCAACGACTTACATGGTCAAATGTGACTAAGAGCCAAGGCCCCTGGTCATCTGCACCGCCTGTTGCTGTCAGTTCCTGATCTTGGAGCGACATGGCTGCCCATGTTATGCAATACTATCTTATGGGTACCCGTCTACACTATACACGCTATACACCAGCTACTACACCCCCCTTCCAAACGCAATGGGTCGAGCCCACCGCAGAATGTCTCCTCCTTCCTGCAGCCAGCCTTGTGACATTCTTCGGGTCTTGCTTGCCTGCCTGCCTGTCTCTGATTTCTGGGCTGGGCCTGGCGAGATATGTACCCACTAATGGCGACTACATGGTGTGACGAGGGCCTGCAGAACAGAGATGCAACCGGCTCCTTTTGGGAACTTCACGAATCCAACGCCAGTCTCTCACCAAGACTCGTGCTCGTGCTAGCAGGCAGAAGCCTGCCGTCAATGTAGATAATGGTCGCCTCCAAAGTTCCTTTTCCCAGACCGGTTCAAATAAGACCTCCCATTTGCCCTCAGATCCCGTTGCTGGCTATACCGTTCGTTCGATGGTTGGGAAATGCTCAATGTCTGAGCTTGCTATCGACCACATCTGACGTCGCCATCAAGAACATGTATCGACAGCTCCCGAGAAGTAAGATTAAGGCGAGCCTGGTGGTCATCAATGAGACGCTGTCATTGGCCAAGAACCTGACCACGTTTGTCGCTGCACGTTGTCCGCGTTTGTCCCAATACTTCATCAATCGAACCTCATCCTCCTTGACGTGGAAGCATCCTACTGTCACTTAAAGCAAAGAGTCAGCTCAGCCAATAAGTATCTCTGCTGGAGACCAAGAAAAAGGAATCAGAAGGTTCAGCCAGCTATATGGTTATTAAAATCTTCGACACCATCTCGAAAGCCATCCGAATTTTGACGTCGGCGCCAATTACCTTGCCCTGCCTCGTGTACAGCCTCTCCCACTACCAGAGTTCTCTCTTATTCAGCAAGCCTCATCATACGTCCAATCACATCCTTCAAACGCATCTATGTCCGCATCACCGTCCAACCCGGATACTGATGGTGCTCCCGGCAGTTTGGAGCTTCTGTCCATCTGGAATCAGAGCTCCCCTAGGGTCTACATATCCGTGATCCTATGCTTTCCACTAGACAATGGTTTCGTGGAAGATGCCGTGGATCGCATTGCAGCCTCGTTGCAACGTCTCGGTCGAGAGCGACCACTCTTTGCATCTCGTCTGCAAGCTGCCAACACTACCCAGCCGGGCCATGCACACCTGATCCAATCGCCAGAGTTCAGTATTCCCTTTGAGGTCTTGTTAAATCCACGTGATATACCTGGCGACTATGAGCAAATGAGACAGAAGGGATTTCCTCCTGGGCTTTTTATCAAGCCTCGATTCAATATACCAGGGGTCATTGGGACGGCCACAGATCCGCTGCCGGTATGTCGGGTGCAGGCCCTTGTCATACCTGGCGGGTTGTTACTGGTTGTCTACCTGCATCATTCCCTGTGCGATGGCGACTCGCTGCGCATATTTCTCGAGTGCCTTGCGGCGGAAACCCGAGGCGATGCAATCGATCGACCATCTGAACAGGCATTCGAGGGCCCGCGATCACGCCGATTAACGAATGGGAATTTATCTTCATTGGTTTCCAGGTGCCCAGAGTATACAATACTGCCCAACTTCAACGGGCCGACACAGCCGAGGTTCTCTGATTTCGGCACGCCCCTAGATTCCATCCCAAAGATAGGCAAGATCTTCGTTTTCAAGAAGAGCCGCATTGCAGAACTTCAGACGATTCTACAGGCACATTTGAGATGCAGGAAAACACCTTCAAAGTATACCTGCCTGGCGGCTTTGTCCTTTGCGCACATCATCAAGGCTCGCCTACGTGCCGAAAAGTTTCTCCCCCTGACCGAGGAAAAAGGCTCGGCCAAGCTTTGGAATTCGGTCAATTGGCGCTCGCGAGCATTCCAGCATTTGACCGAGGACTACTTTGGCAATGCTGCTCTGCCGGCTGTCACAAAGATCACCAAGAAGCGACTCCTCCGTGCGTGTGATGATGTGTCGACGCTAGCGTCTCTGGTCCCGCTCATCAGAGCTTCCATCAATGCTGTCGACGAGGCCTACGTCAAGCGCCGTCTGGCCATGGTCTCTGCACTCCCAGATCCACGCCTCATTGGTGTCAACTACGATCCGAGAATGTCGCATTGCTTGGCGTTCAACACCTGGCGGCATTTTGGCGCCGACGCCGTCTGGGACATACCCGGGGTGCCTGTCGAAAAGCCAGACGCTATCAGGAGAGCACACGGCTCGTGGAACTTGGGCACTGCGCTCCTTTTACCTGCTCGCGCCAACTCGGACACCCAGGAGTTGTTTGTTAGTCTGTCGCAAGCTGCCATGGATCTCCTTTGTAAAGATGAGGGGTGGCTGAGATGGGTCGATCGCATCATTGGATAATTTCTTTTGATCACTGTCTGACTTTGAGCAGTTTCCGTTACTGGGTGATTTGTTACAGCGCGAATCAAATTTTGTACTACTTGCAATACGGGGGACCAAGGATAAAGTTATCCCCATGTACTATGAGAGCCTGAGAAATTCTGAGCATTATGCCATGCCGAGCAAAATCAAGTCATTACCACTTTTACTTTCTCTTGTCCCTTGTTCCTGCATCGTTCACTGAGCAGTTCTGGGAAATTTGGCCTTGATCATGACCAAAGTGGGCCTTTATAATTCTGGCTGAATTACGTGCATTGTGTTAATACCCCGAACTACATTTTTACACCAATGGCATACTCGCGTATATCACGACCCCGCGTTCACGTTGTGTTTAGAGCCTGCGCATTTTGCTGGCGCTATCCAGGGCTCTCCGCATGGCCAAGACGCTGTTGATGGTACGGTAATGATCATCGTCAGTGTTGTTGGGCAAGTTTTGACATTGTTATAAGACTGAACATGTTCCAGCTCATGGGTATCCAGAGTGAAATGGAACACAACAGTCCAAGTTGCCAATTGGGTCATCTTTTGTACGACCAGAATTGCTCGAAGAGCAGTGCCCTGCCTGTACAGATACTTTGAGGCGGGCCATCTGAGGCCTTTGGCCCAAGTGATCATGGCTCAATCATCATTTTCGCGGCTGTTCCTGTGTTGCCTGTACTTGTTCACCTTTGCTGGCGCTGGGCTTGTAAGACTCGAAAACAATGGCCTCCCTGAGCCGAGAGATCAATTGCCAGACCTGGTGAGCCTCATATAGCCATTCATTGTTCCCATAACATTTGCTCAGTTATGGTTCCAGGTAACATGGGACAAATATTCGCTCTCGATTCGCGGAGAGCGTCTCTTTATATTCTCGGGCGAATTCCACCCCTGGCGTCTACCCAGCCCGGGACTATGGCTCGACGTCTTTCAAAAGATCAAAGCCATGGGCTTCAACGCCGTGTCGTTTTACACGTACTGGGGACTAGTAGAGGGCACGCCCGGGGCGGTGCGCTTTGACGGCGTCTTTGCCCTCGAGCCCTTTTTCGCCGCCGCCGCCGAGGCCGGCATCTACCTGATTGCCCGGCCGGGCCCGTACATCAACGCCGAGACGGCGCTGGGCGGGTATCCCGGTTGGACGGCGCGGATCCGGGCCCCGCTGCGCGGCGACGATGCCGAGTTCGTCGACGCCACCGAGGCCTATGCCGCCGAGGTCGGGCGGCTCATTGCCGAGGCGCAGATTACGAGGGGCGGCCCCGTGGTGCTGCTCCAGCCCGAGAATGAGTACGATACGTGGCCCGGTGTTAATAATTCTGATTTTCCGGCGCAGCTGAATCGGAACTACATGGAGCACGTCAAGCAGCAGTTCAAGGATGCCGGCGTCGTGGTGCCGCAAATGGTGAATGATCATCTCAATCAGGGAAACTGGGCCCCGGGGAGTGGGCTGGGAGAGACGGACTGTAGGTCGACCTCGTTTGTACGAGGTGGTATCGTTGCGATATTGACGTGTTATAGTGTACGGAATCGATGCGTACCCGATGCGATATGATTGTGAGTTAAGCCCCCCCCCCTCTCCACCGAACGCCATAGTTGACTTGAAGCTCTTAGGTGCACACCCGGATGTCTGGCCGAAGATTAGGTGGCCTGAAGGAGTAAGTGTCTACGCCTGCTGCAAGCGTAATCGCAAGACAGCTGATGCTTCACATAGTGGCAAACCTCGCACCAACAGTACAGTCCAAACACTCCGTTCTTTGTCGCCGAATTTCAGGGAGGGTCGGGCACTGGATGGGGGTCCGTCAACCAAGACTACTGCAACGCTTTGGTGAATCAAGAATCCGTGAGGGTCTTGTGGAAGAACAATTATAGCTTTGCCATCAAGCTGTTCAACATTTACATGGTAATCATGGGCTCCTCTGATATACCAAGATCACAGAAGACTAAAACACATTTAGACTTACGGAGGTACCAACTGGGGTAATCTTGGCTTCCGAGGCGGCGACAGTTCCTACGACTACGGCGCCGCGATCAAGGAGAACCGACATGTATGGAGGGAAAAGTACTCGGAATCGAAACTCGAGGCCAATTTCTTCAAGGTCTCTCCAGCATACTTGACCTCTGTGGCAGGCAACGCTTCCAATGGATCTTACGTGTCGACTGACCAGATTGCCACGACACCAGTCTTTGGGACAGACGCGCCGACGAATTTCTACGTCATTCGACACGCAGATTGGACGTCTCTGAACACGACAAACTATAAACTCATCGTACCTACCAGTATTGGCAACATTTCGATACCGCAGCTCGGAGGAGAATTGACGCTCTCGCGAAGAGATTCCAAGATCCATGTGACGGACTATGATGTCGGCGGTGTGACTCTGATTTACAGTACTGCTGAAATCTTTACCTGGGCGCAAAACCAGGGCGGCAAGAGAATTTTGATCCTCTACGGCGGAGAGGGCGAATTGCATGAGATTGCCCTTGACTTTTCCAACCTCGATCGCGTACCAATCTGTACAACAGATACAACGGACGGAAAACATCGCCAAACGAGAAACACCACATTTATTTACCAGTGGACAGTGTCAAAAGAGAGGCAGCTATTACACTTTGGTGACGAGCTAGAGGTTCACTTGCTGTGGCGAAACGAGGCGTACAATTACTGGGCAGTGGAATTACCGGCTGCCAGTCCCATCAGCAACTATTCGTCTCCCTCCAAATCGTCCGTCATCGTCAATGGAGGCTATTTGATCCGATCAGCAGAGATCTCCGAAGGCCTTCTTTCTCTGACGGGTGACATTAATGCCACCACAGATATTGAGCTCGTCTTTGACCCGACCAGTACCGTGGAGACATTGTCTTTCAATGGCGTACAAATAGGAATCGAGGAATCCGATGACGGAAGGCGCACATCGCATATCGAATATGTACCGCCGGACCTGGCGCTGCCTGACTTTGCGTCCTTGGATTGGTATTACATTGACTCGCTCCCCGAGATCCAGACTTCTTATGACGACTCGGAATGGGTAACTTGTGATTATACTTTGACGAACAATCCTCAGGAATTGGTAACACCAACCTCGCTCTATGCCAGCGACTATGGGTTCCACTCTGGCTCTCTCATCTACCGTGGCCACTTTACGGCGATTGGAAACGAGTCCAGTCTCTACGTGAACATTACCGGCGGAAGCGGCTTTGGTTACTCGGTCTGGCTCAACAATGCCCTTCTCTCTTCATGGGACGGTAGCGGAGTAGCACAGGGCAACTATACTTTTGAATCAACCATTTCTCTCGCTGGCCACTCCCTGTCAGCTGGTTCCCAAAATGTTCTTACCCTGCTGATTGACCACATGGGTCAAGATGAGGAGGCGCCCGGCACCGATGGAATCAAGCTGCCCATGGGTTTGATCAATTACAGCCTATCCGGCCATGCACAATCCGACATTACCTGGAAGCTGACGGGTAACTTGGGCGGGGAGGATTACCAAGATCTAGCGCGCGGGCCGAGGAACGAAGGCGCCATGTACGCCGAGCGTCAAGGTTACCACCAGCCCGATCCGCCAGTGGACGACTGGGCCGTGGCTAGCCCATTCGACGATGGCGTGCAAGGCGCCGGCGTGGGCTTTTACACGACAACGTTTACCCTCGACGTTCCCGACGGCTATGATGTTCCGCTGAGTTTTGTGTTTGCCAATACCACCACGGCGGCGAATTACCGGGTACAGTTATTCGTCAATGGGTGGCAGTTTGGCAAGTATGGTAAGTTGTAGTCTGCGTCGTGATAGAGAGAGACAATGAATGCTGATGCGTCTGGCGTCTAGTTGCCAACCTTGGACCACAGACCGTCTATCCTGTCCCCGAAGGCATTCTCAACCACAATGGACTGAACACGGTGGCAATCACGCTCTGGTCTGTTGATGGCAGCGGTGCAAAGGTCGACGGGCTCTCGCTCGAGGCAGAGATGCCTCTCTGGTCGGGGTATAGAAAGCCATCGCTTGTAGACAGCCCAGCGTGGACACAGCGTGATGGAGCTTACTGAGGAATGGGATTGCTGAAACATGTGCTATGACAATGCTGTGGATGTGCACTAGATCTTGCTTGGCCATAACCTAGAAAAGAGAAGAAACAGAAAACAAAAAACAGCCGATGACGACTGCTTCTCACAATTTTGGCTAATTGGGCATGACCAGAAATGGAAAGTGATCTGCTCTTGCACTGACTTTCCCGCCGCCCACAAAGGCGAGCCCCGAGCTATTATGATTTGTTTCATGCTCGCCCACCACCCCCGCTTTGGGCAGGACACCACCCGGCATTTGGCCGTGGCGTTTTCGCAGGCTGGAAAACAAAAGAAACTCCCCCACAACGGCTGCGACAGAGGCTACGACCAGGGGAGCTTCTAGGTTGGTATATAGCAAAACCAATACCTTCCCTTCAGTGGGTGCAAGGTCCTAAGAGTTAAACCTGTTGGACGCGTGGCCACGAGGAGCGCGCAATGACGATGAACAAGGATCGTCGCGCGGAGCGGATCGAGGGGGAGAAGCAAATTCTCATTCAAATAGAGCTCTTGCTCGTATATATTCCAAGTCGTGGACATGAATTGAGAAAGCTTATTCTTCTTTTGTTCCTGTGCATATGCTGGCTTGGAAATCCTTGAGTCTCAATTGGCGTAGAGTATAATCGTATTTTGGGGGGTGAGATCCATTTTGCCAAGACACGACCAACACACAGCCATGTTGTATAACCGCGCCAGGTCAATTGCGGGTGGCGCTCTGTTTGCCAGCTTTATTGCCGTTGCCAATGCCGCAACCCACGAACTTCTCGTAGGCACATTTGGCACCAAGTCGCTATACACGGTCGAGTTTGATGATGAAGCCTTGACTCTGAATTTGGTGGCCAACACGTCAGTCCCTGCCGCTGGCTCGTGGTTAGCCCTGAGTGTAAGTGGCCCTCGTTGATCACCACAACGAATGCTGCTAGGTCTGCATTCCAACTCTGATGGCGTGCTAATGTAAACTCCTTCTGCAGCATGACAAGGCCAACCTCTATGCTACAGCATACTCAACCAGTGGCAACAGTAGCAGCCCGGCATTTGTGAGCTATTCGCTGGCCAATGCAACCTCAATCACCCACGACGCCACCATTCCGTCGGGTGGAAACTGCACCGCGACCGCCATTTTCGTGGTTGCGGATCCCAACCCTCCCTACAGCGTGTATGGGGCCTTTTTCGGATCCAACGCTGGCTGCGGCACTGTCTTGTCGGTGGACGAGACAGGCAAGCTGGATGCCGCCATTCAAAACTACACCTACTTTAGCTCTTCCGCGGTGCACGGCACTGCCTTTAGCCCCGACTCCAAGTTCCTGTACTCGGCAGACGACAGCGGCAACACCTTGTGGACGCACAGCATAGACCAGGCGACAGGAGAAGTGACACTGGTGGCCAACTTGACCGCGCCCTCGTCCTCGGCTCACCCGCGCCACGCCACCGTCCACCCCAACGGGCAGTACGTTTATGTGGTACTTGAAGGGTCGAGCCAGATTGCGCAGTACTCGATTGACGACGCGACGGCGGGGATCCCGTCCTTTACCAACATTACGTATCCGCTGCTGGAATCAGGCGAGGACGCATCCAATTACTGGGCCGACGAGGTGGCCCTGTCGTTTAGCAACAACTACCTGTGGGCGACGAACCGCGGCCGCAGCACCAACGCGACGGGCTACATATCCGTATTCTCCCTGGATGCGGACGGCGCCATCCTGTCGCAGAACTTTCTCGTGCCGACGTCGTCCAGTGGCGGCGCGGCCAATAGTGTCGCTCCCAGTCCCTTTACGGACCGTTTTGCCGCGCTGACGGATAGTTCGGTTGGGTTCCTCGAGATTTGGGAGCTCAGCGACGATGGTGGCTCGGCGCAGGTGGTGGCGCACCTCGACTTGAATGACGGGGGCTGCTGTGCTAATGCAGTGTGGTATTCTTGAGCTATCTGGGTAGAGTCGGATTGGGTATTGCATGTGAAATCAAAAGGGAAATATTCAAAAGAGCCTTTCGGCGGCGATGTTGTTCTAGAAGCTTGACAGCGAGTGGCCTTGTGCGATGCGACTGTGCTGAGCTTGTTCAGATGAGGGAGGAGGACCCCTACTATTGCGCCATGAACCTGCTCTAAAATCCCCCAACGGCACCCGTGTTTAGTGGAGATTACAGCGCATTAGCGCAACATTAACAGAGCTCATGTAGGTATATTGGATATTGAACTTTGAGTATTACATGAATATACATTAAATTGAAACGAGTTGAGCTAGAGAGATTGATGACCGAGATCAATGCGTCACCTCTTTGCAAAAATCAACCAAAACATTGATAATTGCACAATCCTAGATGTCGACCTTGGAGATTTTGAATCCTCCTGGGCAGAGCTTTTGGAAAACCTGGTTGGGGTCGTACTTTGCCGCCACGGCCTTCATCTTCTTCAAATTCTCTACGCCATACGTCTTGAGCACATCTTGACTTGGATCGGCATAATTGAGATCTGACCCAAGTTAGTAAGTGGTGTGAATTAAGGGGTATTTCGAATCCGAGTTCCCATGTAGAGGTGCCACTTACAAGTCCATTCCAGATTTCCGTCGATCGAAGCAGCATAGGATTTCACTTCGTTGACCCAAGTCTTGACCTTGGGATGCACTGCCGCCTCCTGTTCGGGTGTCTTCATCATGGCTGTGGCAAGAAACAAAAGCCCGTCGCCCGTCTGGCGCTCAACGCCCATGATATTTCCACCAGCCTTGACCGACTGATCGGAAAACAGCTTCGGGAGAGGCTGCCATAAGCACTGGGTGACAAAGTCGCCATCTGGAGCTACTTTTTTGATCTCTTCCACGAGTTGGTCATGTAGCTCTGATGCCTTTGTGACGATGCGCTTGTCGTTCTTGAAACAAGCTGTGAACCATATGGCACTAGAGGAAGATCCAAATTAGTTACAATCGCTAAAGTAGCACGAAACTGACAAACACTCACTGATAATTCGCAGGAATATTATACTCGAAAGCCATTTCAGAGATAGTCGTCTTCTTCACAGTGTTCATGATTTCTGGGATGGCTCGCCACTCATCATACGCTGGCGCTGCTTCGATGCCCTGAATCTGGTTGAACAGCGTGGCGACCACGACGTCTTTGAATTCTGACATGTACGTAAAGATGCAGACAAGGTTGCTGTCGGGGTCATCATTGACTTTGCCGGCAAATGAGACGACAGCATCTATGGCCTGTGGGATTGTCTGCTTGGGATAAAAAGTCATGCCACCCCAGACTTGGTCCGATTTGACCGTCTTCATGGTGAATTTCGTGACGACCCCGAAATTATTCGAGCCGCCCTTGAGCGCACGAAACAGGTCCTCATTGGATTTAGCATCAGCAGTGACGACGCTTCCATCCGCGAGCACAACCTCGTACGCGACAACATTATCGCAGGCAAAGCCATGCCGTCCGGTGAAAAAGGTATTACCGCCACCCAGCAGCAGACCAGCGACGCCAACGTTGCCCTCACGCCCACCGGCGACGGCAAGCTTGGACTTGTGCAACTCGGCATAGACTTCACGCCAGCGCGCACCGGGACCTATATCGGCCGTAGCCTGATCCGGCGACACGGTGATGGCGCTGAGAGATCCGAGGTCCAGCGTGACGCCGCCCTCGATATTGTTGGAGCCCGCCCAGTTGGTGTGGCCGCCGCTCCGTACAGCAAATGACTGCTCTCTCGATGCCAAGGCCTTGATGGCTGCCGCAACGTCGGCAGTAGACTTGGGACGGAGGATACACGCCGGCTTCAGTTTGGCACTGTTGGACCAGTACGAGTCCAGGCGAGCAGTGTACTCGGCATCCGTGGGAGCCACAATCTGTTCCCCGAGGCCCTCGTTTTGGAGAAGGGTGACCATAGGGTCAAGTGACTTGGGTACTGCAACAGCCATTTTGACGATCTGTATGGTGAAATTAGTCCTTGATTGGCACTTGAAATCCGACCAACGCCGAGAAGCCTAACGCGAGAGGAAGAATGTATTTTGCGACAGACTACATTGTATATAAAAGCAGAAAAGAGTCCAGGTCCTCCCATGTGCCCCGCATGGCACGAAGCACGACGGAGACCGTGATCCTGGACCAGGTTGCAACCTCCAAAACGACAAGACAATATGCATGATACCTACATGAGGCCTAACCTTAAGTGGACAGCATAACGGCACAGTCGGGTGCTCTGGCCCCCGGCTCGGTCCGCGATTGGTTTCCAACAGTCTGAAACTGATAGTGCTGGTGGGCCGATTCTGACAAAAGTAGTAGTTTGCGTGCTGTTCATCACCACCGAGTAGATATTTCCATGTGGCACAGAGACATGCCCAGACTTGATCGACTCTGTTCCCATTATTTAGACTTTCACTCCAGATTAACGTGAAGTTGAACACTTTTACCCTTCGGAATCCTCTCGAACGAATGCCAAGGACAAAAAGTACCTTGATCAGATGATCTGATTAATTGCTTGGCTGCGCGGACCCAAGTCGCATGCAGGACCGTTTTACGCTTATAGTTCATCTGCAGGGATAGTCATCTCGCTTAAGCTCAAGACACCAGGTCTATACCCCAGTGCACCCAGACGTCTATACCCACATGCAGACATAAATGGTATAGATTGTCTTTTGTGCCTCGCGCCAGTGCTTTGAATCACAAATGCCGGCAGGTGAGACTTGCAACATTCTCTCGAGTCTCCAGGGACCTAATCATATGACCAAGCTCATACAGAATGACATAACGTACTCAACCTAGCAGAAGGATCACAATGCCAGGCTAGCAGTCATCTTTTGCCCCAATCGGAAAGGCAGAGCATCTTGGCAGGAGAGTCGGACTTGGAGGGAGAGGCGAAACCATATTCTCAATTAAAGTCCAATGTTGTATTTCAACAAAGTGGCTTTCTTTGCATAAATCAAAAACTCCGTTCCGCGGATTCCACCTTTCGCGCTTCTCAAGAATTTGTCGACTTCACCTCGCAATCGATGGCGCTGGTCAATGGCGTCCTAGTGGCTATGCCACCGCCAGATGGCTACATTGTTGACTTTGACCATCCCCAGAGAAACAGCGATGTAGCTGCTTACTGGATCTTTGGCGTCGGCAACGCTCTCAGCCTCCTGTCGATATTACAGAGACTTTATGTACGAGTATTCATCATGAAAAAGCTTCAGATGGATGATGGTATGTTGTGAACCTGCTCTTCTGTGAGACATCACTGTGTTTATGTATCAGCGCTGACTGCTATAGCATTTCTTCTCGTTGCTTATGTGGGTTTCATATGTTCAAGTGTGAATTTCAGTGCTAATTCAATTATGGGAATAGATCTTTTCCGTTGTGCTTCAATGTCTCATTATCAGTAAGTTGCCTCCTCGAGCTCTGATTAGATCAAATATCTAGTACATATCGCTCACGTCTATTTACAGGGGATTTCGCACGTGGAATCATGGGAACTCACATCTGGGAGATGCCAATCACCAAATTCTATCAGTTTCTCAAGGACTTGTATCAACTCCCGATCCTCTACAATCCAATCCAATGCGGGGCGAAGCTATCTCTTCTGCTTGTCTATCAGCGCTTGGCACCGCTCAAGTGGTACAAGCTCACGGTCTGGACAACAGCAGCCATCATTGTGATATCTTCTACAGTCCTCCTTTTCATTACAATTTTCCCATGTCAACCGGTGCAGGCTGCCTGGGACTTGACCATCACGGACTACCAATGCGTCAACCGCCAGGCAGTCTACAAGGCACAAGCCATCATGGGAGCCATAACTGATGCAATGGTCCTGCTGGTGCCCATCCCGGTTGTTGTTTCTTTACATATCCCGCGCAGGCAAAAGTTTGGTCTGGTATGTTTCTTCGGCATTGGTGCAATGTAAGTACCTAGTAATCATGACTAGTCTATCAGAGCGTTGACTAACAATGTGAAGCACTGTTTTTACTTCAATCATGAGGTTAATCCAGTTGATCAAGTCCTTTGATACAACAGACCAGACCTGGGGTGGTGGTGTAGTTCTTTTATGGATGTACGTATTCGAGTACTCGCTCTTCCCCTGTTCGCACAGCAAGAAGGGAGAGGAGACAAAAAGAAGATAGTTTTACACTAACAACAACGTTTAGCTTTGCCGAGGCAAACCTTTCAATCATCTGCGCATCACTGCCCACCGTAAAAATCTTCATCAGGCACGTCGCCCCGCGCCTCCTAGGCACCGAGTACGCGAAGCGATCCTATCCAGCCGGCAACTCGACGCCCAACGCCATGCCAACCATTGGAGGGACCGGTGAGCAGAAACAAGGACTCTCGGTTGATAAATATGGATGGTACGAGGACGGTTCGGCACATCCTCTGGATACAATAGTCGACGTTGAAGGTGGCAAACACGGACAGCGGCGACAAGAGTCACCAGATGAACAGGGCACTGATGGTTGGGATGACCTTGGAGATGGTGGTTCGGAGAGGGGGATCGTACAAACACGGACAACCACTGTCTCGTATTCCAAATGAGATGCTTTCAAAATTTACAAAAAACGTGTCAAGCCGCGTGCAAGATTAGATGTATAAAAGGGGTCTGCGGAATATTCTAAAATCGGTGACATAAGAGCTTCTAAGTGCCCGAAACAATCTGGAAATGGAATCGGATAAAAGTTGATAAACATTAAAACACTTCAATATATATCCATTCGTAAGCGATAATAGTATTCTGATTAAAAGTGAATTCTATATTCAAGGATCAATTTGTGAAGGAAAGAAAATGAAATGAAGAAAAAGAGGAAAAAGAGAAAATTTATAAAGAGAAAACAAAGCTAGCTCAATATAATAATCCATATTTCTTTATATTTAACGTTCAATGCGCTCTTAGTGACCAGGGATAGACTGTAGTGAATATTTACGTCAGTATCTAACTCTCTCTATATATAACATTTGAGGCTCCTTGACATTGCGTGTATTGTGATAGTCAGCATTGACCCCTGTTAAAGCTTCCCTCGCTGACCTAACAGAACTTTGATCAAACAGTGTATTAATCTTCTCCGGCTGGTATTTCCTGTGTCTTGAACGAGTGATGTTTCGAGAAACGAGTAGTCAAGGGTGGTAGTCGTGGAGGAGGCAGAGGCGGAAAAAGAGGCGGGTAGTCGTTGCGGCGGATCATTGCTAACAATATGGCCTCTATGGCTTGAATTAGGGCGATAGCAATGCGTGCCGATTCCTGGACGATGATTATTGTCAACCGGTGGTCGTCTTCGCCAGGGGGGCCCGGGGGACCAGGAGGTCCAGTCTCTCCTCGGACTGTTCCCTTGTCCTTGCCTTTGCCTTTGGCCTTCTCGAGGTCCAGCCACGGGGTGTGGGCTTTTATAGGATTTGCGAATTAATAATTTACTCCCCGGTAATTGAACACCAGAAGAAAATAAAAGGTTGTTCCAATATGACATACCAATAGTCCACAAAGCACCCTTCCACAAGAACGCCAATGATACCAGAACTGCATATAGCGTTTGTGTAATAGAATATGATAACTCCCAGCACTTGATCGCAAACTCCTGTATTGTTGCTGTTGTTTTCGTTGCTCTTCTTGTTGTTGCGTTTGCTTGCTGCTTGATGTGTACTTTCAGTGCGGCTTGAGGAGGAGGAAGAAACACCAAAAGACATTATCCCAAAGTTGGTTACGATCGAATGCGGGAATCACAAAGGTGAGATGGGGAAGTCATGGAAGTTCCCCAAAAGAAGATATGGTAAAGCAGTCAATTGAGTTGAGAATTAATAGGTGAGAGGGGAACGGATACATCGTAGTGCCCCAAATAACATTACATGTGTCTTGGCCCTCCCGGCCGCTGTTGCCCATTTTCACCCAGCCAAGGTCAGTGTTTTGATGGTCGAACACTCACTCTTGGTTATACTTTCCCTGGCTCTTTACACCTCGATGCGGCCATACACAAGAAACTTCGGCCTGGCCAAAGATCATGGACAGGAAAGCGCTCGTCGGTGGCTTGGAATTATGACTTAATTAATGCGAAACATTGCTGCATCAGGGCACAACGAGGACGAAGTCTTCGATTGCAAAATAGACCCAGTGTGGTAGATGCCAAGAGTAAGAATTTCATTCCAGTGCTTTGCAACTGCTTTACTCCATTTACATATGTATTTTCTAAACAAGATTGTATGGGGAAGGTGGCGCCAGATGCACATGCAACCTCTTAGTGGCGGAGTTGTGTTCAGAACTTCAACCCCTCTGCGACAGACGGTTGTAGACGGGACGCGCCCCGTCTTGACTGATCGACTTCCCTTCGCTTCGCCGTGGCGAGAGGGGATACACGTCATGGATCCACGGTCATGGCGCTGAAAGCATTGGATTTCGTTAACACATTGTGTATTCCTAGGTCCTTGATGTCTACCGGATGTCCCATCAGAGTTTGGGTACATGGTCTGTTACCAGGTTCCTGCATAGACGTCTGGATGACTCGAATACAACACTTCACCTTGTGAAAATTGGAATTACAGGTCGGAAGAATATTTTCAGGAGTCTGGAATCAATACTGGAGTACCGCTGTATTAGGCTTATGGACAAGTGCAAGTTTAGCCTCAATGAGCTGCTTGACCTCGATAGACTTATTGAGCCATGTTTTTATTTTGAGATCAGGCGGACACATCAAGGCGGCTACAACTACAACCATAATGGGTTCCCATCATCACTACTACATAGATTTTGCGAGAATACAGACAAGAAAGATGATAAGTGAAATATAGGAAAAATGTATTTCGGAGCTCATAATCCGTCCAATGGTCTGTAAACCTTCATCCAGCGCTAAGGTCGAGGAGTAGTCAGCGGTTGAGCAACCGTAAATATCGATTGGAAGACTTACTGTGTCGTACGGCTTCTCTGAATCAACAAATCTCAAATCTGTCGCCAGACGAATGGCACCGTTGGGATCCTTGTTCTTGCAACTCGCATGAACCATGTACGGGTTGTGAAAGATGACATCGCCAACCTCGTACTCGGTCATCAGCCATTTTCTACTGGCCTCCTTGCCATAGGCAACCGTGTCGCGACTGAGGAAGCCGCCGTCATGCATGTTCTTGTTGAATGCGCTAACTCGCTCCTCGTCTGTCAAGTTGCTGGCGTTGGCTGCAAAGCCATCTTCCGTCTTCTTTCCGATATCTGTCGACTTTTCGAGGTACATCAGCCCACCGCCCTCAAGGGAGATATTCCCGATTGGCACCCACGCAGTGAGGCTGGTTGGTGGGCCGGCGCGAAGGTACATTTGATCGAAATGAACGGGTGTGAGCTCGCTGTTTGGCACAAATGCTCGTAGCATTGTGCGCTGCAGCATGGTTGGGTTGGACCAGCCGTTGAACTTGCTTACAAACTCGCGCAGCTCGGGAATCTTGCAAAAGTTGATATAGAAATCGGCCTCGTGCGCAGAAATCATGAGCTCCACATACTTGTCGCTCTCGGGGTCGTCCTTGAGTCCAAACAGTCGACGCAAGTTTCCGGGAGGTAGATACTTTCGCGGGTTGGCACCTGAATAGGTTCCTGATATGGGGTCACTGCCGGGTTGAAGCAGACCGCTCGGCGACATGTGGGAAAAGTAAGCGGCGCGGCACTTCAAGACGGGCTCCACGGGCAAAAGACCCTTGACATGAAGATAGCCATCCCTATCGAAACGTTCTCGCATTATGTCAATGGGGGTGTCTGCAGAAGTCGGTTGGAGATAGCCAATGGTATTTGGGTCCATTGGGCCAAAGTTGGACTCGAGGTCTAATTTGCGGGGGTCTGCGGGATGGTATTTGCCATATTTATCGCCCTTGAATGAGGCCTTGCCGCCATTGACTGGCAGTGGCTGTTGGCGCAGAGATTCTTCAACGACTCCTGGCATGATTAGATGATGATATTTGAATGATACAGTCAAAATGATAAGTTTCTTTAAGGATGATTCAGTACCAATTCCCACAAGAGAACATAAAAACGGGAGTTTCCACTTATAAGCCCGGCCATTGAGGCGACTTTACAGCCTCCACGGTCGCGCCACTCTTGTTGAACGTCAAGCTGCAAACATGGATCACAGGAGAGATATTCTAGCGAGCCCCCTCATCCTGTCATCAAGGGCGAATCATCTAGCGGTAGTCTGCCTCAAATGGAGTTGTTGGAGATGTGAGTGCCGAACACCCGCCATCTCTTGCCGCTAGCCATCTATAGCCGTCTACTGCCGTGGTCGCGTTGCCCCTCCATCCCGGCATCATCAACAACCTTCAGTATACCATTACGCGGTAAACATCCTGGTCTTGGGTTGGATCAACGACGGGAAACATGACCAAAGGCACTGGTCAGAGATTGTATCGAGCCTGTACGAGGTGCAGGACACGCAAAGCAAAATGCGAGTTGTAAGTCCATCTCCAGCTCTCGGGCATGTGGAACGCACCTAAAGGAATGGCCTAGACAAGAGTTGGACGGTCGCAAACAACCCCCGTGCGTCAAGTGCCTGCGCGAAGGAGCGTCGTGTGTCCTGGCCGGTTCCAGACGGGGAGGCGACTTTTCAAGCCTCCGACGCCCTCGCCGTAGTGAGACAGCAGCCACCCAAACCCGGTTGCCACAGGCGGAGAATTTGGATGAGGGCAGAACGCCGGTCGAGGGCAACCTGCAAAATCCGTCCGATGCGCTTCTGATACTCGCCAATGCTGCCAACGAAGATGGTACCGAAGCGACATCGCCGGAGTCCGTCTTTTCGCGCGGACGTTCCTCAGGCTTTCCTGCATCGCTACAACAAAATGCAAATGCCACCTATGCTCCTCTGGAGAGAGGCATGCTGACGTTGGAGCTGTTGCATCATTTACTGGACCGCTATTCTCACCACTATCATTCCTTCCTGCCCATTGCCCCACGATCTGTTTTGCAATTGAACTCATTGCCCACAACTATTGAGGAAGACTCGTTTCTCCTAACAGCCGTTCTGGTAGTAGCCTCTCAAGATCGCCCAGACCTAGTATATTTCCACACCTCAATATGGCAGTACATGCGCCAGCTGATACTTGATTTGGTATTCGGCGCCAAGCATACCCAATCAGTCGGGTGTGTAGAAGGTCTCTTGATATTGGGAGAATGGCAGGGCACCTCTATCCTGGAATCTCAAAAAGACAGCAACGGCGAAGGAGCTTCGTGGTCAATCATAGGTCTGGCGGTGCGCTTGGCCTACGCACTCAGGCTCGAAGAAAGCTCATTCAAGGGTACACGCACACCCGACGATCAGATGCTCAGGAGTCGCCTCGCATGGACCTTTACGTACCTTTCAGACCGCCAGATATCCATACGAATGGGCCAGGCATTTTGGTGTCGGGGCCCAGCACTCTCGGCACGTTTCACCGCCGCTGACTTTCCGTCGCTACAACCAAAGTTCTCTTACGAAGAAGACCTTTCATCATTATTGGAAGCGCAAGTAGAGCTCACCACTTTATTCGGGAATGCTCATGACATACTCTTTGCTTCAAAATCAAGGACAGCGGAGCTCATGGTGCGTGGCGATTATACCAAGTACATTGATGATACCATGAAAGCCGTCGCAGCATGGAAGCGGTGCTGGTCCGCTATATCCGCCTCGAGACATCTCAAAGCTTGTCTGATGCTAATGTACCAGTACTTGAAGCTCTATGTCAATGCATTTGCGTTCCAGGCCGTCTTGTACAGGGCTTCACTACGAAAGAATGAGTCTGGTCGCCTTACATTTCCCGCATCTGCCATGGCGAGTCCGGATGCACGACACATATACCAGGCACTCGAGGCAGCTGAGGATCTCCTCAAGACTGTGATTGACGATATTGACCCAGAGAAAGGTCTTCGATTCATGCCCACACGCTTCTATCTGTGTGTAACCAATGATCCTACTGTTGAAGGCAAATTCTCACATTGAACAGATATGAAATCCATTCTGCCGTCTTCATCTTCAAAGCAAGAGTCGCCGGTGCAATCTCCAATGACGACCATGACAGGCTGGTGGAGATGATGAGACGATTTGTTTCAAGTCTTGATCGCGCCAGCACTGGTGAAAGGCATATTGCATCAAGGTATTCCAAATTATTGCAAAGGCTGTGGTTCGAAGAAACCGCTTCCGCAGCACATGGTTCAACGGATCCGCATACATCTCACCAAGATGTCCTCAGTACCCATACTCAATTAAATCCACCATTGGGCAACGGTGCTGATACCCTGACTACAACTGATAATCTTGGACTTCAATACTTTGATTTCATGGACTCCACGGATGGGCTCTTTTCGATGCCTCTCATACCTACCATGGAACAGCCAATGTTTGATGGTTAGTAATGCGCGTGCTTTGGTAAAGACGGCCTGTACGCAGTTCAGTGCAGAAGCCTCAAAGTGGCGTGCTTATCATAATTCATCATACTCGTATATGCTCCTACACCATTTTCCTAGCCACCTAGTTCCTCAATGTTACTGATGTCCTCCGTGAGGCAATTCATACTCTGCACGCTACGTTTGCATATTTGCAATGCCACGTTCATCTCCACTGGGCTACAATGATCCACAAGGTAGATCCTACGGGCTGCCTTACCTCAAGAAACTCAAATGTCGGATCGGCGGCCTTGAATACCCTTTCCCATCCACCTAGATCACGCTCGTGAGAATTTTGCATGACTTTCTGGATCAAATCCGTGTTTCTGCACAACATTAGTGGCCCGAGCCAGGTGGGTAATAAAATACAAGAGGCAGGTGCATGCGTTACGAGCGACTTACCTTAGTCGCGTTTCCGCCCAGTTCGAGATGCTTCCCGGGGCTGGAGCGACATTGTCAATAACGACAATCCTCGCGCCTGGCTTGAGCGCCGGGATGAGATTTCGCAATATTCGAACGCAGTACTTGTCCGACCAATTGTGCAAGATCAACCGGAGAACGTACACCTCGGCGTTACAGATTGGTTGTTTGGTCAGGAAGTCGTGCGCCATGAATTTTACCCTTTGGGCAAGATTGACTGGCAGCCGTTTCTTGCCATGATCAACAACCGGCGCTAGATCTTGCACCACAAATGATAGATCTGGAAAGGCATTTGCGATGGCGATGCACATATCTCCTTCCGAACCTCCTACCTACAAGACCGTTAGAGGCGCATCATGTATTATGTAACGAGGGAACTCACATCTACGATGGTGCCACTTCCGAAAGCTGCCCAGTCAAATCCCGTCACTGTGTGTCTCAAAGCCAGGTCGCTTCTACTCGACAGTGCTCTCATCACATTGGCGAACCTGTGCGCCTTCTCTGGATGCTCGGAGAAAAATTCGTAGATGGGTTTGTCTGTCTCGTTGACCAAAGCAAAACCCTGGTCTGGTAAGAACTATGGCATCTCATTCATTTGATATCAACGTACTGTTTCATTGGGCTCCTCGGATTTGGGATGTTTTGCCATTGCAGCAACCTTGGATATAGCGGTTACCAATTACTTCCATAATCCGTAAACCCTCTCTTTTGGGCCACTGTTGTGACAGTATTCAAGGCATCCTTTTCAGAAAAAGGGAAAAAAAAAAGAAAAGAAATGGAGAAATCATGTACTTACCGTTTGACTTGTCGCAGGCCACAAGTCTTCCACATTCCAAGCAACCCAGTCACGGAAGATCGAATCTTCAGCTAAAAGACGTGACGGAGCCGTGTGCCTAACTACCCCCGGCCGTGGTTCTGCGAAGATTCCTGTCTCCCGATGAGTCCGGAGTTCCATTTTTGTTCGTTACAAATCAATGCAGATACCTTGCAAAGCTGCGCGACGGATGATCTGGATCACATCATCTTCCAAAAGCCCACTAGACCTGGCAATCTGAGCGAAATTGGCCTCGGTGCCAACCGGGAAAGAGTGCAGCAGATCAAAATGGATAATGGCATGTTGGCTTAATAGCTCATTGGACTGGCAAGAATCGGCTGATTTATTGATACACAAAAATTCTGGTGGGGAAAGGCTGCCAACAGTGAATGTCATCAAGTAGTCTCGTGGGCCAAGCACTAGCCGCCGCAATTCAAGCGTATCATCTATGATGACTACACATACAGCTTCGATATCGACATTGTCTCTGGGAATCATTGATTGGAGTGGGCCGTCCACGTCAAACGATGGCGTGGGAAGACCATGTGAATTGAGGTACTCATTGATTTTAGTGGTGTTATTGGCAATTCTAGTAGATAGTTCGACGATTCGGGACTGGGACATGATGCAAAATGCCAGATTGTTGGTGTGGAGCTGATTTTTAATTTACGCATATGTATGGGGAAAAGAAATGTTGTCTTCTCTAATTGTATAGAGAAGGAGCAAAAAAGAGGAAAAGAGGAAAGGGGAAAAAAGGAAAGGGGAAAAAGGAAAGGGGAAAAGAGAGAAATTTTCGCAATAGAGAAAATATTCTTATATATTTCCTAGAATTCCCTCCGAATTGTAATCCGGGGTCGCAGTAGCGCTGTAAGCTGACAGCGGCTAGTAGTAGGAGCAGGCAATCTTGGGTGCGTTCCCTGAGAGAATGGCGAAAACAGGCTTTCAGTAGATTTCAGTAGGTGGTTTATCTTTTCCAATA